GCCCCAGGCCTGCCCTACAGGCTCTGGAACAATTACTTCGCCTCCTGGCGATCTCCCACCGTGAGATCGAGAGCGTCGTCGCCGATGCGCTCGGTCGATGCCTCGGGTTCTTGACGCGCGCGCAGTGGAAGGAGCTTGGCTTGAACCAAAACCGCTGGCGCGCGTTGTTCATGTCCATACTCTACCTGCTGCGCGAGGACGGAGGGGCCGAAACGGGCGGGAAAGGTCGCACCCGGCTGGACGACCCTCTCACGCTCCCCGATGAAGCGTCTGTCGGGTCAAAGGCATACGAAGAAGAGCGAGCCCTCTTTCGTCGCGTCTCGGGTGGTAAGGACGTCATTTGCTTTTCGTATGTGAGTATGCGTGACGTGGTCTCGTTGCCGTTGAACGTGGACGTGTGGACCTGACGCGTGCCCTGCACTGCGCACGCCTCCCCCCCTGTCTCACTTCGCAGGCCTGGACAAGCGTCATACGAGCAACAACCGACACCAAGAGGCACAGGGTCTTCGTGCCGAAGCTCGTTCACTCGGCGGATTGGTGGGAGGACCGTGTGATCATGCTGGTCGTCGGGCTCTTTGGGTGGAAGGATCGGGTACCTGCGGTCCTTCGCGTGTTCGCCTCGGCCGGCTTTGTGACCCCCACCGCCGGGGGTCGCCGCCAAGTCTACGAGCGCAAGGTGGCCGAAGCGAGTTTTCGGAACCAGAGCCTCAAGCGCATTGTCGAGGCGATTCTCTTGGTTCCTCTGCTACGCGACAGGGCGACGCACCCGGCCACTGCAGACCCCAAGCTCGAGGCCGCTCTCCGTGCCTTGTACAAGAAAGCCCACAAGATTGTCCCGGATGCCGCAACGTTCGACACGATTTACGCATCCGCCCGCGGGGTGATCTTCGACGCAATCCAAGTCGTCGAAGAACACCTCGACAAGATGATCGGTCCAACTGAGCGCGATCAACTCCGCCCCCAGCACACGCTCGGCGACCTGGTGAAGGGGAAGTTCAAGTTCTTGCCGACCCAGGTCTTGCTTCCGGCACTGCACGCGCTCAAGATCAAAAGTGGTCGTAGCTTAGGCATCGGACCGGTGAGCACCCCTTGACACCTTCGGGTGGAATTGCCACGGCATTGGTATAGCCAAGTGAGCGCTTCGTACTGACCGAAGCTCGACCCGCCCCCCGATACTTCACAGGACTTTGCGCCGGAATTTATAACGATGTCCTTGCGCCGTACCGCAATCATCCTCTGGAAGGGACCGGAGGTTGCCCGAGTGCTTGTCAAATGGCTCGATGGGGTCTGGATCCCGTGGGCTGCGCAGCGTGCTGATGCGCAGACGACGAACGAGGAATTCGCCGGCGCCGGTCAAAGGGTTCGCGAGATGTTGAGGCGACAAGTCGACACGAAGGGTGTGCTGCTGGGAGGAGGAGGCGGAGGCGAGGCATGGGTAATTAGCCCCGAATGGGAGGCCCAGTGGTTTGCGTTTTGCGAAGCGACGATTCATGGCATCTTTTTCGTCACAACCCCACCCCGGTCGGATGGTCCTGGCAGCGACTCCGACAGTGACGACGCCGACCTCGGCCCACGCACCAAGGTGCGCAAGGTGACCGCCTTCAAGCCCAACTCGGATGGCGTTCCGCGTTACCTGACCGGCAAGGGACCGCTCGTCGTCTTTCAGCTCTTCAATGTCGAGCTCTTTGGTCCCCACCGCGTTCCACATGGTCAGTGGTTAACCAACGGCCATTCGGTCCAGATCCTCACGCTCGATGTCGCAGAGGCCGTTCTCGAAGCTCGCTCGTCGCCTGATTCTGAAGCTGCGATCGTTCCTCGCCAAACGGTATACGAAACGTTCGACATCGTCACCGAGCACTACCCGACGTGGCATTCGTCCAAGGACGCGGGTCCCATCTTCCGCAAGCTGATTCAGAGTCTTCGCAAGATCCCCTCCGTCCCAAAGACCGCCACAAACCCAAAGGGAGTGGGGCACGAGGAGCAGTCGGTGCGCTGGGTCCCAAACGTGCGGTCAAGCAACCTCCCACCCTCCCCGGAGGCATGCCAATGATCCAGAGGGTTGAGAACGGGAGGGAAGAGGCGCTGCAGGCGATCTTTCAAAAGGCGACTGGGGAGGTACGTTCCAATCCTACGCGAGCTGAGCGGGGGGGCATTGATCCTTTGTAAACCCAAGTTTGCTAACCTCCTGTAGTGCTTTTCCTCCTTGCACCTCATATCGACCGGGTAGTCGTGGGGCGATTACGAGCTCCCACCAATTTCCACCTGCATTCCGGGCTGCGACGAGTTGGCGAGTGAGCTCGAAGCCGGGGTTAACCGCGATGTAGTCACTGTCGGCATCGACCCGGGTACCAAGTGCCCCGTGGCCATCTCCTCCAGATTGTACGATCGGAACGGATGCCCAATGGAAGACGAGCTGGTGTTATACGCGTCCTCCGTAGATCACGCCCTTCATTCGACGCAAGAGCGCACGCGCTTAATCGACGCCGAGCTCGGCGCCGAACTTAGGTTCGGCCTGCAGATCTCGTCGGAGCCGAACACCGCCGGAATGCCTCGTGTCGTGCCCGCTACCGCCACTCCTGGCCCCGCTCCTCGCGCCCCTGCCCCAATCGCCCCTACCGACGCGCTCGCAGTAGCTGCCACCGACGCCCATCGGTCGCATGCTGGCACATCGGACGACGCACCTTCGACCGAGTGGCTGCAGTCCGAGCCAGAACGCCAGGCAGCAGTGCACAATTCCGGGTCCACGCCAAAGCGACCGTTCAGCGCCTCGTCGACCAAGTGATGAGCGTGACGGGTGTCCGCGTCGTCGGTGAGTGCACCAAGTTGACAGGGGCCCTCCCGGCGCCGATCGAGCTTCTGGTGGCACGCCTAACACCCCCCCCCCCCCCCCCCCCCGGTGACTGACCACTGCGTGACTCTGGCCCGGATGGCGGGGTTTTCTCTCTTTTCTTTTGGTCTTTCCCTTCCTCACTCAGAACGAGCCTTGAATGGAACTCGCCAGCAGCAAGCCCTCGACAGCCTGCGCTCGCCCGAGTTGGCGCTTCGAGACGACATCCTGTCGTCGGAGCCACGCCTCTTCATTTTCTTCATCGGCGCGGGTGGCTCGAGCCGTGGCACGGTTCATGCGACCTACCGCACCAACGTCTTCCTGCGGGCGCTCGTTGCAGAGATCGAGCGTCTGAAGCGCGTCGGCTTGGATATTCTGGTTTACGACGTTGATGAAGATTTGACGTCGTCGCTATGCAGTAACCAAGACTGTCGGAACGAGCACGGCCACCGGTCGAGGTCAGTCTCCGAGATCGAACAGGGCCGAGTCGAGGTCATGTTTGCTGGTCTGATCACCAACGGTGTTCTCCTTCGTCGCCCTACCCTCTACAGGCTCAACGACAAGGGAACCGTCGAGGGCAGCGCGAAGCCGCTGTTCCGCGTTTATCAGTGCGAACGTGGATGTCAACCCCCTGTCCATCGTGATTTGGTCGCAGGCAAGAATATCAGGTTCGCGGGCCTCCATTGCCTCTTCTCCGACCACCACCCCTTCAAGCAGTACCATTAATGAGACTTGCTCCTGTAATAATACGTTAGCAATTAAAGTTCGCAAATTCGGCACAGTGTCATGAATGGAAGTTCGCCACTCTCAACTTCGGCCTTCCCGCGCCATGGTCGTCCGTTTGGACTACATGTGCTATAGCGCGACAAGGTCTTGAAATGATGATCTCTCTCTCTCTCTCTCTCTCTCTCGTCCGTTTCGTCACCGGCACCGCTCTCTTCCTCTCCAACCCCATGATCACAACTAACAAGCGCGCCGGGGTTCGGGGGGAGACGAAAATGGGCTGGGTGCGTGCCGAACAACGATGGCGCAGTCTCATCTTGAAGCTTGAAGCTCTAAGGAACGGTTAGTCGGGCGCGGCCAGCAGGGTTCGGCGCCGCGGGTTTTGGGTTCCGGCACCACTCCTTCCGCAAGAACATGGCTCCGACACCAGCTTTGATCGTCTGCATGGGCACAAGTGGATGTGGGCAAGTGTCTCAATCTTGACTCTCGACGTATCCCTTCCCGGTTTGCCATGTCCCAACTGACACGTTGATCCGCCTCCGTTTGCTGCGTCCGACCCTCTCTCGGTCACCCGCCACGGACGTGCAGTAAATCGAGCATAGGTCTCGCCGTCGCGCGGGCACTCGGACTGGCTTTTGAGATGGAGATGATCTGCACCCGGCTTCCAACGTTGTCAAGATGTCTGAAGGCCACCCGCTCACCGACGAGGTCCGTTCTCTCGCTCCCCCACGTCTTTCCATTCGCAACCCACCCGCCCCCTTCATTCCCAAGTTGCGACCCGGAGCTGACATGCTATAAATGAGGATACAGGACCGGATACTTTGGCTGCTACGAATCCGGGCGACGGGATTCCACCTCACGTCACAAGAAGGCGTACAAGCCCTCGCCCACCCCGTCCCAGCTGAAGCGGACCACATCCAGCCTTCGGACGAGCTCACCTCGGCCCTTGCACACGTGCACCCGCAGACAATACATCTCGGCAAGGAGATGATCAAGCGAGAACGCAAGGCCGTCGTGGTCGGATGCTCGGCGCTCAAGAGAGGGTATAGGGAGTTGTTGAGTGGGAGGAAGGTCCAGCTCGGTGAAGTCTCGATCATCGAACCCGAGATCGAGGCGGACAAGCTCGAGACCTACTTTATCTACCGTGAGTGGATTCACACAAGGCTTATGAAGTATATCTCCCTGCCGTCGACTCGACGAGCAGTGCACGGTACTCGACCCTTGCTGCTGCACCGCTTGACGTCGCGACCGCGCCATTTTTTCAAAGCGGCGCCAGGGTACAGGTCGTGGCGTTCTTGTGGAGCGAGGCGCAAGACACGCAGGTATTATCTACGAAAGATAACAATGTCGAAACATAAGCCCCCATAAGTAACATCATATGGATCGGTCAAGGCAGTGTAAGACGTCGTGGTAGGAGGAAGGGGCAAGGTGCACGAGAGGCGAGCCAAGGTCACGTGAGACCGGACGTCGAGCAGGCCCCACTAGCAGGAGCATGGCCTGCGAGGAGCGAGAGCCAGACTCACTGATGGGGACCTCGGTAGTATGGCAGGAGATACGCTTCTCGAGTTCATGGATAGCCTTTTCTGACAGAGGGGCAGCCATCGAGAGGGTCGAACGGAGGACGAGCAAGCTCGCGGCGACAACACCGGAGCGAGCGAAGAACATTGTGGGCAGGCGCGATTCGGAGCGTCTGGGCTTTGATGGATGTAACGTGAGTGTGAGAAGACTTTGAAGAACAAATGTTACGAGAGGAGAGGAGGGAATGAGTAAAATTATTCCATCTCCAGCACTTGTGGTGCTCCCGCACGAAGAGCGAGTATGCACTGCGATGTGCCCAAAGAGGAAAGAAAGCGGGGAGGCGATGTGTCTCAGACGGCTGCTGCTGCAGCGCTCACGCGTGCCTCTGGCCCGGAAACCGATCGAGGACAACGGGCAAGCGCGGCCGGCACATCGGTCACCGGACAGCATGGAACCATCCTTCATTCACTTTGCTAGCCGTCGCCAAAACTTGACTGGGCATATACTTTGAGAAAGACTCGAACCTGTGTTTCTGTATAGGTGTACACTTCGCTAGGCGCGTGAGTGTCTTGGCAGGCTTTCATCTCAAGGTCATGATTGAGAAATCGGTGGCTGGGATGATCCCATGTCGGGCCACGAGCCTTAGAAGTCACATGATGTTGAGGAGAACGCAGGTTTTCACCGCAAATTTCATCCAAGGACGGAAAGAAAGTCTTTGATCATGTATTCTAAGCCAGTTGGACCGAGTACCAAAACTCCGGCCACTTCTTCTCCACGAAACACGTCTGTTTCACCCCTGTTCCCTGAGCGCTATCGCAGTCTTCTGTCAATGGGCCGCGGTCGAACGGGACACGTCGAGAAAGACTCTTACGAGAGTTATCGTTGAACTTGGGGAAGTACTCAACCTCGCATTGGTCCACCCTATCGCGTTCTGTTCTTATTTTTCGGACCTGAGGCACATTGCGGACGCGTCGTTAGTCGGCCAGATGGTCCTTCGCGTATCACCGAGTGGCGGACCACAGGCTAGAACGTCGAAGGATGTACAACCTCTATCCGAGTTGGCGTCTCTTGTACCAATGGTTCTCTTGCCGCAGGCATCTGCCCCACGGGCTGCAGAAACAAGAGGTGAGAAAATCCTGTTACAGTGCCGGCGGGATCCTTCTCAACTCCTGAGTCGTCCTGGTGTGTCGAGTCGGCAAGGACCAGATAAGCAGATGACTTCGATGCGTGGCGGCCTTTCGCGAACGTTGAACCCGACGGTGGCGCCGCGTACCTTGCGGCCCCCCGACCAAGCGTCGCGGGCATGCCACGCTGAGTGCACATGCAGACGATGATGTACTACCTCATCCCACGTCATCGACCCGTAACCACAGGAGCACATGAAGATACTTCCCAAGCTGTTCAGCGCCTCGGATGAAGGTCGGTCGATACGCAGCACCTTGGCAACGTCTCACGATGCGGCAGATTTCGCGAGAGCATTCCACCTTGACCTTGTCGTAAGGAATGTTGCGCTTATCAAAGTTCTTCCACCCGCATAAAGCTCCCCCCATCTGATGCGCGTTGTTCTCTGCTACATGGGCCTCGAGCTCGACGTAAGTCCATGACTTGGCGCAGCACGTGAAGTGAATGTGCGGATCGGCGAGCACCGCGTCTACCATGAGCAATTCCTCTTCGCTCAAAGCCTCGCCCTGATGGTTGTCCTCGAGAGCATAGCGGAAAGGTTCGAGACGGCGCGCCTTTTCAAACAGAGTGGCGTCGACGCCGCAACGTAGATGATTCATGGCGTCCGCAGCCATGCAAAAATAGCTCAAACGCCGGGGTGCGCAAAGCTCGATCACGACTTGACGAAGCGCTTCCTGGTTCGCCGAGAAAGACGAATCGTCCACGATCACATGAGCCGGTTGCCACATCGCTTTCACACGTACATTAAACAGCACGTCATTCAGTGCGGGCATAGTCAGAGCGTGGTCGGTCATCTGGGTCGCGAGGAAAGTCGCCAAACGCTGCGCAAATTCATGACCTCGCTCGTCGCGAAGGCGCGAGGTTTTGTTGTGCCTGTGGGGATGGAGATGGAGAAAGGTTGATGAGTTCAGGGTTGACTGGTATGACCACAATATGTTAGCTTACTCGGAAGCTTGCAACAATCGATCCTTGGCGGTCACCCAACTCTCTTTCGGCATTCGTCGAGCAATGTTCAGGAACGGATGCTCGACAGGGACGTCCCGTGGGTCCACCCCAGCCTCGACCAGTCTTTGGGTGATGTCTTTGAGCCTCTGTGCCTTCACCTGTGACTTTAAAGCCGCTACGTTCGCACTGTCTTGCTTCTTCAACGCTTTTAACACCTTCTCGTACCTAGCAAGACTAGATTCGTCAGATTGTACCGCATCCACATATTCTGCGCGGTCCTTGAGGTAGTCTTCGAGAGCCCTCTTGCCGAGCGCGGGATCTCCTGAGGGCTTGGGCAGGTAGTAGGCCGTGTTGAGGGGCAACGACTTTTGGTCAATCGGATTCTGGAGGGTGCTCGCCGTGTCGATGTGAAATAGGGCTGAGTTGACCGCCGAAATCTCGTCGAGATTGTACACAGCCTCAGGCCCGCGTCTGGGAACTGCGAAGTCGTAGGCGACAAGCGAGCAAGCTTCGGCGCGAGGATGCAAACGATAGCAAGATAGCCTTTTGGACGACTTGACTTGAGCCTGTCGGCATTCCTTACAGACGCGGATTAATAGAGCGCGGTCGAGGGGTGCTTTGCGACGGCGATCGCAGAACTCTGCATCGAGCGGCGTCAACAGGGGGCCAGATCCGAGTCAGCTCCTACTGGGTCTCCACCGCCAGTGCGCGTCTTTGCCACCCTGAATGCAGCTGAACTTACGACAGCAAGGGTCGAACACAATTCGCGCAATATAGCGAATCGAGTGTGGATTCGCTCTCGTGGCTTGAGACTCCAGATGGGGGAACTGGGTCCTTTCCATCGCAGCGAACCAAACGTGGCGGTGGGCGTCGTGCAGCAGCAAGCGGGCGAAGATTCGAGCAGCGCGAGCAAGTGAGATCAACGTGGCGGGAGCGAGATGCAGCGCGATCTGGCAAGCAATTTGGAACGAGGCGTGTTTCAATGAGTCAGTGATTGGAAAACATACGATCGCGGTAGTTCTAGGGAGCTCTCAAGTCTCGAGCGTCGAACTCGACTTAACGGGCTCCTCGGCTGAACACGGCGACGCCTTTATGTCGTACACGCGCATCCGACGCCCACTCACCTCAAGAAGGATGTCGATCGGCATATTCTGAAACGCTCGAAGCTTGCCCTTGCGCCTGCACCCATTCTGTCCGGTAGAATCGGTCTTGGGCTTCTTCTTGGCTGGTGTGGTGCTGGTTGCTGGATCACTGGTCGATGCGTTCGAGCCCTCGGAGACAGACGCTCCTTTCGAGATGCAGGGGGTCTCCTCTCCCGTCGGATGGTCGACCTCGGCATCAGACGCTTGGCCACGAGTAGCTGAGGCATGGGGGACTGGCGACATCTCGGAATAGGTAATGGCGACCTGATGGAACCAAGCTCGAGGGACGTCGTTGCCTTGCGGCCTTCGAGTGATGTGGGAACCGAGAGTGGCAGGGGTGAGAGAGCAACGCTGGACGGCGCTGAGCGCTGAGCACCGAGCACCGAGCACCGAGCGCTCCCCTCGGTATCGTCTCTCGTTTAAGCGTCGATTTTCGCAACTCAGCGGTCCGTCTGAGGGTCCAAAACCGATGTTGTATATCACCATCGACATGAGATGTCTACTTTTTGCTTCTTAGCTTTTAAAAAGATATTAGCATTTTCAGGCCCAGAGCTTCGGCCTCAAGAAAGGGGCCCGATGCAAAAAAAGGCTGGAATTGTATTTCTTTAATCTCAAAGAAGCATCACTTCTTGATCAAACGAGCTCGAAGCCTCTGGTTATGTGCACGAAAAAGAAGGGTCGCTCACTCCTGATCAATCACAAGCCACATAGCCAATGTGAAGGGCCCTTTCCAGCGAGAAGCCCTGTTGCTGTGACTTGGAGCTTGGATCGCTTGGAGCTCAGCACTCTTGCGTTCATCACCCGCCCGAATTTTGAGCTTGGACCTCTTCGGGGAGTTGCCTCCGAGTCGGCGATTTCCGGACTCAGCATGAACGCTTGAACGCTGGGACATATGCAAAGCTCGTACGCTTCATGCAAGAAAGGTCATCTTTTAGGGACCGGGAGTAGACAAGACCCTATGACTATCACGTACTCGCAGTGCCTCTGCAGCTGCAGCACCGCCCCCAAGAAAGCTATTGCGCTGGTCGGAGCGGGCTTGAGAGGGCCAATCGCGTACTCGATTTTAGGCCGTAACGTCATTAATCCTTTCCCGCAGTTTCCCGCTACCGATATCGACATCTGCCCAACAGTGGTATGGCGCGCGCGCTCAGTCCCTTTACGCTTTACCCTCTTCTCCACTTCAGTCACAACGCCTACATCCCCAACAGGTTGAGAGTCCAGCCATACGACCCTGAACGCGTATTCGACGCGAGCACCTCCTCTCGTCCTCAAGAAGCAAGCACGTGTTCGTTCTCGTATCTCGATGGGTCTCCTCGAAGGTCTCGGCAAGCAGGTCAGTACCCGACCGCATCATGCACCCCCGCTTTCTCACAGCTGACATAGCCGTCTCTTTTCCTGTACAGCCTGGTCAGTAACGTGTCGATGGGAACCTCTGAGGTGGCTGCCATCGCGTGGACTGGAGGACGCGGTCAGCATTGGGCGAACCTCCCCCACACGCTGCGGCTGCACCTCCTACGGGCTAGTGCGACCCATCGCTAAACCCGCACGCTCCTCGTCTGTCCGTCGAGCAGAATCATTCAAGCTGAAAGCCAACTACAAATTCCACAAGGTCATTGTGCGTCCACATGCTCTCTATCCTCCCCTCTGGCCTCTCGGGGTAGAGTTCCGTCGGAGCTTGCTGCGACTCTCACGCGTGACGATAAACCCGTGCCTGCCCAACTCACGCGCCATCGTGTTGGGTTTCATTTCATCGCAGGGACAAGGTGCATTTGGCGAAGTCAGGCAGGCAACATGGACTCGAAAGGACGGTACCAAGCTCGAAGTAGCCGTCAAGGTTATCAAGTCAGTCTCGTCCCGCAAGACCCCTCGGCGATCGCAAACTACCCCCACCAGATCACTCACCAGCCTCGGCCTTACCGTTTCATCCGCTCACAGGAAGAAACAGGTCAAGGGGAATCTTGGCGACGTGTTCGATGAGATCCGACTACTCGATGGTTTGGACCATCCCAACATTGGTCAGTGCACACCTTCCTGGATCTCTCCGGTCGGCAGCCGGGGCTCTAAACCACGAACACCATCGGCCCACAGTCAAATTCTACGAATCGTTCGAGTCGCGAGAGAAGTTCTATCTCGTCTTCCAACTCGCATCGGGGGGAGAGCTGTTTGAGCGCATCGCCGAACAAGGCAAATTTACAGAGGCCGACGCCGTCAAAATCGTCCGCATGATCCTCGAAGGCGTCAAGTACCTGCATGCCCATCACGTCGTACATCGCGATCTCAAGCCCGAAAATCTCATATAGTAAGCTGAGTGAAACGGATCTGCGTAACACTACGCGTGCTCATTGCACAATTCACTCTTCCTTGACAGCTTGGAGCCGAACGGTGACGATTTGGTGATTGCCGACTTTGGGTGAGTCGAGAGCCCGGTTTCCGTCGGACGTCAAAAACCTATATGAACCTCCTTTTCAATTCAGTATCGCCAAGCATTGGGACGACGGCGAGGTTTTGACCAGTCTTGCTGGGTCGCCCGGATATGCCGGTAAGCCCCTCGTGCGACTGGGAAGCCGGCGAAGATGTAGCGTCACTAACTACAGGGTCCTTCTCCATTCATATCTAGCGCCAGAGGTATTGACACAGACCGGTCACGGCCCGGCAGTCGACCTATGGTCTGTTGGGTGAGCCATACCGACTCGACTCCAGGCCCGCGAGGGCGCTGACGAATCGCTAGCACCGTTCGCAGCGTCATCTGTTACACCCTGCTTTGCGGTTATGGACCTTGGAGAAGAACAGAGATGCGAGATTTGATCGAGGAATGCAAGGCCGCTAACGTCCAATTGTGAGGTCGACCGTCCGTCTCGATCAGTCACCGCTGGGCCTGAACTAACCGCCAGGATCGAATCGTTTGGCTTTCACCAGCCACGAACAATACTGGAGCAAAATCTCGCACGAAGCCAAAGATTTTATCAAGGTGCTGATCCGTCCCGACCCCGCCGAAAGACCGACGGCGGAACAAGCGCTCAAGCACCGATGGGTCACTTCCCACGAACCAAGCGAGGAACATGATCTGGGCGGCTTGAGGGAGAATTGGAACTCGAGGAAGAAGTGGAAGTCGACGGTTGGGACGTTGATCGCGACGAGGAGGATGGTGATGGCTGCTCAGAAGGCCAAGGAATCGACGGGGGAGAGTAGTGGGGATGATGGGTTCGGGACGGCGGATGAAGGGGACGATGAACTACTGCGAAAGTTGCATGAGACGGCTGGAAAGACAACGTCGAAAGAGGTTGAGGACGTTCAGAATGATCTTCAAGAGCTCAAGACAAGTTGAACGAGATCTATGTGACAGTGGTCCAATCAGGTAGTCGGATGGGTCTTTTATGTATCATCAGCATGCGCAGCATCAGTGCCGCTTGCAGTCCCGAAACCGAGGAGGAATACCCAATATAGCTACTACAAGACTAAGTTCACAATCATGCATCGACAAGGGCGATCACATCCTGAATACGCCAAAGTTGCCCTTGTCCCTCTTCTCGGGGTTCCAGCTCTTCATCGCGACGCTCAGACCGAGACCGAGGCAGGATCGAGTATCGGAGGGAGAGATGACACCATCGTCCCACAGCCTTGCGGAGGCGTAGACCGGTGTCGATTGGTGTTCGATTTGCGCCTTGAGTTTGGAGGTTTTGGAGGTGTCCCTGTGAAAATTGGTTTGGGTGGTTAGCATACAAATCTGGAGTGCGAGAATGATGCGCAGCGATCATATGTACTTGGACACGGTCGACATAACGTCTTGCAATTGATCGCCACCCATGACGGAGACACGGGCGTTGGGCCACATCCACAAGAATCTGGGGTCATATCTGCGTGTCGAAGATGGATGTCCACCGTTAGCATGATGTCGATCTAAGCGGAACGGCAAGAAATTCGTCAACTCACGCTCGTCCGGCCATACCGTAGTTACCCGCGCCGCTACGAGGGGAGCAAAAACGCTTCAGCCACAGCACATCGGCACATCCATAACCAAGTCGAGGTACTGACTAGGATCCACCCACGATGACCGTGAGCTTCGGCACCGTCGTCGCCGCGACGGCTCGCACCATCTTTGCGCCATTCTTAGCGATACCACCCTTCTCGGCATCCTTGCCGACCATGAACCCAGAGATGTTGACCAAGAAGACGAGAGGTATGCCTCGTTGCTCGCAGAGCTGGATGAACTGGGTTGCCTTTAGAGCCGAGGGCGAGAGGATGACACCGTTGTTGGCGATCTGTTGGGTCGATTAGGGAGTAGTCTTAGCTACCGTGGCCAAAGGTATCGTCACGTCCCTTCGATGGCTTACGATGCCGACAGGATATCCGTGGATGTGAGCTACAAAAATCAGAGGATCAAGTATGATCAGTTCCAGGTCTATTTTCCCGTCTTACAGAAGTGTGCACTGACCGAATCCAGTGACGATGGTCGAGCCATAGTCCCTCTTCCATTCCTGGAACCGACTCCCATCGACGGTCCTAGCAATCACCTCCCTCATATCCCAAGGCTTCTTCAAGTTGGTCCCTACGACTCCGCCCAGTTCTTTAGGATCATATATGGGCTCATCCACCTCCGTCGTTGCCGGCTCGGCGTACTCGCTCTTCCACGGCAAAGGCTTGTAGTTGAGGGCCTTGATCGAGGATCGTGCGATGGCAATCGCATGCAAATCAGACTGCGCGAGATGGTCGGTCACACCTGATTCGGAAGAGTGCATCAGACCACCACCGAGCGTTTCGGAATCGACTTCTTCGCCCAAGGCAGCTTTGACGAGCGGCGGACCAGCGAGGAAGATGGTGCCCTGATTGGCGACGATGATGTTTTCTGACAAGAGAAAGAGCGTGAATCAATTAAGGTGAAGTAAAACACATAAGAAAGCACATGAAGCTCACCATCGGCCATGGCAGGTACATACGCCCCTCTGTGCGGGAAGACCGAGGATCAAGGTTCAGCATTGGTGATAATCGCTAGAGGCGCCAAGAGCAAAGCAAACTGACCCAGCAACCGAAATACCGTGAACAACAGCCAGTTGACTGTGACGAAAAAGCGAAATCAGACTGAAATTCTCAAGCCTTCTAGCGTGTAGGCCCCACACTCACGGGATGCCCTTGGCGCTCATTTGTGCCATGTTACGGAAAATTCGACCAAAGTGCTCTCGGTCGGGGAACACATCGGCTTGGTACGGCAGCGCAGCGCCTCCGGATTCGACTGGAATGTGTCCAACGAGCCATTGGTCAGCTGAGGCTCGAAGCCCGTGTCCCTTCTCCCGACGTGGACTGACCGAGGTAGACACAGGGGAGTCGGTTGTCGAGGGCAATCTCTTGCGCTCGGAGATGCTTCTTGACCGTGACCGGGTGGTAGGATCCACCCTTGACTGTACCCTAGGCCCAAAGAAATGTGTGATGAGATTAGAAAGCCAGATCTTTCCCGGCGATCTCGCCATGGCCGGTTTGCTCACATCATTGGCGACAACGACGACCTCAGTTCTGAACAAGTGGGGAAGTGGCATTTGCACGGATGAGCTCGGATTTTATAGCGGAGCCTTGCGCATCACCTGAAGAGGTCTCGAACTGACCCATGCACTCTTCCAATACCGGTGACAATACCGGCGGCGGGTAGAGGTCCATCGTACATATCATGCCCAGCAAGTGGGGACAGCTCGAGGAACGGCGAGAATGGATCGAGCAGCTCGTGGATCCTGTGCAGGTAAGGATTACAATCCGGAGTTTTCCGTTTCACTTGAACACACGATATGTCAACCGATCGGTGGGACAGTCTGTCTAGGACTGACCTCTCTCGCACCAAGAGTTTGCCGGCGGCCTTGACCTTTTGCTTGGCCTTCTCCCCACCTCCGTTCTCGATCGTTCGGAGCAAGGTCTGCATCTCCTGTTCGACGACTTGCATCGCCTCGGCGCGCTCCTTGAATTCAGGATCCGAGGTGTCGATGGCGGTGGACAGGACGGGGAAGCCATGCATCCGGCGGTGCTGAACATTGGCGGGGCCATTCCGAAGTGACGGCGACGAGGACGACGAGGTCGAGCACACGGACGACCGCGCCGAATCGACGAACGATGCCGAGCGACGGGTCGCAGACGAGAGCAGAGCCCGGCTGGAGCCGATCGAGCGTGCGTACATCATCCTAGCTGAGATGAGATCGAAAGCTGCGGAGAATCGGGTGGGTTGTCGGAGGACGGAGTGAAAGCGCTCGGCCGGGATGCTGAGGACCCCCCGCTCGAAGACGGCACGCCGTGGGCTGCCGTGGGGCGGGTGTGGGCGTTCGGCGCATCCGACGGAACCGTCGGCCTCGGCTCGCTCGGCACCAGTGCATCGTCACTAAATTTAATTTTCGGAGCATTTTGTTCCCGTTCTTTGGTAGCAGGAGGATGTTGGGGAGGGCACGTGACTTGCCTCAAATCGCTCCACCTTTTTCTGGATGCAGCCTACTTGCCCTCGAACAGGCGAACAGGCGCTTGTCGGCCATTTTCAATGGCTTCACTGCAAATTACGCCCCTCGGCGGCAACTTGTGCTCGATCGCTCGCGAGTCGCCGGCCCCGCAGTTGATTATTGCCTTTCCCCCACATCGTGCATCGACGCCTGCTGACTCGAAAGTAAGCGCTCGAGCTGACTCGCAGGCAACACGGCCAAACGAGACCGGAGTTTCCAACTAACCGATCCCTCACCTCCTCCACAGTGGCATCTCTGACCCGCTCGTTCGCGCACACAACTGCTGCACTGACTCGAGTGTCCGCCGCCACGCGTCACGGCGCCTCTGCCCCCGCCGCTGCCCGTTCCGCTTTCCATACCTCGTGCTCGCGACCTGTAAAGGGTGCATTCTCGGTGAGTACATTATCAGCACTGTTCACAACGTCCTATGGTCCTGATATACCTGTGTTCTTCGCGGGCAGGCATTGCTGCACGGTTCACCTGAGGCCAAGGCCGAGGGCGAGAAAGCGGAAGGGCAACACTCCAAACTAGTGGGCCGTAACGTAAGTATGGTCAACCAAATGTTTCAATGGTGCAGGTAGCAATCATCCCAAAGGGTGTATCCTTCGATCGTTGTCGGGGACGCCGGGGCGCGGCCCCACTTCCGGCTGTTCAGGAACGATTTTGTGGTTTCATAAGGTGCTGACATTGCCTCGTCCTCCCTCTCGGCCTATCGCCCGTACAGCGGAGCGTACACGAGTTCCAAAGTAGGTAATAGACCATGCGTGGCATCCCACATTTCTCCCCGTCGAGCTGGGTACTGACCTCGGCCCCCACTCAAATCGGTGCCCCCCCTCCCCCCCCCGACCGCCCCGCTCCCGCCTTGGACCATCCAACAGAACACAAGGTCTTGCCCCAACATGTCGAACAGTACAAGGAGCTCATTGCTGGTTACTACAAGGGCATCCACGAGTCGGAGGACTTCCATGCCAAGTTGACCGGCAGTTGGGAAATCGTCGTCGGCGAGGTCGACACGTTTGGTCAGTCCGCTCCACATCAATTACGTATCAGAACATGCAGCTCACCTCGCTCGTATTCTATCCCTGTTCCAACGTGAGTAGTCCATATATTTGAGTACGAGGGACTGACTGGCTTCGAAAAGACCAAAGCTCAAATCAAGGCATCCCACGCAAGCCTACTCTCCCCCATTTCCCTTGTATCTAAGCGAAGACTAAATCTTGACCTCATTCCCCTCATTCTCACAGGGCCACCTCGAGTTCTTCAACCATGAGATTCTACCTCTGATTCAAACGCGCACCTCGCAACTGAACCAAGAATTCGCCTTTTGGCAATGTGCCGAACCACGCACCGATCTGGGCGGCATCGTCGAGCTGAGGACGTATTCGCTCAAGCCGGGAGCCTTGTTGGAGTGGGAGAACCAATGGTCAGTTGATTGAATCGTGCCACAACGAAGCAAGATTCGTCCGCGAAGAAGCTGACGAGATTTCTTCCACTCTCCCCGGTCGTGAATGAACAGGCGAGTCGGCCTCGAAGCTCGTCTCCGATCGGGTCATTCGCCTTTAGGCGCCTGGTTCTCCCAACTCGGTGAACTGCACCAAGTGCACCACATGTGGCATTACGCGACGCTCGAGGAACGCCGCGCGACGCGGGAGAAGGCTTGGACGATCGATACCTGGTCAGGAACGGTGACAAAGGTGGGACTGATCAAAAGCACCAGGCTTGTCGTGTCGCCGATCGATTGCTGAACAAGGTTCTTCACGGTTGGCCTGCAGACGGTCAAGCTAACGGAAAAGATGGACGCCAATGTGTTGAGGGCATTGCCCTTCTCGCCGATGCGTTAAACGGCAAAGGGCTGCAGTGAACGACCGAGATGGGTGATCAACACCTCCGATTGTTACGATATTGACAGGGCGCTTGTCTTGCTTTCTCTCCAATGTGCTGTAACTGAATATTTACCTTTAAATGCTTGGGTCCGAGAATGAAGTCGTCTCGGTGCTGGATCGTGGGCATGGCAGATCAACCGTAGCATCTTTCCTCTCGCTAGGTCTTCGAGTGAGCCCTCACAAGCAGATATTGTATTGAGCCAACGAGAATGCGACGCAGTAAAATTACAGGTGCGATTAGATGGTATGCACCGCCAATTTAGACGGAAGTAGAGCGCCTTGCATGGGAACGAAGTTCAATCGAGCTGCTTATTTCGCTCCCGAGTCGGCTCCGAGCCAAGGTGATGAGATGTAGTTGCGAATACTGCGAAGATAAAAACATCTTATATGTGTTCAATTCGTATGAGGACGAGGAGGTGAGCCGGGGCAACTGACCCGTCGGCCAACAGAATGACGACATTCTTTCCTTCGACATCGGCAAAGTTCCTCTTTCCCTCTTCACTCTTGAGGAACCCAAGCGCGCCGGAGAGAGCACTCCCACTACTCCCACCGCACAGTATCCCCTCTGTTCGGATTATCCGCCTCGCTGCTGCAAAGGACTCGGAATCGTTTGACTTGATCCAGCGCGTGACGGTCGCATGTTCTAGTACGCCTGGGATCTGACAGTTTCCGGACGGGCATACCGTCTCAGTTCCCGATCCAAGATGCTCCGAATACTCACAAACTTACAAAATCATATCCGATCCCTTCGATCTTGTACTGATCCGTCTCTCCCTTCGCGAGCTCGTTCAATTGTTCGGGGCGAGCGAGGATGCTGCCTCGCGGGTCGACGCCCAGCACCACCACGTCTGGGTTGGACTCGTGCAATCGCTTCGACAAGCCCGTGACCGTCCCACCCGTTCCTGCTCCAGCAACCATCAAGTCGCACTTGCCCGTAGAAGGCCTCGATGCTCCGGCCGAATTTGTCGAGCTCGAAGTCGACGCCAAAGCTTCGATGATCTCGGGTGCCGTGCCGTGGTAATGCGCGTCGGGGTTATTTTCGTTGTCGTACTGGTTCAGCATGACCGCGTTTGGGATCTCCTTCAGAAGTTGCTTTGCTTTTCCAATGTTGGAATCGGGCGAATCGTGAGCGGCTTCGGTCGGAGTTCGGATCAGTTCTGCGCCGAGCGCGACCATGGTGTTCTCCTTTTCGATCGACATCTTCTCTGGCATGGTGATGATGCATCGATAACCCTTGACGGCTGCTACTAATGCGAGTCCGACTCCCGTGTTACCACTCGCTGTAGAGCAAGATGGCGATACAACTCTAAGTATCAGCGCCGTCGACTTTCAATAGCCAGGGATGTCACCGAGCGCGGGCAGTGCACAGCTCTTGTCGGCAAAACGCCCCAGGTGGGGAAGTGGCGCGCGAACGTAATCGGCGCCTCGAGTTGCGTGGAAGACGACCAACGTACACGGTTCAACGAGCACTGATTTGCCTGGAATTAATCGACCTTCTTTCTCGGCTTGCTCGACCATACGTAAGGCGATGCGGTCCTGTGGTGTATGCACTTGCGATCAGCCTGAGCTGCTCGTGGGATTGGGCTTCGTGTCGTGATCGATTGCGCCAGCCATCGCCGACCGACCGACGGCACGCCGAAACCGGACTCTTCGGCCTGCCGCGTGCCACCCAGCTCGGAATGATGTCGCGTCGCCATGTGTGGACCGCGTCAAAGCACGACCACCACGGGGCCAACAACACCACCCAACGATAGCCATGGGGTGCAACTGACCTTGACTGAACCCCCAGCATTGAACAATTCGACCTTGGCGTAGAGGTTGCACTTGAGTCCCTCCTCGGCCGCGATCTTGTCGAGTCGGATCAAAGGCGTGTGGCCGATCAACGAGAGGACGTTGTCGTGGATGACGGAAGGGTGCGACATGAGGCGTATGGAGAGAGGGGGTGTAGGTTCTATGTGGAGAGAAGAACACGCGGAAAAGGCGGTAGGTCGAAAATAATCAAGTGCGAGAACGAGTCGCAAGCGGTCAAAAGCGAACAGAGCTTTCCACGGTGGCAGTCTGTGGCGACTCGCTCAGCACTCGCTCAGCACTCGCTCGGCAGACTTCGGTAGCGTCTGCCTCGCCCGCATCCGAACGCGATCCGTGGACGTCTCGTTTCGACAATACTGCACCGCCAATAAAGCAAGACAAAAGCCCTCACGCAACAATAAAATATTTCCTCGATGCTTCAAGTATCTCGGTTGAAGACGTTTACCCCATTTGTTCTTGCTGATTTTGCTACTGATCGGAGTCCTCGCACCGAAGGGATATCCCGACGGTCCGGCGGGCACACGACCACCGTGCCGTATGTACACTCGAGGCCGTCCACGTCGAAATCTCACCTGCAGTGGTCCTGCAGCCAAGTCACTTGCTCAACACGCACCATAGCATTGAGATGAAAGAGAATGACTTCGGTTATGTCTGGCCGGGTGACCGAATCATCGATGAGCGGCTGGCGGACCGTCACGCGGCGGTTGTCTAACCATTCATGGAGGCTGGAGCGGGTGTCAGTGTGAACCGTGGCCGGTCTTCGGCAAGCGTCGTGGGCTAAAATACAGGGGGTGCAGATCAAGGTTGCGGCGGCGTGGCGTCGGGACTCGGGAGTCGGCCGTTCAAAATGTCTCCGCCGGTCGATCGGTAGCGCTGAGGGCCAGCCTCAAGGGACTCTCGTTCTGCAGCTGCCCTCGAGGGCTCCGGGAAGGTGACGACAGCGATCACACCAACTGTTTCCTCAAACAATCGCCAAAGATAGCTGCAGAGTCGAAACAATTATTAGCACCAGTGTTCAAGTTGCTACAATCGTCTTTGCTTCGGCTATGAATCGCAGGGTTCTATCTTTATCGCGGAAAAAAGGCTTGGCGTTGCTCCCCTCGAGCTCGACCTAGCTCGACTCTGCTCGACTGCGCAGAGAAGCAGGGCGTACAAATCGGTGGTGCCCGTGTGGCCTTTCGTGGTTCTGACCAAACAATTCGTCACTTTGGCGCGACGACGAATGCAGGCTCCGACCGATGACCATCCAGCACCACCGGCGACTACGTTCGTCGCTGAGCCCGCTTCAACGGCCGACTTTAGCCTGGATGAGAATGGAGCCGAACTGGGGATACCTCGAGGGGCGACGTCGATGCCAGTACCTGCGGTAACGACGGCACGATCGGGATCGAGGAGGGCCAGCTCCGGGTTGGCTGCGAGGTCGGCGTCGACCGGCGCGAATGGCGATGCGAACGAGCTACGACAGCGGCCGCTGAGGAGTATGACCGCTCCCAACTTGGGTCAGAGAGATTTACATCATCGACCTCAACCGAAAACACAGCCGACCAAGCCACTGTTCACCAAGGAGTTGCTCGTCCCCAAGGTTAGCCAGCTACTACTAGCCAGTAGCCAGCCCGCTCTCGCATCTCGACTCAAATTGAAGCGCGCCTGCGCGTCATCGGGCAAGAGATGTCCCGTATAAAGCTCCGACCTCAGCTGATCAGCATCCTCGTCTGCGCTTAACTTGTGTTCCCAGGTTCCGGTTGGCAAACCTCCGGGATGGAGAACGAGTGGAATGAACATCATCAAGTACTCCTGGCTCAACGTATTGCTCGTGTTCATTCCGGTGAGTCTGGCGCGCCCGTCGACTTTCGACTGAAATGAGCAATGAACTGATCAGCCCGACGACTGGCCGAAGGAAATTCTCCGTAGGTCTCCTGGGCCATGCACTTCTCGCACCAGGGCTCGACCATCACTTTTGTCATGTCGTTCTTGGCCATCATTCCCTTGGCCGCGTTGCTTGGTTTTGCTACAGAAGAGCTTGCATTGAGGGTATGTCGTCGTCGCCCCGGCTCAGGGACTGTCGAATTTGCCCCTGACTCTGGCGAGCGCGATTCCTTTTCGCCACGCAGGTCGGTGACACGATCGGCGGTCTTATGAACTGTAAGCAAACTGCATGCCATGCAGAGAGGAGATTGTCCAGCTCTAACCGCACCTCCGTATCGGCGACGACTCTAACAACTGATTTACTGACTCTTTTTCTAATCAAAAACAGGTACATTTGGTAATGCTGTCGGTGAGTACGACAAGCCATCGACAGTTCTTCCCATGCATCGACTGATGTTATAAGCACGCATTTCTAAACTTTTCAGAGTTGATCATTGCGATCCTCGCCCTGGTCAAGGGCGAGGTTCGGGTCGTTCAAGCCGCCATGATCGGCTCGGTGCTCTCCAACTCGCTTCTCGTGCTGGGCACATGTCAATTCGTCGGAGGATTGAGGTTCCACGAGCAGCCGTACGCTATGAAGCAGGCCCAAGTCAACATCAATGCGCTCGGGTGAGCACCGCGGTCCGAGTGAAAATCCGGAAAGATTGAGTTGCTCACTGCCTCTGTCACTCGATATACAGACTGGCGATCAACGCAATCGTCATTCCGGTCGCTTTTCACGTCTTTCGCGACCTGGCAGGTGGTACTGGGACGAACCTCACAGTGCGTTCGCGAGGCCATCACGACCTTTTCGAGACGAGCTGCTGAGCCGAAAGCGTTTTCCGCCACCACGCACAGACTGCCGACACTGACGTCTTGCACATCAGCCACGGCATCGCGATCATCTTGCTCTTTGTTTACCTCGGATACATGATGTTCCAGTTCTGGACCCACTCTGTGCGCGAAACTTGAGCCATCCTTCCCACTGAGCGCGAGTTGCTGATCCCTATGCCTACCCTCACGTGACACAGTACCTCTACGCCCCCACCGACCCAAGTTCGGCTCCCATCGACATGGCCTCCCCGACGATTCAAGACGGGCCGCAACCACCTTCCAACACGGCTGTTTTCCGTATGCCGTCGTGGGGCTCATCCTCGGATGGAGAGTCGTCGATCTCGTCCGTGTCGACCGAGGAAGACGAGCACGGCCCCAAATTGAGTCTTTACAGCGCTCTGGCTTTGCTGTTCACCGTCACCATACTGGCTGGGTTCACCGCTGAATGGGTATGTCATCCTAGACGTGTATCGGATTGCAGCAATAGGCTGATGAAACCCTCGTTGCGCGTCCCATTGCAGCTCGTCGGAGCTATCGAAGGCCTCACCGCGACGGGAGCCGTCGGGGTCGAATTCGTCTCGTTGATCCTGCTTCCCCTCGTCGGTAACGCTGCCGAACACGTCACGGCCGTGACGGTCGCGGGAAAAGGCAAGCTCGATCTCGCCATGAGCGTTGCCGTCGGCTCGTCGTTGCAAATCCTTCTCCTCGTGATCCCCATCCTGATCCTACTCGGGTGGGCGATCGGTCAACCCTTGTCGCTCTACTTTGATCCGTTCGAGACGTTGATCTTGTTCCTTGCGGTTGTTTCGGTCAATTGGGCGATTGCGGATTCGAGAACAAAGTGAGTCGTCCCTGTCCCCGGTCCCTGTGCTCAGACACGGGGATCGACTCTGACCTGGGCATTTTTTCGTTTCTCATTTTGCAGTTGGTTCGAAGGGCTTACGTTGATGTGCATCTATGTCATCATCGCCTTGGTCATCTTTTACTACGATGGTATCGACAATTTGAGCCGCTAAGAGGCTGAATCTACATACGCGGCACCATAATTGTTGATGCTCATGTTCATTCTTCACGCGGCCAAATGTTCATAAATATGATCCTCGAAGTCGTAACTGTTTTGCATTACTATTTTACCCACATCATTGTACTTGAAATCAAGTCGATCTTGTACCCGTGATGCGATCGGCTCGGCAGGGGCAGGCAGGGGCGCCACTCTGCGACAGTCTGCGACAGTCTGCGACAACTCTGCGCCACTCACCGCGCCCAAACCCGAACCCGATGCCGTCGTCTCTTCGTCACCGCGAGTCGCGACCTCCATATCGACGATCGATGCCGTCGTCATCTGCGGCTGCGGCGGCTGCAGAACGCAAGACCGAGGTGTTCCAGGTATCCTTAGTGAGTCTGTATACCCTATCTTCCCCTCTGCAAGATGATCGTGTAGTCGTTCCTGACTCACTGACGACGCGTCGCACCACGTCCCTCTCGGATCTCCTCCGGACGACCACCACGGACCGCGCGATGGCGTGTGTATAGAGCGTCGAACGACAGTGGGCACGCGAAGTAGCAAAAGGTGGGCGATCACTGCGACTGTGAGCCCCTGCTCTGCCTTTCGAGCTAATACTCGGGAATCAACCCACAGCTATCCTGGGCACGATCCTATTTCATCGGGTGTTGGGCAACCTCAAGCCGCGCTCGGTCGAGGTATGTGGCGTCACGTTCGTACGTCATATAGCTTACTCGATGAGACGGTAATGCTCGACGTATGTCCTGAATCCTGCGTTGCATCGACTAGCCGTCAGCGAGTGATCCGGAGATCGAAGCACTGGTCAGTGCCCATGTCGACACCTACACAAGGGCACTTTTGGAACGAGCGGGGAATACGCCTCCGAGACCAAGCAGGGTCAGTACACGTCAAATTGGAGACGAAATCGTCCCGCAAGCTCGGAAAGCTGACACCTTGGCTCTCTCGCTAGATGGTCATCTGCTTCTACCGAACCCCGCAATCGCCTCGATCGTTCCGTTCCCCTTCTTCCCAAGCGATCCCTTCGTCACCAGGGCATAGCGGTTCGAAATCGACATCTCCATCGAGGAACATCACAGCACCCGTCACGTCGGCCTTGGGATGGTTTTCGGCATCTGCAAAAGCCGCGTTGGTGGGAGGGACGATGGACGAACCCACGAACGAACAGGTCGATGATCTGCAGCAGTTCGGCACACCTTGGGAAGCTTGGATCGTCGAGATGGATGCGGTCGGGGATGGGAGAAGGGGGGTAGGAGAGGATCGTGAGTCATCTGATACGCAAATCGAAGCTGTCTCACTTGCTGAACATGGTGGCCCTCCGACACCCAGGCCTGAGAAGTCAGCTGAACGATTTCCTCTTGAGGAGTCTGACGTTTGTCATGGACAGGACGGCACATATCCCACCCATCACCTCGTCCGATACATTACCCCATGGCGTCCTGGTAAGTGGAAGAGGTAGTTCCTCACCTCTTCGATGAGATGGTCTGAAGAATACGTCCTTCCTCACAGATCGGCATCGATCCCCCTTCCGTACCGTTTACGATCCCCGCAGCGATCATGTCGAATCCGACGTGGCCTTGTCTGCATAGAGAACTGGTCGCTTCTCCAAGATCACCAGCCGCGAATCTGGGGCGATGAAGGCTTTTCATCGTACGCGCTTTCCACAACCTCCGTTTCTGTCCCTAGCATATTTTGTTGTAATTATGCTTCCTCTCAGCGCACGCAAAGTATTTCTGTTTGAGCTGATCCGTTTCATGTCGAACTACAACTGTCGAGAGCTTCATTTTATTTCATGCCCACAAGCTCGACCTTCCTACTCTGGATACTTTGCTACGGCTCAAAAGTTCTGCACGGTCTTGATCCCGCCACTCTTGACCGGTGTCTCGACTTCGGTATCCGCATCCGAGTACTTCCCCCCCACCTCCACCTTGGACCCGAACCCATCATCCTTGGGGAACGATTTTTGACCCGTAAAAGGCAACAAGCCCGCTGCGAGACGAGGACCCGAAACGAGCGAGGACCAATCGAGTTGGGAACCGCCGTGGGCTCGCGAGGTGATGAGGTGACGGTGGGCGACGTCGATGACGGGGATCGTCGCGTCGACGGAGGCGGCAAGATGCCTCAGATGCTGTGGGGAAGAATGTAAATAATGATTAGCCGTCGATGGTGGCAAGGCATCTGATGCACGTCCTTGTCCTCACATTGGCATCCTTGAGTCCTCCTTCGACGGTGAAACCCGAATCGCCTTCGAACGAATTGGTCGCGATCTTGCTGCCGTACCCGATCCAACTCGGTGCGGGGATAAAGTCCTTGACGAAAGAAAGCAAGAGATCGCTTCCGACACCCGTCTTGTCGGCGAGGGTCATGGCCTCGGACAACAATTCGATCGACCCGAGGATGAGCATGTTGCCGGTCAACTTGAACGCGGCGGCGCGCTCGACGTTGCTGCCGACGTCGACGGTTTTGCGCCCGACGGCGGGGACGAGGATCGGTTCGGCGATCTTTTTGGCCCAGTTCGGTCCCGAGAGGACGATGACGAGTTTGGCTTCCTTAGCCATCGGGGGTGGGCCGAAGACGGGGCATTGGAGGTAGTAGGAGTGCGGGATCGCCGACGCGGCTCGTTCGAGTTCTCCGGCGGTGGTCGGGTACAAGGTCGAGGTTTCGACAAAGATCGTACCCTTGCTCTTGTCCTTCTTCTTGGCGCCTTCCAATAGTTGGGCGTAGACCTCCTGGGCGACACTGTCACTCTTGAGGGATGTGATGACGATGTCGCAGGCCTCGGCCATGGCCATGGGGGACTCGGCGTGGGCGATCGAGTTGGACACCGGGGGCAGCTTGGAGCTGGTGCGATTCCACAGGGACAGAGCGGGGTAGTCGTTGGTCGAGAGCCAGCGTGCCAAGTTGTGGGCCATGTGCGAACCCATGTTGCCCTGCGAGCATAGGCATAAGTCGGGTGGGTGAGCCCACGATCAGACCAATGAGACGGTTTCCCCACTTGGCCCACTCGGGCACTTGGCTGCGACTGACCAATCCGATGAAGCCGACCTTGAATTGATCCCGGGGGGAGATCTCGCATGTCTCCTTGACTTGGGGTGTATCTGACGAGGAGGAGCTGGCCATGCTGGGTGGCAGTGTGGGGTACAGGGGTGCAGGGGTGCAGGGGTGCAGGGGTAGGCAGAGGTCCCGGGGGGAGATGGGGCGTTGCTCAAGCGCTTGATCGATCGATGACGTTGACCGGGCTGGCAACTCGCTGAACGGCGCGGGGTGGACGAGCGGCGTTAAGGGTCGTGCACTGGAAAATCGGGTGGCGCTACCAAGGGCTGATTTTGGTCACCGAGTTGCTGTTGTATACTTGCGAGCTGTATGTGTGGGAGTGAAAGAGAGGCGCACCGGCGAGCGCATTGCCTTTTCGAATTTACCCTTTCAACCGACTTTGAGACCACTTTCCTAAGTACTGTAATCGAGAGTTTCACTGCTGCTGGGCTCCCCCTGGCTCCCCTCCCCCACCCGCACCTCACATCGCCCCGAGCTCCGCTTGCACCCACTTGACTACCTCCAGCTCGCACGGATACACACCCTCCTCGAGAGTGGCAGCAAGATGGCATCTCTCGAAGCGCAATACCAAGCCGGCACAGCCGAATACTCGAAATTACAAGCCGGTCAGTCGACCACCTCCATAGGAACACGCTCTCAATCGCGCAGCTCGTCGCGTACCGATCCTCCCAACCTTCCCCTCGTTCGACTGGCTGATCAAGTGCTTGCGCATCCGTTCCAGACTACTCCAAAGCGGTCGCCCATCGCCAAAGGCTGGACGCTCAACAATCCGAATCCCAAGCCGTACAAAAGGTGTGCGAGCAAACCCACGAGCTCACCTCTCGCTTCGACTGAACCCTTCCCCATCTCAAACCCCAGGAATTCGCGACTCTGACACCGGACAACTCGGTCTACAAGCTCGTCGGCCCCGTCTTGCTCAAACAGGACCCGACAGAGGCCAAGGCCAACGTCGAAAAGAGGTTGCAGTTCATCAATTCCGAGATGTACGTTTCCGGGGCCAGTCTCTTCGGCCTAGATCGATTGCCCGGTCTGATCGTTCGCATCGTTTGGTCATCAACTCAAACAGTGAACGCGTCGAAGGGAATCTGAAGGAGCTCGACGCCAACTTGGACAAGAAGAAGATGGATCTCGTGCACATCCAGACGCAGCTCAAACAGAAGCAAGAAACCCAGCAGCAGTTGCTCGCTGGCGGTGGAGCCGAAGTCAAGAGCAAATCATCAGCAGTGGCTGTATAGACGGGATGAAGGAACGCAGCATTATTGTACCATCAGTGTAATCCTATCGCATTGACTCGTTATATGCCGAATACTCGGTGCAGTTCCGAAAAGGGTCTCGCAGCCCTCGGACGAGCATCCTCGCGAGGTGACCAGATGCTACACAGTAATTCCACTACACACTTGAGCTACATCTTGGCCTTTCTCTTCTCCTCCTTCTCCCTCAACCACCTCATCCTCTTGACCGCCGCCGCCCCCGCGCGACTCGCATTCGTTCTCCCCAACTCCGCACTGACCCATTCCCCCACCTCCGCAATCTCGACGAATTTTCTGGCCCTTTCACTTCCAAGATCCAACAGATCTTCAGGAGCGGAGGACAATAGAGGAGAGGGTAAGAGTGAGGTTGATATTCCCGAGGTCTCGAGGGCGTATATTACGTCTTCAGTCGCGACGTTGCCTGTCGCACCGGGCGAATAGGGGCAACCTCCTAGACCGCCGATCGAGGTGTCGAGGGACGAAATACCGAGCTGGGAGATGGAATACAAGGTGCATCAGCCAGGTTCCTCCTTTCAATGGAAATGTTGTTTGATTCGAGCAAGCAGCACGATGTGCTCCTGAGCCTACGCGAGCTTGGGATCCATTGGCGAAACTTACCTCGACACATTTCAGCACGTTCGCGACGGCCGTTCCATACGTGTCATGACAATGCGCCTATCGAGGAGCAATAACCCATTCAACGAGAAAGCGACGGTCAGAGGTCTGCATCGACAATCTAGACGATGGACTCTGATGCACTGACCGCCAACTTGTCGACATCGACCCCTTTCGTCCGACACAGCTCGATCAACTCCTCCCACCCCTTGGGCGTCCCGACCCCAATCGTATCCCCCAAACTAACTTCATAAGCTCCCATATCCAACAAACTCTTACTCAAATCCGCGACTTTGGTCTTGTCGACTCGACCGTCGAAAGGGCAACCTAGGACGGTCGAAATGTATGCTCGGACTTTGAGCCCTTGGGTTTTGGCTTGTTCGATCAAGGGTGGGAGAGAGTCGAGGGAGGCTTGAACGGTCGTGTTGAGGTTCGCCTTGGAGAAACCTTCGGAGGCGGCGATGAAGAGGGCGATTTCATTGGAAAGGCGGACGGATGAACGGGGTTGGGCTTCGAGAAGGGAGAGGAAGGTCGAGAGGCCTTTGGCGTTCGGGATGAGGACGGGCAGCGAGAGCGAATCGCCGTAGTGTTCGCGCAAAGCATCGAGCGCAGGTGAGGTCATGACTTCGCTCGTAGAAGCCATTTGGGGCACCTTGGGGGATGAAATCACCCCGAATCAGCAGACGTAGAGGAGCTGGTGAGAACTCGAGCTCACCCATTTAGGAGCGACGAAGGAGCCCGCTTCGATCGTCCTTAGTCCCACATTGGCCAGTTTGGTGATGAGCGATGTCTTGAGATCGGCTGTCAGGACAGCTTTTTCGTTCTGCAGCCCATCCCGAGGGCCGACCTCGATGAGCTGGCGGCGGTGGATCGCACGACGACACAAAGGTGGGGCCCAGAACGGTCGCCCACGCAAAGACGATGTAGAAGGGGGTGCAGCAAGTCAGAAGGACTCATCTCAAGTGAAACATGCTGCAAGGAGTACGGTAGCAAGTGCGCACCTTTACGGTCCTCTGGGCATGCGAGCTCGAGCTGGTGGAGAAGGATGCCGTCACTGCTTGCCGACCGCCGGCTCCGACTGACAAACGAACGGAGGTAGTGCAGCTGTTCCATGGCAGATACGATACTAGTGATGTTCGATACATGTTGCGATGAATACTGTGCCCCTCGAGCGGTCGGTGAGTGACTCGTGTGGATCCGCTGTGCAATCTTGAGCGCTTGAGCAGCGCGATGAGGACAAGCCGAAGCCGACGGCAAGCCGGAGCTCGACTCGCCGGCGCGCGCCGTTGCGAAGCACGTGACTTGCCAAGCCAGCCGACTCCACCCAAGACACGCGGGCCACGGTCGCACCACTGCACGAGCGTTGGCAGCACCTCGTACCGACTCATGTGCCAACTCGGTTCAATGTGCAGATTTATCCGGAGATCGTCTCCTGTCTTGGATGGACTCCGAATTGTTCCACGCGAAAGTGCTGTCGCATTATGCCGCCCCGAGCTCGAGTTCGAGTCGGCACCGCAAGCTCACTTTCCCGATTCAGCCCGATTCCGCCCGCAGCGGCCCCCACAAAGACACACAGCTCGTGGCCTCGTCGGCTCGGTCTCGTATAGCCTTGGCGCGACTTGGTCGGGGACTACGCAACTGATCATCGTAGTGGACCCTCCTTTCTCTTCTAGATTCAGTCCATAACCTCCTCGCCTCGAACTACTCCCGCGCTATGCGCTACGTCACCCCTTTGGACGCTTCCTCGCTCGCCTCGTCGTTTCTGCCCGAGCTGCTCACCCAAGCTCGCCGGCGGATCCCGACCTTGCAACGTTCCTCACCGGCCTTCTTCCTCGTCCCTCTCCTCGTATCGAGGAGCCTAGGACATGCCCACCAATGGGTCGCACACATCTACGCCTTCGCGACCTCTGAACTGCCCTCCCCACCTTCCGCCGTCGCAGCTTGCTCTCCTCTGCCCAAGGACGAAACGAACCCTCATCGTCTCGTCGTCCGCTACATGAAAGAAGCGCTGACCAAATCGTCCTGCATTATCGGTGCACCAAGAGCGATCGAGGCCTTGCTCGAATTGGACAAGGTCGTCCCCGTCGAAGCCAAGGATGATTCGTTCGTCAGGGACGAGTTGGACCGCTCAAGGTCGAATCAGGAGAGGGCCGAGATTGGGATGAAGGGGATCAGCACCGTGTACCAAAAGGATATTGTTGGCATCTTCAACATGATGGATCCGTATCTGAAAGACATTCGTGAGTTGTTCCCCGCGCGATTAATTAAGAAGTCGTCCTTCTTTCGAAACTGATCGAGCATTCCGAGTTGCGCAGGTTGGTTCGCCCAGAACATCACCTATGGTACCTACCTGGTCCCTCACGCGGACAAGACACCGGAAACCTCGCCAGATCCTTTCGATCAGGACTCGACGTTGCTGAGCATCTTGACCTTATCGACGATCGTACCGCAACGAACACCGAGGGAAATCTTGTGGCATCTCCGTGAGTCGGCTTTAGATTCTGCTCGGTTGAAGGCGCTCGTTTACTGAGAAACCAAGGTTTTCGCAGGTGGCGCGATCCGACGTGGGATCCCTCGCGAGCAAGTGCGATCATTGCACGAAGAGATCGAGGTCGTCTGTCACGCGTGTGGAGTGGACAATGTCCGAGAAGGGATCTCGACCGTCGATGACGTGGACAAGCAGGCCGAGGAACCCTGAAACGTTGAAATCAAAACTTCTATAGTTGCATGTGCCAAAAGGAGTACCAAGCACAACTAATAGTAAATTACTACTTCCAGAATGGTGTCACGAAACTGACAAAGTGATACAAGCTCAGAGAGAGCGGGAACTGACCACCATAGCATTCTCATCGGGATAAAGAGCTCTTGCCTTGTTCCAAATCGTAAGCTCCCCCACCATTCTTGGCCGCCTTCTTCATTCTCTTCTCCTCCTTAACCTTCTTGGAGTGGTCTTGCAGCTGGTACAACTCCTGGATGTTGAAGACGAGGTAGAGCAAGGTCACGATCCACTCGGGCGTTGAAAGGAGGACGTAGAACAGCACTTTGGTGCGAGTAGACAAGGGGTCGCCGGGGTTGAGGTAGATGTAGAGCTTAAAGATGGCGTTCAAGGCCTGAAGGGAAAGATAAAGGGTAATTTGAGTTATTGAGTTCCGCGTGGCGAGGAGACACAGGGAACAGGGGTCAACGCAAAAACTCACGAGCAGGGCCGCGCAAACGATCAGGTGCAGAGTCGCGCTCATAGGGAGGGATTGTTGTGCTTGTGCGATCAAAGAGACGGCGATGGTGAGAACGACAACGGCAAGACAGATGATGACGTTCGCGTTGCTGCGGGTGAGAGAAAGATTAGGGACACATCGGATGAGCAAACGAGATCGAGCGGGAGATGAGAGAGGGGAATAGGAGGCGTGGTAGGTGACTCACCGCTCGGCTTTGTACGACGAGAGACTCCCCGTTCCTTCCTCCACACCACTGAAGGAAGAACCGGCCTTTCAAAGGTGGAGTAGAATGAAAGCGCATTAGATATCACCATATCATGCGAAAAGCAAAGGCGCAAGGGGAACTCACGACAATGCCGAGAATCAGGGCGATGAGGAGCGCCACCTTGAGCAAGCGCACCGCACGGTCCATCAAGTCTTTGTTGTAGATTGAAGGTTCACGGTAGCGTGTGACGTGCGCTTCGAGCATACTGAGCAGAGGTTCGCACAGGAGGATGAATCCCGTCAAAAGGAGGATCTATGACAAGCGAGGGAATGTGGTCAAAATTAGCATTCGTCCTGACCCTGACTCGACTGGCGCCAAAGGGTACCGCTCGAGCTCGGAATTGACAGCGAGCGAGGGACTTGCAAGTTCAGCGGTGAAAAGACCGATCGCGTAGTCACCATCCGCGATGACGGCTCGGATGCAATAGGTAGCGATACGGGCGACGATGAAGATGGCCGGTCGGATCAAGGTCGTCGTGCGCGATGACGGCTGCAAGAATCGATAGATCGCCAACGGAGCCAGGAACGCGAAAGCGATGGCGAAGATGATGGAGCTTCAGAATGCGGGTACGCAAATACGATTCATCAGGTCTCTGTAGTCTTGTCGGACGTATGATGCAACACTTGGGGTCAGATCCTACTCACCTTGGGAGATCTTGGGATTTCGTTGGAATACCCCCCACAAGAGCGATTCCGATTGGAGCCGAAGGCATGGTGGACGTGCGATGCGAGAAATTTTGGGAGCGAATGAGGATCGGTGAAGGAGATTGAAGATGCTCAAAAAAAAAGAGCAGGGCAGTGATTGCTGCAAGTCTCGGTGGTACTTGGTGATAGAGATGGAGGGATGGAGGATGAAGAAGAAGATAGAGAGAGAGAGAGAGAAAGGAAGAGGGATCTTGCGGGGATAATTTCCAGGATCAAGTAAGCTCCCGAAAGGGCGCCAGGCCCAAGCGATGCAATGCAAATCCCACCAACCCATTCTAGGTGCTCAGATACCTACCTCCCTACAGTCCCCCCCCCCCCCCCCCCCCCCCGCCCCGCGGAAGCCGCCGTGAGTCCTCGCACTTGTGAGGTGCAACTCGCCTCCGTTGTTCGGAGAGTAGTGAGAGCCTACTCGGAGCCGGCACGCGCGAGTTCGAACAAGGGTGCGAGCGTCGACTGAATCTCACATCCTTTCGGCAGCGGCTGCGCCGCCGCACTTGCCGGCACTAACGCCGATCCAAAAATAGGTCCCGGCCGTGCTTCCGGTTCCGACACGTCCAGCAACGGATGTGGATTTTTAAAAACTTCATTTTTCTTATCTAATCGATTTCAATGAAGCAGGTAGCATGATGGAGGTCTTTTGGTGCAAGTGGATGTAGATGTCAGCATAATTGTTGTTAAGGTCTAGAAATCTTCGGGAAGTCGGAGGAGCTGTAGTTGAGCACACTGGCTAGGCAAGTGCACACCGCGAAACCAAAAGTGTCGGAATCTTACCTCGGGCAGAGACATAAAAAGTAGTATAAGCTCAACTAAGCCCTCCCTCTGGGAGGCGTGCAAATATACGCACACTCGAACTCTCAATTCGGCCAAGCCAATATTTTTTTGGCCAAATTGCTCTGCTTTTGACCGCCCTATTGGGCCGGTTCGGTTTGGAATAGGGGGGCGGGCTAGGTTGCCTAAATGTACTACATTACAAATCCATCCTCAGAACCCCTGCTCGCCCCCGTCTCCCCATACTCCTCATACTCTCCTCTGCTTACCCCCCCATGTAGAATACCCTTCCGAAATCCGAACAATCGCAAGTCAAGAGCATCCTCGAGTCGGTGGGATTGAGTCCAACGAAGTGGTTGTCTCGATGAAGGTCGAGTCTCCTCCTGCTCGTCCTCTTCGAAAGACGTGACGTAAATCTATGTATCAGTAAGAAGAAGAAAAAAGGCGCCGAGGGCGAGTCAGCCAGTCTCCAAGCCGCGAGAAAATTGTTCAACTCACATTACCGTCGTCGTCCATCCCCGTGATCATATCGTTCACTCGACTCCACTCAATTGATTGCGCGGGCGTTCTGGCGCTGAGTCTCCGCCTTGATCGATAGCCGACGAAGAAAGTCGGTGAAGATGAGACTAACTTAGCGGTATGCTGGCTCGGCGTCCATTGTGAGGTTATGTATGAGCTGATCCGTCCCCTGTCACTGCTCGCGGCCAATGTAGCGATACTTCAAGAACTTTTGCCAAGACTCGATGTAGTTGTTGGTGGCAAGCGCGTGACATGTAACCTGTGAATCATCGAACAGACAGGTATGAGCGAAGGGAAGTATCTCGAGGCCAGCGCGCCGGACCCGAGGGATCGTCGCTTACCTTCACCCACGGCCCAACTGCAGATGTATTGTCCAACATCATTCTGCGATGTTGACCTTTCAGACGAGTGCCGGCTCTGTGTGGGGAGGAGCAGCGGTAGAAGGACAGTCAACAAAACAGTCAGCATGGGCATCGAGAGCAACGCGCTGTTTGACTGTCATGAGTACGAACGCGATGGAGACCTACTCGACGGTTGATCGGGTGGACCTGCGATGCAGGCTTTGCTCTTGTAGCTCTTGCTCTTGTGGCGCGGCCAATTGATCGTCGCACGGTGTCTCGCTAGCCAGTCGGGGAACTCGTCGACGGCAACGAATGTTGCTTGTATCGATTCGGCGTCAGGCGGTGCAACGAGAGGGCGCGTAGTCTTGTACGACATTCATGAGTCGAAGAAAGGGTTTGACGTCATGGTGTTGGTGTGGTGAAGATGGTTCAGGCCATGCAAGTGCACGGAAGGAAGGAAAGAGAGAATCTGGTTAAACAGCGCTATTTATTCATGCGCGCGAGCAACATCTACGAGCGCGAGCGCAGGAAACAACAAACATTGCGCTTGGACCGCCCGGGCGTTGGCTGGCGTTGGTCACGTGCTGTGGCGACGAACCCAACAGACGCGCCTCGGGAGTCGGGACAGGGAGGCCGAAACGCCCGACCGAATTAGGCGGCGGAAATCAGTCCAAAACTCGCGCGCGAGGACAATAAAAAGCTGGAGTGTGTGGATACTATGCCGCCACTCGGAGTCCCTCGAGCTCATTGACCTTAGAACGTCACTGGAGCCGGGCAGCCACCCCTCCAATCAGCATCACCATGCCCGATCCGCCAGCTCCACCCCGGTTCAAGGGCATCCCACTGCGAGTACTGATCGACCGGCGAGAAAACTTCCTTCCCCATATGATGTATCGCTTCTTCGAGGTTGCCGTCCGCCAGCCGGAAGTCCGCTATTACAAGGAAGCGGAGGTCATTTGGCAGGCCGTCTCCGACGAAACGTGGCGACAGCTTGAGGCCTACATGGAGAAACTGCGAGAGTACTGCCAACAAATCGGAAGACGACTGCAGCAACAGTCGAGCTGGAACATCTTCTCTCCAGACGTACGAGCAGTCTGGCGAGAATCGTGGCAGTTCTATCATGGAGACCGCAGCGTCTGGTCCGATTACTGGAGGATCATCAACTACTCCGGCTGGTGTGAGTTTCTCTATGGGTTACCGCGATCTGCACATTGCATCTGCTGCGGCACGCTCTAGCTCTGACTCAAACTAAACTCGCATCCATCCACTTTCGAGTCCACTAGACGTAAATCGTCTGCGCAACAAATTCATCTCGGATCACAACTCGAAGCAACCCGGGCTCGCCCCCCCTCTTCGACGATCCGACAATCTGCTTCATCGTCTGGGGGCGCTTCCATCCTTTCGGCGGGAGCGTGTGGTCTACTTCAAAGGCTTTGAAGCAATACCTGGACCCTCGGGATTCCTCGAGGGGGAGCTGGACCATCTCAAGAGTAGGTCCCAGCATTATCTACGATCTCCCATGGGGAAGCATCCGACTCAACCCGCCTACGCCGCGCGCTCTCAACGTGACCGTGTACATGAACAGGACGCGGTGGCATTCGCTTCGACGGTATAGGCATTTCCACCGACTTTGCCGTCGTAGTTGATGCGAGGTCAAATATTTGGCCGAAGGACGACGAAGTCCTGGGAATTGCGGCTCTCCTCCCTACTGGTACCGAGAGCGAGTCGCAAGAGACGGATAGCGGCTCGCACGGCTCGCAAGAGACGGACCGATCCACCGTTTATAAGCCTCGGTTTGTGTGAGGGATGCGATTCTTCACTGCTAGCCCTCTGCTCTCTGCTTGAGATGGATGGCCCAACTCTTGCTCGCGTTATCTTGTTTGTTTACTACCCTTCGCAGCAGCATTTCCTTTCGTCTGCATACTCGTTGCTGTAGTCAAAGCTGCACTACACTGTAAATCAATTCATAAGTCGGATCAGGAGCCGCTCTCGCCCCGATGTCGACCGCACAGACTCACTCCCTCGATCTCGGTGGGGGAGTTCGCCCCCAAGCCCAAACTAAAGACATGTATGATATACTCACCATTCAGACTCGTCGAAAGAGATCGGCACAATCGTCGTTCAGTCGGAGACTGCTCGTCGTATTACTTGGCCGACACGAGACGCTCAACGAGCGACAATAGCGCTCGAGATTTTTTTTCACAGGTTTACGTTTCCGTGATCTGTAAAGTCCTTTTCTCAGGTTCTTCCTGGAGTTCGGGACGGTGGATCAGGTTGATCATCCATAATAGTCGCGGATCGGCAAGTAAGAGGCACAGTTGCACAGGCCGAACAGCCAGCACTACATGTGGCTGGGAATGCATAAAATACAATCTATCGTACTTGAACGCTAGGTTAAAAGCAAGTCGTAACTAGAACTAGCTACTTAGAGGCTACGTATGGGGCTGTTCTGTAAGGCAGCCCCATGGTCCGCTTAGAGAGAAGGGGCGCTCTATGCCAAGCTGAAGTTTTTGTTTTTGTTTTTGTTCTTTTCGGCCTTTGCTGCAAGGATCAACGCACCGCGGGGCGGCGACCAGTCCCTGAACCTCTACAGGAGTACGAGCTAGTATCTCAACTGCGTGTTCCTGGCTGGGAGCAGAATCCAGCTTTATGGCCTGCTCCCATCCCTGAGGCGGGTCGGGCATGACGGCCTGCTCTCATTCCCGAGCCTGGTGTGGCTGTACCGCCAGCGCTGCCTCCACTTCCTCGTCTTCAACGTGCGGACGATGGCGAGGTTGCTCCTATTCCTTTAGCAGCTGTCAGCCCGTTGGCCGAAGGGGTTAAAGACGAAGAGCAGCCTATCGATTATCGACGCGAGGAGGCTGTTGAGGCTATCGACAGTCACGAAGCTGACCACCCTGCGGAGCGTGCTCCACCTCTACCTCCTGACGATGGTCACGAGTACCGGCATTATTGTGTCGGTCGCAATCCCGGTCTGCTCGAGAACATTGACGAGGGCAACATTCTACCGGTTCGCACGCGTGCTCAGCGTCGCGTCGCCGCCCTCAGTATTGTGTGCACGCGCAAGATCGTTCGTCGCGAACCAGAGCTCATCGCGTCGTTTTCCACTCGTCACCCACCGCTTCCCAAGACCTTCAAGATGCGATGACTTCGCCCGAGGCCGAGTCCTGATACGCTGCGTCGATCAAGGAACTCAGCTCCATGGGCTTGCACAAGGTCTTCAAGCTTTCGAGGCTACCCACCGGGGCTCGTGCCCTGGGCTATCGTTGGGTGTTTACTCGGAAGGAAGACGCCGAAGGCAACATCATCAGCTACAAAGCTCGTCTAGTCATCCAAGGCTTTGCTCCACGACTGGGGATCGACTACCACAAGACGTTTGCTCTTCTTATAGGGATCATGCGACCCAATCCAGTCATAAAAGCGTGGAGCTCCTCTAAAATGCGGCGGCTTAGCAAGGTGATCACTTTGGAGGATGATGAGGATGAAGATGAGATGAGGATGAGGATGAGGTTGTGGAAAAAGAAGACGGGGATTTCTGCGCCAAATTAGGCAAGTTCATGTCTCAGATCAAATTGATCTGTTCGGATCAGATCAAGATCAGATCAATCAAGGCAGAATCAGAAAAAGTCAGATCAGATCAGATCTGATCTGGCGGTGATCTGATCTAATACGGACCCTTGGGTGCATATGCTCAGCTGAGACTCGACAGGAACCTCACGCCTCACGTCTTCACTGGCTCAGTCAAGCGGTGTCGGGTTGTCGGAGGTGGGCCTCGGCAGGCCACTGGACACGACTGGGCACCAGCTTGCGGTGATGGTAGCCCCGTCACGGTGGAGGTGACAAGTTGATACGAGAACAGGCACCATCGCAGTGCGCACCGCTCTACAATGCATAGCAGCTCGAGCCCACGACGTTTTCAGAATACGACAAGCATCGCTCGTCATGAGGCTCGTTGCGATGAACACTAATTGGCAGGAGGACGAGTCGGAACGCGTATGAGCGGATGTGGTAGTAAGTATGCACTTGCGTGACTTATACGACAGATATTGAAGCGAGAAGCAAGATCATTGCAAGATGTAACGAGACCATGACGAGCAGATGCATACACTCGGTCGGAGACATAGTACCGGCAACAACTCCGAGTCGGCACTGCGGGCTCGCAAACATGATTAACACACTCCGACTGCACTCCTGCGACTCAGTTGCGCTGCGGCCCAGCACAGTGGGTGCATCTTAGGAGTGGTGGACAATTGCAAATTGGATTCCAATGAACCGGGCGGTCTTGCTATGTAGTATCAAGTCGCCGGTCAGTGTGACGGATTGGTCTGTTCTACTAGCATCAGCAGCTTTGCCACTCGCGCTTTAGTGCAATTTAGCGCACTTTAGTGCCAAAAGCGCACTTTTTGTGAAATTTAGCTCGTTTTCTATAATCTCCGGTGCGCTAAATTGGACTAAGCGCGAGTGGCAAAGTTGCTGATGTACTAGCTACTCAGAACGCATCAACTTGAAGCCGACGGTTGTAGTCACCTTCGTGCATGCTGGGTAGTATTTTCGGTGTAAACATTACAATTGGCGATTTGTAGCTTCTCATGACAAAAAATACATAAATTTGGCGGCCTTGGGAGCTGTGCCTTCTCCCTCGCGTATTCTTGGTTTGCAGTGTCGCTACCCGGTGGCGCGTTCGCTGCTAAACCCTTTGCTCGTGCTCATCCACTGGCTGTCCAGGTCCGTCCCACGTCTTCTCGTCTGCTTGGGTGCAGTTTTGATTTGCTCATTGACCTCAACACGTCACTCCAGCCGGGCACCCACCCTGCCCATCAGCATAACCATGCCCGAACCGCCCACTTCCTTCCCCATACGATGTTTCGCTTCTTCTATGTCGCCGCCTACCAGCCGGAAGTCCACTACTACAAGGAAGCGGAGGTTATTTGGCAAGCCGTCTCCGACAACACGTGGCGACAGCTTGAGGCCTACATCGAGGAACTGCGAGAGTGCTGCCTACAGATCGGAATTCGGCTGGAGCAACGGTCGAGCTGGAACATCTTCTCTCCAGACGTACGAGCAGTCTGGCGAGAATCGTGGCAGTTCTATCATGGAGACCGCAGCGTCTGGTCCGATTACTGGATGATCATCAAATACTCCGGCTTCTGTGAGTTCTCATCTATGAATGACCGTGATCTGCCCATTGCATCTGCTGCGGCACGCTCTAGCTCTGACTCAAATTAAACTCACTTTCGAGCGCACTAGACGTTCACTATCTGCGCAATCAATTCATCTCGTATCACAACTCGAAGCACCCCGAGCTCGCCCCCCCTCTTCGACGATCCGACAATCTGCTTCATCGTCTGGGAGCGCTCCCATTGTTTCGGCGGGATCGTGTGGTCTACTTCCAAGGGATCGTGGAATCAACCCCTGGATCTTCGGGATTCTTCGTAGACGAGGTTGAACACCTCAAGAGTAAGTCGCTCGGGGTGGGGATCCTGCACCGCGCCAGAATGCTTGACTTACCCCGGGGTCTCACCGTTCACTGATGATTGGAAGTACGCGGCATTCGTTTCGACGGTCCGGGGACTCCCGTCGACTTCGACGTCGTAGTTGATGCGAGGCCGAATTTCTTACCAGCAGATGACGAAATCCTGGGGATCCCGGCCCTCCTCCCTACAGGCCCCGAAAACGAGTCGCAAGAGACAGATACTAGTAGCGGCTCGCAGGGCTCGCAGGAGACTTGCAGTGACTAGCGTATCGATGTACCGTCTATGATTGTCGGTTCGTGTCAGGGCTGCGATATTTCACCGCTAGCCCGCTGCTCCCAATCGATTCTGCAATTGCTCCAGTGCCTCATCGCGTTTGTTATGTACCCTCCCCTCAGCAGCACTTCCTTCCGTCGCAATACGAGCATTTTCTGCCCAATCGTTGTTGTCGTAACACTGTAATCGTGTTAGAGGTCGGATCAGGGCAGTGAGGGCTTGGTCTGACCCCAAAGTCGACAACATCGAGCGCCCGGTCCACGGACATTTTCACAGAGTGAGGGTGAGTGCCGAGCAGTCAAGATTCCTCGGAAAAGCGACTTCTTCCTCCGTCCTCCTTCTACTTTGCTTTGGTGGTATTTCTATGCTGTTTTGGACTGTTCGTCCACTCTGAGAGCTTCTGGACGATGTTCTGATGATAGAACGTGTTGGGCGCGATTCTGCCAGGAGCTGTTCGCGGTCCACAGCCTGACTCGGACGCCGGCTGCACAGAGGCCACGCCTGTGAGTCCTGTGAGTGTCGGCGGCCAGGCGCTCATGCCGCCAACCTCCGCCAACTCGCGGTAGTGGGGGAGGCACTGGGAGGCACGCCTCTGCAAGCTTCGTTCAGGTCGACCAACCCGCCCAGCCCGGTGGATGTGAGCCATACTTTCACAGAGCACGCAATCCAGCGAGGAACTCCCATACTGACATAGTATGTATGATCTTGCATCCACCAGCATGGCTGCTGTAGCCTCAACGAGTGCTCAGCTCGGCTCGTGGCTCGAGGAGTCGCCCGTGGGCTCTCGGCTCGCGTCGACTTCACCCTCGCTTGGGGAACTCGACGCACGAGCAACGACAGACACGAACAGTGTCGAACCACTGCCTACCCTTTCGACCTTGCTGCTGTCGACGGCGAAGTCGCTCGTCGAGCGCACCGACGCGATCAAGTCGGAGCCGTCGCGTGGCACCGGCCCGACCGCCTCCACCTCCGCGACAACGCTCAAACCACCGGGGGGAGTGTCACCTGTAGCGTCCTTTGCCAAGCCCACAGCATCATCAACATCACCGCCGTTTGATGCTCTCCATCACAACCCCGTCGCGCTGCTCAGCGATCCGTCGTCGAACGAGTACCTCGCGTCGCTGCTCGCGATGCCACTGTCGACACTGCAGTCACTTCCAGCGACGCTCGCCGCACTGTCCAAGTCACTCGATACCGATCTATCGTCTCTGGCGTTCACTCGCTACTCCGCGTTTCTGCTCACTCACTCGGCGACCCAGTCGATCTCTCAATCGTTCACCACGCTCGCGGATTCGCTCACGGCGCTGCTCGAAAGCACCTCGGAACTCGAAGCCGCCGCGGCGACGTTCGAACAACGCGTCGACGATGTCAGGAGGAAACGAGACCGTACGAGTCGTGTGCAGGAACGTATCGACGAGGTGGAGGAGCTGCTCGAGGCACCTGCCGTCGTCGAGGCCTGCGTCCGCGCAGGCTATTGGGGCGAGGCCATCGACATCGCCGCGAGGCTATCGGAATTGCACGTACGCCTCAAGGCCTCGAAAGAGTCCAAGCGATACAAATCTACTAAAGCTAAGGCTGTGCTGGTCAACGGGACCGCCCTCACTTCAACAGCGACAAGCGATGGCGATGGCGCGCTACGGCTGCTGCAAAGGGTCAGGGACGACGTCGCCATCGCACTGCTATCGCTGCGTGCCCGAGTCATTGACTCGCTTCTCCAAAGAGGACTTAAACTGCCTGGTGCCGTGCGAGGGATCGGCACACTGCGGCGGATCGGGAGCAGAGCCATGAGCGGTTCCGACCCCAAAGCTTATAGCTCGGACGGACCGCAAGAGCTCGACGAGAATGCACTGCGTGTCGTCTTCCTCGCTGCGCGGTGGCGATGCTTACGCAGTGAACTCGAGGCGGTGGAAGGACAGATGGCAGCAAGTGGGATCAAGATCGACGATGCGGGAGGCGAGCCGCCAGAGGCCATGCCGAATCAGACGAGCGCCGAGGAGAACGAAGAACGCATGAAGTGGACCCGGCAATGGATCGACGTATGGCGAGAAGTCGTAGGCGAGACATTGGGCATGTACACCGACGTATTCCTCTCTTCGTCAGTGCTTTCGAACCAGGCCGCCTCGAACGGATCGGAATCGACATCGAACCCGCTTAATTGCACGCTCCCCGCCGCTGCCTCGTTGGCCTTGTTCGCCACGTCCTCTCTGACCTCGCTATCCGGCATCTTGGCTCGCGCTATCCCTTCCCTGACCTCAACCGCGTATCTCGCAGGACTACTGACCCAGCTCTCCTACTGCTCGCACTCGTTCGCCCGATACGGTCTCGATTTCCGGGAGCTACAGCAACTTCGCGAGCGCATCGAGGCACGCGTCGGACACATCGTCGTACTCGAGTGGGAAGCCGCCGGGCGGGCATGGGAGAAGGAGTGGCGAGATGGATGGGAGGGGACGGGCTCGCATGCCATATCGCTTGCTCGACGAGCTTCTCTTCTGGGCGGACGAGCACCCATGTCGGACTGGCTAGCGGTGCCCGAAGGCCTTACCCAGGTGTTCACCACGCCGATGCCGCCTGCCTTACCCGCCGGTGTTGCGCCATCGACGTTCCACCATCAACCGCCACACGCGGTCGCGCTCCTCCCACCTCTGGCTCGCTTCCTTAACGCACACTCGAACGCACTCAACTCACTGCGGTTCCTCCCCCCTCTGGCGCTATACCCGTCGTTGCGGGTCGCGCAAGCGCGCGAACTCGACCGAGCGACCCAAGTGCTTGCGGCCTTCACCGATGCTTGGCTCGCTTCGTCCCATGGTGCGGCTGCGTCCGGTCGCGACTCACTCGATGGCGAAGACGACGATGCGCACCTGTCGAATGACGAACGCAAGATCAAGGCGCTGCGCGCGGACGAGAAGCAGTTGATCGTCACCTCCATTGCCTGGTTCGGACGATGGGTCGTGCCCTGGATCGAAGGTAGTCTCGATGTGGGCATCTATGGTGAAGTTACGGCGCAACGTATCTTGCCCAAGGAGAAACGCGTCGCCGGTGTGGTCGATGCGGTCAAGAGGACTGAGGGATTGATCGCTCGGATCGAAGGGCGGCGACCCATCCACGCCGAGCCGGAAGCGACGGTGCCTTAAGCCTCGACGAGCGAGGCTAGCCAGGTGGCCCCGGTCGATGAGATGGCGACCATGCCCGTCGAAGGAACGCCGGTCAATCCGGCCATCGTCGAACCCGTGCTGGATGAAGTTTCTGATGAGGCCCGTGGCAGCACTCGCCCCGAGGCGGCCATTCTGAATGTGCCTAATGTGGCGCCTCCCACCGAGCAATCGATCGCGGGTTAGAACCAGTTGTCACGAGGGAGCTGTACACGAATTTAGAGCCCTTGCAATGCAGTATATGATGTCGAATGCATATGACCTCAGTCGCACTATAAGCGAATGGATCATTACCGAGCAGTGAAGAAATGATGGGCGTGGAATAACGCCGATCCATTCGGCCCCTCAGGCGAGCGCGCGGAATGTGCAATGACGTTTTACCGAAACTTGCAGCCGACTCTGTCGCGCTCCTCCTCACCGGCCTCACCCTCACTCTCGCACGTTCACGTCCACGTTCCTCGTCCTCGTCTCGATCGTCCAAGCCGCGATGGGTATCTACATCCGCAACCCGACCGCTTTGCTCAAGTACAAATACAGCTCGACCGACAAGTCGTTGACATCGGTCCGTCCAGTCGCCTTGCCAACGCCGCTGGAGCCACGGCGCGCTCCCCACTTGACGACTTGACGTGGGGACCGCGCAATGAGTCGCTGTATGCCGCCCACAAGCTGACTCTCGAGCGCGATCTCTCTGCAGAAATACGTGCTCAATCCGTACTGGTCATGGCTCGTCACGTTGTTCCCCGAGAGCATGGCTCCCAATGCCATCACACTGCTCGTACGCATACACACTTTCGCAGCCTTCCCTCCTGTCCCCTCAACGGCTCGGCTGACCTTGACTGTGGTTGATGTACAAAGGGTCTGGGGCTAGTCTTTGCCAACTTCCTTTCGTTGGTCTACTTCAATCCGACGCTCTCCTGCGGCGCCAAGCCGCTGCACGTCTCGCTCGGCGGTGCATGGGACCCTCTGCTCGCTCCGGCCAAACCCACCGAGCAACACCACTTCCGAGGCTGGGCAAGCTGGCTCGGGCTCGGCGGATCGGTCGTGGACAAGGCCGATGAGCTGGCCGGCAACTGCGCACCGAGATGGCTCTACTGGACTTTTGCCGCGGGCTTGTTCATGTACCAGAGCTTGGATGCGATCGACGGCAAGCAGGCTCGGAGGACCGGCACCAGTGGCCCGCTCGGAGAGGTACGTTTCATCTTGGCGCTGATGTTGTAGGGTACTTCTATCGCTCAAAATGAAGCTGATTTTCTTAGTTTCCTCTGTCTCCAGCTCTTCGATCATGGCTGTGATGGTGAGCAGGAATGTGAATGTGTAGCCTGGTGGAAATCTGCGCGGAAACTAACCCCAGGCTGTAAAATCCACACATGCTGGTGCCTTCATCAGCGATCAACACAACAGTAAGTCACATCTGAAAACCATATCTTAAGGCTCCATAGCTGACCCGTGTGCTCATACCGAGACAGCTCGGCGTTATTCTTACCGCCTCGGCACTCAACCTTGGACTCGACTGGTGGACCGTGGCCGCGCTGATCGCGACCTCGGCCAATTTCTACTTGACAACTTGGGAAGAGTTCCACACGGGCAATCTCTTCTTGTCCGCCTTCTCCGGACCTGTCGAGGGCATTCTCCTCGTTGTGGGCGTGTTCATCGCAACTGGATTCGTTGGTGAGCCGCCCTGCGTCGAACCGAGATATCTTACTTTCCGCTCATCGACAGTCCCTGCATTCCCCTCACAGGCCCCAGCTACTGGGACCAAGGAATCTTGACCGTCACTGGGCTCAAGTCGAGCGCAATCATCAAGGCGATCCCCTTCAAGCTCAAGGATCTGCCCATGAACGACTGCTTTGTGAGTTGGATAAGTGATCAAGTGCCGTGAGTATCCAAGCAATTAACTCGATGCTGCGTATCCATCAGATCGTTTTCTCTCTTGTCGGACTCATTTTCAACATCGCATCGGCCGCTCACAACGTTTACGCATCGTTGCCCAAGAAAGGGCGAACGCCGGCGTCCATGCTCAAGCCCTTGTCGCGCCTCAGTCCCTACATCATCCACACCTCGGTCATGATCTTCTGGTTGACGGGCAGGAAGGCGGATATTCTGCACTCGACGCTCTTGGTCCCCTTCATGTTCCTCTGGGGCATTTCGTTTGCGCACCATGTGCAACTGCTCATCCTGTCGCATTTGACCGCGTCGGCATTTCCGGCGACGTGGAAGCACCCGCTCATTTTCATCGCACTCGTGGGTGCCGTGGATGCCAACGCTTCGTGGTTGACGAACGGACGATATACGACCCTGTTGCAGACGACGCACGAGAGGACAAAGTGGACCGTACTCGGCGGTCTCGTGCTCGCGATCATGGTCTATGCGCACTTTGTATGGGAGGTCATTGGTGACATTTGCGCCTTTTACGACATGAAGTGAGCACGCTATACTTTCGGTGGTGCGGTGAAAGATGTTCGTCACTGATGTCGGTTCGTGTTGCTTTACTTTCCCCAGTTGCCTGACGATCAAGAAGAAGGAAAAGATCAAGGCGGTGGAGAATGGCAAGACGGTGATGAAGGACAAGCCCAGTCCGGCCGAGATTGCCAAGCAGAAGCAAAAGAAGTAGGCGATGCCCGGGAAGGAGTTGGATGGGGTGAGGAGCAGCCGGGCTTAGTTGGTCTTCAGCGAGGGAGGACAGGTGGGAAGCCGAAAGTCGATGTATTTCGAAGCGTGACTTGAGTGTAGGGCGAGTCTCGAGACTCGTTTAGTATGAATTCTTGTCACTGTAATACGCACTATACGATTCAACTCTTTTTTGACGGATCTCCGCTGGCCTCGCTCAGAAACGGGACCACAACGAATGCAGTGGCTGGGAATTGCTGCCTTGAGGGGTCCGAGCGCAATTTGACGTGCGCGAGCGATGACCATCACAGACCATCACCGGCTGGGCAGCGCCCTGCAACCCCGGCCCCGGCAAGCTGGCTCGGCTCTAGCTCAGCTCACCTCGATTCGACCTGGAACGAAGGACCGACCGAACATGGGCAAGAAGAGCAAAAAGAACAAGAAGTGAGTCTAGGCGACGACTTCGCTCCGCCCTCCAAGCTGCGTGATGGCTGACCGAGGTGTTTGTATCCGTTGCAGGTCGACGGCGCAGTCGTGGTGTCAGTCGCACGCTTGACCGCACTCACCTCCCACACCGTGTTGCGTGCCACACTGACCCAGCCCTTGTCACATGCAACAGGCTGGTACTGTGATCGTACGTTTGAAGATGACAAGGTCCTGCTGTTACATCAAAAGTCCAAGCATTTCAGGTGCGTTCATCCCATCCCATCCCACCTTTGCGCTCCTCCCAAGTCTAAATACTGACGTTGAAGAGGGGTATGGCGATACGCAGATGCCCGCACTGTCCTCGTCGATTGAACACGGCCGGTGGGTTGACGGTTCATATCGACCAGGTGCACAAGCTTGGTCAGCCCGACAAGTACGTGCCTCGATCTTCCCCCTTCCCCTCCCCCCTCCCCCCTCCCCCCTCCACGATCCCTTTGCCATGTGGCGCTGCGGGCCAGAACGGATTCTTTCTTCTACTTGGAGAAATGTGTGCTCTGATGCGGCAGGCCATACAATCGAGCTGACTGGCCTCGGCGCTCACGCTCTGCAGGATCGAGAATGCGCTTCCGGGTCGCGACACCTTCGAGGTCGAAATCTACGGTATGGAAGGTATCCCCGCCGCCGATCTCGCAGAGTGGAAGAAAAAGCAAGAAGAGGAACTGGGTGTCACGGCCGAGCAACAACGGTCCAAGAAGCCCAAATACGACCATCGACCCTTGTCCGCAAGCGAGATCCGAGCCCAACTCGCCCAGCACAAGGCCCTCATGTCCGGTCAACCGTTGCCTCCCATGCCGGGGCAGTACATGGCACCACCTCCTCAAATGCAAATGCAACCGCATGAGCAACCGATGATGCCGCAGGGCTTCTTCAATGGCCCCTCGTACGGAGCGCCGCCGCCTCAGCACCAACCGCCCCACAACTACTCGGGCGGCCCACCCCCGAACTTCTCTGCGCCCCCACCCGGCTTCATCCCGCCCCCGCCAGGGATGCCATTACCACCTCCTGGGTTCCCCGGCTTCCCACCTGGACTCCCCGCACCGCCCCCTGGCTTTGTCGCCCCTCCTTCCGGGTTCCTCCCCCCACCCGGCTTCTCCGCTCCCCCCTTCTTGCCTCCCCCACCTGGCATGCCCTTACCCCCAGGCATGCCGATGCCGCCACCTTTCAACCCTGCCCTCGCGACGGTCCCCATCCCGAAACCCAAAGAAAGATTGCCGTCGTCGGCCGTCGAGCTCAAGCCGGGCACACTGCTCGTCTATGGCGACAACGACGTCTCGATCGAGGAGAAGCGCGCGCGTCTGGCGCAGTACCGCGTCGAGATCCCAAAGAACGCGCCAGAGCAAGAGGTGGGAGGTATCACCACCGCGGTCAATGAAGCGAGTAGGAATACGGGCGAGACGAGGCCGAGGGAAAGGGCTGCGGATCTGATGTAGCTTGTTCAAAACTTCGATTGGAATGGGCAGCTCTTTCTGGCGCGAGACGATGTCCGGAGAGAGCGAAAGAACGAGGGGTATACTGGGATTGCAAGACCTTCCTATTGTGCCAAACGACAGATGATGCGATCAAGTACGAAAACTGCAAGGTGAATGAGTGAATGAGTGACGAAGAAAGATTTAACGAAACCAACTACTATAGCTACTCCTCAGCCCTTCCACGACCTCGCTCCTAGTCTGCGGCCGTAAGGATTCTCCGCGCCTCCTTGCTCGATAGGCACGACGACGAGATCCCCTTCTATATCCGTCGTCACCACCGCGTCTAAAACGGAGTCTTGACCGCCATCTGAAGTCCGGATGGCCCCTAAGTCCGGGTGAAGAGGAGCCGAGGAAGGTCGGTCGGGCCATATGTCGTGCCCTAGTTCGGTGAAGACGATTGCGGTAAGAATCAAAATCGAGATGAGGAAGAAGGTTCCGAGGACGAGCTTCATGATATGATCGATACGATCCTGCTTGTTTACGTTGTGGCAAACGAAGTCAATTTCAGTGAGGATTCCACAAAAGTTGGAGAATGGGGAGGGATGATCGAGAACGAACCTTGGAGGTGGGCTTTGACCAGTCGATACGGAGTTCAAGCAGAGTTCGATCCAACGTGTAGGCCGACTACGAATCGCGACGCCAACTCGTCCCGTTCAGTAATGCGTCCTTACTAAACCCTTAAGGAGCTATCACCCCCCGGAAAAACTCACATTCGGCTTTGCTGACGGCGTAACAACCTGTCCGGGCGCCACGTCTCGAGACGACCGTGGCAGACCCCTACCGTTGTCACGAGAGCGTTGACGCGTACGTGTTCTTCCTGGCGTGATGGCACTACGGGCCTCATCCGGTTCCGTACGGCAACCATTCGTCACTGGATCCCCGCGACTCGTCGTAGTAGCTGCCGTTGTCGCCGGGGTAGGCCGAATTATCGTGTCACCGATGGCTTTCTCCGCGATCGCCCCCGGTGCCGGTGATGCCTCATCCTCGCCACTGCCGCTTGCAAGACGACCGTACCGCGCTTGATGAGGTGGTGAACTCATACTAGCATCGATCAAGGTCGTCGTCCAACCAGGAGTGGATTAGAGCGTCTAGGGTGGTCCGAGGAGGTACGTGGAAGATGAGGACGTTGCCAAGGCAAGCGAAAGGGGCGCCGGGTCCTTTGTCTCGCGGCCAAGTCGCGCGACACCCCACATAAATATCAAAGACAGGAGGCCCGTGCTCGAATGAGGACCCAACTAGTGAGGAACTACACATGCGCGCGCGAAACTCATGGAGCCCATATGGAAAAATGCAGTATGTCTGCAAAGACCAAAGTTACCTTGCACCGTGAACGGCTCCCTTCTGATTTCAATCAGCATCGATTGAAATTGTTATTATTTTTGCCAGCCCCTTCACAACTAACTACACGCAAAGTTACCTTGCGCCTTAAATGGCTCCCTTCTGATTCCGCATCGCTTGAAATTGCTGGCTTTTTTGGCTGTGTAGTCCAGTTGTGAAGGGGCTGGCAAAATAAATAACAATTTCAATCGATGCTGATTGAAATCAGAAGGGAGCCGTTCACGGTGCAAGGTAACTTTGGTCTTTGCAGACATACTGCATTTTTCCATATGGGCTCCATGAGTTTCGCGCGCGCATGTGTAAAGCCGGATATAATTTCGACCCCACGTTGAACCCATCTCACCCGGTTGAGTTGCAACGAATCGCTCTCGAATGGTTGACCGTGAGAGTTCATGTAGTCACTGTCACGCAATAGATTGGCCTCGCGATACGAAATAAGCTGCGATTACAATTCGACGCCCGCCTCTTCCCTCTGCTTGACAATCTCGTACAACCGTCTCCTGTTCACCTCGTTCGTCGCAGATTTAGCACCTTCCTCGAACAAAGCCCTCAATAATGCTTTGCCGACCTTCTCCTTCCTCTCTTCTTCCGAGACCTCGTCTTTACCTGCTTCTTGGGCGTGGGAGAAGATGCCGGGGAACGTCGCTTTCTCGATCGAGGATTCGACCTTTCTTCGTTTCGATGGTGGTGCAGGAGGTGCAGGAAGGGCATCTTCGAGCAGAGGTGTGGTGACGTTGGAAGTGACGCGTTGGAACAAAGTCTTGGAAGGGGCGAGGGCGAGGGTCGTGAGGAAGGGTTGGAGGAGCGGGATCACGGGGACGACGGGGGAGGGGGAGTCGACCGGAGGGCAGATTCGTTCGATTTCGGCGAGGTAGATATCGGCCAAGTGGTAGGCTAGTGATGCGGGGATTCGAGCATCCGTCACACTGGTAGAATGAAGTGCTAGAGCACATCAGCAACTACTCGCATTAGGGCGCGGCCGTTCGGATGGGGGACTGACTGTAGTGGACCACCCGGACCGGTGAGGAGTTGGTTGTACTCTTCGATCGCCCGCGGATCCCATTCCTCTCGTTGGAGAAGTGCAAAAGCGGCGTATACGAATCTTCGGATGAGGAGGTAGAACTTGTCGAGCCTGCATGAGGCAGAGGGGGAGAATTCCCATGGAGTGAGCTGCCAATTCTTCGCGAGCGATCTGTCCCGCCCTCGTCGGCCTTTGGTCTAGAGACCGAGACTTACCTCAGTCGATCCAACCCTGACCATTCCCTGACCACGGCTTCCCAGAACCCTCGAAGGTAGGCCAACGCCGCCCTGAAGCGTTCGACCCTTCCAGCATCCTTGTCTTTTGGCCGAACGTCGAGGGTCAAGTTGGCGAGGTCTTGCGCTAAGGCTTGTTGCACCAATGGTTTATCCGACATCCAAAAGCCTGGAAGGTGAACGTGTAATCGAGATTAGTGGTCTGGATTCACTCCCCCTCGACGTTCACGGTGATGTTGACCACTTCTCCACCCCAGCCAGCCAGCTCGAGATCTCACGTACAGAAGAAGATCCCCTTCCACAACTTGGCCATCTCGATCCCCCGCAATCTCTTATCAATGACCGTCTCGTTATCCCATTGCACATCCCCGACGATCAACGGTGGTTCGTCCTGCCCGTCGGCGTCGCTCGTTCGCTTGTGGCCGGCACTGAGGAATTTGGCCAATGACGCAACGGCTTTGTCTCGAATGTGTTTCTCGCCTAGTAGAATAAGGATGCATCAAGTCAGTTTGGGTTCCGAGAGATGCAGAAGGAAGCGAGGAGCGCCGTAAAGGACGAGAATGAGCAACTGACTGCTCGCGAGGAATTTGCCGAGCGGTGGAGCCGATGCAGAAGGCTTCAATGCCGCTTTCCCTTTGCTCGACTTGGACGCTTTGGTAGGGGACCGTTTGGTCGTCGTAGTGCTCGACATGGCGCGGTCTGGGGAGGGTTTGGAGAGGTTCAAGGGGACGGCGACGAGGCGCGCGAGCGGTGAGGCTGCGATCCTGCGAAGCGTAGAAGCCCGTCTTAGAAGGCGCTCCGTTCGCATGCCGATCATTCAAGTGGTCCGAGCTCAAATCCGCGTATGGTCAGCCCTCTCACTCGAGACATGTTTCGTGCTTGTACATGGACAAATGATAGGTGAATGACAGACGGAATCGGCACTTTTTTGTATTGAGCATCAGGAAGGAGAGAATTGATGCTCCATCTATGTGCACGCGTCCTTACTGCTCCGGTTGCATGCCTGGTTCCCCACCATCCTCCTCACCACCTTGCGGTCCCTGCGGCAACCCACTACCGGATTGACCGCCTTGCGGCCGTTTGGCAGCAACGATGTCGTCGACGCGCAACAGGAGGCAAGCCGACTCGATCGCCGTCTTGAGCGTTTGCACCTTGACCGCCGCCGATTCGAGCAGCCCGTACTCCTTCATGTCGACGACTTTGCCCGTCTCACCATCGACACCGTATTGATGTTCTCCCGCGGCGTGTTTGGCCTGACCACACGGGTTAAAAAGACGACATCAGCCGGATGTTCAAATATTAGAGAAAGCAGAGTCCGTGACAAGGCGTACCCTCAACTCGGTCAAAACGCGAATGGCGTTGCCACCGCAGTTCTGCACCAACGTCCGGGGAATCACCTCCATCGCATCACTAACGGCCCTGAACGGCCACCCCTCGACGCCCTGAATACTCCGCGCCTTCTTGGCCAACCCCACCGAAATCGCCATCTCGGTCGCACCACCTCCCGGTGCGAGACGAGGGTCAAAGACGACATTGCGAGCGACGGCCATCGCGTCCGCCAGATTCCGGTCAATCTCGTGCAGGACGTCCTTTGAAGGTCCTCGCAACAGGATGGTGCATGCCTTGGGGTTCTTGCACTTGGTCATGAACGTGAAGTACCTTTGAGAAAGTATGAGAGGGTGAAGGCATAAGCTGCTTGCGTTCCTATGGCACTTGACTCACACCAAACCCCTACTCACTCGTCACCGAGCTTTTCGACGTTGAACAGACCGCACTCGGTTCCGACATCAATCTCACGCAAGTCGTCGACACGGTTGACAATCGTCGCACCGCACGCGCGAGCGATACGGTTGTTGTCGGATTTACGGACGCGTCGGATCGCAGTGATGGGGGGGTCGGCCTTGAGTAGGTAGTGCTGCGCGAGGTCCGAGACACCCTTTTCGGTGAAGATAAGGTCGGGCTTGAACTCGATGATGCGCTCGCACATGATCTTGATCTGTTCCTCCTCGATCTCGAGGATGCGGTTCCAGTCGGCCTCGTTCGAGATCTCAATGTTGGTCTGCGATTCACCCTTCTTGTACTCGAGCGGGCAGTCGAGCAGGATGACGCGCGGGTTCTCGATGCGTCGTCGCATCTTGGGATGTGTGACATCCTTGTTGACCATGACACCGTCGAGTACGACCGAATCCTCGATCTCGCCTCCGGGTACCTTCTCGACCTTGGCGTAGCGCTTGATGTCGACCGTCTTGGACCCGTTCTCGTCCTTGGCGACGGTGCGAATCGCCTGCAGTGCGAGCTTGCACATCATGTCGGACCACCGTGAGACGAATTTGGTGCCGATCGAGGTCTTGATCAGGGCGAGCATCTCCTTCTCGTTGGTCGAGTCGACGGGGACCGAGATGGAATCGATGATCTGCAACGCGTCCTCGAGGGCACGCTTGAACGCGGCGATGATGACGACGGGGTGGATGTTTCGTTCGAGGTGGGGAAGGGCCTGGGCGAGGATCTCGCCGGCTGGTGACGATGGGGCGGACAGGCGAGAGTCAGTCCCGTGGGGTCTAGCGGAAGGGTCAAAGATCTAAGAACGCACCGAGGATGATGACGCTGGTCGTTCCATCACCGACTTCCTCATCCTGGGTCCTCGACAGCTCGATCATGCTCTTGGCTGCCGGGTGGCTGACTTCAATCTCTCGCAGGATGGCATTACCGTCGTTCGTGAGCCTGCGAGGAGGCGATCGAGCAGGCAAGCGCGTGTGGTCAACGCCTGTGCTGCTGCGTGCGACTCAGGTTTTCGAGCTATATCCAACTCACAAGATACCTCCCATAGCTGATGATTGTTTGAAGGTGATATTGAGATTGTGCGTCAGCCTCGAATCAGCATGGGAGACGTACTTGACCCCGACCCGTGTGCGAAGGCGATCGCGACACCCGGACTCGTGCCTTTCCCACGCGTCACTTACGATCGAGAATCATCTTGAGCATAGCACGCGGGCCTGTAGTGATGCAACGTAATCACGCCAAGAGAGAGAGAGCGAGAGAGCGCGTAAGTGGTCCACTCCTCTTGCACGGTGCTGCCATCGTCTGTCGCGTGTCACGGGTGCGCGGTTGGAAAACGCCCGTCTTGCATGGTACTGACCGAGACATGTTCGGATCACATCCGCAACGGTCTGTAGGTCCATATGCAAAAGATGAGCCACGGTTCATCAGAGGTCTGAGGTGATGATGGTGTCTCACCTTGGCGGCGGTGATGTTGCTCGTCTGCGCCTTGCGACCAGTCTGTCGACCGGCGCCAGCTGTAGGAAGGAGCTTCAGTACATGGGCGGGTCAGATGCTCTCGCTGGTCCATCGACGTACTGTTGATGACGATGGGTTGCATCGTGGTTCTTGAAGCGATGCGCGAGGTCAAGCCACGATCAAGTTGGCGTCAGGAGCGCGAGCCTCGAGATTCCCCTCAGCGCAGCTCATGGTCTAATCGCTTTGATGAAACTTTACTGGCGGACGGGCCGGTTAGGTTGTTGAAGACGCGAGCACAGCGACAAAACGACGCCGAGCAGCAGATCAAAATCACACTCCTTTCCCTGATAAATTTTCGAGGCCAACAAGACCAGAATATTTGGGCTACGGATGGCTCACTCATCGTGTTACCCACAGGACTCACATCTGCGGCGGCAGCGGTTGTAGGGCCATACTCGGCGGCTCGTGCGGCACTACCGGCGGGCGCGACTATCATGCAGGCAGAGGTGACAGCCCTGATCATAGCGGCACTGACCTCACACTTAGAGACCTCACATTTTGGGTCAGCAATTCAGGTTGTCGCAGATCACCTTACCTCCGTCAAATTCGCTGAGAATCTGAAGAAAGATCAAGTTGCACCAAAGAAACCGAGGGCCGCATTTGCACACTACACTTGGCTCGAACACCTGCTGAGAACGAGTGATTCGATACAAATACGGCACGTTTAAGCCCATACGGGTGGCGGAGACGAAGCATCGCGTGCAAACACTCGAGCAGATGAGGCGGCGAAATCGGCACACACTCAACCTGACTTCTTCGTGCTTTTCCCGGACTTTGCACTCCCACAATGGACAATCCAGGCATCCCTTGGCGAGCAAACGGCTTGGATAGAGGGTGATGTGATCAAGAAAATCTACGACCTACAAGAAGCATGGCAAATCAAATCGCTGCCCCAGAAGATCGGTAACGACGTTCAATTGCTACTCCAAGTCGCTCATTCCGCAGGACGGTATCCTTACCTTCGCGCAATTTCGACGTACGCAGCGCAAACACAACTCCAGCTGCGGGCACACATCCTTCCCACCGCCTCGCGATGCTCAGAACGATTCGGTACGTCGTCTTTGTGTACTATTTGTGGATTGGCAGAGGAGACAGAGAAACATGTTTTCAGGGAGTGCGAGGCAGGTCGTGGACTGCGGGAAAGAATTGGACAGGACTTGTTTCAGATGACGCGTAGGGAACTGGAGATGAGACACCACGAATGGACGGGAGCACAAGTATACGAGCTTTCCAATTTCGCTGCAGGGCTAGTAACGGGACATCTATGGTGGTATGCGATGCCGATGATCCCAAAACCTGACATCTACTGGGCCCTCGATGAGCGATCTCGGACGCGGCTGGATCGGACATGGCATCACGAGCTTATAAAGGGAGCCGGACGGTTATGGGCGGCGAGAATGAGGAAGTGGTGGGCACTGCAAAGGAACACGGAGCAAAGGAATTCGCATTAGTGACAGAGGCGGTGGTGGCGGCATTCCCCACCTGCCTTTGAGGGCGGGCGCTGAGCTGGACGAGGGAAAGACTGATGTAAGCCCTGGAATGGGGGGCATCGGTCCTGGTGACAGCAAGGTGACGGCCTACGTGACATGAATATGGTGGTCCAGCGGATCTAGCAATTTGTTAGATTCTGTCTTTAAACAAGACTAGCTGGAATATATGGATTAAAACATTAAAGCTCAGCGCTCACTCCAACCGACGCGTGAGCGCGAAATTCAGTCCGGATCGACCGGGCGGCGCAAAAACTAGATTATCTTTCAGATGCATGTGATAACGTGTTGTAGAAGATCTAATGCACGAGGCGATAATGAAAAGAAATAACGAAACGATAATGGAAAATCCGGCGTGTATAAATCAGAGCGCTCTATCGTGACCCCATTCCTTCTTATGAAAGAGTCCTTGACCACACCTTCCAACCTCCGACCAGCACCGTCCCCAAAACCAGCACCGTCCCTCCGACCATCTCACCCACCAACCGAATCCACCTCCTTCTAGTCTCCCTCCATACTGCGGGGCCCAGACTCATCCCCGCCTCCTCCCCTTCCCCTTCCCCGAGTTTGTGCTCATGCCTCCCTTCTTCCCTCCAAGCGAACGTCGTCCTCTTCTCACCCAAGTGGTACAGCGTGATGAGGTACATCACCTCCCCGAACCACGCTTGTCGCTCTTCTTCCCACTGTTTACGGGGCCAATACCGACCAAAGAGGATGAACGCCGTTGATAAAGAGGTTTCATAGCGGCTCGTGAACCAGTCTGTTCTGGTTCCTCTAGGGAGAGCAAGTTGGTCCGCCAATCGGGTACCGAGTAGCATTCGCGATAGTTCACGGTGATGCCCTACGGGACGTGCAGCTGGTGGACGGCCCGACACGGCGGACAGGATTCGGTGGGCCGGAGTCGAGTAGCCGTCTTCGGGGACCTCGGACGGGAAGGCAGGGAAAGCGAGCCAAGCGAACGAAGTTTCTGCCGTCGCATAGGTGCGACCGTACATGCGCTCGAGGAGAGAATCATCTGCGTAAGACATCCCATGCTGTTAATCGTCAGTGCCGCCTCCATTGCACCTCGATCAAATGGGGACACATGAATGAACCGACGAACTCACCGATTCCGAGGTAGAAGCCCACATGAGTCCACGCCCGAACGTATGCCGCCGATTCGAAAGGAGTCAAGTGAAGACCCACACGCCTCAACGACCAGAGCGGGGCAATCATGAACCCACCCAGGACGATCGCCAGGTCGTATTGATTGATGGGAATGCCGTGCTCTTCTACAGAATACGCATTCAAACGTCCTTGGCCGAGTCGAATGCGTCGTCGGACCTGGGCGTGGAGCAAGCGCACACGTATCGCCGACTTCCACCCTATACCTTGGTCGATCGTCATGTCCGACATGCAGTCCAAAACCATCAAAGAGGTCTCCACTAACCTCCTGTAGCTCGCGTCCCTCGATTTCGACGTCAGGTAGTTCGTCTCTTTCATCGTCGCGGACAAGTGTGGCGCCGAAAAGCCTCCTATTCGAACAAGCAGCACGACAGGGCAAGCGATCGTCAGCTTCGGGCGTCGCCCCTCGGAGTAAAGCCACAACCTACTCACCAGCCAAGGTGAAATGCATCAAAGCGACAAAGATGGGGGCAGAATACCTCCAAAACACCGCTTGCCCCTCCGCCAAACTCGGAATTCTCCCCTTCCCGATTCGATCATGATTCTTCATCGCCTCCACAAGCTGGCGCGGATTGTCCTCCGTTTCCCCCTCTACGAATCCCGAGATCGAATTCGGAGGTCTCCGATGTACCTCTTGCCAAAATTTGCGGATCGGTTCTGGAATCTTCTCGTCTTCAGCCGAAACGGCCTTGCCTTCGCGCTGGAAATATTCTTCGACGGCTTTCAACCCGTCTTGGCCGGGTTTCAGATCGAGCAGATCGACGACGTCGTCGGATAGGGGATCGGATCGATGTCGAAGCGGATCGGTCATGGAGAGGGGGAGACAATCATCATTGTAGCGGCTGATGAAATCCCAGCGTTGAAGGAGTTGCCCCGGTTCGCACGTCGTGAGATCGTCTGCTCATTCATGAGGAAGCCCGTATTGAGGGCGGGTCAGTCTTGCGATGCCGTGCCTTGCGGGGCCCGCGGGCAATGCCAAAGAAGGTGGAACACCGAGTCGAGCAGGTTTTGCCCAATTAGCTGAGCTGATGAATGTACCCCAGACTACAACTGGTCAAGAGACCTCAGCAGCCCTGCGAATGGTCGGAACGTGAAGCGTCTTCCAAGATCCAGGACGAGACGAGGAGAGAGGACATCATGTGACCTTGGCGCGGGAACCGACGACTTACGCGGTGTATGAATCACCTTGACTTGCGAAGCCTTGGTCGTACTCCTCTGAGCATCACCAAAGAAGATGGTCTCGGATGTGATGCTCATAGCCCTGAGCTATGGGAGTCGTGGGCCGAGATCGAGCCGATTCAAAGACGTCGCGAAAGTGAGCCAAGATCGTGGGCCTTCGGAGATCGTACATTGGCCTTAGACCGAGCGACCGAGGCGAGCAGCTCCGAAGGCCGGGCGCCGGCGGCAACTTCAGTGAGGACCCACCTCTCGTGTACCCACACAGTCTGCACCGTCTTAATTCACCGATGTGGCCAATCACCCGTGAGTCAACCCGCACCTATCGGTGAGCGTGGTGATGACTTGATCAAGTCGCCGAACTCGCCATAGAAGGTCGGACATAGCCCCTCATGCGTCCACCGGCCAGCCCCGGAGTGTGCATTTTGCCGAGCGCCGAGCGCCGAGTGCGAAAACGAACCCTATGTTCGACCCTAACGCACCTTCCGTCCATGGCCTCAGTCGTACCGAGTCTCTCCTAAAAGACGATCCTTCTCTGACGTCTTGTCTCGTGATAAATCGCACGCACAGGAGTCCTGAGCACGGTCCTTGATTCTCTCGGACAAGGAACATCGCTTTTTGGCTTCTTTTGCAGACGGCCTTCTCTAAGCTAAGAATCAACGAAAAACGACAGCATCACTCTCTACTCGAACTTGACCCCTTGAGCCAAGGCGACCTCATCACTCCAATTGAGCGTGCAAGACGACCAACGGCAATATTGTTTCCACGCGTCCCCACCGGATTCACGACCCCATCCGGTGCTCTTGTTGCCGCCGAAAGGAGCACCGATCTCGGCACCTGAGGTTGAGCCGTTGACGTTGACAACTGCGGAGATGAGGACAGCAGGGGTCAGGTTAGCACGCTGAGACTTTTGGGTGTTTCTCGGCGAAGGAGGTGGAGGTTGGGTCAACTTACTTCCGGTGTCGGAGCCTGCGGGACCGATCCATTGGAACGCGGAGGACATGTCTTTTGTGAATAACGTCGAGGACAATCCTTGTTCAACCCCATTGTTGAGCTCGATCGCCTCCTTCAAGGTATCGAATGTCGAAATATAGAGGACTGGTAATAGACGGTTCCTGCTCAACTTTGCGGGTCGAGTCTGCCTAGCAAACGTTCGCAAACTCACTCGGCGCGAACGTCTCCCTCTTCATCACCTCGGCCTTCGTGGCATCCTTGAACCTGACGATCGTCGGCTCGACCCAGTTGCCGCCCTTGAATTCACCCTTCATGTCCTTCGTCCTCCCACCAACGATGATCTCCCCTCCTTCCTTCTTGGCATCCTCAATAGCCGCTTTAAACTTTTGTACGCCGTCTTGACCATGTAGAGGACCGACGAGGGAAGAGTCGTCCAGGGGATCACCGATACGATTCGAGGTGGAGATATAGGCCTTCCTGAGTTGCTCGATGAAAGAATCGGCGATGGAGGAATGAAGGAAGAGACGACGTGTGGTCGTGCACCTTTGCCCTGCTGTTCCGAGTGCGGCAAAGAGGATCGATCGGAGGGCTAAGGGGATGTTGGCGTCGGGCAGGACGATGGCGGCCTGGAAAGTCGCTCGACAGAGGACACCATCAGAGCAATTCCTGACTCTCATCGTCTGGTGTGGTGACTCACATTATTTCCACCAAGTTCCAAGATGGACTTGCCGAACCTTCCCGCCACGGCCATCGACACTTCTCTCCCTCTCGCCTCTGATCCGGTGAAACTGATCAAATCGACCCTCTTATCATTGACGAGCTTCTCCCCAACCTGCGCACCACCACAGACCAAACTCGCCAACGCGCCCGAATGACCATGGGCTTCGAAAACCTTGCTCATCAATTTGGTCATGGCAATCGCGGTCAATGGCGTTGAAGGCGAGGGTTTCCATACCATCGCGTTGCCCGTGATCAACGAGAGGGCCAAGTTCCATCCTGCGACAGCGACGGGGAAATTGAAAGCCGTGATGCAACCGACCACGCCAAGGGGGTTCGAAACTTCGGTGATGAAGTGTTTCTCCCTCTCCGAAGGGACGACACTGCCCCCGATCGATCTAGATAACCCGACCGCATAATCCGCGACGTCGATGATCTCTTGTACCTCTCCTTTACCTTCGGAATAAATCTTGCCCATTTCCAGCGAAACCAAAAGACCCAAATCGTCCTTGTGATGACGCAAGGTTTGAGCGATCTCACGAAGCAATAGTCCTCGATTGGGTGCGGAGACGTTCCGCCAAGAGAGGTAGGCTTTTCGAGCCGAGCTGATCACGCGTTCGGTGTCCTCCGGGGAGGCTTGGATCACTTGGGCGATCGTTTCCCCTGTTGAGGGGTTGATGGATTTGATGAGCGGGCCCGCGGCTTGGAAGGAGGTGCCTTCGTAGACGCCTGCGTTGGGACTTGAAGAGGAGAGGCCCAAGCGCGAGAGGGCCGAGGAAGCGGCCGAGGACAACGCACGCGACGCCGAGTAGGACTGACCCCCACCCGTTCGCAGGCTGGAGGAGGGAGAAAGTGCGACGACGAGACGACGACGAGTGAGGTGGAACATCGTGTGGTGTTGGAGGACCGGGAGAGGGAATCAGAAGGGAGGACGGTAGTGATAAGCTCAGCAGACGGGAAAGGGACGGAGGCAGAAAAGCGACGACTCGTCCAGACGGGATGCCTTGAGCGCACCATGTGGGGGTTTGCGCGGCCCTGGCCCAAGAAAGCTTTTCGGGACTCGACCCGTGCCGAAGCTTGCCGCGTTCGACTACGGTGTACGCACTACACCAGGTGGGGAGGTATCGATGGGCTAAAGTATGTCGGGTCAGGGGTTCCAGACTTTAGCCAAGAGGCGAAAACGGGTTGTAGGTTTAGCTCTGGAGATGCATGTGCCGAGCTTGCTTCCTCGTTCCCGAGACCGCTCGAGGCGAACTTTTTTCGCCGGCCCAACACCGAGGCGCGCGACTGCAGGACAACACAGTTCCGGGTACAGAGGTACGGGGCTTACTACTGACAATATGCAATGGGTAATGCTACAGACAAAGAAACTATTCATACACTGGCCATGACGGTGTCGCCCATCGCATCTTGCTCCACCTTGAGTGGGCTCGTTCCGACGGCGCCTCCGGCCTCGTCCGGGTTGGCTGCCAGAGTCCCCGCTGATCCGCTGGGCAATGGTGCGACCAATGGTGAGGCTTGCGACAAGAGCACCGCAGGGGACAAAGGATCAATAGAAGGTGATTGCGACATTGCATTGCCTCCTGCTGTTCCCGTTGGACCAGGTGTGACGTCGATGACGGGCGGCGGGGGTGGGGGTGGGTTAAGTGATGTTTTGTACGCCGCGTAGTCGGACTTGGGATGGCCCTCCCACGTCGGAAGCTTGAGCCAGCCTCCTCGAAGTGATTTTATCGCAATAACAGCTCTGTTCCATCTCCTCGGTGCGGGTGTCCTCGTTTCGAGGGGGAGGGCAGGGAGGAAAGGGGCCGCTCCGGAGGCTTTGACCGCGGGTGCGCCGGGAAGGGATGGGGCGATCGGGAACGAGGTCCGAGGTGTCGAGATTTCGATAGGGGCTGGTAAGGAGGCCGAGTCGGATGCAGGCGAGTCCGCGGCGTTCACGGGTCGTGGTGCTGTGCGCATACGTCCTTTCGTGTGTCAGCTCGGCGGTTTCAGGTGGATCGGGCCCCACTATAGTGCCCGTGAAAGGCACGGCACCAGGGCAAACGCACGCAATGGCTGTCCGGCGACGATCGTTCTGCGAAAGTTCTCGTTAGCTGCTTGGTCCATCTACCCGCAGACGAAAGCACCTACCCCTTGAGCCCCTTCCTCCAGTGCTTGCCCGGTCCAGCTTCTCCCGGAGCTCGTTTCACCGTCGGCTTGCGCTGCTTTTTCTTGGGTGGTGCATCGCCCGGTCCGGTGGACAAGGCGACGGAGCTCGCCCTTGAGCTGGTGGAGGTGGTGATGGGGGTTGCAGGTGCGCTGCGATTGCCATTACCACTGCCACTGCCACTGCCACTGCCACTGGGCGTGGGAGCGAGTGGGATAGGTGCCGACGTGCTCGGCGGCTGAGCAAGTGGAGCGGTCGAAGTCCAGGGTGAGCTGGAGGGGGAAGCGTACGGGGCTGGAGTGGGTATGAGGAACGTCGCAGAGGAAGCTGGAGGAATCGGGTCGGGGTTGGGGTTGGAAATGCTGGTGGAGGTGCTGGCTGCCGCATGTGAACTGGCGCCACCGAGTCGAAAGGTGAGCTTGAGGGGAGCGCTCGAGGAGGAGGACGACGTCGACGCGACCGCGCTGGACCGTTGGGGTGGTGCTGGTGCTGCCACGCCATCTTGGGATTGGTTCGGGTCCATGTCCGCACTCGTTCGTTGTGGTGGGATAGTACGAGCGTGGAATGTTCAGCGAGTCCACCCGCGGTCAAAGCACGCGACGCGCCTTTCCTCGCCTTTCTCAGCGCCTTGTCAGAGCTTGTCAGTGCCTTGTCTCAGCCTGTCTTACGAGGCAGCCGACAGCAGCCGACGAGAGCCGACGACGAGCCGTTACTAGCCGTTACTAGGCCGTACTAACGCTTCCGTACTCTCGCGCGGCAGTTGGCGCGGCTCTCCTGCGGCTCTCCTGCGTGCGCTAGCGTGCGCTCCACCGGCTCTTTCCCAGCAGCAGCGATCGACTTGAGCGCGCTCAACCCAAACGACGTCAGCGCGGTGTCGAGTCGGGTGTGCAAACGTCGTAATGGCCGTCGTCGCCGCAGTCAAAGCAGCTTCATCAGCAGCAGCAGCAGCAGCAGCAGCAGCAGCAGCAGCAGCAGCAGCAGCCAAGACATCCCGCTCTGCGTCTCCCCCACGAGCACCTCGAGCACCTCGGATACCACTCGATGTGCTCGATGCACCCACCCAGCGACTGTGTAGGTGCACTCACAACTTGTCGTCATGGACTCGGCTCAAGTCAGCGCGTGGGCGATGCGATTGAAGCGCTATCCACCCGACCACAAATCACTTGAAACACGACTCACTCGGCCTGCTGCTACATCCTACAGATGTCGTCGCGTCGCTGGTGCTGCTGCAGGCGTTCAAGCTCTCGCAGGTCGTCTTTCCCTCCTCCTCCTCCTCGCCAGCCTCGACCGCTCTGCTCGACTGGGACGGCCTCTTTCTCGGATCCAAGCTGCTCAAGTGGATCAGTTTCGACCTCGCCTTTGTCGCCTTTGTCGTATGGCTCAGCGTACCTCGGTTCGACGCGGGGTGGAAATTGCCGATGCTGCTCCGGCTCGTGCTCGTCGCGAGCGATTACATCCTCTTTGGCCAGTGGAAGGTCAGTCTACGTAGCATCCACACATCGCTGCAACTGCTCACTCACCCAAACGCTTCATGTCCACAGTTCTCGGTGTCCCTCCTGATGCCCTCCACGGTATCGTCGCTGCTGAGCACCACTCTCTCGACGACCGAAAAGTCGGTGCGGATATCCTCCGTCATCGGCACAGACCGATCCCATCTCCGCGGCGAATACACCGTCCATATCCTCGCCGTGTCGTGAGTCGTACCAGCGTTCGATCACGAATCGAACTCTGGTGCTGATCAGCTCATCACGTCCCACATCCCACAGCACGGCCCATCTTGATACCTCGTCGCTGTCCAAATACTGCCTCACCTCCTCCTCCACCGAGACAATACACTTGCCTCTGCGCATCAACAACACCCTGCCCTCCAAGATCGTCTACTCGATCAAGAAACCCGGCTCGGACGAACCTCGTCTGGTCACGCTCACTTCGGCCGACCTCGTGCAAGCATCACCATCCGGGGGGCGAACGACTTCCCGCAAGCAAATCAAGAACGACAGCGGTGCGCGCGATGATGACGATGACGACGATGATGTCGATGCCACATTAGCATCCTGGGGTGCATTGGTTCCCTCATCATCTGCTTCGTCCCAAAAGGAGGGCTCATCAGCTTCCGGCTCGGCTTCATCGACCGATCGGGGAGCGTCCACGACCGAGAACCTCTACTACATCCCCATCAAAGAGGTTGGGGAAATCCGACTCGAATCCGTACACGACGCCGACGGTACACCCATCAAGATCCGTCGTCATCGTCTGGCTTCAGCCTTGGCTAACAACCCTTTGACGTCGCCTTTGTCGAGCCTCGCTTCCGACGATCGCATCAAGATCATCACTTGCCCACGTGCGGGATTGCGGGGACCCAAGGAGAGTCATATCTGTTCGACCGAGGCTGCGTCGTGGGACTTGGGCTTGAGCGTCAAGGGAAAGCAACCGCTGAGTGTGAGGTGGTACTCGAGGGAAGGTGAGGTCGGCACCTTGACGAGCAGAAAGATCGAGGATGGGATCGAAGGGATCGTCTCCCCTTCCGAGGCACAAGATAACGCCATCATCCCCGTCCCGATGAACGTTTCGCTTACGAACGCGGCGACGAGGGGAGGCAAGACGACCTTCTTCTTGGAACGAGTTACCGACGCGACGGGGAACGAAGTTGTATTCTCGAATCATCAAACAGAGGAAGGAGGATCTCATTCGAAGAAGAAAAGCCCTGAAAGTCGAGGGATCCTCAAGGGAATGTCGGACTCGAGATCCGTGACGGTGCATCGACCACCCGAAGTACAATTCGTCGGAGCCTGCGGAAAAGGCGAGGACGTCAACCTGTTGCAAGGCAAGACCGCGGCGTTGAATTTGCGATTGACCGGCGTGGAGGCTCAGAATGGAGCGGCGGAGGGGTGGAAGATTGTGGTGAGGTTCACGTCGGAGCAAGGGCATGTGAGGGAGCAGGAGATGCCGACGACGGTCGCGCCTGTGCAACTTGCTGTAAACGAACCAGGGGTGTATGAGATCGTTAGCGTCAAGAGCAAGTGGTGTCAGGGGAGCGTGTTAGTGCCGAGTTCGGTGAGTCGACGGCGGTAGTTTACTGAGAATGACCCGCAGACCTGACAGTCCCGCGATAATTACCACAGTGCACCGTTGTCTCGCAACCTCTCCCATCGCTCACGACGTCGTTCAAACCCGTTCACGATGTCTGCAATCTCGAGGTCGGGTCGATCGCCACGCTCCACATGACGGGCAAAGCGCCCTTCACGATCCACTACGAACTCGTCTCCGCCGCTGCTCCCCATCGACCCACACGTATGAGGTATCGTATCTTGCATGCGCGCGACGAACTTCGACTCGAGCCTCCCGGTCCAGGCGAATGGGAGTACCGCTTCCTTCGCGTCGCGGATGCGAATTATCCCGATGGGATCGATCTAGCGAACGACGATCCGACTTACCGTACGAAGCAAAGGATCGACCCGATCAGTGATGCGGCCTGGGTCAACCCGAGGGAAAGAAAAATTGTCCATTCGTGCGAAGGGGAATCGTTGGAGGTTCAGGTGGATCTCAAGGGGACTGCGCCTTGGGAGATTGAGTACTCGCTTGTTGGGCAGGGAACGAAGAAGGTGGGAGCGATCAAGACGCAGAGGTATGCTTTCGAGGTTGCGGTGCCGAGTAGTGTTGCGAAGAGGGGTGGACAGTTTGCGATTTCGCTTGGTACGTCGAGTGACTGTCGTCGCCGCCGGAGCTTCTACTGATAGGATTGTGGACCCGTGCACCCGCAGAGAGCGTCAAGGATGCGAACGGATGTCGACGCACGCTCAACACCGACGATCTCATCGTCGATGTGCGAAGGACCAAGCCAACTGCACGCTTCCACGGCGCCGAGGGAGCTCGCTCGATCACGATTCGCGACAACGAGAACGCTCGCATCCCTCTACGACTGACGGGCGAAGGACCCTGGACCGTAACGTACCGACCGCCTTCGATTGCCTCGACTCCGAGTGTACCTATGCAGTTCAAATCGTCTCGACCGAACGTCGACCTTGACATCGAGAACCCTCGACCGGGGACGTACGAGCTCTTGGGCGTGCGCGACTCGTACTGCCCTGGCGATGTCTCGGAGACGGATTGGTCCGTGTCGATGATTGAGCGGCCTTCTTTGCAAATCGTTGAAGGGCTCAAGGGCAACACCCTCGTCAAGAATGGTAGCATCATTCGCCGAGGGGTTTGCGAGAATGTCGCCGATTCCACCTCGATCAGGTTCAAGGGCAAGGCCCCGTACAAGGGTGCCTACACCCTGACCAAGGGAGGACATGCGAGCGAAAAGCTTCCTCGGACGCTGGCGTCGATCCAGTCGACTGCGGATCTGACCCTCTTCACTGGAGCTGCGGGCCACCACACGTACACCTTCACTGGCGTGGGCGATTCAGTCTACTCGAATCCGTCAGAAAGAGGACTGGTCGCACCGACGGGCGGTCGATCGGGCGTCGTTCGCATCGAGCAAGATGTCTGGCCTCTACCCTCGACCAAGTTCACCCATGGTCCCAAGCAGGGCTTTTGCGTCAAGGACAAGATCGAGTCGCGTGGCTCGGATGATCTCATCTTGCACCTTGAAGGTACACCACCTTTCAACATCGAGATCGAGGTCAAGGACGAGGGGCATCGCCATACCAAGGAGTTTGCGATCGACCGAATTAATAGTCACGATTGGCCCGTCTCGGTTCCGTTTCGAATCGACTCGCCTTCACCGCATACTATCACCGTTCGAAGAGTCGTTGATGCCCATGGATGCGAACGCACGCTGGCCGGGTTGGCCGACGCGTCGGTGACTTTGTCCGTCGCAGAGATTGCGTCGATCACTCCTGTGTTTCCCACCATTGATGCCTGCGTGGGCGAGACGCTCGACTACATCGTACAAGGTGCTCCCCCCTTCACGGTCAAGTACGAGTTCGAGGGCAAGTCCCATTCCGCGGCGTTGACGATGAGCAAATTCTCGCGACTCGCTAGCGCACCGGGAACGTTTAAGATCGTCAGTGTGGGGCATGAGAATGATCAGTGTCGATCCAACGATGTGGATTTGTGAGTTCAGACTTCCTGCTGTTCATCTGACAATCCAGCGTGCGTTGCTGACGACGGCGCTTCAATTCGCTCTCAGGTATAAGAAGATCCACCCGATCCCGACGGCCTCCGTCTCGGAAGGGGACTCGATCGTTATTGATATCCGAGAAGGGGATCAAACTGAGATCGTGTTTAGCTTTACGGGGACACCGCCTTTCTCGTTCACGTATTCGCGTCGACGGCCGCAGGATCGATCCAAGGATAAGACCGTGTTGGAGACGCATACTGTTGTGTGAGTTGTTCGACATACTCGGTACGTGCCTTGGGCAACCAAGCTGACACGTCTGAGATGGCTGCAATGTCTTCACAGGGGTATCACGGAACACACGTACTCCATTTTGACGAGGCAAGAAGGGACGTGGTCCGTTTCCTACATCGCCGATCGTTACTGCTCTTGGCCTTTGGCTGCGAAAGCAGGATCGTCGGATGCGATTGTCAAGGCTTGAGTATGGGGAAACGAATAGAGTGTAATTGCATGCATGTAATTGAAATCTGAAACCCCTAATGAAGCTCTCGTGAACCTGATTGGGCTGTCGGCTGATTCGGAACAGGACGCGTGCAATTTCTGTCCGACTACACAGTCACACGCTTCTTAGCTTTTGCAAACCATGAAGTTTTCGAGTCCACTTCATCGAGCTTGAGCAACTGACGCAGTCTCGCCTGCACCCTCTCCAATTTGAGCTTTGTGCGAGTCCCCTTGAGGGCCTCCGCATCCGGGTTCCAAGCGTAGTCAAGGGGGTACCCTTGGGTCAAGAAAACCAATCCCTCAATTCCGGCGAGCGTTTACCGAGGACGGACAGCAGAGTGTTGCACGGGTAAGAGGGTGAGGGCATTTCTCCCAGAGAGCGCTGTGTGCGTCGTAGAAGCTGAAGTGACCCAGGCCGCCTCGACCGACTCGGGAGGGAAGTGTGTAGAGCGTTCTCCAAAACCCGGTCTCGCAGCAAGAAGAAAAAGCTCAGCACGTACCTGAACCAATAGGTAGCCGACTCTAGATCGATGCACAAGGTGGGGCCCGGAACGAGGCAACCTAACGACGAGAGAACGGTCAGCGTAGACACCAGCCAGAACCATGCGCTTACTCCTTCTGCTGTGATGTAGGAACGAATGCCTGTCTTTTGACCCCACACCGTCAGCGCGGCCCAACTCGACCCTTTGTCCGTCTCGATGCAGCCTCACTTCCTCGTCGAAGGAGACGGCGGCGAGAATTGCGCTTTCCCATGCTTTGTTCCCAGGTCGTCTACTCGATTAAAAAGTTCGTCTGGGAACAAGACTCGGATGGTGACCCTCACATCAGCCGCCCTTGTTCCGCGGCCTGTTCACCGGTCGGGGAACGATGTTTCTGAAACAGATCAAAGTTTACACGTTGACCATAGGAGGTCATGCGAGCGGGAAGCTGCACCGTACGCTCGCTTCGATCCGGTCGACGGTGGATTTGACCCTCTTTAACGGAGCTGCGGGTCGCCGCGTATGCTTTTACTGGCGCGGGTGGTTTCGTCCGCTCGTGTGCCTCGTTAACGGGGACCGGATCAAGCTCCGGTAGGTCTTCACCGCCCTCTCGAAAGATGCTGCACCTGAGCGACGGATGCTTCGACGAGAGCAAGAGCACCAGAGAAGGACTGATGTCTGGTGAAAGCAATGTTTGGAGTTTCCACGAGCACGAGCCTATAAGCTCCCGACAAGGCAGCCTTTGAAGTTCGGGCGCGAGTGTGAATGGCGCCGTAGGGATCGTGGAACGGTTCCGAGAGCGCTCCCTCTTAGATTTCCTTTGGACTGATATCAAGCTCTGACCGTCATATTGTAACACCGTCCCTCACCATCCGCTAAGCTATGGCCTAGTCACTTTCGTTTTCCATGTGGGACGTGGGGAGTATTCCTGAACAAGCCCGAGTCTATAGACGGCGGAAAGTCCGGTGATCGCTCGCGTAGCAACTTGACCGGACTTGGACGTTGATGACGACTAAATTGTTCTGTGTTGTAAGTCGCTCTGTGTTGTAAATGCTGCTTACTGGATTAGTACAGCGCTCTATAGCAATGAGCTGAACGGCGATGGGGAGCAAGACGGGTCACTGGCCTCACAAAACCTCGGGACTTCTGATTGGGATAGGGGTTCATTCTTGGTGGAGGGTACATCAAAGTCAAAGATTGGTCAAAGAGTGGGGCAGTTGAAAACAAACGGTCATCGGCTCCATGTCGGCTGCTGGAGTCAAATCATGTCTCGGGTGCAAGGATCGGAAGGTGCAAATTGAGCTCGGACCGCGCTGGAGTGGTGACTGTCTTGTGAGTCAAGCGCGACGGATGCTCTTTCGCTACTTCGTTCCTCATCGCCGTCGGCATCCTCGGTCCCAGTCCATCATGCTCTACATCCTCGATTACGGAGCTGGCAATGTTGCCTCTTTGGGTGAGTCGCACGCTTTTTGTGTACCGTTTCCGAGATGCTCGACGAGCTGACGATGATGCTGGGCTCTCGTGCTTCCGGTGCAGCGAACTCGGTTCGATCGCTCGGATTCGACTTCAAATGGGTAGAGACAGTCGAGGATATTGAAAAAGCAGAGGTGAGTGACCTCCGAAGCTCGTTTCGTCGGCTGTACACTCCCTGTGAAGCGTGTCGACCCACCTCCGCTCGTCGTCGTGCACTCACATTGTCGATCAGCTCGTGTCTCGGCTGTTTCTCATGGATCGGGGTTGCTCCACGATGACCGAAATGTGCTCAAACGCTGACGATGCGAATACTATCCCGCAGCGCATCCTCTTTCCCGGCGTAGGCTCGTTCGACTCGGCGCTGCGATCGCTTCGTGACAAGGGCTTCGCCGAACCGCTCAAGAAGTACATCGCCTCGGGTCGCCCCTACATGGGTATCTGCATCGGCATGCAAGCCCTCTTCCAATCCTCGTCTGAATCCTCGTCCGAACAAGGTCTGGGTGTCATCCCCGCCCACGTCGGCAAGTTCTCTCCCGCAGGAGGCAAGAGTGTTCCTTGCATGGGATGGAACGGCGCAGTCCCTCTTCGAGCGGACAGGGCCAAGGCGTTCGGTCTGTCCGGCGAAAGTGCGTTTTACTTTGTTCACTCGTATCGCGTTGAATTCGGTCCGGACGTTGAGGACTGGGCGTTGACCTTGACGCAGTACGGCGACGAGGTCTACGTCTCGTCGGTGCACAAAGGCAACGTTTTCGCGACCCAGTTCCATCCCGAGAAGAGTGGGCAAGCCGGACTGGATGTTCTCAGGGCTTGGTTGGACCAAGGTGAAGCCGTGGTCGACACGAGTGGACAGCAAAAGCGACCGAGGGCAGATGTGAACGAGGAACTCGTCGCGCGTGGGTTCACAAAGCGTGTTGTCGCCTGCCTCGACGTCCGAGCGAACGATCAAGGTGATCTCGTCGTCACCAAGGGGGATCAATACGATGTACGGGAAGCAGAAGAATCGACAACAACAGCGACGCCCACACCCTCCATCAACGCCGACGAGGGATCCTCTTCCACCGATGTCCTACCGCCAAAACCTTCGCGAGCCGTGCGCAACCTCGGCAAACCCGTCGATCTGGCCCGGCGATACTTTGCCGAGGGCGCGGACGAGATTGCCTTCCTCAATATTACTTCGTTCCGCTCTTGTCCATTGCACGATCAACCGATGCTTGACGTCGTTCGACAATCCGCCAAGACCGTCTTTGTCCCGCTGACGATCGGAGGAGGCATTCGCGATACGGTTGATCCTGATGGATCGCAACGAAGCGCTCTGGAAGTCGCGGGTACTTACTTCCGATGTGGTGCTGACAAGGTCTCGATCGGGTCCGATGCCGTCTTTGCCGTCGAGGACCTGCTGGAACGAGAGGCCAAGGGCGACGAACCCCTAAGTGGCAAGACCGGCATCGAGACCATCTCCAAGGCGTACGGCAACCAAGCCGTCGTGGTCTCGATCGACCCGAAACGAGTCTATGCGACCTCTTTGGACCAGATTCCTGAACCCCACCGAAAAAATGCTGTTGATCTTGCTTCGCCTCAGCTGCCGAGCAAGGCACCGACAACGGCGCCTGTCAAACCCGACCTCGGACCGAAGGGCGAGCAGTTCTGCTGGTACCAATGTACCGTCCGAGGAGGGCGAGAGATGCGGGACCTCGACGTGGTCCAACTCGCGCAAGGGGTCGAACGCTTGGGCGCGGGCGAGTTGTTGCTCAATTCGGTCGATCGCGATGGGTCCAAAGCCGGCTTTGACCTTCGACTAGTCGACTTGGTCCGAAGCGCCGTCGGGATCCCTGTCGTCGCTAGTTCGGGAGCGGGCAAACCTGAGGATTTCGAAGAGGTATTTAGGGAAACGAGAGCTGAAGCGGCTTTGGCGGCGGGGATCTTCCACCGCAAGGAGGTGCCCATCGAGGATGTCAAATCGCACTTGAAGCAGAGTGGCGTCAGGGTTCGAAAGGTGTAGACTACGCTCTCGGGGCATCCTCACGATAGAGCAAAACAAGCTCATGCATGAGATCCTTGTTACGTAATTCAATCCCCATGTGCGATTACAAAAGTCGGAAGACAAAGCGAGGACAAGATACCATGCAAAAGCGACCGAATACTTGCAGCGAAGAACGAAGAGTTTCTTAAATGATATTCTTGCGGTACTTGACGAAAGCGTCCAAGTTCTCCAACGCGCCATCGGCCCTCGTCCTCAGCTCGGGGAACTTTTTCCGATCAATCTTCTTCGTCTGAGCCCTCACCCCCGGTACGCTCACTTCCAAGCGAGGTAAGAAACCCTTGGAGCGGAAAACGGCGACATCGTAGGCGCTATCTTCGTCGGCGTAGAGATCGATGAGCGAATCGATCGATTGGATCAAGACTTCGGGTGTGGGGTTGAAGGATGAAAAGGTCGATTTGTCGAGGGGCAAGATGGAAAGCAGGAACGTGCCGATCGTTTCGTTCTCTTCGTTCGAAATGCCTTCCCTTCGACCCAACCAACCCAACGCACCGGCGATACGAACGCGGATCGATTCGGCCGCAGGAGTTGTGGCGGTTGCGAAAGGGTGGGAGAAGAGGGAAAGGAGGAAAGGGGTCGTCGCTTGACCGACGATGAGGGCCGCGTTCTCCATCTCGTGGCTGATGCGGGCGAGACCCCATGCGATTCCAGTGCCGGCCATCACGATCTCACGCTGACGTTCCTCTATGGTTTCGGCATCCTCAGAAGTCGATGGGAGACCAGAGGGGACCGTTGCTCGGTGGACGAGGTTCAGTATTGATTCCCAAACCTGTTGCAATTCGTCCTTCCGGGAGGACAGGAACGACGCGACGTTCGGTGCGGCAATTGCTCGGGCAAGGGTGATGTACAAGTTGTTGAGCGTTTCGATCGCTCGAACATGGATGGTAGAGATGATATCGGCAATGGGGCCGAGTTCGGACGGGACGACGTTCGAGGAGAGAAGCGAGGCAGCCCCGATCGTGGCTGTGGGATCCGCCGTCGTCGATGTTGGGAGAAGAGACGGTGCGAAAGCTGGTGCTACACCCGAAGACGCCGATTGAGTGAACGACAATGAAGTCGAAGGTTGGGCAAGCTTGACGAGCTTGGCTTGGAGGTCGACAAAGAGTGTCAATGCCGAAGCTCCAAGTTCAAGTGTCGGCTGCACATCCAAGCCCTCATCCTCATCCTCCATCGGAAGGACCTTGCGAATAATGCCGTCCTCAGGTTCGCCCATCTCCGCCTCCTCCTCATCCATCTCGACGTCACCTTCACCATCCTTCGCGATCCCTCCCCATTCTTCATCCTCATCCTCGATAGCGTCCTCGCCCAAAGTCTCGGCGTCCAAGGAGGCACACCATTCGCTGAGCACTTCCAATGAGAGCTGCAATGTCGAGAGTTGCCTCTCGTATGAGGCAAGTTTGGCTGTCGCTGCCGAGCTTGTCGACTTGTCGGCGAGGCTCGCCTCCTACGGGTGTTCCGAAAATCAGTCAGCGAGGTGTTCTGTATGTCATTCTCAGCGTTCCAACGTAGCACCTACCTCCTTGAGCGACTCATGACTCGCCGTCGCCACCGCCGCCAAATCCGTTCCGACCAACTCCAACAACAAAGTTTGGCACTCCTTGAGCTCGTCGCGAATAGTTGTGCGCTCGACCTTGCGTCCACCACCAACACTAGACAACTGAAGCAAGATACCGAACGCCAGGACGCGCAGTTGCAACCATTCCTCGGCATCGGTCGCGGGGTCCGAAGCGGCATGGGTTTCGGTTCGCGCAGTCTTGCCTAAAGGCGCATCGGAGGTCGACAAGAGCAGGAGGAGGGAAGCACGTGATCCATTTGTGGCCCAGATGGAGGTGTGGGCGGTCGGATTCGCGGACAAGAATGCGTTGAGGAATTGTGCTGCGGCAACGAGTCAACGTGAACGTCAGATACTGCCTCTCGATTCAGCCGGATACCTAACTCACCCGCAGCCACGGCGACGAAGAGCGGGACTCGTTCCCGCTTCTGATCCGCACTCTTCTTGTTCTTCTTGCCCCCTTTCTTTCCCTCCACTTCCATCCCATTTGACTCGACAAAGGCCGCGCCGAGCCCCAGGGCCTCGCAATCGATCAAAGCGAGCGCAAATTCGACGAGCAGAGAAGCGTGGGCGTTCAAACCGTTCAAGACCTTGGTGTTGGTCTCGGCAAGGCACCACAACAGCATCGCGACGTTCTCGCACCAGTCCCAGTACAGTCGATGCCTAGTGTCGCGTGAGTCGTTCTCGGCTTGGACTCGTTTTCGGTCCTCTGCTGTGCTCGGGAGGGGTGCAGTCGCGGGTGCAGCACGAGGAACACGACCCAATCGTTCGGGTAAGAGTTGAATAAGGGTCGGGAGGTGGTGCGTGACGAGCGGTACGAGCACCTTTTTGTTGTGCATCTCGGAAACGAGCGAAGAAGTGGTCGCGACGGCGAGGTTGCGCAAGGTACCGAGCGCCTCGACGGCGACCTGGTCGTTCGAGTCGGTCAAACGCTCGATCAAAAGACCGACGAGATTCTTGGACAGCAACAGTCGCTGAGTCCCCGGTGGTAAGGTGAGAAAGACATTTGATAGCGCCGACTGCGGAGAGAGTGAGAACATGGGTTGAGCCCCTGTCTGTGCTGCCCTCGCCGCGGAATCTGAGTCCCGAACTCTGACGTTGAAGGGGTATTTACTGTTGCCCAAATGCGTTGGTTGTCATCTTCCGACTTGAGCTGCTCGATGAGGTTGCTGGCGTCGGCTTCCTTCTTGCCGACCTTCGCAGGCTGAGCTGAAGCCGTCGCCGTCGACGACGAGGTAGAAGCTACAGACCCACTCGGAGCAGCTGCACTAGCACCGTTGATAGTGGTGGGGGCCTCCGATTCGGTATGGCCCAACGGGTTCGCGTTGAGACGAGCGGTGCGGACCCTCTTGCGATGACGTTGCTTGGGCATCTCGTTCGATCACCGTCGAGGGACTTTGCGAAGGCGGAGCAATGAACAGGTGATGCGTCACACACGTGAAAGATTATCCGAGGAGTCGCAGTTGGGTAACGTAATGAAAAGCTCGACAGGGAGCTCACGATGCACAGAAGGATAGATTGACGTGCAGAGAGGTGGGGAAGAAGCACGAGGCGACTGACCGACTGCGGCACCAAGGCTGCGAAGCCCGCTTGGTATCAGCGGTCCGAGCGGCAGCCGCGTCGTCCTCCTCGCCTTGAGTCAGTGCCAAGGGTTCTCATAGGATCAGATCACCGGAGGATCGGATCCGATCCGATCTTCTTTCTTCCCGATCCGCGTTGATCGTTCCTTTCTTGATCCTACCCAGAAGGATCAATTTGATCTGAGACATTGAACTGCCTTATATGGCAACAGAGGACTACATTTCACTACTAGTTGTCGCTATCGGTGTTGAGCGCATCATTGTCACTACTACCACTACTATTGTTGTGCCCATCATAATCATCCTCCTCATCCTTGTCGGTATCATCATCATCATCATCATCCGAAATGATCACCTCACTGATTCGCCATTTTTTATGTGCTCCGATTGCGCGCGTTCAAGAAGTTGCCCTCGCCGGTGTAGGTGGGTTTCGCATGACATCTACAAAATGCGAACATAATTTTATAGTCAGTTTAGACTTGTGGAACAAAGCTCATGTCGGATAGTGGTACACACCCTGTAGAACTCTCTTGTGAACGGCAGGTATCAAGGCAACTCAGCCAAACGCGCGGATAAGGTACAAGGCCCTCCACAGAGTGGAGGGTTTCGAATTTAGCCGAGCGCCGAAGCCCTGCGCAGCCATTCAGTGCCGCGAGTCCCCTGACCTGAGCCGACCGCGAGGCGCTCACGACCGCTGAGCGCTGAAAGCTCTCTCTTCTTCCTTCGCCGCACATCATTCACGGCCCGCTGCCCCCACCTTCCCCCCCAAGTCACGAGTAGATTATGTCGCCAAAGAAGGACAGCAACAACAAAAACAACAACAACAAGGGCAAGACATTGGTCACCCGACACCGTAAGTCAGCTGCTTTCGACTGAGGCTGCGCACAGGGCCGCGCGCCAACCCACCGTGACCGGCTCCTTGATGACCGACTGGTCCTGTGGCATTGCAGCTGCTCTATGCTTCAACATTTTCTTCTGGATCGCAACATCGATCTACGCGACCGTTTACTTCGTCCTGGGATCTGAGAGATTCCTGAAAGGGTCGATGTCGTTTTTTATCGGCTTCACGGCCACGGCTCGTCTTTTCTACCTATCGCCCTCTTATCAAGGGAAAATCCGACCCGGGGAGCTCGACGCACTCAAGTGAGTTCAAACTTACCATATGGTGAAGCACACTCGAACTAATGCGCAGCGACTCGCATGTTTCAGTCGCAAAGTTCTAGCTCGCTTTCCGTGCTCGGTTGTCGCCCTCGTCTTCACCCCAGCTGGCGTGCTGCTGTGGCTCGGCCATCAACACTACGTGATCGACCTGTGGTTCTTCGACCCCGAACGATGATCGAGTAGGGCGATTCTCCTACGGAGTGGTGCTGCCGGACTTCGGCTTCTCCGACTCAGTCTGGAAGCTTCGTCCGTGTCATTGGTGCCCAGCCAGACACCTGGATACAGCACCCACTGGACTTCGAAAGCTACGAAGCCGACCCTTGCAGTCTCCGAAAACCCTACCTTGCCAGCGGACGCTATGGTGAGGCCGAGCGCGACGAAGCCGTGAATGGCGGCAGTTGCAAGGACTACCAGCGTAGACAACACCGCCGACTTGGAGGCGCCGGAGAACAGTAGTTGGTCGGGGTCGAAGAACCACAGGTCGATCACGTAGTGTTGATGGCCGAGCCACAGCAGCACGCCAGCTGGGGTGAAGACGAGGGCGACAACCGAGCACGGAAAGCGAGCTAGAACTTTGCGACTGAAACATGCGAGTCGATGCGCATTAGTTCGAGTGTGCTTCACCATATGGTAAGTTTGAACTCACTCGAGTGCGTCGAGCTCCCCGGGTCGGATTTTTCCTTGATAAGAGGGCGATAGGTAAAAAAGACGAGCCGTGGTCGTGAAGCCGATAAAAAACGACATCGAACCTCTCAGGAATCTCTCGGATCCCAGGGCGAAGTAAACGGTCGCGTAAATCGATCACCTGCGTCTGCACTTGCTCGGTCTCATCCTGTTCTGTTCTGCAATCATAGTCTTGCTTGCCCATTGCCCCCAACTTCTTCCCCAGTCACGAGTAGAGTGTGCGGCCAAAGGAGTATCAACAGTCGAAGAAGGACAAGGCCAGCTCCCCCGAAGGAACATGGTCAAGCGAAGAAGAAGAATTCTGACGAGATGAAAAAAGGACCAAGAGCAGCTCATCCAGCAAGGCATTCACCTTGCGCCAATCATCTTAGAAGACTCGCACAAAGTGCGCATCGTTCCTCACATGTCGCACGACCATGAAGAGCGTTGAAGCTTGGAATTTGATAGACATATATACAGGTAAGAAGGAAGCTGAAAAGACCTAGATGATGACGTGTTGAAACAAGTGTACTGCAAGAAGGAGGAGAGCATGCGAGCTATAGAGTCCAGAAGTAGAACCAAGGGTGTCACAGAGACGTGGTGTAGGTGCGCCACGCTTAGAACAACATCCTTGTGGCAATGTTGCTCCTCGTACCCGAGATGGCCTCGTAAATCTCCTTGATCTCGGCCTCGCCGACGTGCGAGATATCGGCCAGGAGGTAAGCCGTGTCGCCCTTAGAATCCGAGAACTGCTTCTCGACGTTGTGTTCCCCCAGGATCGAGTTCACAATCTTGAGCACACCAGGTTGGTTCAAGTGCACGTGGCACAAGCGAACGGTGCCGTCCGACAGGATGGGTCGAAGCGAGACCTCGGGGAAGTTGACCGCGCCGATCGACGAGCCGTAGTTGATGTAGCGGATCAGGGCAGAGCCGACCTCCGCACCGATCATCGATTGCGCCTCCTCGGTCGAACCACCAATGTGCGGCGTTAGGATGAGGTTCGGGCACGCTCGCAGCTCGGTCGCCCATGTGTTGAGCGCATCGCCAAAGTTGGGGCCGTTCGCTGCCGGCTCCGACGGGAACACATCGATCGCAGCACCCGCGAGCTTGCCGGACTGAAGGGCGCGCACGAGAGCGGGGATGTCGACGACTTTGCCTCGGGCGTTGTTGAGCAAGTATGCGCCGTCCTTCATCAGGTTGAGCTGCGCGTCCGAGATGAGGTTCGTCGTTTCGGGCAGCTCGGGCACGTGCAGCGAGAGGAAGTCGACCGCGCCGAGCAGGTCATCGAGCGTATCGACCTGCTTCGCCGAGCCAAGGGGCATGATGGGCATCACGTCGTAGTAGAGAACCGACATTCCCATCGCCTCAGCCAAGACCGACAATTGACTTCCAATGTGACCGTACCCGACGATCTGTAGGCGTGCACGTTCCTGGTCAACGCCGGCACGCAATCAAATAGTCCTGGCTTGAACACTCACGCCGAGGCATTTGCCGCGGATCTCCCAGCATCCCTTGGAGACCTTGTTCCAGATGCCCTCCCTCATCTCCCTCGAGCGATCGCACAATTGACGCGAGAGCGCGATAACCTCGGAGATGACGAGCTCGGCGACCGAGCGCGAGTTGGAGAAGGGCGAGTTGAAGACGGCGATACCGGCCTTGGCAGCTGCGATGAGATCGACTTGATTTGTGCCGATGCAGAAGCAGCCGATGACAAGCAACTGTAGGGAGGAAGATGAAGATCGCGCAAAAGTTAGACACGCGCGTGTTTGCGAAGGTGGTCGTCGATGAGTCATCCGAGGCCCTTCGCAGGCAAGAGCTTGGCAAAGCGCTGGACCCCCGGGGAAGTGACCACGGTCCTGGACTTGTCAAACTTACAGAAGGGACCTCGGAGATGACCTTGGCGGTGACCTTGGTCTTGGAACGGATACCGACGGCCTGGTAGCCGCCCTCCCTAAGCTTGGTGATGAGCTCCTGTTCGCCGAGCGCGGACTTGATCTCGTCGACGTGGTAACCCTGCGCCTTGAGCAAGTCCACGGCGGCCGTGTTGACGTTCTCAAGCAGGAGGATCTTGACGGGCGACTCGTTGATGGGGAACGGGGCCAAGGCCTTGCCAACGCGAGCCGAGAAGCTGTGGGAAGCCGTCAACGAGCGTCCGCCCGAATGAGCCGAACCGGCCGGCGGCGATCCAAACAGGGCCGAGTTTGGGGGCGAGGTCGCAAAGAGGGGGGACGTGACGGAAGCAGAGTTCAAGGGGGGCGAGCCGGTGTGGATCTGGATCGGTCGTACCGACACGCTCGCCCGTCGAGGAGCATCGCCGGAGCCGTTGATGGAAATGGGCGACACTGGCAAAGGGCGTCCGAGGCGGCTGCTCAGCGACTGGCCATACACGACTACCTCGCGTGTCTGGAATGACTCACTGTTATAGTGTGAAAGAGGGCAGTGGCGTGGGGAAGCGGAGGAAGATATGGGGTGTGAGCGGGAAAGGGAACGAAGGAGGAGTTCCCGAGACTGATGGGAGCTTGGTCAGGCTCGGTTCGGTTCGCAAGGGTTCGCACTCGACAAGACTCGACAGCACTCGACTCGGTCGATCAGTCGATCAGTCACGCCTTTTTTCACGTTCACGCTCGCGGTCATTGTGTCGCGCGCCGGGCGACGGACGGCGTTTGGCGTCGCGCCAAACTGCGCCGATCTCCGAGCAAGGTCCGACGGAGCTCCGCACACTGCCTTGGCGACCATTTTTGACTCGGTCCAAGTGTCCTTTGTCAGGCATGCTGTGTTTACGTCCCACAAATGATTTGAATAAGAGTCGTTGAGATTCGTTGCCTACCGGCGTTTACGATTCCGTCTCCTGGAATTCTCAAGTTGCTGCCTGGCGCCTGGCAGGCAAGAATGCTTCGCTCCCATATCATTAGTTTTTAATCACAGAGCGTGCCCTGCTTTCAACCATAATCCCCTTCAGAAAACAAACACATCTATCTATATGTTATCATCCTGACAAAATCTAAATCTGGGCCTGCGCTTGCGCCGATTCGGCTTCGGCAATCGCTTTCCTCTCCTCGGTCGCTTTGAGCGCCGCCTCGTCCTCCTTCATCCTCACCGTCGCCGACTCGAACGACTTCATTCCCTTGAGACCCCAGCGCGTGAGCATCGAGATGTCCTCGTCCCAACCTGATGTCGGAGTCGTCAACATGCGCTCGCCCTGTCGGAATGATCAAGTGTGGTAAGGATTTTGTCAGCCTAGTTTTGACCGTTTCGTCGTCCCAACTGAGACTTACGGTGAAGATGGCGTTCGCTCCAGCCATGAAGCACATGGCTTGCTCAGACTCGCTGTAACTGATTCGACCGGCGGCGAAACGGATGATGGACCTGCCGACACGTGCAAAAGGGCCAATCAGCGACTGCTTTCGCGAGCCCCGAATACGTCGTGAACTACTCACGTAGGAAGAACGATACGAGCGGTGGCGATGGTTCGAAGGAGCTCGGTGACGGTGACACGATCGTTCTTCTCGAGCGGTGTACCGGGGATGGCAACGAGCGCGTTGACTGGGAACGACTCGGGAGCCTCAGGAAGTCTTTCGACGGTAGGCGCAGAGAAGTCATTCAGTCACCCTCTCCATCGCCTACAGCCCGTCTTCTGAAGATGCACTCACTGGCTCATCTCCCAGATCAATCCAACTCGGTCACCATCGTCTTCACCAAGACCGATGATGCCACCACTGCAGACACTGATGCCTGCCTCTCGGACCGCCGCGAGTGTCTCCAATCGCTCGTCGTACTTGCGGGTCGTGATGACCTGTGAGACACTACCGCATGAGATAATGTGGCATGCTCCCAGGCACACTGGCGGATGCTCACCTTGGGGTAGTACTCTCGCGAGGTGTCGAGGTTGTGGTTGTACGCCGTCAGCCCGGCCTTCTTGAGCTGCTGAGCTTGTTCGGGGCTGAGCATTCCGAGGGTAGTGCACACTTCCATGTCCAAGGCTCTGTCGATAGCAGGTATATACGACCTTCAGTTACACGATACTTTTCGGCGTGCGCTACGAACGCCTGTTCGAGATTCGACTCACCGGACACCCTCGACCATCTTCAAGATCCTCTCGAACCCGCGCTTGCGACCGGACAGATCGCGCCAAGCCGCACCCATGCAGAATCGAGTCGATCCATTGGCCTTTGCCTTTCTCGCCTCACTGTGGATCGTTGCGTGGGTGGAGGTGGTCCGAGCAAGGGTCGAGGAATTAACGGCGAATTGACGGGATGGAAAGCGTTGGGGGTGGGGTGGGGTGGGGTGGGGTACGAGTGGGGGAAGCCAGAGCACAAGCGCATCGTGAGATCAGCGGTCGGATCAAGCACAACAGTAGAATCAAACAGCTTGGAGTAGGCTCACACGAGTACGGGTTCCACCTCGGTCAACTTCTCGGCCTTCAAGCCGACCTTGTCCGAGTATTTGGACGATTGGGCGCAGTAGGAGCAGTCCTCGCCGCAGCCGCCGGTCTTGATGTTGAGCAGCGTGCACAGCTGTACCTGGTCCGAAGGGTGGTTCACTCGGTGCACGGAAGCCTATACATAAACGCAGTGACACTGAAGGATCAGCTTCTGATCGTAAGGCTCGGGCCTCGGCTTCATGAGCCGGGTTGGATGGGGTGGGGCCGGCGCGCGAACGATGGGTCGAGAAGTAAGTAGCTCGCGGCTGCTCGTTCGAGGGCGGAAGCTGAGCGAGCTCGAAGGAGAGACGACTGACCGCACGGAAGATGAGATCCATCAAGGGGGTGTCGTAGACTTGCTGAACGTCCTCCCTGGACCATTGCTTGGTTCCCGGTGCTTCGACGGCGGTCGCATTGCCCCTACGAGCGATCGTTGATCCGGCACTCGCACTCGCCCCGTCGAGTTGGGGGGACCTGATGACCGCCGCACTCGCACCACGCGTCGACGCAGCCCCGAGCAACGACGAACTACCGCTGCTGCTCGTGCTGCGGCATACTTGGCGTGTAGCAGAGGCGAGGAAACGTGCCGCTGTGGTGGGGGCCATAATCGTATCCAACGGTAGGATGGGCGGGGAAACACGGACGAGAAGGAGAAGCACGAACCGACAGTCGACTGAACCAATCGGCCCGCATCCAATCGGGCCCGCTCACTGCCCGCTCCTGCCCGCTCCTGCCCGCTCCATCTCAAGCTCCATCTCTCGCTCAACTCCGGGTCGGTGTGAAATCCGGCCACGTCAATTCCCGCGGGAAAGCCACAGGCTCAAACATCTTGCTCAGTAAACAGTCGATGATCGTATTGTATTATCAGAATGATTTAGTTCCACAACCAAGGCCACAAGAAGATACATACCGGCCGTTAGCGTCCATAGAGAAGTTGCGATGTTGGATAATCTGCCAAGACCCGTCCGCGGCAGACTTTCCCGGGCCCGAGGAGCCCCATCGATCCCGTCGGCCCGGCGGCGGCACACGGCAGCTGCAAATCTTCTCTCGAGTACCGCTTCGAAAGCCTTTTAACCAGGTGACATTTTGCTTTGGTTGTCAGATAGGTACAAAACTCCTATTAACGCACAGTGGAGTAGGATGCCTGTGCGACAAACCCGTTCATCACCCGCGCTCCTCACTGCCTCGTCGACTCGCGTCCCCTGTTCTCATCTCGCAAAGAATCGCCTCGACCCACTCCATGAGCCCTCTCTTCAATTGCACTTCCCATCCTCCCCCCTTCCTGGCGATTAATTTCGCGTCCAAACCTGACTTGGTGAGATCGATCAGATAACGGAATTTGATGGCTCTACAGGGGGAAGGACACTGCGGGTAAATTTTCTTTCAGATCTGACGAACTTCGGCGGACTGAGGCAACGCTCACCCGACCCAGTGCTGTAGATTCTCGGTCCTCCTGTACAGGTCCCCCAGTTTTCCCGTAGATGGACTCTTGCTATCACCAGAAGCGTCTATCGATACTCGTCGCTTCCTCGTCGCGTGGCTGTCCGTTGGGAAAGCATGGATCGACGTAGGAGCCACAAACCCAAACGGTTGATCGGAAGCTCGGACGATCGAGTTGAACGCGAGGAGGAGCAGGTACCCATTTCTATCGAAGTAGACATACGATCAAATTCAATATCCACTCCTCACAAACGCTCAATCTGGAGGGTCCTTACGACAGTGCGTCTAGGAGTGTTCTGTGCCATTCTCCTCGGTCATCAACTCCCGATCCCGAGCTCAGCAGATTGGTCGGTTCGCGCGACTTGTGGACGGGTTCCAAGAGTTCGGCATCTAGATGTGTCTCCAAGACGGCATAGAAACGGTCTGAAGGCGATTGCCTTCGGATGAGTAAGTGTCGCTCTTGGAAAGAGTAGGCTCTCTCACCTAGCACGTTCTCCTCGTCGACTTCACCAATCGCCCACGCCGGTGGCTCATCCTCCATAGCTTCACCCATGGTCGGGAGAGCCGACTCGAGCTTCACAGAGGCACGCCTTGAGGCTGTCGAAGGTTTACTAAGTCTTGAGAGCAGCTCTTCGACATAGTTGACCCATGCCTTGACCAACTCCGTCTCCTTGCTCAGCTGTACTAGCTCGACCTCCTCGTACACCGCGTCGGGGTCAATGATGGACAGATCGGAAAGACTTGACGAGTTGGGTATCGAGAGTGAAGCTGAGTTATCTGAAGAAGTCGTCGCACCACATTTGACACCATTTTGATCGATTGGCTCAGTCGGAGAAGATGAAGGCAGGACTCGATACTTGATCTCGAGGTCGTGTAGAGCCCCCAAAAGGTCGAGAGAAGCGTGACGCAAGAACGACAGAGGGTCGGGCGGCGTAGTTCCGCTCGATCGATTGGTAGTTGCAGTCGGGGATGTAGCTGACGTGAGAACAGAAATGCGTGGTCGAGCCGATATTGGACGGGTGGGCTTGGAAGGCGAGACTGGGGATCGACACTCGGGGGAGTGGGCCGCAGGTGAGATTGAGTCTGAAGGAAGTGAAATGACGTAGCGTTGCACGGCTCGGATCGCCGACGTCGTCGATTGGAGGAGAAGAGGTACGAGATTGGTGCTCTCAGAAGATCCGTGTTTGTCGATCGCGGCATTGGACGTCTCGAATGGAAGACCGATGGCGGATCGAACTGAACGTAGTGTGTTCAGCGAGGACGGAATTGAGATGTGCCAGCTGCGGAAGGGGGGGACATCCTTCTCCCTGGTCAGTGCGGAGGTCATAGCAGCCCTGTGCGGCGCATACACACGTACTGTTGGCAAACGGTCTTGACACGATGTTGTACTTCTGCTCTCAACTCGCGCTCGTCTTTGACGCTTCGTCCCTGCTCCCACGGCACTTTGTGTTCCTGCTCGGGGCGAGCAGGTGACGGCGGGAGATCGTCCTCGGTTAAGCGTGACAGGCCGTGTTGCTGGATCAACTTGAGAGGCCCGGGGCTGACACGTCGCGGGCTCGATAGCAGACGATTTGATTCAGACCCTGGCATATGAATGGGATGAGAGTCCATCGACGCATGCGGGTCTTGCTGGACCGACTCTAGAGGGGTCGCCTTTGCAGCGGTCTTGTCGCGAATGCCAAGCTTGACGTATTGATGTTGCAAGTACTCGATCGAAGGAAGTGTCATCACAGAAGCTCTATTTGCGGCCGAGCGTGCGAAAGGTTTATCCGAATGCGTCGCATAGAATCGATGACCGTTCCTGGGGCCACCATCTCCAACGCCAACACCACGGCCCAGCGTCCCCAACGCAGGGACCCCTGACGAGTTGAGTGGGCGAACGGGCGCCGCGCTCCCTCTGGCGGTCGACGAAGAGGACGGAATCGTCAGGAACTGGTCGAGGTGCTCATCGGTTGTTGGAGAGCTTGTGAAAGTGGGCGTGCTCTCGTCGGGACTGTGCAAGGGCATGCCTGGTCGCTGTGCGTCGTTCGCGGTCGGCAGCGATGTGGGGGTGACGTGGGCAGTAGTGACACTGCCTTTGACGAGGAGCCTGGCTCACCAGCTGGGACTACGGCAAGTCGACCGGCGGTGAAAGATGCTGTTCCGGAAAGACCGATGAGAGGCAAGAGTCGTGGGGCTGACTCGGCGGGTCGAGTGTGAGTGTGGAGTGTGGAGGTGCACGGCGGCCCGAGTCAGGACAAGGTAGCGCGACGTACACAGGGCCCGTGCGCAGACCACGATCGGCCGGGGTGCTTTCTTTTACACGGAGGGGACTCTCTGAGGGGTATCTGGATTGCTTCTTTTCAGAATTTCCATATGTATGAATGATCCCCAATCGAAATAAGTGAAGCTATGACGAGGGTCTCTGGAGCTCGAAAATCACTGCGAGAGTAGAAATTATTCAGCTTTCAGGTCGCATCTGCACGGCTTCACCAGCTGAGAATAGGGGTCGCAAGTATACGGTTTGGACTAGACATAGTATATAGAGGACCAAATAAAAATATGTGCCGCCGCCAGCCGCGAGCGTGGGTTCAACACGTAAGTAGCGGTCGCAATCGGCGAAAGGGGCCGGTGACATCGGTGCAGCGTGGAAGCTCGTCCGCCAATTTAGTAGCATCATCCGTCGTGAGCGCCGATCCAGGGACATAATTTGTTAGCGTCCCGCCCTCCCCGTGCTCGAATCGATCAGATCAGAGCCCATTAATTCGGGCTGGCTCGAAAATTGACGTCCTGATGTTGGCGAACCCAGCCTGGGAATTGATTTCAAATTGTACCCCGTTCACTGCGCCGGCGTGGGTATCGAACACATCAAGGAGGTCGAATCCAATTACAGGGCTAAACTCGCAGCGTAAATTTTGGATCACGTCGTTTGAGATTTCCCAAACGCAGTTCTCGACACCTGACTCTGGTAGCTTGTACCACTTCTCGCATTTTTCCGCCGAGGATGGCAAGCCCGGGCTAATGATCGGCAAAGTATCCATAAGGGAGTTGAAATGCCCGATGAACGTTCACAATCCCTGTGTATGACTTTGAGAGGCAAGAACAGGATCAGTACATGGAGAGTTTCACCGATGGCAAGAAACCCTCAGCGCCATCCTGAGCAGGCTTGCGTCGACGAATAGATAAGTTGACGAAGACTCCTCGGAGGAGCCTTGTCCCCACAGCACGCAAGTCGGGCGCGGCGGCGTCACAGGTTGCCTTAGCTTGAGATTGGACAGGCCGTGTAAAGCTGTAGAGCATGCTATACCTCTTTTAGCCTTGGCCAACTTGGTATAGTGGTATGGAGCCTTTCAAGAGGCTCCAGGGATGAGATGATTCTCAGGAGACAAAGAGGAAGAGAAACAAGGCGAAACTTGATCAGGAGAGTTCGAGTCATGCGACCCCTTTAAAACCGATTAAGAGCTCGAGAATTCCGATAACAATATCCAGCGACCAGGCCATAGGAATCTCAGTCCGAACTCAACATGGGTTCATCCAATAGGTATGTACGCGTTTGACTCCATCTTAAAGCAGATGTTCATCGGTATAGGGCCTGGAGTCAAAGTCTTCCGAGTCGAGTCAATTCGAAGTGGCGCCGCAACTTGTTCGAGTCGGGGTCTCCAGGTTACAGATGATGGGGATCGCATCGCTTACATATTACAAGTAGCCGCAATAGGTGCTTACATATTACAAATAGCCGTAATAGGTTAGCTCTGGACGACTTACTATGGCTTCGAAGTTACTGAACTTTAGAGGGAGTATTGCAAATTCGCTTAGGATCGCACCAAAGTACTACCCAAGTTTCGGCGCCCGGCTTTGAAGAGTGACAATTTCGCATTAGCGCGCTTCTCTGATTGGGCGACGGGGAAGTACAAACCGGTTTTGGAAACGCGAGTCGAAGCAGTAGCCCCAGCCGCTGTCCGACCTCGACCTTGACCCTTTCCTCGACCCTGGGCTGTGTCTGCCGCCGGTGGCTATTTCTCGGTCCCAGAGATGGATGAGACGGTGGCCCAAGCTGTACCACCCGCCCCAGACCTTACAGCACCCCAGGCAGAAGCCTCGACGATGACCCAAACAAGCCTCAGCGATGGGAGCGTCAACTTGCCCTTGTCGGACAAGGCGATGGGCAAGCGCAAGGACCCCGATCAGGATCATGTACACGTCGAATCCAACCCAGCTACCCGATTATCATCGCCTCATTTGATGGCCACGAGGGAGAAGCGCGTGACGAGGAGCAGTTTGGGCGGTTACGGCGCGTCGAATGGGGTCCATGGTGCCGAGGGTTTACGGTCCGGAGCGATGAGCAGGCAAGGTAGCGAGGCTAGTGCAGCAGAAGGTAGGTCAGATATCCTCGTAATCGATCCATCATATCTAAATCGGGGTTGGGAAGCTGATACGACCTATGTTACGCCCTCCAAAACAGGGCTGAACCGACCTCATCTGCCTCTGGCAACTCGGATCTTGCTCACTTCGAGCATGCCGAGCGACGTCGTCCACTTCCCACCGCTCAAGACCGATCTGGGTTGGTCGTTTGGCGAGGAACCGTGTCCAATTCCCACGATCACGCCGCTACCCGATTCCGTTCCAAGTTATCGGTTGCTTGATCGAGCCGGAGATACCAGTCTCGGGAGAAGTCGACATGTGACGGGACCCGAGGTAGGTCGTGATCTCGATGTCCCCAGTCCTGTGCATACCGATCTCCCAACTGACTCATACCTACTGGTTATAGACTGATACCTCGGACGCACACTACCAACGCCTTCACCGCTTCCCCGAGGTGCTGGAAAAACGATCTGCTCGAGTCGAACGGGATCGCCTCATTCACGAGCGCAGCAAGCTCATTCTCGAACTCGAAGAGCTGAAAGGGCGCGGATGGGTCTATATCGGGGCCCAAGGTGGGAAAGGAGAGGAAGAGAGGCGGAGGAAGATCAAAGAAGGCGAACTCAGACTGGCGAGGTACGTCTCCCTCTGCCTTCGGGTTCAGGTCTTATGCGCTAAGTCTAATTCTTCTGAACTGTTGTCGATCCATAGATACGATGCTCTACTGCCCAACCAGCCTCGCAAATCAAACGTGCTCGTCCAACAAGACCCTACATCTTCCACCACACATGCCAAAGGAACTTCAGCTGCTGTAACAGCCGAGACCAGCCACGACAAACCTTCCTCGTCGTCAACCGCGCGCCCCAAACCGTCGGCGCTGGTCTCGGCTTCAGGCGACGGTTCGACGACGATTAAGCTCAAGTTCGGGGGAGGCAACCTCACTTCTTCGATGACCAACACCAAAAGTAATGGTCATGCTCGGTCTCGTAAATCGACGCGTTCGGAACTGACGACCGACGATGAAGCCTCTGTTACCGAAAGCAAACCTCTGCCCAAACCGAACGGGAGCGGCGGCGGGGTGGGTAGTCGCGGCGACGGCACGACGGTATACAAGAAACGCGACCGAGCTGCGGAGCACGCCCGTGCACTGGAAAGGCAGCGATTGGGGCTACCGATCAAGGGGCCGATGTCGGACCTAATTCAAGCACGAGAAGCTCAAGCTCAAGCCCAACAAGCTGGAACGCCACCGCGCACATCGTCGGCCTCGACCTCGACCTCGACCACTACTCCGAGATCGCATCTTGCTGCCGCGCCAGCGACGAAGCGCCCGGAAGCCGTGTTGACGTCTTCGCCTTTGAGACCACCAGGTGCTCGACCTCTTCCGAAGCGTATCAGATTGAAGGACTCCTTCTTCACCTCCACCGCACTTCGAGACGCCTACATGCTGCAGATGCATCAACCTTCCTCAAAGGACCCTTCAGCACCGGGAGGCAATGCGCGACGTTCGAGTTCACGCACGTCCTACGCTTTCGGTCAACGTTTTCCCGAAGCTATCGTAATGCGACAATACGAGTTTGAGTTGCATGGCTCGGGTTTGGAAGAAATGGTATTGGAGAGGGATGGCGAGGCGGGGAAGGACAAGGTCGTGTTCGAAGGGAGGATCGTGCCTCGCACGGCGATCGAAGTGCTTAGTCGCGGACCGATCAAGGATAACATCAAAGAGACGAAGAGTGATGTCGTCACTGCTTCGACGGTGGAAGTCGCTGTTGGGGATACGACGAGTGCAGCTGCTTCGACGACGATTGATTCATGCGACGTGGAGATGCAGGATCGTCCACCGAGTCCCGTTCTGATCTCCGGGTTTGCCGCGCCTGCCCCTGATCGAGATATTGAGATCGTAGAAGAATCTACCTGAGTTTGTAGATACACTACCCAACACCGTTTTGCAACTTTCTGATCGTTGGCGGCCCGCTCTCATATGAACCCGGAAGGAATGCTGTTGAGTCATTCTCGGGGAACACAGAAAGCGCACGTCTACTTTTATATCGAGAAGTGAGAAATTCAAGAGAACCAAAAATGGGAAGCGAATGATGAAGAAGGCAGCCATCCAGGTAGGGTTGTTTTTACGTTCATACACACAGCAAAGCATCTACGCCATCCCTCCAAAGGGCCCCATCGCTCATTGATTCAACCAGGGACTGATTTACGTCAAGGCCGAGTAGCGCGACTCTGTAGGTAGGATCAAGGATACACGTCAGTGAACTGATCTGACATCGTTGGTCAAGTGCAACTCACCCTCGAGCTTGTACCCAACAACGTGTCTGTGAAAGGTAATAGAGTGTATGCGTCAATTGGCTGACCGACGTGGTACCCGACACGCTGGTACTCGGTGTCGCTCATCGCTCACCTTCGACCAATCATTTCCCCAATCTTGAAAATGCCGTAGGCCTCGACGGCGTAGATGGCCCATCTCTTCCACTCGCCGGACTTGTACAGTTGTTGCCAGTAGTTGACGTCGCGGGCCGAGTTGAAGAATTGTTGGTCTGAGAGATGCGTGGAGGAGCAGGCCGGCGCATAAGCAACCAGGTGAACAATCCACATCATATACGTAGAGTGTTTCTGTTGCCACTCACAGACATAGGTGACTTGGCCTAGAGAAGGGGGAGCAAGCTTCTCCTTGACGTAGACCTGCTTGACAATCTCCTTGGCCACGGCGGCCTGGTGCATTGAGAGTCGTACAGCCGTGAGCTCGGCGTTTCTCCGTCAAGTAGCGTTAATTGATTGGGCTCACGTTGTAAAAGATGGGCTCCTTGTAGGCTGTTGACGGGGGGGGGGGGGGGGGTCAGGATCGGGGATAGGAATGGGCGCGATCGCCATCGGGGGAGGGGACAAGCGAGGCGAGGTAACACACGTCGGTCTCGGTCAGCTCAGACCGTCACGGCGCGCATCGCGAGGTAGACACGCCAGTGACTGACCACCAAGGGCGTTACCGACGAGTGCCTGCGCCTTGGCGGATGCCTGCTGCACCTTCTCGATGGCGGGACCGGCGACGGATTTTGCCTTTGCGGCGACGTCCGAGGCCTTTTGCGCGGCCTGCTCCGTTGCAGCCGAAGTCGACGACGACGACGACGACGACGACGACGAGGCGAAACGTTGCTGCAGCATCGAGCGCACCGGCGCGGGACGACGCAAGAGGGTGCGAGACAACATGCTGATGGGCGGGTGACGGGTCGGGAGGGGGAGTGGAGCTGAAGCGGGATAGCAAAGCGGAGCTCGTTTGGTCGTGCGCCGGGCCCAAACGGGGGGCGCGCGGATCGCAATGGCGCATTTCCAATTCCACGCTATTGCTGATTAGTAACGGGGAGCTGCGGGGAGAGCCTGGGAGAGCTACCCCTTTTTCCACTTCGCAGCGCGCCATGCTTCTCCCTTCGCTGTTCACAACCGCACCCACGTCGCCCATGCCTCGATCAACTACGTTCCAACCGGAACGACACGCCTCCCGACCTGTGAGTGCTCTCTTCTCCCGTCGTACCTGCTATGCATCCCCCGATCAACTCGACCGCACCCAAGGACAAGATGTTACCATTTTTACTCTTCTCGACCAGGCGGGTTCGAGACGGGGTTCCTAAACGATCGAGACCTTTTGTGCATGACCTGTGCTCTGCCCGTCTCACCATGAGCGTTGGGTTCACTTTGCCAAACTCGTCTCTTACCCTCCGCTTCCTATGAGAGCTATGTATACACTGAAAATACTGATCCTTACCCGAAATCGACGCGACGAATGATGGGGTCGTTCTTTCGGAGTTGGCCTCCTACTGGGGGGATGCAAGGGAACGATGGACTAATCCAAATTGATCTGTTTGGGTTGTAGGATATCTTTCAGTGATCACGTGCCCGCTGGAGTAGCCCACACCGTTAGGGTTAGTCATCTCCCCCTTTTACCTCCCATTCCGTCCCGTCCTCCACCAGCCCACCGTCCACCTCAATATGATGTCAATTTACGATTAGTCTTTCGGACACTCGGATGGGAATCCTTTCTTGGGTCCCCATCTCGTTGACGAAAAAGCTGTACACCGCTTCGAATTCTCAAGCACTGATTCGTTCCCCCCCTCGTCGATTACCATTGCGTGGTCCTTCTTTGGGCATTAATGTTGGGCGCGATCGCTGACGATTTGCTTCTTTTTACAGTTATTTGGATGACAACAGGTGTGCTTGAAGAACGCGCCCTGGTGACCTGCATCTCTTGCCGACTCGATTCGGTGAGTGGTACAGCTAGGCACGTAGTTTGCAATCGGATTCTGTCGTAGGCCACACTTCCTGTGCGATGGCGTTGGGGTTCAGAGCATTTCCAAGACGCAACACACCGCGCCGAAGGCGGTTCTCATGCTCTAGATACCCTTAGTATTCTTGACTTCCGCGGACGAGCAGCATTCCATCCAAATTGCCTACGCCAGTGAATCCCCCCAAAGGCTCTTGTGCAATCAATCATCGTGTTACAACCGTATGGACACTGAAACGAAAATTAACCCATGACAACAAAACACTTGATGAGAAAATAACCTATACAATCTAAATTCACCTCAGACGATGGCCTCCCCTTCCCTCAGCTCTATAACTTCCCCTGCTGCGTATTGACCTTGGGCAACATTCTGATCGGTTCCAACTTCAACCTCACCTCCTTGAGCAGCTTACTAACCGGTCTCCAGCTTTCGAACGCGTCCCTCAAAGCCTGCAATTCGTTCCCGAACAGATCCCTCACTTTGGGATCCTCGATGATGCCTCGTAAGGCCCAGGTGAGGAGGTAAGGGTTGCGACGATCGCGCGGGTTGAAGGACATGCTCAAGGGGGCGATCGAATCGAGATGCTGGGTCGTAGGTGGTTCGAGGCACGTTGGAGGCTCGTGCAGGGTCGTTGTCTCGAAATGGTAGCGAATCGCCAGACTGGACGTTGAGACAGAAAAAGGCACAGAGAAGAAATTAGCTCCGCCACTTGCACAGAGTCAGGGAAGAGAGAACGTACGCAAACACCTCTTCCTCCTCATAGATCTTGGAATGCCCGACACCCATTAAAGCACCCGCCAAGGCCTCCGAGACGTGATAGACCAAATCATGGTCGTGCAAGCCCGCGTTGCGAAGCCGAGCCGCGAAGACGACCAAGTTGGCGAGGAAGTCAGACGTCCGGAACGCCTGAGAGTCAATGTAGACAGCTCGGAGGATGCCGGGATGAGTAATGCCGGAGAAGAGTGCAGAGTAGAGCGGCACAACCTGGTCGTTGATTGAGCCCGTGGCCGTGATCTTGATGCCATGAGCGAGCGTGATGCGCAGACTGATGAAGGGGGATCGGAGTCAGTGGAGTGTGAGGGGAAGCGTAATGCGAAGAGTGCTCACCTGTCGAGGAACTTGATTGTCTGAGCACTATTCGGGCTTTGAAACTCGAAAAGCTCTCGAGCCGGAGCAGACTCAAGGTAGTTGAAGTACGGCGTCAAGACGAAACTTTGCGACAGATACACGAAGGGTCCCTGCGAAATGCCACACATCGCGAGCCTGGTGGAACATGTCGAGGTCAGCTCGAAGATCCCTGCAAGACCGATTTGCTAAAGTCGGCACTCACATGTGTGTCTTGTGTCCGACGATGATATTCCGCTCGAGCAACTTGGCCAAGAGCTGGGTAGAAACGACCGTACCTTGACTATGCGTGGCGAGGAACACGGCATCGGCCTTTTTGAGCGCCTCGACCCACTCTGCTCGATCAATGATCTGCTGAAGGTGCTTCTCAACTCGAGCCTCAACCTCACCCTGCCCTTCCAGAGCTATCGCTTGGATATTAAATGAGGTCATATCGTGGTCGACCAGATACGAATGGACCGCATCATGCATCATCGTTGCGAGCTTGACGCTCGTGCCCGTCGGTTCACCGAAAACGGACCGCAGTCGCGGGTTGGGGAACCACCCGTGTACGCCGATTGTGACAACTCGCCTCACTCGATCTAATCGCGACGGCTCTTCCATGATTTCGAGCGATTTCGGAAGTTTTGCAGCGGGATCGTCCCGCACGGGCTTGTCGCCCGGCCCATGAGCGGACATCTCCATTGGTGGCGGTTGGTGGAAGAAGTAGGCCGAGACCGCTGAAACGGCTTTGGTCAACTTGCTCTTCTCGACCTTGCGGCTTCGCGGCAATCGTTCGAACGTGTCTCGGAACGTCGGCAGAACGAGGTTATCGAAAGGCGCATCGGGATCGTAAGGTCCCACTCGGGGGGATGCACCACCACGGATGGACCCCGTTAGAGGCTTGACGGGGGCGTTGTCAGGTTGCGCCCCCAGGTGAGGCGACGACGGGGTCGTTCGATCCGTGGTCGACGTTCGCGAGCGAATTGATGCCGCCGAGGAGACCAGACCGCCGACGGGCCGTGCCACGGCAGCAAGAGCTGGGGGCAAGTTCAGTGAAGAAGCAGCTGTAGATGGCGTCTGTCCCGCAACATCTCCATGTCGACGGCCGAACCACGAGGATGATTTTGTCGCGGCTGGCGCGGGCACGGTGATTGGCTGAGGAAGTGACTCTTCAACCGTCGAGGCGGCTGACGACGTTGAAGCCGAAGAGGACAGTGGTGGATCCAAGCTCATGGTCGGAGCGTCGTGCTCTTCTGTTGAAGTGCGACCGGTGGCATTCCCCGGAGGAGGTTCGCCCCAAATCGTCCGCAGCCACGACTTGTTCTCGGCCGAAGTACGTGGCGTTCTCAACGTCTCAGCACTTCGAGTGGCTTCCTTCTTCAAAGTCCCTTCTTCCTTTTCGCTCCCGTCGGTCGAATAATCCGGATCCACTTGAAGGTCTTCAGCTTGCGTGTTCCAACCGCTCGGTTCGGCTGGCTCGGGTTCTGCTCCGCCCCACCCGAACCAAGAAGAGCCTCGAGATGCGCCGGCTTGCGGAGGCGGAGCACCAACAGGCAATGGCAATTTCGAACTTCGAGATTTGACCTCAGCATCATTGACTTCTTCAAGTGCGGATTCGGGCCCCGGCTCCTCAGATGCTTCTCGTGGGGCGACAGGTAGAGTAGAAGCTGCCGATTCGGGCGCAGGAGCCGCTTTCACAGACCCGAACCATCCTTTTTTGGGCAATGGAGGCGGCGGCATGGTCGTATCATCGGACGACTGTCGGCGTGTCGGTTTGGTTGGACTGGGGTCGGGAGTGTGGAAGACTTGAGGAGGGGTCGTAGAGGCCGCCGAGCTCGAGAGAATCGAAGCTTGCGAGGAAGTGTCAATCCTCGGCTTAGACGACACGATGGAGATCGGAGTTCTCTCGGACGGATTTGCTGTCGTGCTCGTCGGATTCACGGACGACTCCTCCACCATTCCGGAAGGGCCCACTTTCTGTGGGTCGTTCGATCTCCACAGCCAGCTCGATTTGCGAGCAACCTGCGAGGCCGGCGAGGACGACGCGACACTGGTTGCAGAGTTGGTCGAATTGGCCGAGCTAGAAGCTGTTTCGACCAATTTGGGACGTTTGTCGATGTGCGAATTGGGGTGTAGGCCCTTTGGTCGAGTCAGTTCCGTATTGCCATTCGACACCGACTCCGGCCCTTTGTTCGAGTCCGTCGATTCTTGCTGCTTCTGCTTGCCCTGAGCTTTTGTGGACAGGTTACTCTCAGCACTATTCCCCCTCGATGGTGTGCGATGGCCCTTGACGAGCGTCTTGGAACTGGCGGCCGTGCATACGCTGCTATTGGTCGCCGTGCTCGCAGATCGGCTCCGCCCCCACGTTGACGACGAGCCGGACACGTTCCTGCCACTCCTCACGCTCGCGCGGTCGTCGTCAAACTCGGCCTTTTGCCTGGTTAACAACGAGATGGCGCTCGTGGACGAGGAGGAAGAGGACGATGCCGAGGATGACCCCGACGCGCCCCCGCCGACGCGCAGACCGGGTCGGGCCACCCGAGACGAGGACGACGACGAGACGAAGAGCGAGTCAGGCGAAGTCGACGTGACGGGTGGTGCAGGGCGGGAAGGCGAGGCTCTCCAAGACATGGTCTATTCGGGTTGAGGGAGGCGGTTCAGATCGAACAGAGCCGAGTCCGGGGGTGCGCTTCCGTTCGCTCGATCGCTCGGAGTCGCTCGGTCGCTGCGATAATGGGAGTGAGACAAGCACGAGTCAGCGCTCCATGCCGAACAGGTGTGGAACGCGTCAGGGGTGGGTGGACCGCTTCCGGCACAAGGGGTATTGATGCACTGGTTCTACGTGCTCAGGGTCGGAAAGCAGTCCTCGAGGGGTGATATGGCAGAAGCTCGCTTGGGTACGACGTCATCCGGTAATACAGTCACGGTGGTGGCTGGACCGAGCGCCGGTGCTGGAGCGACGCCAGCATGTCCAAGTGTGAATGGACGAATTTGAAGCTGAGGGACGAATAACGCACCTTTCACTCAGCGATTGCTGCTGGGCGGGGCTGTGAGCTGACTCGAGAATATAGGTTGGTAGGTTAAGAGGATGGCGGCCGGCAAAGGACCGGCGGCTGCTGCCGGTGCCGGCGCCACAGGCTGCCACAGGCGATCGAGTACTATCGAGTAGCTCTCGGCAGCTCTCGGCGATCCATTTCATGATGAACAAACTGCCATGGTGCGACCGCACGCCGCCGCTTGCCGGTAGGTGATCGGAGGTCCAACTCGGCCTACGATTCGGGCCTGTCATACATCTATTGTTGTCCGGGGACGAGCTTTCAGAGTGTGATTTTTTATGGACAGCATATCGAACGTTTTGACACAAGCACCGTCTGCGTCTGGCATGAACGTGACGAACGTGAGCTTAAAGTCGGAGAAACGATACTGCGCCACTCTGTAAGTGATAGTCTTGTGTTTGTGAGGCGTGAAATGGTAGGTACATCCGCCAGCATTGCCCTGAGGTAAACACTCCCGCGTCCTGAAGACAGCTAGCTGCTCAGGAGTCAGGTACATCTGCAGTGATCGGTGATGATACCCCCCCACTGGCAATCCGAACAGACTTGGCAGGAACCTATCGCTGACCCTGTCCATGGACAAAGCCGAAAAGACCATTAATAAGTAGCTTGCGCGCCGAGAGTTTGAAGGAAGGCACCCCGCAAGCCCCCACATTACTGCCCTTTTCGAGTTCACGACACTGGCCGAACGCCCACTCGCTTCTCCGAGACCACATGACCCTTTCGAGTGATGCGGTGGTCGTTCCTCTGCTAAGCCGTGAAGATTGCGATGATAGTCGGTATGACGTCGACCTTGACCTGGGCGTGGATCACAAGGGTGAGGAGGACGCCTCGCAAGCTATCGAGGACCGATTCCAACCGCCCTACTTGCGATCTGGCAATGGAGGGATGACGTCGTACACAAGTCTCGTTGGACAACACTTCAAACCGATCCGAAATGTACACAAACGCCTCGTTGTGATCGTCTTTATCGTCTTCATAGTCATGACGACGATCATTCTGGTTGTGCGCCGAGACCGTGACGTGGCGACCGTCTTGTCGCGCCTGCACGAATGGGAGTTGTCGGGCGAGGCTGGGTCAGGTGTTGAGCAAGCTCAAGGCCTCAATTGGTCCGGAGAGGCTGAATTGTGGAGGAACTACAAGTGGCAGCTCCAGGAACCTCACGAGAGTCTCACTCAGATGGTCACGGCGCTCACGAAGGTGAGACACGAGCACAGGCCGAGGGTTTGGCCCTGGTTGCCGCGCCCGCGTTGCTGGCTGTGATCAGGTCTCTTGCGCCTGAACATCTTTGTTGACCTTGTTTCCTTTTCTTCGGCGCCTGCGCTTCCATTCCTTCGAGTGCAGGAAGAGGTTTCTATCAGAGAATGGCTCCTGTCGACGAGGCCCCTTTCACAGATCGGCGCGCCCGTCGGGTTATCGCAGAGCTCGCCAGTTCCAGCACGGATCCGCGAAGGGCCCGCGATGGTTCGAACGGGTGCAGGACCAGGGAGGTATAGAAAAGGGTCGCGTGAAAAGTGAGTTTGACTCTGATGCGTCTCCAGAGCACCGAGCGGAGGCGGTTTTGATTGGGGGTGAGAACTTCCTCTTTTTGTGCCTTTCCAGGTGGGAGTCGCTGCGTGACGAATGGCAGACCGGCCGTCCACACTCACGATGCAGCAACACGTCATGGATGGCCGATTATGCGAAGCTACATCACGAGATCGTGACTGGAACTCGTCCCCCCAAGGTCCTCGAATTCAGCTGTCGGGAAGGCCACAGTTGCGGCGGCAATTCGGACCGGTGCGTGGTTGCTACTTTGTACTCAACTCCACCAGAAGCCGCAGCACTGATACGCCGTTTCGTTCGAGTCTCGTACTCACCTCGATAGCCTGCTGGGTATATTCACTTCGCTTCTCTACGCCATTCTCACCAGCCGAGCACTACTCATCACCTGGGACGTATTGCCTTTCGAGGTATTCTTCGATGCCGTCCGGATCGACTGGGCACAGCCATACATGCCCATGTCGAAACGTTCAATTCACCCTGGTCTACCCGTGCTTAAGAGGCCATTGTTAGACATCATAAACATCGAGGTGCACAAGATGGTTGCTCCTCCGATGTCGAATATGGAGTACTACTTGAGCGTAGAACTCTTCGATGAGAAGCGCGACGATCCGCCTTGGCTCCGGGTAAGCTTGCGGAGGGGTGATCTCTTGCATCGTCGCTCGTCACTTCAATATCGCTTCAATGCGCCTCGACCTTCCTTCGGATGCATCTCAACGGGCTCTGATCAGAATAACGTCGCAACCTTTGTTTCTAAAGGTCTCGACGAATCGAGGAGGAGTCATAAACTCTTTCAACTATTCCGCGGTGAAGCCTGCATTGCTGGAACGGGGGTTCGATCGGACAACCGCCTACTCCTGCATGACTGACTTCCTCTTCCGACCCAAGCGCGAGCCGATGCGCTTCATCACTGAATACGATTCGGTGTTCAGTCTTCCTACTGTGTTCTCCATCGCACTTCAGATTCGGACAGGAGACCGCTCCATGGTGAGTCTTCAAAGAATGTCTACCGCGTGACCCGGCTCGGCATCATATTATTCGCAGCAACGCTTTGCTGAGCGATAATATATGATATCCGTGATGAGTTGGCCTCATTTCATCATGAAGATTCTGACCCACGCCGTCAACCCTCTTTTTTGGGCCTCGATTTCCCGGGGGTTTTTAGATGAGTTCCGTAGCAGATGCGATCAATACCGTCGCACGTTACCAACAGTTCTTTGACTGCGCCGACAAGCTCGCCGAGCGTTACGCGCGGGACGATCAGAAGGTTGTGTATTACCTCGTCACGGACTCATCCACATTGGAGGCAGCTGCCTTGAGACAATTCCCCGACCGACTCGTCGTCACTGGGCTGACCCAAGGTCATCCCGAGTTCGAGCATGGCCACACCGGGTCGGCATTAGCGAAGGTGGCTGACGACACGACGAATGCGCTGGTGGAAAGCATGCTTATCGGGAGTGCGTGACCGTGCCAAGGCTCGGTTCGGGACCAAACGCTCCAGTCTAAGTCGCTGAACCTCGTCTTCTTATCCGGCACCCCCAGAAACCGACTATCAAATTATCACCGAAACCAGTGGATTTGGAAAACTCCGTGCGTCTGTCGATTCGGTCCGACTGACCGAGAAAAGTTCATTGTCTACCGTATCGGCTTTGGAAAATGCTAATGAGCCCCCTGTTGACCCACAGCCGTTTTCATCAGAGGCGTGGAAGGAACAACGATCTCTCTGCCAAGGGAAGGGGGTGGCACCGTTGATTGCGCGAATACTGATGCGTGGGTCCTCCGAAACGTCTCGAAGCTCGATCCTTGATGTGGGCGCAAACTAATGAGCAGGTTTTATCGGACCTTGGCACTGTGCGCCTTCAACCGCTGCCCCTGTCCACTGCATCTCCCATTCACTGCAAAAGATTCATGTCATTTTCTGAACTGGCTTCAACCTGGTGAGGAGCTCAATCGCATTCTCAGTCTATCGCACCCACAGAATATTGCCAAGCTAACATGACCAGGTTGGTTCCTTGATCATTTAACAGGTCCTTGGGCTAGAAGAGGTTCTGTGGCGCCCCGCCACTCATTCCGCTTCATCAGAGCCATTTACCCGAGTTGTCATTCTTGTCTATATGAAACCTGTACTGCAATCCTCACCACAGCAATCTAGCAAAAAAGTACGGAACTTTACGAGTAAGGGGTGGGGGGGGAAATCGGCGCGCGCGCGCGCGGCTGAAAACCTTATTTTATCGTGCATTCTTTCATGTACATGTAGATTTCTCCAACATTGCTTTCGATCCATTCGTTCTTTATGACCCAGCTAGAAAGTCCATGTGTTCGTGGTCGAAGCACAAACTGCATATGCTTGTGGGCACGATTTGCTTCCGCGTCCACCCTTCGGTTCAGTACTGACCGTTCATCTTGTCCCGTCGGGTGGACTTTCACGTGGTGTACGGTAAGCATTGACGTTGCCAACACCAGCGTTCGGAGGCACGAGTAGTACGAGCAACTCGGTATTTTCCTGGCTTATGCCCGCTCTGGGTGCGTCTGCCACTCCTTGATGAGCCGCGCCGTTCCCAGATGGTCCGTCATGATAGTGATCGGTGCCCCGTCTGAGGTCATGGATCGCGCAGCAACCACCGCGAAAATGAGCGCGGTAACTTCCGCTTGCTGTATTGTTGCACGATGCGGGAGAAGTAACCAAAGGTCCACCACTGCTGCTGCCGTGGATGTCAGACTGGTCCCCCAAGTTATGACCGAGCCATCCGTTGCCCATACGCTGTGCCGAATTTTCTGTGTCGGACCGAGTCACTGCGCTCTGATCTGCGCTTCCAGGTTTTCCAGATGTCGTTCCCCTGTTGGCTACATCGAGTCTGCGGACTCTGACCGTCGTTGGTTTCCCGGCCAAAAGTCTCCAAGGACAGGAGCTCTTTCCTTGCTGTCCGTGCGACCAGCTAGTTGGAAAGAGCGGCAGGCGGCCGAGGAGGTCTGTGCGGCGTACGCGCGAGCGCAAGAGCGCATGAATAAAATTTGATTAAGCTCAACTAGCCTAGAATTTGATAGGCCTGGTCCCGCGAGCCCAAACGTGAGGCCAAAGACCTCCTCGGCCGCCTGCCGTTCCTTCCAACTCAGCTCAAGTTGCGCTCTGGTTTGAGGGCTTTCTCCAGCGATCAGGTTCATCATGCGGCCCAGGTCTGAGAGGGTTCGTGTGTTTGTCGGTTTAACTGCCTTTACTGTGGAGTTGATGGCCCGACCTCGATGGCCTCTGGTATGCTTGACTAGACAAGTGTGCCAACTGAAGTTGACTTCCTGATGTCGTCGGTGTTCGCCATTTCCAGTGGGTGACAGGTGTCCAGGATCGCAAAGGCGTTTGCCCAGTTTGGCGCAATTGTCCTTGTCAAGTATACCTTTTCATATTTTCCTGCCCCCCAGAGTTTCAGCAGACTTCTCCCCTTTATTTCAGTGACATCGATGTCAATCCTGATTCGCACTTGTTCGGCCCGCAGTGCAGGTCGCTAAGCGTGATTTGGGCCATCGCTCGCATCGTCGGCAGTGGTGGTTGAGATCCCGCAGTACTCCTGTTACGATCATATTTGCATTAAGCCTCCAGATGCTCGTAAGTCCCATGCCGAATTCTGCTATCGGCAGACATAGGAGTTTAGCGCTTGCCGTAAGGGGCAAGTTGAAGTACGGCTGGACTTGATTCGCGATCAGGTTGTCAAGCTTCTGTGCAAGACTGGGCTAAGACTCAGCTTTCCCCGAGACTTGCTAATCACGGCTTGTTCGAGATATCTCGACACCGCCGTCAGTGGCAAACGGTGTTTTGGCATTGATGGAACCCCCGAACAGCTGATAATATTTTTGATACTTTCAAAGCGAGAGTGTTCATAGTCCAGTGAGGTTTCGACTCGGACGTCTCTCGGGGTCCGTGCAGTGGGGGTTGTTTCAATTGCCATTTTGGCATGAGGACGCGGCAGTTGAACTTTCCTCCTCATTTTTTTCCGTGGCTGCCTGGTCCACGAGATGGTTCGGTGTTTCCCCTATGATGAACATTTTTGTCTTTTCGCCCCGGTCCATCTGGGCTACATATGCCTCCTGAAACGTTCCCATGAGCAACGCCCTTCGGCTAAGTTCTGGCGAGCGCGCAAAAAGTATAGCCAAGGCGCGTGAGAAGAGGTGAGAAGAGGTGAGAAGGCGTGCGACGGCGGGCGTAAAGCCGGGGTTTGACTGTTCCCGCTGTTCCCGCTCGTGGCAGGCAACGCTCAACAGACCCGCACACACGATGGTACTGCAACCTGACAAGGTCGCGGTCGTTCTTGGAACCCAATGGGGTGACGAAGGTCAGTCCGTCGTATCCTCAGCTACCAGGAGTCGGCCGGGCCGGTGGTCGGGATGCATGCACCTTCGCTGCCTCAGCCTGCGTCTCGCCGCGGCCAAGTCGTCTCCGCCGTAACTGTGACCGTACTGACCTCCGACTTGACCCTGCTCCGTACCTCCTGCAACAGGCAAAGGCAAGCTGGTCGACATCTTGGCTGCCGAAGCCGACATCTGTGCCCGATGTGCCGGTGGTAACAATGCCGGCCATACGATCGTAGCCAATGTCAACGGCGTCAAGACCCACTTTGACTTCCACCTTTTGCCCAGTGGTACGTGGCATTCGTACGCATGTTCGGGTCGCATACCCCGCAAGGAACGGAATGGGACCGGATGATGGATGCGATAGTTTCGACTGGGATGAGCTCGCGTTGGCGACCGAGAGGTGAAAGTCGCAGAGGATGGCGGGAGAATGCCGTTGACTCCGCCGAGCCTCGGTCGAGCCCCTAGGTCAACCCTACCCGGAACAGCCCCTCGGATGCGGCGCCATGGTGTCTCAGCGATATGATAGAGATCTTGTCCTGACCACTACGCCATAACTCGAACCCCACCACCATCAGGTCTCGTCAACCCAAAATGCACGGCCTTTATCGGCAACGGCGTTGTCGTCCACGTGCCCGCCTTTTTCGAGGAGCTCGACAAGTTGACGAAGAAGGGTGAGTGCATGCTCAGGATGGGAAAAAAAGTTAGACGATCCGCTGACGAGATTGCGCCATCTGATCCAGGCCTTAACTGCGACGGTCGATTGCTCCTTTCGGACCGCGCGCACCTCGTATTCGACTTCCACCAGATTGTCGATGGCCTCAAAGAGGTCGAGTTGGGCGGTTCGTCTATCGGCACGACCAAGAAGGGTATCGGGCCAGCGTACTCGTCCAAGGCGTCCCGCTCCGGTCTGCGAGTTCACCACCTCTTCGACGAGGAGGCGTTTGCGACCAAGTTCCGAAAACTCGTAGAGGGTCGTTTCAAGCGATACGGTCACTTTGAGTCAGTCACTCCATGCATTAGTATTTTGCTTATATAAGCTGATCTTATTCCGTGACCTGCCCGATTACCGCTTCCGACTCGCGCAGGTACGACACGGAAGGCGAGATCTTGCGCTACAAGGAGCTCGCTGCTCGCCTCAAGCCTTACGTCGTTGATGGCCCCACGTTCCTCCACAAGGCCATGCTCGAAAAGAAGCGCATTCTCGTCGAAGGCGCTAATGCATTGATGCTCGATATAGACTTTGGTACTTACCCATTCGTCACTTCGTCCCCGACGGGAATCGGCGGAGTCTGCACCGGTCTCGGAGTTCCGCCGAGAGCGATCGGGGAGGTTGTTGGTGTCGTCAAGGCTTACACGACTCGTGTTGGTGCTGGACCTTTCCCAACCGAGCAGCTCAACGTGAGTTTTCATTCGCGCGGCCCCACTAGCTTTCGTCCCAGCACGAGGCGATGGAGACGACAGTTGCTGATAGCTTCTTCCGTTTATACCCTTATAGTCCGTTGGTGAGCACTTGCAAGAGGTTGGTGCCGAATACGGTGTGACGACCGGCCGTCGCCGTCGTTGCGGCTGGCTCGACCTAGTTGTCCTCAAGTACTCGCACTTGATCAACGGCTACACCGCGTTGAACCTGACCAAGTTGGACGTCTTGGACCAACTCCCGTCGCTCAAGGTCGCGACTGGTTATCACCTGAACAGCAAGCCTCTCGAAGCTTACTTCCCCGCCGATCTGGATCAGCTCGCCCAAGTCGAGGTGCAGTACGTCGAACTGCCCGGATGGCAAACTTCGATTGCCAACATCACCAAATTCGAGGACCTGCCGGAGAACTGCCGAAAATACATCGAATTCATCGAGAACTTTATCGGCGTCAAGATTGGATGGATCGGCACCGGTCCAGCGAGGGAGTCGATGATCAGGAGATTGTGAAGAAAGATGTCTTTTTTTATAGACTTGGGAGTTGCACTTCCTTGTTGGACGGTTCCTGTAAGGTTCGCGTCGTCTCGGGAGAATTCGATTTGGTTTCTGGAAATAAGATGGGGGATGAGTAGACTATGCATCACGTTCGCAAGATGTGTTGCACGAACGTAAGGTTCGAGAGCGAGACGTGCGGCCCGAGCCGAGCGAGCTCTTGCGACCGCTGTGATCGATCCCCACTTGGCTTTCGTACCCCCCGTCATTCCGACACACGATTCGCATTTCGTCGCAACACCGTGAAAAGCCCTCCAACGCTCCAAGTGACAGATTGTATTTCATCTACTTGTCCACATTTCAATAGATCCGCTCCAAACACCCCCACTTGACTGGTTCCTGGACCCGTGACCTCCTCTGACGATCGCAAGACGGCATCACCTCTATTGCATCCCTCTTTGAATATGACGACACCTCAGCCGACAGGCCAAGCACCGGGTTCTTACAACGATGCATTCCGAAGTCGATCAGCCGAGTCTGAATTCGCTGATCCGTGTGAGATTGCGAGGCAGGTACGTTCAGCTACTGAGCAGGCCTAGGATGTAGGGCTACGGACTGCGAGGATCATTGACCGTTGGATTGTGACGAATTAACTTCTCAGCAATCAATGAAATGCCTCGACCGGAATAATTACAACAAGGCTAAATGCACCGACGTGAGTCCCCACGAAACTCGTTACTTTCGACGACTCGAAAACAGCCGAGAAGTGTCTCGGCCGCTGACGTGTAGCTGTATCTTGACATGTTCTCACAGTTCTTTCAAGCAGTCAGTCATTATCGAGATTGAAGCTTGGAATGCAACCTCATTTGCTGATCCGTTCTTGGGCGATCGCTGCGCCCTCTCTCCCAACACAGTATCGGGACTGCAAGCAGACATGGGTCCGTGCGAGATTTGGCCTTGGGCTCTACTTTTTCGTTGGCGGGACCAGTGGGCTGACTTGTCATTTTGCCTCATCACAGCTCACTCAACGAAGAGAAGACAGGAGAGCGGGCAAGGACGTCGCTTGAGGCGCGCTATATATGGTCGCCGGTCGACGCGAAAACTGTAGACAACTGGGGGGCGGGTCCGCGCCTCCGAAAAGATCACAAGATCCGTGTAGCTCGTCGGCTCAATCATACAATAACATATACCACACTTTGCAAACATCATCAAACATCATCACATCTTTCGAGCGTGCCAGGCAGAAAATGGGACTACAATCGGAAGTGCTGAATGACAAGAAGAACCGCTGGTAGCTACATTTCTGGGAGTGGAAAAAGGCAGGATTCAGGAAGAGCCTCCCTTTAGAACCGCCTCGACACCAAAGAAAGGAGACAGGAACAAAAGAAGAAAATGGGTACTCGACTGAAACACCCCCCCGTTCTCTAAACACAAGCACACACACATTTATCCCGCTCCTATTTTACTGCACGAACGAGCCATCCTTGACCTTGGACAAAAAGCCCGCGATCCTCGCCTGATCCATCATCGACCCATCCGACTCCAACGCCGCGAACAACGTCTCAAACATCGTATCGACCTTATCCACGTCAACACCACAAACCTTCGCGACGATGCGTTGCAACTCGTTCTCCAATTCGATCTCCCCACCTTCAAGTCGACTGAGACGATTATCGAGTAGTCCCAACACGCGTTTGTACCAACCTTGCAAACGGATCAGGTGGATCAATTCTCGTTCAGATCCAGGGGCGGGTAGTTTAGGATCAGCATCGAACTCTACGTTGCTGCTGTTGGGCAATTGAACGCTCATTGGACCTCGGTAGGTGAAACTAGGGCCAGCAGCGACGATCGCGGGCGATCCATCGATCTCGGTCCTTCCCGTCCAGTCGAAATGGTCCTCTTCGTGAATCGCTCGTTTGAGGTTCCTGATCCGAGCATGTTGCGCATCGAGCGCAGCGGCCTTCTGTTGCCATTGATCCAACTCGCGGCGTTGGGCTTGTAGTTCTTTCGTGACCGAATGAAGATGGGTTTGCGTCGCTTGGAAATCTTCGGCCTTGCTTCTCAATTCGGTTTTGAAGTCCGCTTCGAGCGACTTGATCATCGTCGTCAAGTTCTGCAACAACTCGTTCGAAGCGCGCGTAGGCGCGCTCGAAGCGGCATTCTTGTTCGTCGAAGGCGTGGACCGTAGGGACTCAATAGCGAGTTCTCCTTCTGTTCTTTCGAGTCCGACACCATCGAGGCCAAAGTCGCCTGGTCGAAGACCGAGGTTGTTGGCCTTGCGCTTGTCCGCTCCAACGTCGATCAAGGCTCGTACCAAAGACCGATTACCGATACGAGCAGCGATGTTGAGCGCTGTGTCCCCGTGGTTGTCTTGAGCATCGACGAGGTCCTGGAATCGACCGCCTTCGACGCGCGCGACGTACTCGAGCACGCTCTCCAGATAGTAGCGAGCTGAACTGGCTCGACCCTTGACGCCGGCAACAAGAGCAGCGTGGTGCAGCACCGTTCGACCGGACTCGTCGATCGTTCGAAGACTAGGTCCGAGCACTTCAAGAAGAGCCGGGAAGGTATCCTGGTCGCAATTGTTGGTTACCAGCACCGCTCGAATCAACGCCGTCTCACCGACGTTGTTCCCCCGGAAGACGTCGGCACCAAAGTTGACGAGCGCTTTGGCGATCGTGATGCGGGCCAAGGCAGCAGCCCAATGCAGTGCGGTGTGCATGTTCTCGTCGATCGGCGTGTCGGGGTCGACGTCGGCCGGGAACCTCGACGCCAAGTTGGGAACGACGAGGCTGTTCTCGGGCTCCATGGCAAAGATGGATTTGAGCGTCGAGCGGTTACGATCGGTCCGACTCGGATCCTCGGCCAGGGCCTGGTTCGACAGGGGAGCTGACGAAGAGCGCAACTTCCATTGCTCTTCGGGGTTGTTGGCAAAGACGTCGACGGGGCGAGGGGCATGGCCGTTCGCTTGGCTTGTCGATGCAGCCGCTTCCCGCCTCGGTCGCTTGTTCTCATCCGAGACGATGGAGGCACGCGCCGAGGCACGCTTGCGGATCGAAGGAGGGGCCGACTCGGATGTTTCAGACATCGTCTCTTGTTGGCGACGCGAGGCGGGGGAAGATAATGCTCCTGGTGAGGATTGGGCCGCGGCGGCGACATTGGCGGTTTGACGGTGAACAGGGGCGGAGGCGGAGGCGCTCGAAGCACTGGGGCCAGCAGCGCCGAGAGAATCGTAGCCTGGTGGGGGAACATAGTCGAACAAAGGCACGAGCAGATGCGTGACGCCATGCTCGTCCGACAGTTCTCGTGCTCGATGGTATGGGATCCTGTGAGGAAAGGAAATGAATCGGAGTCCGATGCCAAGCCGGGAAGTGGTGGTAAGACGTGCCAGTCCAGTCAGTTCCTGGGCCATCGCGGTCAGCGTGGATCAAAGTATGAAGTCTCACCAAGTCCCTTGATACCTTCCGTAGCCCCCCTGCACCTTTTCATGTACGCCGAGTGCAATGTCCTTTTCGAGAATCTTTGTCCGGTTGCCCTTGGGCACACCAGCTACCTTGAGGATTTGAGTCGCGTTGAGGTAGCTGTCGGCGCGTCGGCGCATGACCCCGATGCCTCGAACCATCATCTCGTAGACGGGGACGGAGGAATAGACGGCGAGGCTGCGAAGCAGGAAGGGAACGTGGGAGGGTCAGACTTGGCAATCGGTCGTGCGAGAACGGTGCACGTGTGGCCAAGCGGGGGGAACGGTAAGAGGCTCACTAGATGTGCGGGTTGTTCTGGACACTGTGATTGGGGAGGGACAAATGCATGGTCAGTTCGAGCACGGGAAAGGGGACTTGGCAATGGGCTATTCAGGAGTGCGGTGCAGGCGGAGCGACGCGTCCCCGCCCCGCCTTCACCCTCGGCCCAGACGTGACGCCGCGTGTCGTTGCACGGCAAATCGGCTTACTTTGGATTCGGGAACGATTCTGCCGGTGCTGAAGCGGATGCCGAAGCATTCGCGTTCGCCCTAGCTGCAGCCATCCTTTGCGTGTGCGGGTGGGTCTCGTTTCCGAAGGGGGGCGGGTGGGACGCGGGGCCACAAGGGCTCGTGTCGCGACGTGAACGCGTAAATTGAGGAAATCGGCGGGCGACGCGAGACGACGGGAGGGTGCCTGTGCTGAGAGGATCACGCGGAGACGGTTGGGCGCTGATCCGAGGAGACTGGTCTTGATGGTCTAGTCGATGTGGCTGCCGTGACTCGCTGTGTAGAGGTGGATGGGGTGAGGTGTCCAGACGCGAGGAGAAAGAGGGCGCGGACTGCAGCCTGGGCAGGGCGGCGGGGCTCGGCGGGGCTCGGCGGAGGCAAGTCGCTCAGCGTTGGCTTTCGCAACGCCGAAGGCCGAGGCGCGAACCGAAACCGGAGAGGCGCACACGCAGGTCATCCTCCTACAGCCGTGCCGACATGTCGCTCACCAAGTAAGCTTCGGATTCCGTCTAATAAATATTCCGTACTGACTCCCCTCCCTCTCTGCTACCCCCCCCCCCCCCCCCCCCCCGCAGCGACACCAACAAGCTCTTCCAATCGGATGCCCAACACGCCCGGGCCGCGTACCGCGTCGCCAAAGCTCAGCTGCACGAGACCACAGGCAAGCCCATCAAGCTCTCGACCGTACCCTTACGTGTCGTCGTGAAGCAGCATCCCATCCAGGGTCCAGAAGCTTGGGTCGCCGAGAGCGGCTTTGTTGTGCGCCGGCTCGACCTCGAGGTAGGTCGCTCCTTTCGACTCGATCCATGTGGGGGCAAGCTTCCGATAGAACGAGCAGAGTGCAGCCTCGCGTGGTGCTCTTACCGTCTCTTTCTCAAAACTAAACGGTCTCAGAGTCTCTCTTTCACAACTCTAGTCGGGAAGAACCAGGCAACTCTACCGAGGCCATCTCGGGCCCGTCACCTCACTCGACTTTTACACCCCACCGGCGGCTTCGACCTCGACCTCGGCGAAAGGCAAATCACGCCAATTAATGATCAGTGGCTCGTGGGACAGAAGCGTCAGAGTATGGGACACAACAGTGAGTTACGGTCGAGCTCTTCGAGACTAACCTTCAGGTGTTGGTGCAAAGGCACTTTTTCTCAAGAGGCCGGTTGACGTGTTCACAGAACAAAAGCCTCCTCTCCACGACGATCGCACACATCGACTTTGTAAAGTCCCTCATCGTCATTCCAGAGCTGAAGCTACTATGTACTGGATCGTCAGACAAGGACATTCGGGTGTGGGACCTGTCCGTTCTCGACTCGTGGGACTTTGACTCGACGGATCGAGACGCCAGCACCTCCTCCAAGCCAGACGATGAGGCCGAGAACGAAACCGAAAACGAGACATCCACAAGTACCAGCATAGAGCCTCAGCCCACATTGGCATCAACGGGAGCCGCACCACCCGCAGCGAAGAGTCTCAAACCTTTGCCGTTCCTCCTTTCGCTCAAAGGCCACACTCGACCGATCGAACGCCTGGCCTACTACCACGTTCTAAGTCCTCGATCAAACGACGGGTCTCGTAATAAAGACGACGACGACGACGACGATGCTCCGAGGGAACGCATGGGGCACGTGGCACTCATCTCGGTCGATTCTCTTGGTGCGCTCAAGGTGTGGGAACTCTGGCGGGATGAGCAGGGTCAGCTTCGAGGAGAGCTGCGCAGCGATACTCGACCGCACGAGATTGGGATCTACGATTTAGTCGTCGGTGATGGCGAGATCTGGACGGGTAAGTGGTGGGAGCAGAGTGCGGTTGCAATGAGGTCGACCACTCATCATACGAGAACTTTTCCATCTTGAGCAGCCTCGGCTGATAATTCAGTGCTTCTTTCGACGTTCGATGCCTCCTCACCGTCCTCGGCTCCGATACCGACGACGCGTATCGTTCACCCATATCATCTTAAATCCATTTTACCCCTCGGAATCGCCTTGCCAAACCTCAACTCATCGCACATCTTGACCGGCAGCGCCGACGAAGCGATCCGGATCCTCGACCTAAACTCGATCTCGCCTTCCTCCCATCCTCCTTTCCCGTGGTCAGGAATCCCATCTCCCGCTGATGAGAAGATGGTTGGTCTTGTACGACAAGTCGAAGGGCATTCGCACGACGTCGTCGATCTGCACGTTTATACCCAGGTTGGGCTTCCGGAACAAGGGGGTCGACTCGAGGCTTGGATCTTGAGTGCTAGTGTGGACGGCACATTGAGGAGATGGAGGTGGCCTGATGTGTTGATTTCACCTTCGAAGGAGGAGGAGAAGGTTTTGGTGGAGGTCGAGAAGGAGGAGACGAAAGGCGAGTCGCTGTTGACTGCCGAGGAAGAAGCTGAGCTGGAGGCTCTCATGGTGGATGATTAGTCAGGCAGGTGTTGAGGAGTAATAATATTTGAAACACAAAGCGATGCCCACAAATTAATTCTGAGACGCACCGGAGACCGCTGCTGAGGAAAATCCCGTTTGAAGCGAGCCGACGGCATATCGATGTTGTCTCACCCAATCCTCCGCCAAAAGGTACCCGGCTTGACTCGAAACGAAGTGATCGCGCTCGTCGTCTCTCGTCGTTGGCTCCGCTTCCTTCGCAACGACGCGACTCCCGCTCTCGAGTCCTTTACCCCAACCCACCCGCTTGGATACTACAAAGATGGTCGCCCCTACGATGGCCGAGGCCATGCCCACGATTCTCGTTCTTGACTTCGGGTCAGTCGTCCCGACATGATCGTGTACAAACTTGCGAGAGAGGGGCTGAGTTGATCGCTCTTCTTCCCCGCCTTTCGCGGAGGGGCGCTGCTCGGTTGCTCTGTGAACGTGTGCCAACAGATCTCAGTACTCGCACTTGATCACTCGAAGATGTCGGGAACTCAACGTCTATTGCGAGATGTTGCCTTGCACCCAGAAGATGGCCGATCTCAAGTGGAAGCCCAAGGGTGAGCGAACGACGCCTCGATTCGGGCAGCTCGACCCGAAGACCAGCTTTCGGATTCCTGAGCAAGGTCTTTGGGTGGTGTACGAACAGGCGTGGGGCATCATCGTCTCATGATCTATACTGACCCCAAACTTTGTATGATTTGATTGATAGGTATCATCCTGTCCGGCTCGCCCTACTCGGTCTACGATAAGGATGCGCCGCGTGTCGACCCCACCGTCTTCAGCTACGGCGTGCCCGTTCTCGGCATCTGCTACGGTCTCCAGGTCAGTCACGTCCTGATTCCTCGTGGAAGACCCCAGGAACTAACGGAAAACCTCTGTCTTTGCTGCTAGGAAACCGGCCACTACCATGGCGCCACGGTCCAACCTTCGGAGCACCGCGAGTACGGCGAGGCCAAGATTGAGATCGTCAAGCAGCCCGCCGGTGCTTCGCCGCACATGGACAAGCTCTTTGAAGGCATCGCCAGCGGCAGTCAGGTAATTCAACTCCGTTACATTTCAGACTTTGAAAGCAAGGATCACTCACGCTTTCGGGGAAATTGACAGGTCTGGATGTCCCACTCGGACCGTCTCCACTCGCTGCCCGAAGGATTTTCCATCATCGCTACGACCGACAACGCCCCCTTTGCCGCCCTCGCCCACATCGAGAAGCCCATCTATGGCGTGCAGTTCCACCCCGAAGTCACCCACAGTCTCTGCGGTCGCGAGGTCATCGAGCGATTCGTCATCAACATTTGCGAGTGCAAGCGGGAATGGACCATGGTCAGTACCGCACCGGTCATCACCACTAGGAAGAATGATTCACTCGAGGCTGAAAAGTAAATGCGAGACTACAGGACGCTTTTATCGACAAGGAGATCCAGCGAATCCGAGATCTCGTCGGCCCCAAGGGTCAAGTTATCGGTGCCGTTTCGGGTGGTGTCGACTCGTCGGTCGCGGCCAAGCTGATGCACGAGGCGATCGGCGACCGCTTTCACGCCATCATGGTCGACAACGGTGTCTTGCGCATGAACGAGGCTTCTCAAGTGCACAAGATGCTGTGCGAAGACCTCGGCGTCAATTTGACTGTCATTGACGCGTCCGATCGATTTTTGGACAAGCTCAAGGGCGTCGAGGATCCGGAGAAGAAGCGCAAGATCATTGGCAACACCTTTATCGAGGTCTTTGAGGAGGAGGCCGCTCGTTTGGAGAAGGCGGTCAAGGATACGGGTGCCGAAGGAGGAGAGATCGAGTGGTTGTTGCAGGGTACCTTGTACCCCGACGTGATCGAGTCAATCTCGTTCAAGGGTCCGAGTGCGACAATCAAGACCCACCACAACGTCGGCGGCTTGCTCGAAAACATGAAACTCAAGTTGATCGAACCTCTGCGAGAACTCTTCAAAGGTACGTCTTGCGGCGTGACTTGGTGGCGTGGCGCTCAAAACCTCTCAACTAATGAGGACGCTCACGGTGGGACGAACAGATGAGGTCCGCGCCCTCGGCCGACTATTGCACATCCCCGCCCACCTCGTTGGCCGACACCCCTTCCCTGGACCGGGCCTTGCCATCCGTATCTTGGGTGAAGTTACTCGCGAACAAGTCAAGATCGCCCAACACGCCGACTTGATCTTCATCGAGGAGATCCGCGCTGCTGGATTGTACGATCAGATCGCTCAGGCTTTCGCGGCATTATTGCCCGTTCGTGCTGTCGGCGTCCAGGGCGACCGAAGGACATACGATCAGGTCATTGCTCTGCGAGCTGTGGCTTCGGAAGATTTCATGACCGCCGATTGGTTCGACTTCCCCCCTGCTGTGCTGCGCAAGATCTCGTCGCGCATCACGAACGAAGTCAACGGCGTTGTGAGCCCTCTTGGATCTTTTGACACATATTCTTCGACTCAACACTAATTCTATTCGATTTCCCACAGAACCGATGCGTGTACGACATCTCGAGCAAGCCCCCTGGCACCATCGAGTGGCTTTAGAGCGCCCGCCCAAAAAGCCGCGATTGTCCTCCTTAATTGTTAGAGCGTTGTTCATTTCTAAACTTGACTAGATTCACCCACAAATTCCCCTTGTATGGCCAGCATTATTCTCGAGTACCAACCCGCGTGCAACCCGCTTTACCGATATAACTTTCGCAACTGCATTACCCCTGCAGGCGGTTAATGTGCACCGCCATGACGCCGCCACGTGCGGCCGACCCGCAGTTGTTGAGTCACGGCAGCGAAAAAAACCGGGCGTCGGCGCATATTGGCGCGCGACGCGTCGTCGGAGAGCGGGCGCGTCGGGGCGGTTCAGCCAGCTAGTTTAGCCAGGATCGCGATGCACGATGAAATGAAAGGCTGAGTGGCAGTGTTGCTCCTCCCCTGACAGGACCGACACTCGATACGTCCTTCCTCCATCCCCTTCCACCTCGACGACCTTGCTTCGACCTGCCCGGCTTGTCTCACCCACGGTCGATTTTAGGAGACTCCTTCCGTCTCTCGCACTTCGATCGCACTCCGGAATTCCGCCTGCGCTGCGACCGCCATGTTGACACCTCGCGTCGTCGTCTTGACATTGGCCTATTCGGCGCTGCGATGGACCGCTCTCTCCCAAGACCCTTCTTCCTCCTCTCCTTTACGGTCGTCATTCTTCGTCTCGGCCCATTCGGGTCCTGAGTCAGGGACAGCTCATGATGCAGCTGCTGCAGCAGCAGCTGGTCGGCCTGCGCACGAGAACGACGTCTATGCTGCCGCGGATGGGGAATCACTTTCGTCGGTCTACGAGCGTGCAGCTTGGGTCGATGATGGTGACCTCCCACAAGATGAACAGTTCATGATTGGAGGTGATAGTGTTCTGAGGAATTTGGGTCACGTTGGGTCCATGTTGGATAATGAAGGGAGTGGGGGCGATCTGGATAAACGATGGCCACCGAATCCAAAATGGACGATGAGGACATCTCCCGCGGCGACGACACCTTCCCGCACGACGACAAAGGGCAATCCTGCCACTCCTGTGGTACCTCAAGCTACTACAACGACAACGACGACCAGAACCACGACCACGACACCAAGAACGACAACCACGCCGAAAACGACCCCGGTGCAAAACCCCAGTGTCACAACGACGGCAACGGGGTACACTCTTCCCAAACCTCCTTCGTCGACATGCGGGGCTCCTTATTATAGCAACACGGCTGGGGGTGTAATATATGGTGCGAGAATCGGGAACGTCGCATGGCGAGCTGTGCCGACTTCGTTCGTCAAGAGGAATGGAGCTTATTTGACTCTCGATGGAAAAGGGTACCGGATCGTTGGGCCGAGTACGTGGAAGCTACGCTGTATCGTTCAGCAGCTTGAAGGGCTTACAGTTCATTTGGTGCTCTTCCTTCAGATGCTTACTGGCTCGGCTTGGACGAGAACGTCAACTACGGGATCAGCTACCCGGACAAGAGTCGAATCAGAGAGGTGATGGCCGTAACGGTTGCTTTGGGCGGCAACACGATTCGCTCGCATTCGTTGGGTGTCAGGTCAGTCTTAGGATCAAGATCTTGCTCTTCTTGATCTCTACTGACGTCGTTTATGCTTCTTTTCGCCAGCACTGGCAACTCGTTGAGTGTCTGGCCTAGCGCTTACAGTACCAACTTAAAGGCTGTGGGTCTGGGCGGCTTGAATCGCCGTGGTTTTTGTTGTGGATGCTGAGTACGGGGTCGCGTTCCTATTCAGTTCGATACTATTGACTATGCGATCTACGCTGCAAGAGCTTATGGCCTTCGGTTGATCATTCCGTTCACGGGTGGGTTCATCTTCTCGCCTCGCGGTTGTAACTGGAGCACATGAACTGACTTCGCGTTGTACCACATATCCCGGCTTTAGATCAATATACGTATTGTATGCGCGACCGTAGCGTCATTTCGCCATCCGCTTTAATGCTAATGAATATTGTCAATTCTGCACCCAGACCATGGAGGCAAATACGACTTTATAAGGTCCGTCTGGGATAGATCATAGCTGCGCAGCGTATCTCCGTGCAATCCCCCAATGACCTCGCTGCCTTTGGTGTTACAGGTGGGCCGGAGGGGACACCTCGGACGGCAACTCGTTCTATTGGAACTCGGACGTCGTGAAGATTTTCAAGGATTACATCAAAATGTATCTGAACCACGTCAATACCTACACCGGAGTTGCATTCAAGGACGATCCGACGATCTTGGGCTGGGAGACCGGAAACGAGTTCGGCGCTTACATGCTTGGTGCCGGCGCGCCTCCCGCCACCTGGACGTCCAACATTGCCTCTTATATCAAGTCAATCGCACCGAACCATCTCATTTTTGATGGCACCAATGGCCTCGTCGACTCGAGCGGGTTCCTCCGAAACACCGGTGTGTCGGTCGCCAACGTTGACGTCGTGACCGACCATTTCTATCCGGCACTCGACTGGCTTTTGTCCAAGGACCAGACGATGATGGGATCCTATTCGAAGAGTTTCTTTGTCGGTGAACTGGACTGGACGGGAATGAAAGGGGGATCAGATATGGCGTCGTTCTATTCGACGATCGAGAGTTGGGGCTCGTCCGGATCGATGGCATGGAATCTTATGTCCCGGGATGGACAGTGCTGCAACTGGATCTATCATGTGCGCCCCATTCGGCCAGATTCCAGATTCAAGCTCGCGAAGTTTTTACTGACAGTTTACCTCCTTACAGAACGATGGTTACTCAATCTACTACCCGAACGGACACACCCAAGCCGAGCAAGCCTCGCTGCTCGCGTTGGCGCAGCACTGGCATCGCATGCGTGGCCTAACACCCCCTACCGTGCTGGCCGCGGTGGCCTGTCCTCAACTGCCTATCCCTTCATAGACAGCATCGGATCTCGACTGTACACCCTCCTCTTTTTTCATTTTGCATATTCACCTACCCCTTTGTGCCTGCAGAATTTCGTTGTTCGAGATGGCGCGGGCGGACGGATGATTGAGTAGTTTACCCCCCTTTTCCTCCTAGTTCCTCTTCGGAGCGACATTTTATTTATCCGCCATCGCGCAGACACTATTACCTATTGTTTATTTGTATTGTACTATGCGAGATGAACCAACTCGGAGACAACAACTTGAGAAACGAAACCGAAAACCAAAGCTCTCTACGGTGTGATCCAGGAGGGGCTAGGGTGAACCGTAGCAAACGCGCGATCTCGCGCTGCGCCCACGCGAATGAAGGCAAGTTGCTCGTTGAGCTCGGCTGTCTTCGCTCTTGAGATCTTCCACCCCACCTCCTCACCCGTCAATCCACCTTCGAATCATCATGGGAAAGGTGAGTAACGATTGCTCTGACTCAGGCATACCTCGGATACAAGTCTACTGCCCCCGCGCTTTCGTATCGCCGGCAACACGTGAGACTCGTCGCCCGGCAACGTCCTGATGCCGGTGTCGTCGTTCCGATCGAATCGAAGCGGGCTGGCACGGGTTGGCACGGGTGAACGACGCGACAAGCGGGTCCAAAATGAATGGCAGACTGCAGCACGTGCATCTAGAGTACAGATCACTGACTCTCCCCTGCCCTCTGACCCACCACCCCCGCTCTCACCCGTCTCACTCCACCGTCGGAGCGCGCTTGGCTTGTTCCATCGACCCGAATCACGCAACGAACGCCCCGTTATCGACTTCCCTTCTCACGATCATCCCTCCATCAGACCTTCTCCGCCGCCGAAGTTACCGAGCACAAGTCCGCCGAGTCGGCATGGACCATCGTCGATGGCGGTGTTTACGATGTTACCGAGTTCTTGGTGCGTCACGTGCCCCGCCTTTGGACGTGGTCGGAAAGTTGGGACCTGCTGACTTATTCTGTCTCTACGCCTGTACATCTAATAGGAGGATCACCCTGGTATGTTTATTCGTCTGGCAGTGCGTTGCATTCAGCGAAGCTGACCTTCTCTGCGACCCACGACGCTTCCTCTCACGCAAAGGCGGAAAGAAGATCCTGCTCAAGTAAGGTCGACCGAATCGAGTGCCCCAATTGCGTCACCCAACCGGCCGGCTTCGAACTAAAATTGATCCTTTTTACCTGGTCCTCCTCCAGCTCGTGCGGCAAGGACTCGTCCGACTCGTTCTGGAAGTTCCACAGCAAGAAGATCTTGACCAAGACCGCGGCCAAGATGCTCATCGTCAGTGCACCTTTGCACTCGTACCTCGATCTTTCCGTGGCGGAGGCTAACATTCTGCTCTTTCTCCACTCTGGATCTTGGAACACTCGTCATACAGGGTTCCGGTACGTCCCCTTTTCTTCGGCTACTTCCCATATAATTCGGCTTGTTGCTGACACCATATTTACCTCTTCACAGTCGAGGGTCAAGCCAAGCTTTAATCGGACACTGCGTTCCCGAAATGATACGTCCTGAGCTTTCCCTTATGTTGTTTACTGGAATCACAGCTCGAAGGGGTCGCTATGTGCTGTCCCGAGAACGAGCGACTCGCTGAGAGAGAGAGAGCAAACCAGAGTGCGACCTGGCCTGATGGACTTCGTCCACTCCATCCACTCGAGAAGCAGCATCGAGTCCGAGCACGATAGGATGGGTTCCCAAAAAAGAGAAGGACTATGACACATGGTTTTCCAACATACAAAGGCGGGTACGACTTCTAACTACGGACGATTCACTACGAATTCGGAAGGGGCTACACGCTAAGGAAAAAGAAGCTAGAAGCAAAAAAGGCCGTACGGAAGAGGCGCAACTTACGGGCACTTTGAAGAGACAAAAGAAGTACGTGGATATGCATATGAAGAGGGGCACCGCGGGGCTATAGCACAGAAGGGAGGGTTTGCCCCGCGCCGAACCAAGATGCATGAGGTTCAGCGACTTGGCCATCTACGTCGGTGAACAGCGTTGTCGGCCACTCTGTTGATCCGGTCAACCATGACCAATCTTGTTGTTTGTTGATTGAGCTAGGCCACAGCGCTTCGAGGGCGGGGACTTGAGCTGCGGTAGGGAAGGTCGGTGGAAACGCGGGCTGTGGAATGGCCCAATGGGTTGGCATGCCGTGAGGTGCGATTATCGCGGGATTCATAGGCATGGGGTTCATCTGACCGTTGCCATGGTTATTGACAAGGGGTTGTGGTAAACGAACATCCTGTGTCGGTGAGGGCATCGGGGGAGAAATCGGATATCGGTTGTTGGTTAAGTGACTCACAGTGGGTGCAGAGGGTGGCACCTTGTGAGGTCGTGGAGCAGGTTCGATAAAGTCGCTCGACTGACGATCGTGTTCGGTGATCATCGACTGGAGGAGCTCAATTCCACGCTGAGTCATGGCGTTGCCGGGATCGGCCAGCTGTTGCATCGCTTCAATCACTTCGGCGCGGAGGCCCAACGCCGAAGCCGGGTCGGGTCGACCGTGAATGAGTTCGGTGCCCAAAACCATTCCCGCGATCACGGTCAACGATGACACGTGCCATGACTTCCTGTACATCTTTGGTGCGGGCCGTCTTCGTTCGGCAAAGAACTCGCGCGCAGAGTTCAAGCAGATCTGACGCGCCGGCAAAAATTGCGAGTCGTGGTAGCTCTTGCCGAGAAAGAGACGGAGGCACATGATTCGATGGAGTGGAATAAATGTGCCCCACAGGTGGCGGGCCCAGGGTAAGTAGTCGAACGGAGCGTTGAGGTCAACGTGCGTCGGATATGGTGTGGCTCGTGGCTTGAGGGCGGGACAAAAGTCAAGCAGGTGTAGGAGGCGATTGTCGATCGAAATGGCGAAGTCCCACTGAGCCTCGATCGTGGGTAAGGAGAAGATGACTTGGCTGAATTCGCGGAACAGATCGGCGATGCGACTGACACCGAGCAAGTGGGAGACAATGGTCGGTTCGTGCAGAGGTCGGGGAACACACGAGACGTCATTGGAAAGGTCCTCGTCGTTCGCGTTGAGCGGATCGACGGTTTGAGCTGGCGGATAGAACAGGCTGAAGGGCTGGCAGTTCTTGGCTGGTACGAGACTGAATGAACGCACAAGTATCAGCACAGAAGAGTTCAACCGGTCTAGTCGCCACGACTCACCATTCTGCGATGACCAAGCATTTCCACATCCGCCGAGACATTTCGCGGTTGATCAGTCCAGGTCTCGGCTCTTCGGCGGTCAAGAGATGGAACTTGAGGTTTTGCGCGAGACCAAGTGCGCAGTGCATCAGCGATCCAAAGTAGATCGATTCACCGTAGGCATGGCCGATGAGGGGAAGGATGCAGATCGCTTGCAGCGACTCAAGGCTGGGGTGACATAAAAAATCGGAGCGTTGCAGTGCTTCGAGGGACGCGTTGAACCAGATTCGAGGAAGTGACACCATGTCTTCTGCTGTGTAGCCGATCTGAGCTCCATGTTCGACGTCGAGAAAGTATAGCGTCGACTGCTCGGTTTTGCAAGCAATGGTCAGTCGGGCGCGGAGTGCGGCAGCTCGCGGGATTACGGTCACGTACGGCGATAATCGCAAAATCTGACGATGAAAGTGCAAATTTGGGATGAGCAAAACGCCTCGTCCAGACGTTCACAGTACACTCACATCTCGCTAGGACGTCATACCGGGGTACCCGCTCCCTTTCGCCTCGTCGAAGGCAGTCCAACCACAACGCATGTTCTTGCAGGAAGCTGGGCACGTGAACGACGCAATGCACCCATTCGAGTAGCCGGAAATGGTTCTCGACCAAAAAGGTGCTCGTCTCGATCGGCACGAGGTCGAGCAATGGAACGGTGTGGTGGGACGGGATGTCTGAGCGGAGTGAGCTTTTGCCGTCTGATGAGAAGGGTGCCTAGTCTCCGCAACGAATCAAAAAATCAGCAGATTTTCTAAGACCAAACTGTGAAGGACTGTGGTGAGGAGTCTCACATTCTGGTTTTTGGGGTCCCTCAGGCCCAGTACGTCCAGTTCGCACGATTCAAGCACGCCGGGGGGTTGGATGGACGTTAAGGGAGCTGCTCCAGAGGTTGGAGCCAGACCACTTATGGGGGGTTCGTGAAAACCAGCATAGGATCCCTCGCGAGATCCCGTTTTCGATGCGGATGCATGCGGCGTGCCGGCTTGACCTCCCTTGGAGGCTTGTTTTGGGGCCCTAAGCAAGGCGTTGATTTGACGTTCTTGGGCGGCGGCTTTCTTGCGTAAAGCGACGTTTTCTTGATTCAGTTGCTCGACTGTAAGAGGTGACCTTTCCTGGGGTCCGCCGACGACGTGTCCGCGCACGACCACGGGTCTGTGGACCGATGGATGTGCGGCAGCGAGGAAGGGGGGTTGAGTACTTTCTGGCACGGGACTAGTGACGCGGGAGATGTATGGTGGCTCACTCTCTATGACATTGGTCCGATATACCTCTTGCAATGCAGTTGCTGCACGGGAACTCTTTGTTGCAACGTATCTGGGAGGGTTCGCACGGCAGATTGGGGGATCAGCCGTCACGTGCGCTGAGGAGCTAAGCGGACTTTGGCGGGTCGCAAAGGCAGGAGGCGTGGGTGGGGGTGGTCGCCGATCCGAGTTTCCGAGTGGACAAGCCTGTGCCTACCCCTAAGCGCAGGGCTAGACAACGAAGAGGAGTCTACCACAGTGACACCCGGTGTCATTGGATGAACATGTCGGTGCGGGAGGCAGACGAGGTTACCGGCAGGCGGGCGGCGTGAACGATACATTTTGGCCCATGCGATTAGTCGATTGCGAGCCGCGACTGGACCGCGAGTGAAGCTAATCCGCGGACAAGCTCATCGAGAGATTCCGGACGTGCCTTACCTTGCGACGATAGCAATACGTGCAGCTGCGGGGCAGGCGGACGATCCACAGCTATGATCAGTCGACTGAACTATATCTATACAACTCCGTGTCAACTCCACGAGACTCACCTGGTGATGGCACGCTGCCCGGTCCGGGGTATTCGACTGGCTCCACTGCTGCTGCTGGCCGCATCGCCGCCAATGTTGGCGCCCGATGTCGTTCGGATCGCGCCCGTGCTGGAACTCGTGCTGCCCTCAAGAGGGCTCGTGCTGGACGAAGGCGGGCCATGACCATCCGGAGGCGAGACCGAGGCCATCGTTTCTAAGGGTGAGATGAGGACTCGCGGCCAAGAGTCGATGGGATGGGCGGGGTCCTGTACGAAACGATGCAACGCGGTGGGGTCACTTGAGGTGGTCACTGGTCAAATCATCGAGCGTCCCGTCGAGCGCGAGACTTTCTCCCCGCTGCCGCGAATTTTAGGTTTATTCTAGCCTCGAGCCTCGGCGGGCCAAGCGCTGGCTCTGGCATGGCTCGCCATTCCGACTTGACGTCCCAATTTTACCAAACCTAGCAAGGCTGACCACCAAAATGATTCGAGGCAGCAGACCTGAACAACTGTTTCATCAGTCTGCAGCTCGTGAGACACCATCGCATTTTCTAACTTTGGATTCCTTTTGAAGGCGTCTCGGTCAAATTGAACGCAGAAAGTTCACAGTGGACCGAACCCGGAGAGGCTGATGATCGATCACTCATCACTCATCACTCATCACTCATCAATAGAGAGCGTTTCAATCAAGTAGGTATGCACAGATCAGATGCCGGTTTGAATCGGGCAATTTCCACTCGGTCCAAGCCTAAGGAGATCGTGGATGAGATTTATTCGGCGGACGCACGGCGCAAACCTCTTTCGGAAAACGAAAGTCCTCTTCTCGAGCTCGGACGCGCTCTCTTCTGACTTGGAGCCTGCTTTTCTTGATCACTTTTGCTTATTTGAATAGTTGTACTCCGTCTCTCTGTTCTATCAGCGAACTCCCCCTAGCGTTGGTGCGCCGGTGTCGCGTTCGAGTCCTCCCATGAGTCGGCAAACGCGTCCGGGTCCATCTCGTCCCGCTTCTTTTCAAAATTGAGCCTTGCTTTCGCTCGCTTGGATGCTTGCCGAGCCTCGTCGAGTTGTTGCTTCCATCGATTCGCGTCTTGTCCCGTCCTTTCGACCGTCGCCAGTCCAGCCAGTCCACCCGAGCTTGTGCCGTGCGCGGCGTCGATCAGTCGTCGCACCCGCTGCCTCAACGGCGGTTCCTGACCATGCAGGTACACCCTCAACGGCCCATCCTCGAGCGCGTCACGTTCACCACTCGTCTCCCCCGCTGATTCGATGTCGAGTTGCACGCCTCCGAGACCGCGTTGTCGCTCGTAGTGCACGATCCGGTCGGTCAAGAGCTTGTCGCGCAGGACGAGTCGGTCGATGCGCAGAGGGACCGGGCTGTGGATGTGTTGCATCGGGGGTGCAAAGTTTGAAACGATGTAATTGTCGAGCTTGGACGTTTGTAGCGGGGCAAAGGTCGGCGTGATGTGGTACAGGTCGATGAGCGACGAGAGCGCGGCCTTGTGCGAAGAAGCGGCGACACGCTTGTTGGGCCGGTGCTGACGGGCGGCCGAGGTGGCCAGCTTTGACGTCGAAGCGACGGGGACTTTAGGGGGCATGATCGATGAGGGTCTTGGAGGAGGAGGTCGCGATGGCACGGATGCTGCGGATGGCGTGGAGCCAGAGAGGGCCGCGTCTGCGTTATACGGGTTTGACTGTGACCAATCGAGCGGCTCGACAGCAGGGCTCGACCCGCGCACGCATGCCGTAGGCCGACAGTGACCTCACTCGGCGCTGACACGTCCGGATGAAAGGTATGAGCGAAAACTGGCTGATCGAGATTATTTCAGAGTTAGGCGGCTGTAAGACATTTGTTCAGGGCCTTCCAGAATACAAATAGGACGGATCACGGTTCAACAGTAGTACTAAGTGTCACCTCAGGTCGGAGAAATTTCGGGGCGACTTCCTGAGCGGCAGAATCGGATTGTCTAAGTTCCCGACGGCGCCGACTCGGATCGTTACTCTTCTCTGCTCTGCCGGTCTGCTCCTGTTCTGTTTCCTCTTCGTGTTCTTTCACCCTTCCGTTCTTCAGTCATCGACCATGGCTCTGCATTCGTTCTGGAGACGGATATTCGGCCGTCGCTCAAGGAAGGGCAAGCTCGCCAAGGCCGCTTCAACGACGACGTCGACGGTCGTCAGCCCGAGGTGAGTCCGGTCCAATTATCGGGGCGCGATTGCGAACCCGGTGCCCCACTCGGAACGAGACGCCGGATGTCCCGGGCTGTCGCTATTTCCACTGCAGTGGCTGAAATGTTTGGCATCGCCGTCCTACAGATCTCGCAAGACTACGAATGCGCTCAGCCGTTTCCGGTCGCCTCCCTCGCGGTCCGGTGCTGCGACTCTGCCTCGCGAGATCGTCTTCTACATCTTTGAGCTGGCGGCTGGTGATCCGAAATCAGGCAGCCAAGCGCTCGCCACGATTAGCCGCCTATGCACCGCCTTGCGCGACGACTGGGCCCTGCAGCGATTGTATCATCACCCCAATTTGCAGAACCACCGATTGAGCCTCTTCATCAAGACGCTCAAACGATCGCCCTCAATCGCGAACAGGGTCCAGCGCCTCACGCTGAATGGTTGGGACCCCTCGGTCACGTCGGCTTCGGCTTCCGTTCAAGGAGAGCGCCGAGGGGCCATCACCCCGAGGTTACCCCAGATCCTTGACCTCTGCCACAATCTCACGGACCTCGAAATCATCGGAAGCATCATCTTTTCTTTGACCGACTTTGCCAACGGTCATGGTCAGTGATTTTGCCATCGTCTCTTATCGCCGCCTTCGGCCCCGATACACCCTCGGCGCACGGACCCCCGAAGTCCCCGGGGTCCTAGCGTCATCATGATGACGATGCGGGTCAAGGGGCCTACCGTGTCCAAGCCGAAGCACATACTGCCAGGCCGTACTGAGTTGATCTGTTAATTGTCGTCACTGCTCGGCAGGACTCGTCTCTCTCACCTTGAACCAATCCGTTCTCTCGGACCGTACGACGACGTCACGATATCACCCTTTTTTCACGAGCCTGCCATCGCTCGAATCTTTGACGCTCAAGCACTCTTTCTCGGACGTCCCCACCGCGGCCCACTTCCTCTGTCACAATACCTTACCTGCGCTCAAATCCCTGCACCTCGGTGTCTTCTCGACCATTGAGGAACCCACTGCGCGCCGTACGACCGGACCGTGCGAGCCAACGGAACTCGCCCAGCAGCTCGAATCGCTGGTTATTCGCGACGAGCTTTTGGGCAAGGCACGCCAACTGACGCCATCCTCGTCGACCGAGCTCATCCACCCCGCTTTCGACTTTATCAAAAAATGCACCAACCTCCACGAGCTCTCGCTGCCCCTCGGAGCCGTCACTCAGGCCGTGCTTGGCAATCTTCCGCCAAGGCTTGAGCGGTTGGAAGTCCAGTCACCGGCAACTTCGCGGACCCCTTCTCCGGAGGCCGAGCCATTGCACATGCTTAAAGCGGTCAACAACCTATCCTTGACCTTCCTCCAGCTCGACGCCGAGTGTGAGTCAAGTTCAACCGTCGCGACGCCCATGATGGGTCGATCCCCCATTTCGTCCGTGTCATCGTCCCCCTTCTCGACCTTGTTCCCGACACCCGAGCGATCGCCAGCGAGCGAGGCGTGCGCACTATCGCAACTCTTGACGCTCCACGTCCCAAGGTCATGGGAGAAGTACGGATGGGGGGTTCACCCTCATGCGAAGGACTCGCTTCAAGGTGGTGAGCTGGACTGGTCCTTGGGGAGGGTGTGGAGGGTCTGCGAGCGACGCGGTATCAATGTGCGCTTCGAGGACGCATGAAGGGATGCCGATTCCCGCAAAGGTGCACATGAAAGAGGACACTTGTGTTGTTTGTATATTAAGACGAGGAGATGTATCGCATATGGGGCGGAAAGTAGCCGCCTGTGCCTGGGGGAGGGTGTATGCCAGGCGAAGAGTCTGGAGTCCGACAGTCGATGTCGGTTCAGGGGCCTTCGGATGGATTTGCTATCCTGTGGATCAGAGAGGCTTGATGGCCCTTTACCATCAGACGAACTTGCTTGTGTTTGAAACCATAGAAGTTGTGACAGTTCACCAAAGAGTCAATACATTGTGAAAGGTTTGTATAAGAAGTTGACCGACGCGGCGATGATCGTTTCCAGCGTTGTGCTCCCCCGCGCTAGCTTGTGCTGCACGCCTTTGCTCGCGGCCGCGCGTAAGCTCGCGTAAGTGGCCCTATTCGACACTACAAGCAGTTCGAAGCGTCCAGTGGGCTCCAGTGGGGCGACAACCTGCGACAACGCGGACCAGCGCGGACCTCGTGCTGCACCCGGCCTACCTCGCACCCCAGCCCCCCACTCGCTCCCTTGCCCGAATCGACAGGTCGTTGTCGACCCCTCTGTATCGACCTCTACGTCTGAGCCTCCGCATCAGCTTCCTAATCGTCGCTCACCCGCACGCCCTCAAGATAGCCCGCGCCACTTTGACTGCTCGAGCTCGACTCATCCCCCGCCTAAACCGCCGTGTCAGCCTCAACGATGGCAGACCTCATCTCCGAGACCGATGCTTGTAAGACCCATTCCTCCGCCACCTCTTGCTGTGCGGTATCCGGTTATGGGACACGGTGTCGTGTCGTAGTGGGATGCTGTGTTGCGTCCGAGTCACCACCTCCTCGTCAGGCGTTCTGCGGCCCCCCGCTCGCCTCCTCCACTCGCCGCTCCAAGCACGATACATGCTGCATGCCTTATCGGCCTGCCGTGCTTTGCCCTGGTAAACTTATCGCCATAAGGTGCCGATTGAGGAAGGCTGGGCTGGGGCTGGGGCTGGGGCTGGGTGACCTTGCACACCGTATCAGATACAGGGCATGCTTGCATGTGACGATCGAGTCGGAGGGCTCGTCATCCGCGTACCGTCCTCGTCCCCTAGCACCCGACGGTCTGTTCCTGTTCGGCTGGACGACATGCCATGCAAGCCGCCTCTCTGGCCATGACGATCCTCTTGGCAACACACGACCACTGCCTCCGTCGTTCAACGCTATCCAGCCATTGTGTTGGCCGTCCTCACCACGCGCGCCTTCCTGCGCTGATCCGTTTGCTGACGCTCCGATGCACATCCTGTACACCTCGGGTTCGGACATGGCCGTGCGCCCATCTTCACAGGGATCGCGCATTTGACCGATTGCAAGCAGTTGACCGAGATGGACGTCAAGCGGTTGTGCGACAAAGTCAGTCGGCGAATCGGCTCCAGCGACGCTGACGTCCACAATGATCTGCGCTTGGCGTACGTGCCCTGCGCGACCGGCAATCACAAACTGACTCAATCCGCTCCTCCCCCCATCTACTCGATCGCGCAGGCACGTGAGATCCTCGTCGACGAATCCAATGTTCAACCCGTCAGATGCCCCGTCACCGTCTGCGGTGATATCCACGGTCAATTCGTGCGTCTATACCCTGGCCTTCCCGCACATCAAATGCCCTTGTCTATGACCGGAACTGACTGGGTCAGATTGACTGACTGCCTACTTCTAGCACGACCTGTCTGAGCTGTTCCGAATCGGTGGCAACTCGCCCGACACCAACTACCTCTTCATGGGTGACTACGTCGACCGTGGCTACTACTCGGTCGAGACGGTGACCTTGCTCGTCGCGCTCAAAGTACGCTACCGTGACCGAGTGACCATCCTCCGAGGCAACCACGAGTCGCGGCAGATCACCCAGGTCTACGGCTTCTACGACGAGTGCCTGCGCAAGTACGGCAACGCGAACGTGTGGAAATTCTTCACCGACCTGTTCGACTACCTTCCCTTGACGGCCCTGATCGACGACTCTGTGAGTCCGCTCGGGTGTTTCCTCGAGTAGGATGCGCACTGATGCGCGATCGTCCGCAATAGATCTTCTGTCTCCACGGTGGTCTTTCCCCCTCCATCGACACGCTCGACCACATCCGCTCGATCGACCGAATCCAGGAAGTGCCGCATGAAGGCCCGATGTGCGATCTGCTCTGGTCCGATCCGGATGACCGCTGCGGATGGGGCATCTCGCCACGTGGTGCAGGGTACACGTTCGGACAAGATATCTCCGAGGCGTTCAATCACAACAATGGGCTGACGCTTGTTGCTAGGGCGCATCAGGTGAGCTGATCCGAAGGCGTACGTCCGTGATCATTTCCGTGCTGACGCTCCACCTTGGCTTGCTCGACCCGTAGCTTGTGATGGAGGGATAGTGAGTTCGAGTGAGACGCATCGCTTGGATGGGACATGCTCTGATCATCCATGCTGCTGAAAACTACAGCAACTGGTCGCATGATCGGAATGTCGTGACTATCTTCTCGGCACCAAACTACTGCTACCGCTGCGGCAACCAGGCCGCGATCATGGAGATTGACGAGAATCTTAAATACACATTGTGCGTGCACGTTATCTCGTCACATGTTGCCCGTTACTCACTGACTCGCCCCGCTCCGTCGTACACCTTGTAGCCTGCAATTCGACCCGGCGCCGCGATTAGGCGAGCCGCTGGTTTCGAGGAGGGTGCCTGACGTGAGTTGAGCTTCCGCCGGAGTCCGCCCTATTCGGCAAACATTGTACTGACGTTCTGCTCACGATTCCTTACGTACAGTATTTCCTGTAAATGACGCCGACGTGGAAAAAGGCCTCGGTCTGCTCTAGCAGGCCGTAAACACACGAGATTACCCTGTTTGACTCCTGCCTCCCCACCGCTCTGCAACATCCGGAAGACGATGCCACGCGTGCCCTCTCTGTGTGTGTGTGTGCGTGTGCTTTTGGACGCTTTCTTCTACCCGTCTGTTCTTTTCTCCTCCCCTTTACCCGGTCGTTCCCTCTCTTGCCTCCCTTTTTGAAGATACTACCCTCCATTGCTGCTGCTGGCTGCTGGCTGCTGCTGTTATAGCGAAAAAAATTCCAGGCTACTGAACGAATGAATCATGAACTCAAAAACCAGAGCGTTGTGTCTGACGATATGCAGTGCTTCGTGCACGGCCAATGTGATTTGAAGGACTGTTGTATCCGAGCCTCAATTGCCGGAGCGTGGCAACTGCCGCCGGGCGCCTCGAGCCGATTTGCTCCGGGGGAAGTCGCGCGCCACAAGCGGCCCAAGCGGCGGTCGGTCGTCGTGGCCTTTTCTGTGCCCGCCCGCCCACATTGCCACGAAACGCCAGGTCAATCGCCACGCCATGTCGCTGCGATTATTACCCCGACTTGCAGGTCGTAAGTACACCCGAACGGACAGGTTCATGGTCATTAGGACCGTGTTGCACTTCGTGGTCGTATATGAGGCAGTCGAGCTGATTCCGAGCTGGGCTGGTGTTTCCGATGGGCGCAGGACTGGCGTCGAGAACAGTCGCGAGCACCAGTGCCCGCCAGCTGTCGACGTCGGCCGTTCGCCAGCGTGTCGTTGCGACCTCTCCCGTCAAGGCCAAAGAGGTTCCCGTGAGTCTTCAATTCTGGAATACCCTGTGCGGAGCTGCGCGTGGGCGTTGTCGTCGTCGTCGTCGTCGTCGTCGTGGTGACCGGTCGATGTCCCCGTGTAGGCCGCGGTTACTGGGCCGACTCGGGCCCACCCCGATTTGGCGCGATGCTCATTGGCCGGCGATCGAAACCGGACGTCCCCCGCCCAGCTCCTCTCCCGGGGCCCAGGGCATTTGTAGATCGCAGCTGACTGACGCTCCATTCCGCCTTGCAACAGACGACCATCTCGGGCAAATATCCTTTAATCGAACATGAGGTCAGTCTGAGACTCTCTGTCGCCCCTGCAGGTCGTAGCAAACGCGGGGTTTGTCGGTTACACCCGCTTTCCCCCTCTGCCGCGGCCTCTCGTCTTGCATGGCGCAGCGGGCTACGTACGTCCATCATCCCGAGCGATTACTGACGTGTAATATTTCAACACTGTCGTCGCCTTTGCCGATTCTCAGTACGATGCCGTCGTGGTGTGAGTTGGCGCGGTTCATCTCTCCTCTTGACGCATCCGAGGCTGATCTTGCCGTGTCTCGTCGGTGAAACAGCGGAGCGGGTGGTGCCGGTCTTCGAGCAGCTTTCGGTCTTGCCGAGGCCGGATTGAAGGTCGCCTGCGTTACCAAGCTTTTCCCGACCCGATCCCACACCGTCGCCGCGCAAGGTGGCATCAACGCCGCGCTCGGCAACATGACCGAAGACGACTGGAGATGGCACGCGTACGACACCGTCAAGGGGGGCGACTGGCTCGCCGACCAGGACGCCGTCCACTACATGTGCCGAGAGGCGCCGAACTCGGTCCTCGAGCTCGAGAACTACGGTCTTCCCTTCTCCCGCACCAAGGAGGGCAAAATTTACCAACGCGCGTTCGGTGGTCAATCGCTCAAGTTCGGCAAGGGTGGACAGGCGTACCGATGCGCTGCCGCCGCTGACCGAACCGGTCACGCCATGTTGCACACCCTCTACGGCCAATCTCTTCGCCACAATACCGAATACTTCATCGAGTACTTTGCCACTGGTGAGCCCGGGGATCCTCGCCGAGATCAAGTGATCGCGCAAGGTGCCGATTGACTGACTGGGGTGTGATATTGGCTGCACAGATCTGATCATGGAGGACGGCGAATGCGTCGGTGTCATGGCCTACAACCAGGAAGATGGTACGATGCACCGATTCCGAGCGCACAAGACCGTTCTGGCCACCGGTGGTTACGGGCGTGCCTACTTCTCTTGCACCTCGGCCCACACCTGCTCCGGTGACGGTGCCGGTATGGTCGCGCGTGCGGGCTTGCCTCTGCAGGATCTCGAGTTTGTGCAGTTCCACCCCACAGGTATCTACGGTGCAGGTTGCTTGATCACGGAGGGCTCGCGAGGTGAAGGTGGATACCTGCTCAACTCGGAGGGTGAACGATTCATGGAGCGATACGCGCCGACGGCGAAGGATTTGGCCTCGCGTGACGTCGTCTCGCGTTCGATGACGATCGAGATCCGCGAAGGTCGCGGTGTCGGTCCCGAAAAGGACCACTGCTACCTCCAACTCTCCCACTTGCCGCCAGAGGTCTTGCACGAACGATTGCCCGGTATCTCGGAAACGGCCGCCATCTTTGCCGGTGTCGACGTCACCAAGGAGCCGATTCCCGTCTTGCCGACCGTCCATTACAACATGGGTGGTATCCCGACCAAGTACACCGGTGAGGTCTTGACCGTTGACGAGAACGGCAAGGACAAGGTCGTGCCTGGTCTCTACGCCGCCGGCGAGGCCGCCTGCGTTTCCGTCCACGGCGCGAACCGTCTCGGGGCCAACTCGCTCCTCGACATCGTCGTCTTCGGTCGCGCTGTCGCCCACCACATCTCGGAGACGCTCAAGCCCGGGCAGCCGCACAAGCAGATCTCTGCCGACGCCGGCCTCGACTCGATCGCGGCTTTGGACCAGATCCGCACCGCCGACGGCCCCAAGTCGACGGCCGAGATCCGATTGGACATGCAAAAGGCGATGCAGAACGATGCGGCCGTGTTCCGCACACAGGACTCGCTCGAGCACGGTGTCAAGGAGTTGAGCCGCGTCTTGGGCACGTGGAAGGACGTCGGCATCAAGGATCGATCCATGATCTGGAACACGGACTTGGTAGAGACGCTTGAGTTGAGGAACTTGTTGACATGCGCTGACCAGACCATCGTATCGTGAGTCGTGTCGTAACTTCATATTGGTTGTCCTTCCACTTACAGAGACTGACTGTGGGTTCATTTGATTTCACGCACAGTGCCGAGGCGAGGAAGGAGTCGCGAGGTGCGCACGCCCGGGAGGACTTCCCCGACCGTGACGACAAGGACTGGATGAAGCACACGCTCTCGTTCCAAAAGGACGTCAACACGGACAAGGTCAAGCTCTCGTACCGTAACGTGGTCTCGCACACCTTGGACGAGAACGAGATGAAGGCAATCCCTCCCTTCAAGCGCACGTACTAGACGCTCTCTTCCCCGCGATGTGTTACTTCTATTTCCTCTTCATCCCCTCCCCGATCCCGTCCTTCATTCTTACTTTGTTCATTTCGGCGTAGGTTGTAGCTTGTGTCCTTTACTCCTTTCTTTTCCCCCTTCTCGTCGAACATGAAACGATAGCGCCTAATCGCAACAACATGAAGAGCCTTTGCGCATACTTCGAGAGCAAGGAGCACAGCGTGGAGGATCGATGCCACTTGCTTCTAGTAGCCGATGGCGTCATTGAGACATGGATCACTGCCTCGGCGAAACCTCAGAGGAAAAGGGCCCTCTTTTTTTCGATGTGGTGCCGCCGGTGCTCGTACTGCCCAGTCTCACTCCCTCTCGTCGCTGCCAGTTGTGCACTGGAAGCTTGAAACGCCGAGAACGAGCAACTGCTCTGAAAGAGCTGGCATCGCGGAGAAGCAAATTCTCGAAAGCGTCAAAATCGTAGGAGTGTAGTATTCCAGTATCGCAATCCATCCCTAACTCCAGGGGACGAAGCCATCGTTTCACTCCGAGTCGATGAACTTCTTGAGCTTCGCCTGGTCGAGAATGTCGGATTCGACCAAGTGGGAGGAGGTGGACTGCACAAAGATGATGGAAGGAGGTGGTTAGTCATCCAGAAAGAGGTTGAGTGGGAAAGGTGAGAAGGGACTTGCGTCGGATACGCTTGTCGTGGAAGGTTTGGACGTGAGCTTGACGATGGTCGGGATGCGCGAGATGCCGAAGACTTCTCGGAGGGGCGAAGCTTTCCACCTATGCACGCATAGTAGGACGGAAAAGAAAAGAGGAGAGAGTGTCAGGTGAGGCCTTGGTTCGAAAAGAGGAAAAGCTTTGGAGTGATTTCCAGCGAGTTTGATCGAGTTGTAGAGTGTGGCTCGGTGGTTGGACGTACTCTGAACGATCGCCGACAAAGACCAAGGCGCTGTTGGCCTCGGGGACGTGTTGGTCGATCACGGGCTGCGCCTTGCGGCAGTCGATGCACCATGATTCACCCTGGGCCCGTAGACGGGACATACGAGTCAGCCATACTGCTTCATTGAAGTATGATCGAGCGCATCTCACACCGCTCCAAACTGACGGTGCTAGGGTCGATGGAAGCGAAGAAGGTGAGGAAGAAGGGCGATGACGACGAGGTCGCTTCGGGCACTTGGGACAAGACTTGGTCCGGGGTTTGCACCGAGGAGGAGGGAAATACTAGAGGCATGATGAGGGACGATTGAACCGGATGGAAGGGGTGAACGATCGGATGTGGGAAGGACAAGATGGCAAAGGCGGTGTGCACGAGGATAGGGACCGGTGTGGTTCACCTGACTAAACTCGAGTCATGCAGGTATATAAGCGCCGGCCAATTCGGGCACTTATCACGCGCCTGTGAAGTCACGCGGGGGTCGTCGGTTCCGATTCCGACTTCTCTCCTTGTCCTTCTCCCCTCTACCGACTCATCCCTCGACCCCGCCCACATCTCGGCCATGTGGACCTCACTGTTACTCCCCATCGCTTTCGCAGCCACTTCGGTGCTCGCCTCGGGCGACCCCCCTTTGCAAGCCCGAACCCAAATCACCTTCAACTCGGGCTCGCTCCAAGGCGCGATCGAACGAGGTTTGGGTCGGGTCGACAAGTGGGTCTCGCAGGGCGTGCGACAGTTTGATTCGTTCGTTCATGGCAATGGCATGACTTGTGAGTGCATTCTACCTTGAAAGAACGATAAAAGTGGCCTCTGAGACCGAATCGGAGCGGGCCAAGGCGGCTTGTTCCGAGGTTGAACGAACGAACGCTGGGTCCCATACGCCTGGCCGCTTGCGCCTCTCCACGCGCCAATCTCGGCCCTGCCAGACCAAGGAATGACGACGCTCGGCAGCTCGGGCCAGTGATAGGCATGCATGGCAACCCAAGCTGACCACTGCACCTCAAACACCTTCAATCAGACGAACTCATCACCCACACTGATTTCCCCAAGTACTCGATCCGACTGAAGGAGCCCAAGGTGAGTCGGAGAAGATCAGCAACACCAACACCGCGCAGCGGGGGGAGCCCGACCCCGCCCACGATTCAATCGACCGATCGCTAATGACGACTGCTGCTGCTGATCCGTCCACCCCTCCCCGCGCACCCACCACTCACAGCTCTGCGACGACACGGTCAAGTCGTACTCGGGCTACCTCGACCTCGATGTCGACAACCACTCTTTCTTCTGGTTCTTTGAATCGCGCTCCAAGAACCCGGCCAAGGACCCGCTCGTGCTCTGGCTCAACGGAGGCCCCGGTTGCTCCAGTTCGACCGGGTTGCTGTTCGAACTCGGGCCGTGCTCGATCACGGACGAGGGCAAGAATACCACCTGGAACAAGTACTCGTGGACCGAATCGGCCAATGTCATTTTCTTGGACTCGCCCATCAACGTGAGCTTCGTTTCTCCGAGGCTGGCGCCGGACCGACGACTGACTCGACTGTCCTGTCTTCTTCCCCCTGCGTACAGGTCGGCTACTCCAAGGGCTCAAAGACGGTCGCCAACTCGCAGGACACGGCCAAGGATGTCTACGCCTTCTTGCAACTCTTTTACGAAAAGTTCCCAAAGTTCTCCAAGAACGACTTCGTGAGTCCATAGTCTCGTGACTCGCGAGCGGCGGAAACGGCTAAAACCCCCCCCCCCCCCCTCTTCCCACAGCACGTCACTGGCGAGTCTTACGCCGGTACTTATATCCCCAACATCGCGTCGGTCATCTTCAACAATAACAAGAACCTCGACCTCACCAAGTCCAAGTCAATCCACATCCCTCTCGCCTCCATGGCGATCGGCAACGGCTTGACCGACACCTACACCCAGTTCGCGAGCATCCCGACCTTTTCGTGCGGTGGCGGCATCCACGAGCCCATCTTTGACGAGCAAACGTGCGCTTCGCTCCAGTCCAAGGTCGACACGTGCCAGCGCTTGACCCCATACTGTTACAAAGCCCCCTCGCGCTTCACGTGTGTCCCCGCTACTCTGGCGTGCTGGCAGACCGCAGGTCCGATTCAATCGTCCGGATTGAACCCTTACGACATCACCAAAAAATGCGACCGTGATGGCGAAGATGGACCGTTGTGCTACAAGCAAATGCAGTGGATCGAAACGTACCTCAACCAGGCCGAAATCAGGAAGGAACTTGGCGCCGACCCCGATACGCCCTTCACCTCGTGCAACATGCAGATTAACCAGGCCTTTACGTTCAACGGCGATGGTGAGTCACAGAGCTGGAGAGATTATCGGTGATTTGCGACACCGTGGACTGACTTTTCTCGGAGCGGTGGTGTTGCGTGTTACTAGTCGCTCACAACACGGCGGCTTTGATCCCCGAGATGCTCGAGGCGGGCATCAAGCTGCTCGTCTACGCCGGTGACCGGTGAGTAGATGACCATGTGGCAACTTCCCCAAGACCGAATGCACTGACGTATGTCCTCCATGTGATCTGATGTACCTTCAGTGACTTTATGGTGCGTCCACACCAATGCCTGCCCGCGCGAAGCCAAATCTGATCCCATCATCTCCCATCTCCCATTTAGTGCAACTACATCGGCAACCTCGATTGGACCTTGGCTCTCCTCTGGTCCGGCCAAGCGGAATACAACCAAGCCAAATTGCACAACTTCACCATGCCCAACGGCCACGCTGCGGGTTTGACCAAAAGTTATGGCGGGATGACGTACATGCAGGTTTATGAGGCTGGGCAGTGAGTTCTTCTCTGCTGTTTTCGGTCAAGATGAGGTGGTGGATGAGCAAGTGGAGACTAACGCGATTTTGCCTCAACCTTACGCGCTGCAGCATGGTGCCTTATGACAAGCCCAAAGAAGCGCTCGAGATGATCACCCGATGGATGCAAGGTGGCAAATTCTAGAAGAAGAATCTCATCTACTTATCGCCGCCTTTGATCTGGTTTTGTCTGTCGATCCTTCCTCTCTCAGCCTCCTTGCTCGGATCCACTTTGGATAAAAGTGTTCAGCTCGTCTTTGATCCCTCTTACACCTCACCCCTACTTTGATCGCACGGACAGCTGAAGGTCAAAGTCGTTTGGCTTTTTTGGTTTCCGCGCCTTACTGAGCGGCAATGTACATGATACGCGTACCAAATCGCGGCGTGCGATTCCAAATGCGTTCTCTTCTTTTCCGTTTCTCGTTCATGAAGACAATCCCCTCGAATCGTCATCGCTTCGAAGTCGGACGGATTGATTGGTCCAATGGATGGAGTGTTTGATTACAATGTTACAGGAGTGGTAGGGAGGAGAGGGGGCGGGGGTGGTATGATGCGAAGTATTGAACGACAAGTACAAGAAAGGTAGACTAGTGAACGATGGGAAGGTCATGGGAGGGATCAGTTCGGGTTCTTGTGCTTTCGACGGGAAGGGGCTTACGGAATCTTGAGGTTACTTGGAGAGTTGTTTCTCTGTGGATGTGAAAAAGGGAACGAGAGAGGGATCAGAAGGCTATTTGCTTTTCGGGGCCTGAAGGGGATCGCGAGAGAAGTCTGTCGGGTGTCGAGAAGAAAGCGTACCGAGGAGATCCTGCAGTAAGAAGCGAGAATGGGGAAGGGTCAGCTGATGCGATGAAAGCTCATAATACGAGTCATGGGAGCCTACCTTTGCCTCGTTGACTTTGGAAGCGATATATGGGCTTCCTCCTCGATCGGGGTGGTTTCTATCAGAGGCGCCGCATCGAGAGGGTGTCAGTCCAGAGGGGTCCGCGCGTCCCTTTGTTCGGTAATATGGGGAACGTACGCCAACATGATCCGTCGGTGTGCGTCCTTGAGTCGGTTGATGGTCATGTGCGATTCCCTGGGAAGTTGAGAAGAGGTGTGAGTCTTCCGGGCCGGGGCTGGATCGCGGATGGGTGTAGCCTCTTCGTTCGGATCATGGTAGCATTCATTCTTCCCAGGGTACTGTTGTCGAACATGTCAAGATCTCGACATGTCTGCGCTGTACGATTCCCTCCATGTGGGGCGAACGTCGAAAGGGTGAAGCTTCGCAAGCTCGTTCCCGTGCCTCTCTCAACGGCGCCACTGACCTCAGCCCCAAGATCTGCGCCGCCTCCTTCCTGTCCATCTTCCCCTGGAAGCCTCCCTTGACCCATTCGTCGCCTGCTTTCTTCTGACCTGCGATCGCGGCCATCAGAGGGGAGAGTTTGGCGCCGTTCTTGGCCGCTGATCGGAGAGAGGCGCGTGCGGCGACGCCGAGTCCCAGCAATGCACCGGCCCCTACGAGGACGGAAGCCATCTGTCTGTGGTTTGAGTTGAGGCGGGGTGTTGGAGGTGTGGGCGTTTGCGAGCCTAAAGTGGCGTGCGAGAGGGGAGAGGAGGATCGCTCTCGGAAGCGCTCCCGATAGCGCTCGGCCGCGCGAGACCGAGAAAGCGAAGAAAGCGACGCAGCGACGCAGCGAGAGAGCGAGAAAGGGTCTCCTCTTTCTTGCTCGGGCCCACACGAGCCACGGGGGTCTCCTTTCCATTTCAACGCGGGCGGAAAAGAAAACGACTCCCCTGAAACATGACGACCGCCACTTCGAGGATACCGACGACTCTGAGCTCCCACTCTTCGACTCCGACCAACTCGACCACGGGCGCTCATCATCATCACCATCCTTACGCCCGACCGGCTCCGTCGAGCACGTCCTCCACTTCGAACCTCAGCACCGTGTCCAACCCAGCCTCGGCTTCGACCGCTTCAAACTCGAGTAGTTCGAATTCGAAAATGCCAGGCTCGACCCCGACGGCCGCTTACGCGATCGCTTCCTCGTCGCCTACCTCTTCCCCCAAATCCAAGTCCACCTCGACGCTCACCAACCCCTCTTCTCGAACAGCGCACAGCCACATCCCTTCCCCGTCGCACTCGACTCCTTCCGCTCCCAATCTGGTCTCGTCCGACCCCAAGAAGCGGCGTGTCTCGACAGCTGCAGCTGCAGCTTCAGCCGCATCGTCGTCGTCGGCGATCCCTTCCTCGCCCAGACTCAAAGCCCCTTCTTCTTCGATCCCCGTCGCGAGTGCTTCTTCGACCACTTCTTCCCCCGATCTAGCCGGCTCCATCGGAACTACGAATACTACAAGTACGAGCGGTAGCAAGAACAACAACAACAAGAAGAAGAAGAAAAAGACCGCCGCTGCTCGCATCTCGACCCTCTCCGCAACGGCGATCGAATTCGATCCTACGCCCGCGACGACGGTCAAAGTTGAGGAGGCCGAAATGGCCAAGAGGGTCGAGCAGGAGGTGTTGAATGCCGAGGCGCCGAGGTTCGAGCCGCCTGTGGAGGTGGTCAGGAGGGTCGAGGAGCAAGAAGAAGAGTTGCATTTGAAGGAGCAGCAGCAGCAGAAGAGCGCCGAGGGGGTAGAAATGTACGAGGTGGATGCGCCGGTGGAAGAGACCAAGGTCGAGGAGGACAAGATTGAGGAGACAGCTCTTGTCGAGGAAGCACACGTTGTTGAGGTTCAGACCGAAGCCACGCCCGAGCCTTCGGAGGCAGCCGAGGAGGTCCGAAAGGAAGCAGAGGTACCGGTGGTCGAATCGGAACAAGTCAAGGTCGACGTCGAGCCGGAAACCGAGGTGGAGCTCCCTGCACCGGAGCCTAGCACGACGGAGGTCGAGGCCGAAACCGCTGTGCAGGAGGCTGAAGCGAAGCAAGTGGAGGACGCTGCGGTCGAGCAGGCCAATTCGGAGGCTCCCATTATCGAGAAGACTAAGCAGCAAGTCGAGGAGTTGGCCGCTTCTGCATCCGAGACGGCGCAGGTGAGCAAGAAGATCGGTTTGTTCATTTTTATCCTTGACCTCTGTGCTGACCGCGTATGAACACAGGCTGCCAAGGAGCACATCTCTACCACCGCTGAAGAAGCCGTCGAACGAGCCGAGGTTCAAGCCGACCATGTCGTCGAGCAGGCTAGTGAGGTGACGGAGGCGGCCGTCGATAAGACTATTGAAGTGGTCCAGAACGCCAAAGAGGTCGTCGCAGAATCGATCGAGACGGCCCAGAAAGTCGTTTCGGACAAGGTGGAGCAGGCCGCCGAGGTTGCAGAGGATACCTACGAGAAAACCAAGGAAGTTGTTTCGGACGCTGCCGAGACCACGAAGGAGGTTGTTGTGGATGCTGTCGAGACAACCCAGGAGGTCGTGTCCAAATTATACGAAACGACCCAGCAGGTCGTGTCGGATTCGATTGAGACGACCAAGGATGTCGTTTCGGATGCCGTCGAACAGGCTCAGGAGGCCGTTTCGGAAGCTGTCGAGACAAGTAAGGAGGCCGTCTCCGAGGCATACGAGACTACCAAAGAGGTCGTCTCCGATTCCGTCGAGAAGTCGATCGAGGTCGCCGAGGAAGCAAAAGACTGCGTTGTCGAAGGGGCTCAGTCGTTCGTGGAGAACGTTTCGGCTGCTGTTCAATCCGTCGTCCCGCCTGTGGAAGAGACTCGAATTGTGGAGCAGGACATGTCGGTGCCGATTCAAGTCGAGAAGGAGATTCAAGCGTCCGTCATCTCCTCATCCAAATCGACCGACCTCCTCATCTCAGCCGAAGAAATCGCCGCTGCCCGCGCCACCTCCGATCGATCTCAAGACCGCATTCCCGTGTCACTCCCCTCGGTATCGGATTTGACTTCTTCTACGGGTATTCCCGAGACGTTGGATGAGGACGAGATGCCTCTGACGGCGGAACAGGTCATCGCGCTTCCTAGTTTGGATGATCTGCTTGGTGTTGATGAGGTTGAGCCGATTAAGGTGGAGGTTGAGGAGAACGCTGGGCTTTCAGTTTCGGCTGTGCCGGAGCACCTTGCTGCTTCAGGGTCGGAGGCCGAGGTTGTCGATACACCGATTGCACCTATCTCGGGTGAGAACTTGGCATTTTCGGCGGATGAATCGGCATTAACGCTTCCCGCAACAACAAATGACGCCGCCGCGCCTTCCGCTCTGGGAGGTGAGATGCTGACTTCCAACTCGGCTCCTCCGTCATCCCACGGCAACGACGACGACGACAAGGATCCCTTTCACCAAGCGGAAGATGCCCCCTCTTTGACTTTGACGATCGTCAACACATGGAAAACGACCCCTTGGGCAGCCAAGTTACCTGCTATTCTCGCTTCCGTCGTGATCAACTTTGGTCTGCCGTTCATCAACGGGGTCATGTTGGGTAAGTGCTTTGACTTCGGCTTGTGGGACAGCTTGTGGTCGGGCTAGAGACTGATCCCTTTCGGGCATCCTGCATCCTCAGGTTTCGGCGAATTATTCGCGCGCAACTTCATTGGTGCGCGAATGGGATGGGGCAACCCTTTCCGAGCACCGGGGCTCGACACAAGAGGGGAAAGAGCCAATACTGCCGGTGTAGGGTTGCGGGCTGCAGGACCTTCCAAGATCCCTCCTGGTGGAGCTGGGAAGAGGACGGCGATTGAGGCGTTGGAGGTTGAGGCTATGAATGTGGCTAGGGAGGCTTAGAGCTTGATACTCTAATGTCACGAAACACACGAAACATCATTACAATCTCACCAAAACTTATTTTGGATCGTGGAAGATCGCTGTGGGACTTTCTCGTATCATGACGGAGAAGCTCATGACGGTAATGCGTATCGTTGCAGAGAGAGTACAAGGTAGAGGGCAGAGCAAGAGCAATTCCGTAAGAGTGGGTAAGAAGAAAGTATTCGACCAGCCACAGACGCACACCAAAATACTACTCGACGGAATGAGGAGAGAAGCTTTTTGGCTTACTTGCTTCCTCCCTTTTTGCTCAACTCGGTCCGCAAGATCAATTCGCGCCAAAACTTGACGACGAACTCGCTCGTCTCTTCGTCGAGGACCTATGACAGACAAAGGATTAGCAAAGAGAAATCGAGCTGCTAAATGACGAGCTGGTGAATAGGTGCGCACCGGTTCGAGTTCCTCGATGAGCGCTTGCGGCGCAGCGTGTCTCCTAATGTGAGTCATCACGGCGCTCAAGAGTTCCTCTTCCTCAAATCCCAGGGACTCAACGATCATACTTGTCGTAAAGGGCACTAGCTCCTTGGTGATCAAAGCCTGCGCGATTAGTCCAATGGCGATCAGCATGGGAATTTCGAGGCGACCAGAACTACACGTGTACGTACCTCGCTCAATCCAGACCAGTATATCGGCCAGGCAAACACCTCATCTTTCGATCTCGATATCCTTGCCTCAAGATCTTCCTTCCTTTCCTTTGACGACTTGCCATCCTCCGCTTCTCCTCCTTCGTCGTCGTCGTACACCAGAGGGATGAGCGCACGCTTCGTCTTGCCCTCTTCGTCATCATCGGCCAAACCCAATAAGCTCGTCGCAGGTTTGGCCGGTTTGATCGCAGCTTTAATGACGGTTGGTTCGAGCTTAAGTTTTACGTCCAGTCCTGAAGGCGGTGCGAGCAATCCCAATTGATCAAGGAATGCATCACCCTGCTTGGCAGCGGCTTCATATTCTTCCTTCTCGCGTTGACGATCGAGGTCATCGGCTTCTTGCTCACGCAGTCGCTGAGCTCGGCGTTGCGTCCTCCATCTCGATCGATCGATGTAGAACGATTCGCGCCCTCGTTCAACTTCAGCTTCGTCGTCCCATCGTGCCAAGCGATCCAACATTGCGTCTCGTTCTCGGGCTTCGCGCTCCTCTTCGGCTCGCTCGCGTGCTCGTTCTCGGTCGTAGTTGTTGATTCGTTGTCGCTCACGTTGCTCGAATCTCCGCTCGCGCTGTGAGAGCAAAAGATCTCACTCAGTGAGGTGTAAAAGCCAAATCCTAGATGATTTAGGTACTCACCTCGTGAAAGAGTGCCTCTGCATCCCTGTACGCCCTCTCTGCCCTCTCGCGTTCCTTTTGCGCATCGTCCAGTCCCGTCCCCTCGCTCACGAAGCTCACAGGCTTGTTATAGCTCTGCGGATCATCGCTCGGAGCGCCCGTAGGTCCAGGTCCTGACTTGGAGTTTGCCGACGGTGAAGCTGACGAAGGAGCACCAGCCAGAGAAGGATGCGAATTCGACCTCGCCGGCCCAGTCGGGACCGATCTCCTCTCCGCCAAAATCCGATTCGTCACCGCCTCCTGCTCCCTCTTCAGCTGTGCGGCCTTCTTCTCCGCGGCCTTCTTGAACGCAATCTCACGAAACATGGCGATCTCGGATGTGATGGCTTCGCGGTGGTGTTCGGGGAGGTCTTCGGGTGCGAGATCGCGGAGATGGGCGGGGATGCCATCGTCGTCGGGGTCAGTCGAGTCGCCCATGGGTGCTCGAGCAGCGGAGGGGGATTCTCCTTTTTTGATGCGATCTGCGATAACACGTAGATCGTTCTTGGCTTGTTCCAATAGATCGGCCTGGGACTGTGCACGATAGGATGAGGCAAATCAGCTCCTGTTCGTTGCTCGTCGTGACGAAAGATTCGGAGCAGAACGCTCACATCGTCGTTCACCCGCGTTTTCTCGTATTCATCAAGCCTCGCTCGTACTTTGTCGTCCGTTTTGATCAACAAGGCGTCGGATTTGCCGGAGGGGTAGCTGATGGCAGCGCCGTTGAGGACCTCGAGCGCACGAAGGACTACCTCGGGGTCACCGTATTCGACGAAGGCCATCGGTCTGGCCGGACGAGTGACGGACAAAACAGGTCCCGCGATCTGAATGTATGAGATGATACAGTGTGAGTAGGTGTCCGAGTCTTGCATGCCTCGAAGCCACTCGGGGCTACGCCGACGAGCACCGTCGCAGACTGACCTCCAACAGCTTGTTCAACCACCCATCACTCATCTCGGCGATCTTGCCCACGAACAACTTGAACCTTTCCCGACTGAGTTGAGGAACGAACCCAGGTGGTGGACCCCCTCCTCCCATCATGCCTGGGTCGTGAGGAAACCCAGGTGGAGGTGGGTACTGCTGCTGCTGCTGCTGCTGTTGCCCGCCATGGAACGAATTCGGCGAACATTGTGGCTGATGATGGTGGAAGCCTGGTGGTCCTGAACCTATCCCAGCATGTCGGGGTGGGTAGCGATTCATAGGCCCTCCGACGGGGGGCGGTGAGGGTGCATAGTTGGGGTTGGGGTTGCCGCCCGGTGGTCCGTACGACCCACCAGCACGGGGACTGGCCCCTGCTGCTGCTGCTGCTGCTGATGGAGGCGCACCAAAGCCTGGTGGAGGTCTGAACCCGGGGGGAGGGCCTGTGAGGTCGAGCAGTCAGTGGTGGCATCACTGCATCTTCCCACACTCCAGCGTTACTCACCTCCTCCGTACATCTTGCACGCGAGCGACGGAAAATGGGTGGGGAGCGGAGAAAGAACCCTGGGTCGCACACGCTCCAACGATCAGCTAGCCTTGACCCAGCTCGTCGAATTGCTCGAGGTTGTTCGTGACCTTTTCCACCTTTTTCTCTCAGGTGGATTCGGAGCATGAACCTGCTCTTGGGGAAATGATTTCATTTTGTCTAATTACATCGTAGATCGTATCATCTGTGGAAGCGCAGAGCGTACAGAATGATCGTCGGCAACCGAGGACCACATTCGACATCTTCAATCACACTGGCTTGTAAATTAAAACCACTGTCGCTTCTGCAGAACAAGAAGGGTACGGCGAGCTGATCAGTATTGGGTACGTGAGCCTACCATACTGTGCTCCACTCACTTTGAACCCCAACAACTCCAACAAGCTCTTGCCCAAACTCCCAATCGCCTTCGGCACGACCATCGGCGACCGAATCGGCACGCCCCTCACCTCGACCTGCCAAGCGACCTGCCCATCGATGTAAACTTGCACACGCACAAGGGGTTGGTTCACGACGCGCGTGTCGACTTCAAACGTCGTGAACTTGTGGTTCCCGTCGGGGAGGTAGTTGAGCAACACGTCCTCGCCCGTCGCGCCCCGGTTGTTGGCTTGCGAAAGCGTGCGGATCGGCAGGTAGAACATGTTCAGCGGAGAGGTCGAGAACTCGGTCACCGTCGTGCGAATACTGGCGGCGGCAAACTCGTGCCGATCCTATCGTGAAGACAGCGTCTCAGCGACCGGTCGAGTCAGAAGGATGAGGGAAACGGTCGAACTCACCCCCGAGAGTACGATCACGTTGGGCACATATTGCAGCGTGTCCATGATGGCATCTGAGTCCGATCCGGGATGAGATTTCAGCACCCAGCATAACCAAGCAGGAAGCCACAGACGACTGACCTCGTTCGCTCAAGAACCCAGCCCATGTATCTTGGCCATGATTCCACAAGCTATTGAACGGAACGCTGCTCGCCACAAACTTCCACGTGACGGTGTTGTTGACCTCCTTGAGCCACTTTTCAAACGACTCGCGTTGCTTCTGTCCCAGCATCGTCTTGTGCTCGTCATCGATCGCGCTGTTCTCGGACCGGTAACGACGCGTGTCCCAGACGAAGAAAGCTGCGTCACCATGACGGAACGAGTAGTAGTCCTCTCCCTCGTCGACGGGAGAAGGGTTCGCCGACCCGAGATAGTCGCGGTACGCCGCATTGGCTGTCGCGAAGGACGGATCGGACTCTTGCGAGGAGAAATCGTTGCGGATCTCATGGTCATCTTTGGTGTAGAGCGAAGGCAGCTTTTCGAGGAGGGCCAGCATGTCGGGTGAGCCGAACGTTTGTCGGTAACGTTTCTGGTACTGCGCGACCGACGGGCCTGCATAAAAGGGAACCTGTGGGGTACGCGCGTTGGACGTATTAGCGAAGGCATGGTTCGGATGCTACTCTCTGTAACCCACATCGGCATAGATAAAGTCGCCAAGCATGAGCATGAACTTGAGGCCCTTTTCTTCGACGACCTTCTTCAGCAAACGAGCACCCTTGATCGACTTCTTGTTCCAAGGACCTGTGTAAGGAAACCCCGGCTTGACGCACGACGTAGAGACGAAGGAGAAATGAGTTCCCGCGCCAGGTGAGCCAGCCGAAGAAAGCGCAGGGTCGGGGAAGGTCGTGAACGAATAGGTCGAAGGGAACGAAGGGTGTTGCGATGAACTGAGCGTCGGACGAAGGAGGCGGAATTCGTATTCGGTCTGGGCCCACAGGCCCTTGAGGTGGAGCACACCGGTGTAATCACGGTTCTCCTCGACACGCAAATCACCCCCATCGATCCATTTGCCGAGCGGCTTGGTCGGACGGTAGACGACGCGAGCCCCGGCAAACGAGTCGACCTGGTCACTAAGCACGGCGGAGAGGATTGTGTCGTTGGCGGACTGCACCGGTTCGGCCGTCAAGGCAGTGTGGACGGGAGGTACTCGAGCAAAAACCTTGGCCGACATGTGGTCCACGGCACCGACGCGGGCAAAGGCGAGATCGTGCTCATGCTGACCCAGGATCGGGGTCCACAGAGCATCTAGACAGAGGCCCAAGAGGAAGACGTTAATCGCAAGCGTGACGCGGTTGAGAAAGATCGAGTGCGACGGCGTGGAGAGGACGAGGTTGGAGATGAGCGATCGCAAAGTGACATCGCTTTGTGGTAGTTCTTGCTCGGGCTCGTCTTCCAAAGGAATGAGAGCATCGGTCGGCTCCTCCGAATCGAGGGCCTTGATCTGCTTCTTCTTCTTGCGTCGGCGCAATGAGCCCGCAGCGGAGGAAGGGGACGTCGGCGTCGAAGCAGTCGAGCCGGTCAAAACGGTCTCAAAAGCTGCATCGCCCTTGAGCACGATCTCGTTGTCGCTCGAGGTGGGCTCAGTCGCGGCGATTTGAGCAAAAGTGGGTGCACCAGGGGAGATGATGGTCTTGGCTCCCGACGTAGGCGTGGCGGGTCGCTCAGACTCCACCTCGGTCGTCTCCACGCGATGAGTTGGGAGCTCCTTGGTCGGTGTGGGCGAGTTGTAGTAGAAGCAGAGCGCGTTGAGGAGGAAGAATGCCGGGAGCAAGTAGGTGCCCTGACGTCCTGGGATCAATCGAAGAAATGCTGCGATTGGGTGATGAATGGCGCTGTCAGCTATGGAGCTCAGTGCCCCTTTAGCTTTAAAGTGACCTACACCATACGAGGAATCGATATACGAAACCGGTGAAGCCACCGGTAAAGGCGAGCAGGGACACCTGCAACCGCCAGAGGGAGATCGATCGAGATGAGGAGCACGGTCATCAGCTGCGAAGGCTTGTTTAGCCAACAGAGTTGAACCAAAGACATGTAGCTTACCATATTTTGCACGTAGGTAGCTGACCCAACTGACTCTGAGGTGGAGTGGGGAGCTACAGGGGGGCCGGACGAGCCTGATCACTCGACTGCAGGTGATCAGTGCGTGAGAAAGCGACTTGAAAGCCGGAAATGCGCAAAGAAGTGCGCAAATCGGAGGAAGCGAGCAAATTGCTTTGCGCGCTTGCGATGACGGCAGATGACGGCAATCACACATGCGCCCGCATCCACGCATGGGAAGGTCGGCCGCAGCCCTTTTCGCCAATTTTGGCCCGCGCCAAAATAAAATCGCTTTCAGTATGAGTAATGGCCACTTTGGGGAGACTGGGCGACCTACCCGCTGGTGCACGTGGCTGGAATGGCAGTGGACATGGCGTGGTACTCGAGTTAGTATCGACCCACGGGATCATCTCTCAAAGCAATTATAGAGCTCCAACATACATTTTCGATCCACTGAACCCATTTGATGGAGGAACCCACCCTTCTCCGTTGTTTCATTCAGCAGGCACGATGACGGCGACGCTTCACTTGACTCTTGCAGCCCCCACCCCCACCCCCACTCAGTGCGAAACCGGCCCAGATCGCGCAGTCGCCGTCGCAGTGGCAGCCGAGTACAGCCTCTGTCCCGCCAGCATACGAGTGCATACACATGCATGCACGTGCACCTCAGTGGCTAGTCATGCCTACTCGTTTTCCTCTCGGTCAAAGTTCTCTGCACGACATTCCACAGCTAAGCACCCTTGTGCACGCTCGGATCGAATCGGCCTCCCGCGGCTTGCAGTGCTTCGTTGCGAAGCCCCTTCATTCGCCGACCGCTGACTGTACTGCGTTCATCCGACGTGAAGAAATAGTAGCAGTGAAGCAGCTTGTCGTGCGGCCTTGCTGCCCACGCCGCGGTCGCACAGCGGAAGGTCGTACAGAGGACGTCGCCTCGAGCTCCCTCGATCTGATGGTGCTCCCCTTGCCACTCGGCGAACCTGGTGACTGACACTGCCACATGTCGAGCTGGAACCATCTCCCCTCGGGAACGACCACGCTCACCTGAGGACCTGTTATAAGACCTTACCTGTAAATCTTCTCAGTGAGGTAGGACAGAGCTACTACCTGAGCCGCCGCAGAAGGTTGACAGAGAGTCCGACTGGCACTTAGTGTCGACGGGTGGCAATAGCCTGGAAGCAGTGTAAAGGTTTTAAAGGGAGGTGTTTTAGTAGACCTTGCACTGGTATCAGGGTCCGGATAGCTTGACACGTCTAAAGCTTTTCGAATGATTTTCGAATGATTGGAAGCGACCCAGGTCCGACTCCTGGTCCAAATGTTCTCTTCTTCTGTCGATCATTCGGAACCATTGTTGATACGACAGAACAGATCGTCTCCGAGAACGGAGATCTGCAAGTGCTTAGGGTCGAGTAAGTGATCGACCTCAATATGCCTTGACCCACTTCCCGCTCTCGGACTTGTGCTGGTATTTGGAAGATGTCTGTTCAGCTTTAGCGGTAAGAGTTCCACGCTCATTGTTCAAGCGCGCATCCGTGCATTCTAGTCCTGACTCAGCGTCAGCCGATCCTAGCCTCTCCGGAGCGCTCAGCGTATTCCGAGCCTCCCCGGAGCGCTCAGCGTCCTAGGTCTCTCCGTGAGTTCCTCAGAGCCTCAGCCTCTGCGAGTACCTTGCGTCCGCGCCGCTCACCCTCTCCTCGGTTCCGCACCGTCGACACATTCTGGGACCAGCTCGCTGCTCCAGCACTGCCACCCTCTGCCAAGGGTCAGTTGGTCCTCCAACATTGGATCCTCATCCAAGCGATCCGTCGCTCACCCCGTAATCTCCTTCATCAGGACCTTACAGCAGCCCGCTGCTCTCCAGAAACCCTCGACGCACGCACGCCTGCCACGCGCTCGAGGTAAGTGTTCAGAATACGCTCGGCTAGTTGCACGACGTACTCATAGCTCACTTGCCGTGCAGTAGTTCCCCGCGACCTCTCTGTACGATCTCTACCCTTTCCTGGATCGCCCTAGTTGGGCGCACCAAACTAACGCATAGCATCCCATAGGCTACCGTCCGCGGAGTCTTCCCGGACGCTCGTTCAATTGTATTGAACGCCTGCGCTACGCCTCGCAAAGGTATGCTACGCCGTGTCTCTGTCATAGTTGCCCTGTTACTTATCATCCCCGATCGCTACGCCTCGCAAAGCGATCTCTCGGTCTCTTAAGCTTCCCGCCCACCTTCCCTATTTACACTCTAATGTCTCTTTCTTACTTTGATACATTTCTATAGTGACCGAGTTGTTAGTTACGACACGGTCCCTTTCGGTTTCTCGAGCCCCGCTGCAACATGACATGACCTCTCTCGCTAAAAATCACTGTGCAAGCGGCTTTGGAGAGTTGAAAGGATAATGGGCTCTGGCGCCCCCGCGGAATTGCCACAAGTGTGCCTTTGGCGATTGTCTTCAATGATGGCTGGCTCGCTGACTCGCGTCTCAACCTGGTCAACCTTGGTCAGGCCCCGACCCGTCACAACAGTCACCAAGAGCTGCACGCTCCGACCAACATTGAGACGATCCACGTTCCCCATCAAACATCGCAATCATCTACGGCACTGCAATGGGCATCTCACTCAAAGTGCTCCTCGACAAACACGAGCGCTTCCTACCCGCGGCGCTTTCCGACTTCTACTTGGACACCTACTGCGAAGCAAGGTCTAGCAAGCAGCCTGTGCACCACCTTGAGAGTGAAGTCATCTGGCAAGCCGTGTCGGCTTCGACCTGGAACGAGCTCTGCGTCTACATCCGGGCCGTGATGGCGCGCTACGACGAGGAGACGACCCGACTCGGGCGCACTTGGAGCTACAATCTGCTCTCGGCAAATGTGCGCAAGCAGTGGAAAGAAGCACTGTATTATGAGTGGCTGGTCGACTTCGAGCTCCACCGAATACGCGACTAGACCGGCCTGGGTACGTTGTCGTGCTCGTCGGGTTTTGAGGTGGCGCTGACCTTCCTTGGTGACGTGTCCATCACCGTTACCCCCAGCCATGCATCTCCTTCGCAGCGATTTCATTCGAGGCTTCAACTCCAAGCATCCCAAGCTCGACCCGCCACTCCGCATCTCCGACAATCTCGCGATTCGCCTCGGCCCGTTTGGAGGGTTGCGATCGGGGCAGGAGGATCGTGTGATCTACAATCAGGAATTCGCATCGCCTTACCTATTTCATCCCGGAAACCTCACCCCTTGGGAAGAAGCGCATTTCAAAAGTGAGTGGGACGGTATGAATTGTGCTCTCTGGTTCTGTTGTGGCGACGCCGCGACTGGATGGGGTCATCCAGGTCTCTGATCACTCCGCACTGTGCGCAGAGAGAGGCATACGCTTCGATGCTGTACCCGATTTTAAGTTTGAGAACACCATCGACATCAGAGCTGCGAAGCATACCGCGTTATTGGGCCTTCCTGACCTAATCGAGCCAACCATAGCCCGTTGCCGCATGCGTGAAGAGGATGGAGGTGTCGACGAAGCGCTCCTTCAGGAAGGCGATGTCAGGAAGTGCGTGTGTTTGTGATCAGTCTAGCCCGAGCCGCGCTTGCCCATATTGTCTCTTTCGTTGTTAATACATGCCACGAATACGCTGTCAGCACTAGTGGGCCTCACGCCGACCAAATTTCGCTCGTGGTGCATCCTTACCTACGTCCCCCGTCATATTGCAAAATTTGACTTGAGCACAAGGCGCTCGCTCACTACGCAGCTACCGTCTCAAGCCGACGTATTCAGCTGGCGTGATCAATGTTTCCTTTTCGCCGGTCCAGACTGCACCGGACTTGGGCGCGGTTGGTTGTCGCTCGACTCGTCGAAAGCGGCGAGGCGAGTCGGGAACTCCAGAAATGGCAGAGCTGCTCGCCTAACTTCTAGCTAGTTGGTATCATGGAAAGACGCATCAGTGAGCGAGCAGTTGATTGACTGCGAAAGATAATAAATGGTACAGCGAAAAAGAGACTCGAGCACTTGTTCGCGTGTTCTCCTCGTCTCGCTCAGCCCATGCGCACCCCAGGACTCGGACCGTGGTCACGCTGCTGGCAACCGCACGGGATGAGGAGCCCTCCAGTTCCTGCAATTCTACCGGCCTATGCACCGGGTCATCTTCCAGTAACTAAGGTTCGGCGGCGCGCTCCGCGCGCCACCTCCCACCGTAACCGTGACGTACTTTGCTGCAACAGCTGCGGTACTGTTCAGTAACGGAAACCGACTGGTTGAAGCCGGGAGAGGACCGCGCAACGACGATCAAATGTACAGAGACTTCATTTCATCATTGAACTACATTTTTGTTCTCCGGGATCCCGATGATGGGCTCAGACCGTCGTCGAGACCCGCGTCCGAGTCGAGTGTGGACCTTTTCACGGGTGTCGCAAACTTGACTTGCGAGCTGCCACGGGATGGTGAGCCGCAAGCAACGGAACCAGAGGCCTTCTTTTTGCGTGATTCGTTTATTAGAACTATCGGTATTCTTGATGTTGTTCATCTGTAGCGATGGCAGTGAAGACTCACATTTAGTGTCCCATGGACCCGGATTCTCAGCGGTACGAAGTCAATCCTTCCGCTGTATTTTCCGGTGGCCTTTGACTTCCACGCATTGGTTTGTACTGAGCACATGACTGCACATACGTCCCCCACCCTTAAAATGGTGTTTGCGTACAGCTCAGCATGCCCGTCACCGTTTACGGGTAGCGGCGTAACGTAATACTTCGCTACTTTTCGGCCATTGCAGCTTCCTTCGCGAGCGTTGTTGTAGAACATGTGGTATTTGTTGGCATCGATGTCGTTTTTCCAGGCAGGCCACGGTGGATGCCCCCCCTTTTCGGGGATAGGGTCACCTCCTGTCACCTCCGTCCAATGTCTGTTTTTCAAATCAGTTACCGTCATGCCTAAGACTGCACAGCCATGTCAAGTCATAACTCACGCATGCAGTGTTACCAGCTGATGGTGAAGAAAATCAACTCGAGGGTTGACATTCAAAGAGGACGTGTTGAAGGGAATTGCTGCTTGGTAGTTTTCCATTAGCTCCTCAACAATCCCACACCAAGAGCACAGTTCATGAAGTTACTTACTCAGATTCGTAGCTATGCTGCATGCTGCAGCCATTTCTTGAGAAAACTTGTGTCCGCATCTCTGAGGCTGAATGGGTGGTTGGTTGACATCATGGGTATATCAACGGGTTGCTCCCCTAAACGTTTTGCTGTTCGCGTCACTTACTACACGGGAGGCATCCCTGTTGAGGGATCGATCAATCGACACGATCTTCCCAAGCATTGTGACAACTACTTGAGCCGTGTCGTGAGCCAGGACCGCGTGACCATAGTTACCTTCGGGTAACTTGACTATGTCGTGGCCGTCGGCCTTCAGGGAAGAGACGGTCGTGCGTTGTTTCGCGTACATTGCGGCAAGTCGATCGACGTCATCGACTGACAGAGCTGTTCGTTTTCCATCTGCGACGTTGTAAGATGTTTGTGTTGAGGCTTCTTTCATGAGTGGCGATGGGATGAGGTGCGATGGGTAAGGTGTGAAGAGCAGGAGGGAGAAAGATGGAGGAGCCTGCGCGTCATTTTAACCGGGCTCATAGAATGTCGCGGAAGGTCGCGGAACGACGTGGAGTGAAGCCCAGTGTCGATAAGCCGTTGAATTCCGCGGCTGTTATTGTTTGGCGAGTGATGTACCGGACGACGATCTCTTGTTGAAGATCGGTACTTCTCCGGGTAGAATGACGGCCACCTCGTCTTGGGTCGGTAAGTTGTAGGTTCTCGGATCTTGATTGCGCGGTGCAAGTAATCACAGCTTGTACATGTGAGACGCATCACTGTCCATGAACTCTTGTGCTCAAGAATAGTTTGACGCGCCTGTTGTGATGTCGTAGCATGCCGTCGAGTACATAGAGGAACAATCTGTTGATATGCTGAGTCCAGACGTCGTACTTCTTCAGGCGGTCCGTTGAATCTTCGCCGTGCTTCAATGCGTTCGGTCGGAGCCGGAATAGAATCTGGGCAAAGACTGGGTCGTTTGCTGGGGCTGGTGCTAGGGTGCCGATACGGTGAGATACCATTCCGCTCAGGTAGAAGGATGGTGGCCCGGAGCCGGTGATGATGCCATGGCCTTTGCTCGTGCCGAATGATGCCATAGCAAGGTTTTCATTGAATGCAAGAATGCGCTCCTGGAAGATCTTCTCAACTGTTTCACGGATAGTCAGCAAGGCCGTTAGTCCACTGTACTCAATCTAGCAGCCTGTTGAACGAATCGACGTGCACTAATCTGGGCCATCGCCAGTCAGAAGCGCGAGCAGCTCCGGGGGTGTGGCGCTGCCTGGGGTCGGTGATCTTTCGAACTCCCAGTATAGAGCCGATCGGACATTGTAACGTCATTGATCCGAGATCGTGCCGGAAAAAAGGCCCTTCTGGCAACGGTAGCAGCGCAGTTGGGACGGAGTAATTTGTTGGTCAGCCCCTACCAGCCCTTGCCTCATAGGCCTCACAAGCGCGCGTGCGCGCGTGCGCCTGGGGGCCATTTTGGGTTTATTTTTGTCCAGCCCTGGCAAAAGCAATATTTGCATTTGGCGCGTGTGTTTCTCTGCGTTAGATTTTGTCCATAGTTATCTTTTTTGTCGTAGATAGACTTTTGAAGCTTTTGACGGGCCACGCGCCTCCGATAGGCCCAGACTCTCCCTTACGGAGATTCACCCCGATGGATGACGTATACATTGGCCAGTCGCCTCGTTGCCTTGAGATGAACTCCAGTCGAGCCGTCGATGCAGTCGCACGCTGTGCACCCTTGGCTTCACCCGTCACACCCGTCACACCCGCCCTCGTCTCGTCCTTGGTGGTGAGTGTCTACGAATTCTCCTTGCCTATTGTAAAGGTCCACTGGTTTCTTCGGTTGTCACGAGCTCACCCAGGCACCCGTTCACTTCTGCCGCCGCGTACAGAGCAACCGGAAACGTGCGGAAGTCGCCCAGCCGCAGTCATGAGTGGTCAATCGTCGCAGCCGCCTTCGCGAGTCCTCGGCGACAACGCCTCCTCGGATGAGAACCCTTACTCGGACAATCCCTACTCGACCGAGACACCTTCCCTGTCGGGCCCTCCCGCGGAAATCGATTCGCTCGACGATGAAGCCCCACCCGCCGCGTCGGCTACGGAACGCACTCCCCTCATCGCCTCGTCGAAGAACCACAACAACACCGGCAAACCCAAGATCCAATCCCGCTTCAACAACACAGGTGGAGATGCGGTCGTGCGCGTCAACTCAAACGGAGCGACTGAGGACGATGGCAACGGCACCAGTGATCCGGACTCGCTGCCCCTCCACAAGCAGCCTCGGCCATGGCGACTCAAGATCGACTTTGCCATCGCGGTCATTCTACTCTGTGAGTAGCGAATAGGAATTCGTTGAGTCGAAACAAGAGCCCATGACTGACATACGTACCTCTCATACCAGACGTGAACGTGTCGTTCCTCTTCCTTTCGATCCTCTCGATCAAATCCCCCTTCATCGCCCACAACGCCTTGCCGGCCCATCGAGGATCGACCTTCCTTCCGATCTGGGTAACATTCTTGTCAAGCATCACCAACGTGTGAGTATGCGAGAGAGGCGTATCTTCCTGTCTCTGGCGACTTATCTAACGGCCCTCACACAGTCTCGCGTTGCTCTCGTTCGTCTACCCCAAGGAGGCCCCTGCCTTCTCTGCTCTCACCTCATGGATCTCGGCTTTCTCGGCGCTCGTGATCCTCATCCTCGCCGTCGCCGTCACGCAGCTTCGTCGACACGAGGGTGTCTTGACCTTCATTCTTCTCGCCTTGTCCATCATCTCGAGTCTGCACGCCGGTCTTTCCGCGCTCTTGGCGGAGCGTTACGCGCCTTTGCTCATGGCCGACCCGGTTCCTGTCGAGCGTGACGCACCTAGTTTCACCTTCTGGGACAGTCTACGTCGGGTTGCTTCGGGCGTCTGGGATGTGATCCACGTTTCGCTTCCTCTTGCCCTGTTGCACCTTGGCGTCGTCATCGCCTTTTTCTTGCTTTCGATCAGCGTTTTCATCCGCACCGTCGACTCGTCGCTCGACGTCCCCGGCCAACTCTGGAAGGTCGACCCTTGGCTCTACATGCGCAAGAACTTCCCTGAGACGGGCGGCAGTGTGTTCAACACCGGAGGCCGACCTTTCAAGGTTCACCTCGCTTGCCGAGGTGTTGGTATCGATGATCCCTTGCCACCTCGTGTGCAGTCGAGCTTGATTCCTCCTGGACGGGAGGCGATCAGGCGAACGATCCTCATCGAGTCGGATCAGGGAATCTCGGGCGCCGAAAGCGCACGATGGGTGCTCAAAATGCTCAAGGAGGGTGAATTGACGAGCGGTGACTTTGAGACGAGGGTCTGCTACTGGGATCGACCTGGGTATGGGCTCAGTGACAGCTCGCCTACATCTGTACTTCCCGAGGTCGTCACGGCCTTGTCACAAGCACTCACCGCCGCTGGTGAGATGGCTCGCCTCGAGCCACCGAGTTCGCTTGCCTCTGTCGACAACTCGACTATTGGTCAGGAGCTCGAGACGAACTTCGCCCCCACGCCTTTGGCCCGCTCGGGATTTGTCCTGGTCTCGCAAGGCTATGGATCCCTGGCGTCGTCACTCTTCGCGACGATCAACCCGCGACTCACGCATTCGTTCCTCTACCTCTCTCCGATCCCTTCGCGCCTTCAATTCTCCCAGACCAAATCATGGTACAGAGCGGTACCGGGCTTCTTCACCCGTACGATCCCTGCCGTTTCGACCGAGCTGGGCATCTGGGCCATGGCATCGTTTGTGACCGGACACAGTCGGGCGAGTCGAGTCTTCTCGTCCGAGTACTCGGGCATCAAAGGTTCGATGGGCAGGGCGTGGCTGCAGGAGGAAGGCGAGCGTTACAAGGGCCGTGACTCGTTGTCACACGTCGCTTGGGATCGCAAGAAGGGAAGGTACCCTGAAAGACACACTGGTGAGTTGAGCTTTCGGATTGTGAGCGATCGACAGCATCGTTACTGACCACTGTGACGGGCTCTTCGATCACAGTCGTCCTGTCCGGCTCGCAACCCAACCGGTACACCAAGGAGCAATGGAAGGAAGGCCAAGACCACTTCATCAACGATGTAGTCCGTGAAGGACTCGTCCGACATGAGACCGATTGGACCGGTTACTGCGACGACGGAATGGACGGCGAGGAGAGATGCCGCAAGGCGCTCAAGGATCTGGTCAAGATGGATTAATCGGTGGATCGATGGGTGATGTTTTATTCTCTCGATGTGTGTTACTGTCTCTATATACAAAAAGCTGTTGAGTTGTCTTCTGAATCACCATACCTCGATTCAAAAAGATCTTTTCTGGCTCGAGCGCGCGATACGGGAAGAATGTGGAGGCCTTGAGAGGGGGTCCTGAGCGCATTGAAATGCCTTTAAGCTCCAAGAACACTACTGCGAATCTGTCAACCTGCGATCTACGCGGGCATCGTGTGCACGTCTCGAAGACACGCTCTCTGATGTTCATGGTCTGATGTCAGCACGCAAACGGATAAATGGCCGTGCATCGGTCATGGCGGAGGGACAGGGGGCAGTATTTGAACGAAGGTCACACGAATGACATCACGCGTAGGCAAGTGATAACTAACGACGACGAGCGGATGATCTGCAGATTGAGGATTGCGGTCCTTGTCGCGGATGGTATGAGACACCACGGGCCTCCTGTTAAGCAAAAAACCACGCTCCCAACCCCCAGGCGGGCGCAACACACAAACAGCCGGGGCGGCGTCTGCGCGCGCGCGAGAGCGTTCGTCTCACTCCCCCAGCCGGTGGTTAGCGCTTTCCCTTTGCTTCCTTCCCACCACTCGCCCACCCTTTTGCTTGGACCTCCTCCGCTTCCGTCCTTCCTCATTTTTCCTTCGCCTCTTCTTTCTACCCCCACGTCCTCGACAAGACACCTCAGTGAGTTGAATGCATTCACATCGTGTGGTGCTCGCTTGGTGGTGGCCTCGGCGAGGTGGCGATGTGGGTGATCTCGTGTGAAAGGAGGCGCTCAGGACCTCGCGCGCGTCGTGGAATCTACACGAACGCACGCTCGCAAGCCCGCCTGCGCGTGTTTTTTTTGCCACTAGCTCTGACTGACACGATCGAACTTGCTACTGCTCTTACCCTATCCGCTCCTGCCCAGATCGCAATGGCCACCGTCGCTGAAACCATCCCCGTCGTCGCCGCCCCGGATACGCCCGTCGAGACCGTCGCCGCTGCCCCCGCCGCGACAGAGGAGACCACCCCGGCAGTCGCTCCTGCTGCCGATGCCCCCGCCGGCCCCGTCGCTACTGCCGTCGAGGAACCCAAGGTCGAGTCCAAGAAGAGGACACCCTTGACTGATCTCAAGAACAAGTTGTTCAAGGTATGTTCCTCCGTCTTCCCACGTGTGCGTGGGCTGGGACCGTTTAGGCGCCAGGCTCTCGGAACAGTGGCCTTTTGTGTCCGTTGCCAGGCGTCTCTTCGCATCACCGGCGTGGTCTTGGCTCGATCTTCTTCGCCGAGCGTCGTGTCACCTTCACGGGTGTGGTAGCGAGTAACCTTGAATGGTGCCCCCCTTGGTTGATCAAGGGCGCACCGATCGATTCGAGTGGCCCTGCACGTAGTAGTACTCCACGCGACGGCTGCGAAGCTCGAAGACAAGGGGGTCTGTGCTCGACCGAGCCGGACGCTGCTGGAAGGGCCGCTTCCGATCAACTCTTGGAGCCTTTCTTCTCAAGATCAAGTCGAGTCAACCTTACGTTCCGGAAGGAGCGCATATCACCTCTCCAACATGAGCTTCGGACCCGTTCGATCATAGCGCTTAAAGCTGACGAGAATCTCACCCCCTCTCCTCGGCCCTCCACCGCAGCACAAGGAGTCGGCGAGTTCTGTTGTTGAGGAGCCTGTTAAGGCTGGCGAGGCGCCAGCACCGGCGGCTGTGACTGAAGCCGGTGAGCTGCCAATGACGAATCCAAACTTCACTTGCACACTTGATGTCCTGACACAATGGGATTTTTGCCGGTTCACTAGCGAAGGAGAACGTCGCCGAAGCAGAGGTGCCCGCCGCGGCCGCCCCCGAGTCAAAGGAGGAGAAGACCGTCAAGGAAAAGCGCCCCAAGTCCCCCACATTGGTCGAGAAGTGAGTCTCGTGTCATTTCTCGTCTGGTCTCTACCGTTGTCACTAACCCGTTGTTCGCCTTCCCAGGGTCATCGGATTCTTTGACAAGAAGATCGAAAAGAAGTCCGAGAAGGGTGAGCAGCATCAGCTACCGTGACTGTGTTCTTGTATTGACTGCTCGGCGCCCTTTGCTTACGTGATCCTGTAGCGACGACGGAGGAGGCTGCCTCTCTGCCCCAAGTTGTGGAACCCCAAGCTGCCCCCGCAACCGAGGTGAGCTGACTCAACAAACACCGAGTTTATTGCGGTAGACATGATCTGATTGTCTTTGTTCGATTGTCTTTGTTCTCGAAGGCACCGGGCGTCGCCGAGGAGGTCAAGGTGGCTGATACAACCCCGATCGCTGCCGAAACCCCTGTCGCCGATACCTCCGCTTCTGCTGAGGCCCACGTGGAGGTGTGTCCGATTGGGCTCACTAGACCTCATCAAGGCAAGGTAACTGAAATGTTTTGGCGAATTCACAGAAAGAGGAGAAGCCCAAGAAGGACGCGCTCAAACTCTCCCGGCGCTTGTCAGCCCGAGTGGGCGCTCTCTTCCAATCGCCCAAGAAGGAGAAGAATTCACCTGCCGAGGGTGCCGCCGCCGTCGAGGGTGCACCGCAAGTCGAAACGGCAATCGACGAGTCCAAGCTCGATACGGTCGCACCTGTTAACCCCGGTCCTGCTGCCGTTGTTGAGGAGACTCCAGCTGTCGAGGCACCCAAGGAGCTCGAGCCCGTCCCGGAAGCGCCCAAGGTCGAGGAAGCTGCCGCCGAAGAGACCAAGGTCGTCGAGGTGAGTTGGCTGTTTCGCCCTCCCATGTGTTAACTATACTAGGTTGCTAAATTCTTATTGTGTACTTTTTAGGGTGCCGCACCCGCTGTAGTGGAGACACCGGCCGAAGCCGCAAAGGAGGCCGAGCCCGTCGTCGCCGCCGCCTGAACCGCCTTGTTCTGCTTCGTCTCTATACCTCTGTTCCGTATACGTTGCCCTCTGCTCTATCCTCTTGTCACCGACTCTATTTTGGGTTCGCCCTTATCGTTCCCGTCCGTAACGTCGCATCCGTACTCTGCCTCGCTTGCTTCACCTCCTTAACGCCCTTGCATCACCGTCTCATGCTCTTCTCTGTTCTGCACGTTTCTTCTTCTATCGAGCACCACCACCACCCCTCCACCCCGCCACACCTAATATTGCTTCATTATCATTGCTTTCCTTCTATTTTTACTTTCTGCAACATTGCATGCTTTTGCTTTACTTCGTGAGACTAAACAGACAACACATCCAAGGAAAGTCTGAGTGGACAAGTGAGGTCCCGGCTTGCCGGCGCCACCAGTTGTGAGCACTTCCGAACTTTTCTTCGGCTTTCTCTGCTGGGAAACGGAGATCCTGTGTCGCCAATGGCTCCATTTGGCACAGGCTCTCCCCACGAGCTCTCTTTATGTTCTTGATCCATTACTAGTAGTGGCGATCCCCCAATCACATACGCCGAACAACTGGCTCAGATTGGCCTCATGAGCCTGCAACTGCCTTGAGACCGCTTTCCGATTTCACATTCCAAGCTCTACAGATGGTCGAATCTTGCTGGGTTGTTGATCCCTCGTCCGTTGATGGGTCGACTCCTCCATAGTGCGCGCTGTTTGTGGCGTTTGTTTTAGGATGGAAGAGTCGAGATGGGATGGCCCAAGCCGGGATGGTTAATCATTAGCTAGAAGCTGCGGATGGGGGGATGCAGGCGGGCTGGCGTCTCATTAGTTTGTAAATTGAGGTCAATTTCAGGGCGATTCATGAGTCCTGTGTGGGCCGGTGCTACTAATCTATTCCCCTGCATGCGCACTTCTCTAGGATCGCGAGCCTCGATCACAATAGCAACGAGCAGCTCGACAAGTTCCGAGCATTGGCCGCACACAAGACCGGATCCGACAATCGCCTCTTCCACATCATGAAGGGTTCATAAGTTGCCGACAAGTGTCCTGCAGGATTCGGACCAACACATTGAACCTGCCAAACCGGGCACCTACACTTGATCATTTGTTTGCGCATGATGGAAACTTTCAGCAATGGCGCAACCAGGCAGCCAAGTATGACCCACAAGCGACTACGCCGGACTTGTTCATCAGCGCGGCAGAAATATCGGAAATGAAAGAGGCGGCCGAGCGGGCGCCGACACCGTCCGAAGATTCGGAAGGTACGTCGTTCATCCTGATAGTCTAAAGAACGCCCTGCTCGGCCCTGATCCTCAACACCTCCACTTGCAGGCATGCACAGAATCTTAGAAAGTTGCTGACGATGGCGCTGACAAGCTCTGGCCGGGAAAACCGACGCGGCGCTTGTGGCGTGCGCGTGTCGGCAGAACGCTGTTTCCAAGATATCCAACCTTGAGAGGAACGGCGGTACGTACGTATGGCTGTACCATCTTCGCGAGATCGTTGCGGTGTTTAATTACTGTCCTCCTCATTGGGGGTGGCTCGACATTGTAGGCTGTACTATGCATTGGCTCTGATCAAGCACGTCTCGGAACAAGAACAGCCCGAAGCCAGAATTGGGGTCTCGTAAAACATTGCCTGCAACCTCAAGCATCACATTCAGAAGGCGCGTATAGGTATCAAATTCTCTCTTGTGGTCGACTTGACTGAACATACTCGTTACTCGCCTTGTGTAGAGCGATGATTAATGCCTAAACGAGCCCTAATTAATGCCTAAATTGCCCCCCCGGCCCGTCTTGAATTTGCCACCAGTGTCTTCGCGCTTTCGCGCATCAATGGCCCTGTCAAGTCGAGTTGAACCCTCAATTTTTCCCCAACTTCGGCTGCACCGATGGCGAAGGCGTCCACGTATCACTTACTGCAGGTAACATAAGTAGAGTAATCCCGCGTTTTGAACATGTCGCAATTTTATTTTCTACTCGGCGCTTGCCCCCACCTCCACCCAGATCTAATTTGCAATCGGCCACCCACGTGTTCCACCCCCAAGACACAGTGTTCAACACCTCTTCTTGCCTTCGCCTAGTTCCTTTTCATCTCCTTACGTGGCACAAGAGAAGGGTTTTCTGCTACTCTGTAGGGTTTCTCTGCTTCCATCCACAGAATCGCTCAAATCGTCAAAATCGCCAAAATCGCCAAGGGGTACCACTGGGCGACCAACCCCAGCCTGGCAGTAGTGTGAAACCCGCGGAGGATCGAGGTTTTTGGCGCGCTCGCGCGTGCGGTCTAGACTGTACCCTACTTACTGAACGCCTGAGGTGGGTCGGGCTTCCCTCCACCACCCAGCTCCACCCCGCCCGCCGTTCCTGAGCAGCGAGGTCTCGATAGTAGGGCTGCGCAATAGTCCACAATGGTCTACACAATCACGCCAACGTCAGTCTATTTTGCTATGTCTTCCGTCTTGCGTGCGATCGTTCCTCCTTGCCCGCTCGTGATGCTGTGGCACGGTCACGCCGTGCCATCGCGAGTTCCGCCCCACTTTGACTCGTTCACATGCTAACGCCGGCGCCGGCACCCGCTTCGACTCCGGAATTGGACCCGTAGGCTCTGGAAGCAGATCGTACACTATGCATCGTTCAGCCAAACAGGCGTGAGCTTGCGGCAGATGGTCAAATTTGGTGAGTCAGCACTATAGGCGATGTGCTGCTATTCTCTCGCTCTCGGGTCGGAGCCGTAGCTGACCACCAGCGATCCCCGCATCTCCGCATGACGCGATTTGGGACGTGGCTACGTATCTTGTGGCAGGTCAAAACCCCTCTCAGGTTGGTCGGGCATTCTGCTGTTCGACCCGGCGTGGCCCGATCGGAGCTTTGCGCTAAATCGGCTCTTGCTGTGACCTCATGGATGAACGCAGGGCACATTGCTCCGAGCTTCACAATTCCTCGCAGGTGAGGCGTTTGAACCATCACTCCGTGCGATGCATAAACAAGGCAATCGAGCGACTGACTACGATGCAGTCGCGATGTCACGTCCACAGAGGAGTTGCCGATCCGTCTGGCCCACCGCGTAAAGGAGCTGGATGAGCTACCCCATTCTCTCAACAAGATGCCTAGCATTGAGAAAGTGAAGCGCTGGTATGCCGAGTCTTTCGAGGTGAGCTGAACCGGAACCGGATAGATTGGTCTGGTCCCTGATGAGTCGGCGTCGACAACCTCTACGCCGTACGAACAGGAATTGGTCAACTTCCCAAAACCCGAGCTACCACCGTCGATACACGAAGCGTTCATGCGGGCGTCGCACGAGTCTCCATCGCTTCCGGAATCGGTGCCCAATCCCTCTCTTCCCGAGCACATGAAGCCCCGGCCAAGTGACTCCAAAGTCACAAGCGGAAAACAACGGCCGCCTCTTCAACATCGGTAAGTCGTCGGCTTCAGTCGTATCGCACGGCGACTAATCGTTGTCACGCGATATCGCTGTTGTAGCTATTACACAGATCCTGACTCAAGCATAAAATGGCCGCCCGAAGTGCATGACTATAACGAGAGGTTCACCAAGCTTTTGTCAAACATTAAAAGAAGGCACGACCCAGTCGTGACAACCATTGCGCAGGGTATTCTGGAGTTCAAGCGGGAGAACAAGACCCCACACATTGATCGCTCGATACAGACCTTTCTCGACCGCTTTTATATGTCTCGCATTGGTGAGCTAGTCGCCCAGCCGCATATGGCGCTGCGGGGATCATCACAAGCGCTATCTGCGGGACTGAAGTTTCAGCTGCGCTCGTTTCGCCAGGCATTCGGGTTTTGATAGGCCAACACATTGCCTTGAATCGCCTTGAGCCTCACGAGGTGAGTCCAAAGCCTGCCTCTCAACTTGACGCTTTCTCTGACCTTCCCGCTTCATGCCATCCACAGGATTATGGTCAGTTGTCCGCCTCCCATCAACGGCAAGGGACGCGGGCAGACACTTACATGACATCTCGGGACTGGAGCAGTTGGAATCATCTGCACGAGGACCAACATCCATCAAATTGCCCGGGAAGCGATCGAGAACGCTACCTATGTATGCGAAGAGCACTTCGGCTTGTTCAAAGGCCCGCCCGTGCAGCTGATTTGCTCGAAAGAGTTGAACTTCATGTATGTGCCAAGCCATTTGGTACGTTATCTTGAGCCATCGGATGTACGTACATGGCCTCGGCGTGTCGCTGACGGCGCCCCCATTACTGCAAGAACCATGTCTTGTTTGAGGTTTTGAAAAATTCACTGCGAGCGGTGGTCGAAACACATGGGGTCGAGTGCGAGGAGTACCCACCGGTCAAAGTCATTGTGGCGGAAGGGAACGAGGACATCACCATCAAGATCTCTGATGAGGGAGGAGGAATCCCTCGAAGCGCTCTACCCCTGGTTTGGACCTTCATGTGCGTGAGGCTGATGCGGTGATGCACGCGATGGAGAATCTGACTCGTTTGCGCCTCGTTAGGTATACGACCGCGAACCCCGAGAACCTCGACCAGGATTTTCAAGGGACAGATTTCAAGGCACCTATGGCGGGTTTTGGTGCGTCCTCGGGATCGCAAGATGGCGAGAGGTCGAAAGGGACTGACCTCTTGTTTGCGCAACCATGCATGAACAGGCTATGGGTTGCCCATCGCTCGGTTGTACTCGCAATATTTTGGCGGCTCGCTTAAGCTAATTTCAATGGAAGGTTATGGAACAGATTGCTACATCGTGAGTTAGATCCTGCGCCCACTCTGTGTGTCTACCCAATTGATCGAGCTCCTTTGTTACTCTCACCCTTTGTTCTGACGTATTCGTGCGAACCTGTGTGCATGTGCTGTTACGATAGCATCTCTCCCGGCTGTCAAAGAGTTCTGAGCCTTTGCAGTGATGACCATCCCGGCCCAATGATGGCTGATACCGTTGCAAGGTTAAGCCTGTATCCCCAGCCGGTAGACGCTCCTGCAGACTGTCACTTTATATAGTTTCAGGGGCCATTGTCCCTACCCAAGTCAACTATGGGCCAAGTAGAGATTGTCGAAGCTGCTCAAATAATGCGTGCCCTTTGACGTAGTATAACAGCCCGAATAAGGCTCCTCCAAGGTGTGCGACGTGATCGAATATCTGCCATCCTCGAATAACGCCTAAAACGTCCACGACCAGCATCGCGCAACAAGCACTGCCGATTGGAACTGGCACAAACGGCATGAATATTAGAGCGACAGAGGCCTTAGCAGATACAGTAGCGCTATCAGCATTCTGAGGCTTGATAACAGGCCAACCTTCACGAACTCACCTGCGGGAACGCCAGTGCTGTGACCACAAAACAGCCCCAGATTGCGCCACTCGCTCCAAGTGAGGGCAGCAGGACTGATGATCGACGAAGCAGAAACGTCAAAGAGTAGAGCCGTGATGCAAGAGATGCGAATATTCCCGCTGGCATGCCCACACATGGTTAGCGCGGCTTGGGCCTCAGTTGCAAGCGGGGCTCACCAGTTGTGAAAAACGCTATGTACTCATATCTCGAAGTTGAGCGAGGTAAGGCACAGTCCATTCGATCGAAGCATGCCGAGCAGCTCGAGCCAATCGTGAAAAGGGCAACGGAATTGAATGCCAAGTGAGAAAGGGTCTTGTGGGCAAAGACAGACGTCAGCAAGGTGACAGTCCTCGACTGCAGCGGCGATTGCCAGAGGTACTTGACGGCCAAGGTGCGGGCCGACTTCAGGTTCCAGACCGTGAACACGACGCCAAAGAGGGCAATCAGGCCGACTTGTGTACGTTTTGCCTCCGACACCGAGATCCAACTATGGAGTGCAACCTGCCCAGGTCGTCCGAATGCATCCACGAAAAATCTTAATCGTTGCACCAGTTCAGTATTGCGAGATGCAGCCAGAATCGGGTCAAGACCTCGATCGAGGAACCGACGAGGCGGCATGCTCGAGCGCTCGAGAGCCTGCCGGCGATTGAAGGTGTCACTATTCGTGTGAAGCGCCGCCACCGACATTACTTAGTGCGTGGATAAGAAATTTCGTTACCGGAACGACGCAGCAGTGGTCAGTGCCGGTCTCTGCATGTCTTGCAGAGGTGCCGCGAAGACCATCAAGCAAGACCCACCTAATGCGCTTGCCGAGACGGCGAAAACTACTGGTCTTGCAAAGCCGAGCGTAGCGGGTACAGAAGCAAGGGTCGAATGAGTGAAATATCCAACGGGGATCTTGCCTCGGGAAACTCTTTGCGGATGTGTGAAGCGAGGTGTTGTGGGCCTTGTAGAAACGCAGGCCCGGCTCCATGACCAAATGCGCGATGTCATCATTGTCCAGCTGAGTGACGACGCGTTCGAGACGGCGAGATTGTGAGTGAAGTCAGCGAAGAAAGCTTGTGTGGAGTCTATATCGATGAATAGAAAAGCGCGACAGTCAAGCTTTGCGCGATTCTGGGTAGCAACTAGCTGCTATCCGCATGTCAACTACTTGCCACCACTGGCGGCGTGTCACGTGCCAGTTGCCGACCGCAGTTGGCCTGCTGCCTCATCCAATCACGCTCAGCTATGTGGTACCTACCCACCTTTAAGTGGGAAAGCGCGTAAGCGCACGCAAGAAAGAGAGGGAGACGTTCTTCAACTGGAGGCGGAGGGGATGTCAGGAGCCGCAGGGAAGCAGAGGGACTACCAACGGGCGCGCCGAGCAAGTCGAAAGGCGAGTGCGGTAATTCGGATTTGCTCCCTCGCGCTAGTCCCTAATTACTAGCCTCGTCTCTATGGGCCGCCGTTTGGGCAACAAATGGATCTGCGCGCCCGGGGCCATTTGCGCGTTACGACTCGTTTGTACGCGCGCCGAAAATCGTGCAATTGCGCGCCATTGGGCCTTCATACGCGCGTCATTCACAGCTTTGCATCCCTTGGACGCACTTTTGGTCTCTAACGCGCTCTAAATCCGTCAGAGTTGCGCGCTTTTCAGGAAAAACATCTGTTTCTGGCCCCTATTGGCGGTCCACGCGCGTTTCGCTCGCTGTTAGACTCGCTCGCCCACCTCGGGCAGACATAAAAAGTACGCCTCAACAGGCGCGCGCGCAGCGCCCTCCCACGCGCCTTCCAAGCCACAAGCCCGGCGGGTTGCAACCTTGCTACCCCAGGTAGCAGATTAGGCCCAGGTCAGGTATGCCCTCCTCGATGTCGAGTTGCCGAGACGTTCACTCCCACTACAACTCCATCGAAGACCTGGGAACAAAGGCGCAGTCAGCGAACAATAGCGTATTCGAATTTTTGGAGATTTTTCGAGAGTTATTGTTGTCCTCTGCAAGCTGAACAGGCGCTCTACCTCGAACACGTGATTCGGCACGGGTCGCGCGGAACAATTGGGGCCGGGATGGCCGGGACGTCGACGCGTCACGACTCCGGAGACGCTGGAGATGGCGGCGACGCGTCGCGCTCGCGCATACCGCCCATTCTTCTGCTTTGCCCAATCGCCCCCTACTACGTATACGAAGTAACGAACTATACAACGAGCATCCGTCTTGCGACAGTCTGAAACGAACGCCCACTTCGAAACACCGGATTAGTCATACTTCTGCTGCTCCTATCATGACGAGTCAATCCAATCAACTTAACCACCTCCCGAATCGCAGGCGCTCCGGCGACGAACAGCAGTATGTTTGCCGCCGATCGACACGGGTGCTCTGACTGGACTACCGGCTCACGATCACATCTGACACATAGGTTCATATGCTGCCTCTGGGTACGAGTCATGCACCTCGCCTTGGACTCCCTACCAGTCCGCATATAACGACTATTCGGGTCCGTGGGTGGCCGTCGCGTCGATCGCGTACAGTATCGGTCTGTTCTGACGTTACACCGTCGTGCACCCGATCCAGCGTCCACTTCCGCTGGCGTAACGGCCATCTCGAATCCTGCGTCGTACAACTATCAATCTTCTCCGGGATCTGCTTCGTCCAACCAACCAGTTTACCGTCCCACGTTCCCATCCTGGACGCATCGATGGCCCGTATCTAGCTCCGCCAGCAAGCAACAATCTCGCAAACATGGTCGAACAAGGAGGGAACAATCCTGACGGCACGGGTATTGTCTTTGACGCGGCAGGTTTGCCAAATACTGCACCTTCCGCTCGCGATCGCCAAAAGTCGCGGGCCGCACAAGTTTCCCAAGACGAGGAGGGAGGCCGCGCATCAGGAGGGAGGGGTGTATCAGCGAATACCTGCGCACAGCTTGGAACGCACCCGTGGCTGACAAGAACGTTGAGACCAAATTCCAATGGTACAGCATCATCCTCAAAGAACTGTTCCGTGAGTACAAGATGTGCAGCCTGCCTACTCTTCCATACACGGTGACTAATTTTGACCCGGCTCGCTGTCTTCAGAGTCCGCGCTGCGCCGACGCTCCGTGCTGGACGGCGAGAAGATCCAATCGCCCAAGTTCGTCTATGACGTAAAGGCCCTCAGGGACAACGCCAGAATCATTGTTCAGCGCGGCGCGCTCCTTCGCAAAGCGGATTTCCGAAGCCCGAGTGGCAAGCTTAAGTTGTTGGGACCAGACCTGGATCGGATCATCCCATTGCTGCGTGCAGGCGAGCTGAGCTTCAGGCTGGAGGAAGAGGTAATCGGGTCAAGTGCAGAACAGAAAATGGCCGACGGCGATGAAGGCGGCGACAGCGATGCTGACCGGCGGACTCGGAACACGAGCTCCGACGAGGACAGCGAGTGAGGTGACGATGGCCGAGCTCTCAGCGCCAGCCAGACTCGTCGACGCGCATGCGGTGCGGAGATCTTGGCTGTTGAAGGGCCAACATTCGTTGGACAACACAGGCCACCACAATATTTATTTCAAAGTTTTGCTTCATATGCATCCGGCTCTTGGTGACTAAAGGCGGAGAGGGTGATTGTTCGTTGCCTTTCGTGCCTAATCTTCCCCTGGGCCGCTCGAGATCGACCTCTCCTTGTTGACGTGAGATGTGCCAGTGACGTAATCCTGCTCACAAACATTATTACTCTTGTTCTGGGTTGTTTTCGAAGTATTATGTAGAGTTGAATTGCCTAGTGAGAATGGAGTGCTCCCTGACCCGTGGTCCAGACGGAGCGTCTGCTTTCCGGAAGTGACTCTTTGAGCAAAGAATGAATGAACAGAATTCGCAACGCGCTTCCACTAATTGCAGTGTATGTTAGCATCTTTTTATGATCTATTAGCACTAAAGTGAACGGGCAAGGGTTACATCTGGCCGGGCTCGGTCTTCGCCAAAGTGCCAATCAGAGCTGCTGGGCCACGGTGATGACCCCCGGCCGGCTGACTTCAAGCGGCGCGCGCTCCCAGAAGAATGCGAACTGATCTGAGCCCCTGAACGCGCAAGCGGAGCGGAACACGTAGGTAATCAGTCGTAAGTAGCGAAGTAGCGACAAAGTACGTGCTTGATGAGAGGTGGGTCGAACTCGATCATAGGTTCGGTGAAAACATGGAAGGCTTAGGCTTGTAACAGGCTCTTGGAGCGAAACCCTCACTTGACTCCGAGACATGATCGATGGCCGCTCATACCTACCTTTTACTTGATAAACATTCCCTCTCATCAATGAGGTAAGCCGCCAATCCTCAGGCCACATGGTGAGTGCTCAAAGCAGAGAGAATTCTTGCATTCGCCGCACTAAAATGAATTGTCAGCACTTCTGCCCCCGTCAAGCATAGACTAGACTTGATCTTGAGATCTTGACACCAAGCTTTTCTTATAACAGGCGCAAGGCTCAGTAGCAGGGATCGGGATCGGTCCAAAGGGTCTTTGGCCGCGCCATGGCAGGAAGTCGAATCCTTCGAGCGGGAATCCTCAGAGAGAGAGAGCCGCCGAGCCATCTTGTTCGGAAGAAGGGCTTGCAGCACGCACATGCCAACTTTGCTATTCAACCCTGTCCGAGGGTGGGAGATACATTCTCTATACTGCCCAAACCCACTCACCCATTTTCACGTGGCAGACATTCTAGGTACTCGAGCAGGTGCATGCGCTTTGATTGAAAAGTCACCCGGCACTGGTAAGGGAAACCGCCGAGCCATCTTGTTCGGAAGAAGGGCTTACACGCACATGCCAACTTTGCTATTTAACCCTGTCCGAGGGTAGGATATACATTCTCTATGTTGACCAAACGCACTCACCCATTTTCATGTGGTAGACATTCTAGGTACTCGAGCATTTGCATGCGCTTTAACTGAAACGTCACCCGGCAAGTCACCCGGCAGTAGTAAGGCAGGCGCAGCCCAGAGATTAGGTCTGACAATATTTCTCTCTGAGACGGTGATATTACTCTCACCCACCGCAATTGAGACGACTTTAGTTTTCAAAGACCATGTCCATTGTTCCAACATTAACTTGCTCCACCAATTCAATCTAAATCAGAAGCTGGTCTAAACGCCCGAGAAGTATTCGTCTTCCTGACCAGCAAAGTCATCGCCGTAGCTTTCATCCGAAGAGCTGCCCATCTCACCGTCCTGCTCGAGGAGTTATGCGGAGAAAGGCCCCACCTCTGCGAGTTGAGCCTCGTCGCTCATATCCATCTGCGCCTGAATGCCCCGCACTTGCTGAACGTCACGGGCCAGCGATGGAGGCCGCGCCGAGTCGTCGAGCCAGATGTCTCCATAGGACCGCGTGTTCCCGATCGATTATGTGCAGGTAGCTGGTGATGTTTCGCCTTCTTGACACTTCTTCCCGTCGCGTTCAATCGTTGATGTAAACCACGAAATTCTGACAGTGCAGGAGGCATGGGCTCGGAATCGCCCTCTGACTGCCCGCGAGTGTCGAGCCAAACATCGAAGAAATGGTCGTTCTGGGACCAAGAACATTCGCGCAACTGAAGAAGCTCCATCCGGCGATCCAGTAAAATGAGCGCGCGGTCTCGGATCTCTTCAACATCTTCAGTGCCGAATATGGACTTGGCATCAGCTGGGTCGATCGATTCAGAAAGGGTATCTGTTGGGATGGTTTGAAAGATGTCAGGGCGACATAAGAGGTGATATGGAGCACGCTGTATCGAAAACTTACCCGACACTTTAGTCTAAAGTGTTTGGCAACTAGTGATACGAGTCTTTTCATCTTCGATCCAAGCCAAAGCTTGCCGCACCTCGGCGCCGATCCGCGCTTCCTCCTCACCGACTCGAGCCTTGGCGCGCACAGCTGCTACTCCTCGGAATGAGCGACCGTAGCCCGCTCCACAATCGCTCACAGCCCTCTCCATCAGTCAACCCGAAGTTCGGAATGAGGCGGGGGTTGAACTCGACTTGGCAGGACCAGATATGGGCGTATGCATGGAAGACGCTCGTGGCGAACTCCAGTCGCTTGAAAAGCTTTGGCAGGAGCTGCCTCGGGTGACAAATGATAGGAAAGTAGGCGCATTTGGTCTGTGCCAACGAGACTGAGGAGGAAGGGACGCGTCGTGATCGAAGCATACCTTTTCAATGTTGTGCTTGAAGTTACAAGCAATGTCGTATAAGACTCCAATCTTGGCGTTTTCAGGAAGGCGCTCTGAGATGCACTTGAGGATGGCAAGCGCATAGTATAATCTGAGCGGTCTCAGGGGAATATGCGCATTAGTACTGGGAGAGGAAAGCGGAAGCGACTACGTCCCAACCAGACAGCTCTGCGCTCACTTTTCACCAGACCTCTCAAGATTGACCATTTTCAGGTTTACATCATGACGGCATACGCAGGCAACGAGTCCAGTGTCGACTACTCGTGACGAGGTTGAGCCAGCTCCGTCGTCGGCAGCCTTCCACGACTCTGTGCACGCCTACGAGGGTTGGGTGGGTGTAGAGGTAAGCGATCCCATTAAGGCAAATGCAAAGAGCGGCATTACTCACCTTTTTGGTCGGCCGCACCGAAGCTTCAACCTCGGCCTTCATCGCCTGAACCTCTTCCTCACCCAAGAAAATGTCCGGAACGATCTGGTCGTGCTTCGAAGTTTTGTCACGCGTTTGCCGAAAGTTGCCGTCGTATGCAAGCACGCAATCCAATGGGACGTCGTGACAAGGTTGATTAAGTCACGTTGGCCCGAAGCACGCGGGACCCTTGTTGGAACGAATCGACGGTGCCTACGAGAAGGTCCCCGCTGTCCTGCTCGCATGTTTCGAGAGCGCGGTACTCGTCGATCGCGTTGCTTCCGAAGGTCTTTGTCCTGCATGCGCGGAAGGCAGGCTTTAAGCATCTGCCCCTGAAACGATGGCGGCGTCCAAACTGACCCAAGGATGTCCTGTATAGTGACCCCGAACCCACCCACAACGGGAGTAATACTCTTTGAGGCCGTCCGCATAGCCGGTGAGAGCGCGGGGGGTGACCCTCCAGCTCGCGTGGGTCTGCTTGACCAGTCGAAATGAGAAGGCGGTCATCGGCATTGAAGCGGTCGAAGAGATAAACCCTAGTTGGGCCAAGCGTTCGACGTCCTTAGCACACCGCGACTCGGAGGCACAGAGGGTGACCTGCAGTTTGTAGACCAACGGTTTGGACTTGTATCTTCTCTTCGGCGGCATGGCGACGCCAACTCAAGTGCATGAGCAAGAGGACGAACGCGAGCCATGGGGCCTGTACGGTCAATGGCGACGCTACAATGAGCTGTAGCGGAAGCAACGAGGTGAGGCGGCAAGTCAAGTGGAAGGTCCCTCGCGCGTGGCCAGCTGCAGCCAACGCGTGTGCTCGGACCCTTCGATCTCGGGACCGAAATCCCGGCGCGCGACCGCTTCGGACACGTGACATTGACGACATCCGAAAGATGCGAGAAAAAGATGAAGGAAGGAATGCATCTACTACGCACTTTCTTTATCAATCTAGCAGCTGTGAGAGTGTTGTGTGTACACAGAATCGACTCGAAGCAGGGAGTTGGGCGCAACCTGGGTCTAATCTGCTACCTGGGGCGAGCGAAACGCGCGTGGACCGCCAATAGGGGCCAGAAACAGATGTTTTTCCTGAAAAGCGCGCAACTCTGACGGATTTAGAGCGCGTTAGAGACCAAAAGTGCGTCCAAGGGATGCAAAGCTGTGAATGACGCGCGTATGAAGGCCCAATGGCGCGCAATTGCACGATTTTCGGCGCGCGTACAAACGAGTCGTAACGCGCAAATGGCCCCGGGCGCGCAGATCCATTTGTTGCCCAAACGGCGGCCCATAAGTCCCAACTATGTTCGCTCGCAACATCGCTTGTTGGTCGCTTGGAACTTCAGAAGTTTTGCTTTCCCGCCCGCCTCCAACTCGTTTTCGCCTCCCCTTGCTTGCGCTGCTCTGCCACTGGTTTTTTCGCGGGGCCGGGTAAGGTTCGGCAGCCCACTCGGTAGGTCCAAACATCGGACTGACCTCCCTTTCATTTTCCCTGCCTTTGACTGACAATCATTGTGCATCCCTTTGTCACCCTTCCTATTTGTTCTCTACTTTCCTAGTTTATCACAAAGAACCTCACTGTCTACAAGTCTCCCTTTATCAGCTCCAGATCCCCTTTAGTAATAGCGATCCGTAGCTCTCTTCACTCTTTTCCTCTTTTCTCATCCTTCACTGGACCCCCACTCTTGACTCACACTTGACAATCGACTGATTTTGGGACTGTCCATTCGTCAAGCAACATCGAGAGTACTACCGAGGAACCCGCTTTTACTTACGCCGCCGCTGAGTAATCTGGGCTCCTTACACTGCAAGGCCGCCGTGTCCTGGCCCTGGTGGGGGAATTCGCCCTCAAGCCCAAACCAAAGCCATTAATCATATAGTCACTAATCAAAGTTATAGAGATCGGCAAAATACTCGTTCAGTCGGGGACTGCTCGTCGTATTACTTGGCCGACACGAGACGCTCGACGAGCGACAACAGCCTGCGCCCCATGCGCCAGACCAGTGAGTGCCAGGACTGTGCCAGGCCCAAGCGCGAGGGAGCGCGAGGGATGCGCGCTAGTGCGCGAGGCAGCGCGCCCCATGTCCTAGTAGGTCCTGGTACCGCTCCCAGTACCTGAATGCACCTGAAAGTGATCTAGTCCCTCAACACGTAAGAACTTCCCGCCTGTGCATCGCCTGCGACCGCTCACTTCGCAGACAAAGGCCACGCCCACCATGCACCACGCGTCCGGTCACGTGCCACCTTCGGTGCAATTCACCAAACAAGCGCTCAAGGGTCGACGCGCCGCGTGCACGACCATGTATTCCTATCCCTCGTCCGCTTCAAGCGTTCCAGTTCTAGAGGACGTCGTCTTTCGTTGGGATAGTACATGTTACAATTTCACCAAGATCGATCTTTACCTCTCTGTACAAAGTCTGGCCGACGGACTGGTTCCCGTCCACTGTTGGACCCAGATTGACTTCGGAATGGGTACCACGAAGGTCCGCCTCAACCCGACCTGGTGGAACGCGTCATCCAATGGCGGAGATCCTATTACTGCCGAGGTGAGTCTTGTCACCGAAATGTCTTGTGCTCGTCTGACCGCGGGTAACCAATGTCGCAACTTGAACCGGCAGTTGGGCATGACGGCGTCCGGATCCCCTCTCTGGAATACCCCGGCCTCGTCCTCTCCCGCTTTCACGATCACTAACATCTACAACGCCTCCAATACCAATGCACCTGCAACGGAGGCGGCGGCAAACGGCTCCCCGACTGTTGGAATCAGTCATTCCAAGTCCTTGGACGGAGGTCTTGCCGGCGGGCGACTGGCTGCCGCTGTCGCGACGCCTCTCGTGGCCTTGATGGTTGCGGTATGCGCATACCTGGCTTGGCACAAATTTTATCGGAAAAGGGGAGATACAAAACGTTGGAGTGCGGTAAGCTCGTCTGGCCGGCTGGCGCTGGACTATTGGCCCCGATTAGCTCACTCGTTTTTGGAATGATGTGCAGGTCATCGACAAGCGCGTGTCCATGATGTCCGAGGGCACTTGGCAACCCAGCGCATCGATTGTCTCCCGTCCAGAATCATTCAGGAGTAGGAACAGGCACTCTACCTCATCTTACGGCAACCTCGAAGGCGCACAGCGCGGGAGTATTATTCGACCATCGTCAACATACTCGAGCGAGCACGCCTCGCCGCCGCGTCGACCAGTCGACCGATCGAGTCGCATCAGCTTCGCCTCCATTCCCGAGTTGTCTCGCCGCGAAGGCTACGACAAACTCCCAGGCCAGAGTCATCGCCATGGTCGCACTCGCTCTGACATGGGTCCACAATGCACTCGCCGAGATCTCACGCAGATGTCATCATCGCCTAGCGACGGTGCGCTCAATCCACGACTAACCGGCATGAGCGCGTACAAGTCATCTCTTCGTCATGAGGTCTTGTTATCCGACCCTATCAAAGTTGAATTATGCGAGGAAGATGTGCTTCCTTCCGGCCCAGTCAGGCCCCCCGGGGAGGATCCTGCTTACAGCATCTCGAGTGAAAGTGACGACTCATTCAACCGACTCGATACCGGAACCAACAGACAGGCTTGCCTGATCCTTGGAGAGACCCCAGCCAACGCAGTGGACCCATAGCCCAGATATACCTGCAGCTTTATGACATGGCTTACTTTATTGCATTTTCATTTGGCCTAGCCTACAACGAGGCTCCCCACATATTGAAACATAGGAGATCATTTATCTTGCAAAATTGGCGATGCAACTCGTACGAAAAGAATAAGGACAGCACAACGACTCGCTACTCGAAAGCTCGGGTCTACTGTTGCGTCAGTTTGCTTCATGTCCAAAGTCGACGTCCAGCGAACTGCGACCGCGAGGAAAGCTGTGCAACACGACGAAGCGGATCACTGTGTGGAATTGCACCTGCAATGCTACAATTATTCATCTTCATCTGAGACGCGGTGATTAGAGTCAGCGTTGCGGCAACCAGCCATGAGCAGACGCCTCCAAGACACACCATAGTCCATCAAGACTTCCGCATCATCATCGATGTGAAGTCGATAGCCGGAGCGATCCCGCCTTCGAAGGCGATTGCTGATGAACTGAAACGCCGCAGATAATCGTAGGGTCAGCAAGGGGCTCGGCCAGGGCTAGGGAAGGGAGAAAACCATCACTGACGGGAATATCCATCTCCCTGACTCGGCTGGCAGTAGCCGCTACGATCCCGACAATGGCCCACCTGCGCAAGCCACCCAACCATTTTGCAGTGCGTAGATTGTTGCGTGGATTGTCAGCAGCTTATCTCGGCAGCAAGTCGAGCATAAGATACTCACGGGACAGACAAAAGCAAATCGACCAACTGGGAGTTGCTTCCATCTCCGGGTTCCTTTCAACGCGGAAATGGGGGGCGGTAAGTTTGCGCCAACACTACCGAACGTAGTCCAGGGCGCCTTACCGGAAGTCTGATCCGTCCCCCGTGACCACCGCGTCGTCTTGTCCACCAGAGTGCGGTAAGACCGGCAAACAGGAATGGCACCACGCTCAAGGTGGCCCAAAAGAAGAAACCGCGCGTCGAGCGACCGGGACATACATGCGCTGCCCCACGATCCAGTGACATACCGCCTTGGCACTCGGAGTGGGGGATCCTGCGCATGTTCGTCCGCTCATGCCAGAAATCCTGATTCCACGCGCATGTACTGTCGGAGGGGAGAGGTGCAGCTCCGTCGACGAGCTGGCAGACGCCGTTCGAATCACGCTTGTAGTTGAACTCGCTATGGAATGGCCAGAAGGCAAGGAAATAAGGCACGGTTTAAAAACAAAAAAACATAAATCGATGACGCACCACTCAAAGTCTTGCTCTGTGCAAGGGCAGTACCGTTCAATCTTGTGAGGTTGAGGTAGGCGCTCGCCGATGAAGCAGTTTCGATCACGAATGCGGCGATAGTACCTTGTCTGTTAGAGCGAAAATACATACTCTGATCTTAACATGCGCATCGTACTGGAACAGGCGGAGCACCGAGAAAACTGCGCACCAAGTCGAAGACTTACCTGCTTGCCAAAGAGACACTGCTCGTCCCGGGACTCACTGGGGCTCCAAAGCTCAAAGTCATCAGAGTTGGGGTTTGCGAGATCGAGTTTACCTGCGTGGCGGGAGCGTAGACGTCAGTAAAACGTGCCAGACTACATCATGTGAGGCCTAAGGCCGTGGGACATACATTTGACATTCGTCACGGATGAGAAATCGAGGTGGATGGCCACTGACGAGTCCGGCGCATTGGGCTTGATGCCGAACAAGATGAATTTCCGACTTGTGTCCATTGGAACCGTTACGATCGAGCGTATGCGCACTTTTTCGCCGAAGTTGTACTCTTGCCAGGAGATCCCTTCATTGAGCGTGTAGGCAACGTGGTCCGTGGGGTCTTCGTCGTTGGCGAGCACTAAGATCGATCCTTGATCTCCAAATTCCCACACGTGCGCGTCTTTCCGAACCTCCTCCCACGTAAAACCTCCATCACGCGTAAGAAACGTATCCGAGTCCGAATAGGCAGCAAGGGATTGCCCGACATTCCCGACCGCGAGCATAAGACCGGTTGCCGATGGCGAAGAGTAGGTCGCACGGGGATCTTTGCGCTCCGTGTAGCCGTGTACGTGAAGAGCACAGCTCTGTGACGGGATATGACATATTATATGGTCAGCCAAGCGTACAAGCTCCCGAGTCGTAAGGCATGTGCATGGCGTCGACTAGACTCACAGCGGTACTACACTCGTACGATCTACCCAGCGCGTCAACGGTGGGCGGAATGAGAGGCTTCCATCGGCCACCTGGTAAATCTGAGTCAGTAAGGGTCTTCTTGCGCAGCGAAGAAGAAGCGATAGGCGGTGACTCAGCCAGTACCTACCATCGTTGTGCGTGATTCTGCTCTGAAGTGACTTCTTGCCACTGAGCGCGGCTTCATTCGGGTTGCTGACAATGTTTACGACTGCGATGCCGTCCAGCCCGATCATCTTCTCGAAGTCAACGAACCCCTTGGAGTTGCGGTTCACGAACTCAAGGGACGGCGAGTAGTACGTTCCATTCGAGTTGGACTTAAACAGAGTGCCCCACTCGGATCCGACGTCGGCGTGTGTTGTCACATGAAGAAAGACGGAGTCCGTCGTCGACTCGAGTACAGTGTATGCCTGAGCGGCAAGGTAGCTTGGTCAGCATCGTCCAGCACTTCAAATTCCCCGGGGCTCCCTGAAGCTTTTTTAGGACAAGGCTCACTTGATTCTCCAGATGCAAAGCAGGCGGGAAGCGAGCGAGCGCAAAATCCTTACTGTTGAGAGAAATCATGAGCCCAATTGACCTTGTCGACTCTGCCAACTGTAGATACGTCGACGGATCAGCTGATGATCACACGTGATCGATCGGCGAAGAGATCCTCGATCGTCTTCGCTTACCTCCGCCACAACCATGTATTGCTCGAAAGTCGCGAAGCCCACGACTGAAGGGAACACGACCTTGCGATTCGTGTAGAAATTCTCTCCGGAGATAAGCTGGAGAGGATTGTTGCGATTGTAGGCTGCGCGTTGAGGGCCCGTCTTGTCACGATATGACTCGCAGAAGATGATCTTCTCGTCAATGTGCAACCTTTTATCGCGACCCCAGGAACATACTCGCACATATTCGTCTATCTTGTCCCAGCTCCGACCATTATTCTTCGTGTAGTGCGCGATTATTCTGCAAGACGTCGAATCAGGATCCGTGCACGATTGCTGGCCAGTCCAGATGAGCCAGTCGCTGCGCAGCGGATGAAAATCGAGCAGGGGTATCCCCAGACCGTTGGGGTCGGTCGGCGCGGTAAATGTGTTCCAAGTAATTCCCCGATCCGAGGTGTAATACACCGTTCGTGTGTCGGTGATGAGATAGGCCCGGTCTTTTGCATACGCATGCATCGTCATCGCGACGAAGTGCTTGCCTTCGGACGCCTGCCTCCACGAAAAGCCTTCGTTTTGGGACTCCCACACTCGGTTCTTGTCGGTGAACGCAAGGATCGTCTGCAAATTTACCAGCCCATAGACGTTAGTTTGTACGTGGAGATGACAGCGCCAGTGTCCTGCACTCGAGCCGCTCCGATAATTACATGCGAGTCGCCAAAGTAGGCTTGATCGATCACATAGCCCGGAAAAGTGAACTGAAATCGAGTAAGAGTTAGCCCACGGGCCGAACCAAAAGGTCAAGACAGCAGGACAACGAGCCAACGTACGGACTGGTGGGTCACGAGGCCTGGAGTCGCTTGACCCGCGCTGCAAGACTTCTCCACCGGTGCGTCCTTTTTGATACCTCGTGCAACATCACAGGTGTCACCGGGGATGAGACGGTATCCAGACGAACCGAGAAACTTGTCGTTTTCCCGTAGACAAGACCCTGTAGGAATCGGTTCAGGGCCAACCGCAATGCATTCTTGGCCGTCAGGGGCGAAGTTGTAGTCGCTTTACAGTGTGTCATATAAGTCAGTGCCATATACGGAAGGTTTTGTCAGGGTGGGGAGGCAGGTAGCTCACCACTCGTAATCCTCATCAGCGCAAGGGCAGTTCTCTTCCACACCCACTGGGTCCTCGAATTTCTTCGCGACCACGCAGTCAGCATCCGCCTTACGACGCATGAACCATTGCTGCTCGGTGAACGGGATCAGTGGTCATCTAGCAGACTGCCTGGTGAAGGGGCAGAAACGCACCTTGTGCCCCATCAGACAATCTGGTTCACCCCCCAGGGTTCTGGCATACCACCTTTCCATATCTTTTGAAGTGCAAGTGCGCTTGTCCATCGGCTGAAAGTCGATGTGAATGACGATATGGCGTTGACCATCGTCGCCTTTGTCTTTGGACCGCCGAGTCAATGTGCCCAGCAGAATGAACGAGAGGGTTGTCGAATCGGGAGCAGTTGTGAGAAGCCTTGCGCGCACTTTGACACCGAGATCGACTTCCTTCCTGGTATACCGAAGAGGAAGGAAAGCAAGGAAGGACGGAAGAGAAAGAAGGGGGGGTTTGCACAATCCCAGGACGTGTCAGCGGGCTAGAGACCGGCGGCAAATTAGATCCCTCGCACTGCGGCCGTCACCGACCATGTCCTGCCAAAATCGAACGAGTATTTGAGGCTATCCGTCGCTTCTTCATCCTCAACCATGATGATGATCGAGCCTTGGTCCCCAAACTCGTACTTGTTGGCCCCGTCGTCGACCATTCTCCACGTCAGGCCTGCGTCTGTGCTGAGGAATGTGTCACATTCATCGTAGGGCAATAGGCGGGCACCGATAGAGCCCACGCCCATGACGAGTCCTGGTGCAGTAGATGAGAAGACCCGGCCGTAATTGTGCGGCTGCGTGACAGAATGCAAATGCAAAGAGCAGGTCTCGAGGTCGCTGGTATCGCATTTAACTTTCTTGCCTTCGTTGTCCGTTGAAGGCGCCTTCAAGAGACTCCATCGCGCCCCTGACACGGGATCATCGTCGGAGGAAAGCCAATCAGTCGCTAACTACTGTCCGACCATCTCGGCGTAGCACGACGACTATGTGCAGGCTCACCATCGTCAAATGTGATGCGCGTCTTGAGCGATTTTTCTTCTCCGGCCTCGACCCCTTGGGGATTGCTGACGGTATTCACGATGGCGACACCTTCAACACTGACCAGCTTCTCGAAGTCCACGATCCCCATCTTGTTCCGATTTGTGTGTTCGAGGCTACGCACGAAGAGAGTACCATTCGAATTGCTGGTGAACAGCGTGCCCGAGCTACTGAGGGGGTTCGAGTTGACATCAACCAGGATCGAATGTGTGGTGGATTCTACGATCGTGTAGGCATTCTCTTTCAGGCCGTGTCCATGGGGGAAAAGAGCGCGTGACCACTGGTCGCCATTTTCCGTCACGTAAAGAACCATCTCGCCGCCCGAGCCATCGCTGTCCGCTGAGGGCTTGAGCGCGCAGACGAGATACTTCTGAACGCCACCGATGCCGACCACCCCTCGAGCCTCCTTCCCAATGCCGAGATCGACGAAGGTACGGTCGGTTTGGAAAAAGTCAGTCGACGAGTAGAGCCTCGACTCGCGGAGCGTACGTGAGCCGCCCAGGAGAGCCGCAAGTGTACCTTTGGGGCTTTGATCGGACGGCGGCTCGAACGCGACGCAGTAGACAAGCTCGTCAAGAACGCCCTTCGGATATTCTTTCTTGTCGTGCGCAAAAATGCAGCGGGAGGTGTATTTGAGCAGCAGATGAGGTGCCGAGGCGAAGGCATCCTGGGTATAGAATGTCTGGCAAGTCAAACTGCACTGCTTCAGCTGGGCTGATGACAACCGTGGGTATCTGAGCCATCGGGCGTTGAGGGGCGCGTACCTCGTCGTGGCAGATGCGTCCTCGCCATCCCCCTAAGTCCTGACAGTTTTGACCAGTGTAGAGAATCCACTCCCATCTTGTGGCATGGAAGCTGAGGGTGTTCGCACTCAGCGACGGCGGTAGCGCAGTGGTGAAACTTTGCCAACTCTCGCCTCGGTTCATAGTCCGATAATGCGTTGTGGTGGAGGTGAGGATGAAAGCCTGCAAATTCGAGGTCAGGGCAATCCTATTCGTACTTCCTGAAGCGACGAGACTCTGAATCAACTCACGATATGGCTGTCGTACGGGTGATCGATGACCAACATTGCCTGACCAAGAGGCACGCCCGATATGATATCCCACTTTTTCCCTTCATCACTGGATCTCCAGACGTTCTTTCCGATTTGATCGTGGTAGATGACGACCTGCGGGTGCGGGCGAACGGTAGCGCAGTCCAGCATTCGGGCCCAGGCCACAGACGAAGCACAAGGGGAAGACGGAGATGTCAGCAACACGACAGCGGGTCGACGAAGACACGGCAACTCGGCGAGTTTGGGCCTGCAGCGAGAGCACCCTTCAGAGTCGACCCGGAGCAAGCACGCCAGTAATAGTGTTCTGAACCGATTGCCAGCTTCCGTTTTGTGAACTCATAACCGTGCCGAAGACGTGTCGGGGTGGGTGCGTTCACGCGTGAACTGACGCAAGCGACTCGCCGAATCGGGTCTTGCCCGAGCTCGAGCGCCGGTCCTGTCGCGTGTCCGAGATCGAACTGGCTCCACTGTTCCCAGCGGGGTGCCGCTCATTTGGGCGAGCGAGGGGCCCTCAACGAACGACGACTGCGCCACTGAGCTCAGTCACTCGGAGCTTCACTGCCGAAGCGACAATGTCGCCGCGCTGCACGGCGCGCCACCTGAGCTCGCTCTTCCGCACTCGTGGATGGTGCATGATCGTGGGTCGAGCGTGGGGTGATGAAGGAAGCTCCTAGACAGGTAGGAACGTACCGGTGTATCGTCAAAGTAGAATATTCGGGCGGGCAGATTGTTGAAGAGCGTGTGGGCGAGCTTCGGCGAGTTGCTGTCGGCCGCGGACACGAGCGCGACGAGCATCGCCACCACCGTCATCCACAAGGCGCAGGTCCGACTCGATCGAAGCCGACCTTGCGACCCTTGACGCGGACGGGCCGTCGATGACGGGGTAGTTTGCTCCATCCCTGATGGCAGGTTCCCCATCGTCGCGGGTCGGAAGGCGTATGGACGATGCTGAGGTCTACCTAGCTGCGCTCGAGCCGAGTCTTGGGAGGGGGACCTGTCGGGAGCGGGGCCAGAGCGGGCCCCCAGCTCAGGTCCACTGGCAGAGGCGTGAGGCGCGTGAGGCGTGACGTTCCGATCGTACGCGCAAGCACTAATTCTTAATGCAAGCAAGCGCAGGCAGGTGCGCGCTGAAGGGCGCTGGACGGCTTGCTCTGGCTTGCTCACGCGCCAGTTCGCGTGGTACGCGTCGTGCAGGAGTTCCGACATTCGTGCGTCGACCGTCACGCCAGAATTCACAGCCCACCTCATTTTACTTTGCGCCGCAGCCCATTCAGACCTGACGCTGCCAGCGACTGATTGGCTGCACCGACTTATCGACCGAGCCGTCCCCACCTCGTCGTCCTTCATCTCGCGCACGACCGGTTGCTCCCCCGCATGAAGTGGAGCGTGGCCCTCTTCGCCGCACTGGCATGGGTGCAATCCAGTCAAGCGCTGTATTTCTATCTTGAAGCGGGCCAGAACCGCTGTTTCCTCGAGGAGCTACCCAAGGATACTATTGTCGTCGGTGCGTAGAGCGTAGAGCGGACCCCTCGAGCTTCGCCGACGCCGCACGCGTCCTGTGCCCGTTCGAATCGACGCGAGGACGCTGATTCGTTTGCAGTCTTATTCAGGCCATTACAAAGCCGAGGAATGGCAGGCCGCAACAAAAAGCTATATCGTCAACGACCAACTGGGCATCCAAATCGTCGTCTCGGTGAGTCTGCCGCGCTCTCCCCGGCGTCGCGGTCGGGATGTGAGATGACGTGTTCTCGAGAAGCGCGCACTCTCGCTGCTCGCCGTTTCACCAACTTGGGCAAAGCGTGCTGACCAACTCTCGCGGTGGCCGGGCGGCTGACCGTAACGGCATTTCTCAGGAGGTTGAATCAGGCGACAAGGTCGTCAATACGCGCGGCTTACCTCAAGGCAAATTCACCTTCACCTCGCACGAAGCTGGCGACCACACCATTTGCCTGAGATCCAATTATACAGGCGGCTGGTTCTCAACGCCCCAGGTGCGAATGCATCTCGACATCGCCGTAGGCGAAGCCAAGGTCGACGAAGAAGGCGAGAGGGAACACGTCAAGGATCTTGCAGGCAAGGTGAAGGATCTGAATCATCGCCTCGCCGACATTCGAAGAGAACAGCAGTTTCAACGCGAGCGAGAAGCCGAGTTCCGCGTTCTGAGCGAAACCACCAACTCAAGGGCGGTGTGGTGGAGCGTGTTGCAGCTGATCGTGTTGCTTGCGACCTGCATATGGCAAGTCCGCCACCTGCGACATTTTTTCGAGAGCAAGAAATTGTCAGTCTGCCGTGCGCGTGCCGATCTCACGCAGACGATCACTTCTCGCTGACGAGGCCAATTGCAACCCTACCTCTCGATTCGACTAACAGGCGGTGATCAACACCCTTTCGATTTGCCAAGACGGCCAAACCCGGCGTCGTGTCTTTGCTGATGCGTTTGGGACTTGGACTGGACCGGCTCGGTCGTGCGTCGTTGTGTCTGTTCTAAGTTAGCAATGCATGCCCCGCACTTTCAATGCGCGCCCAGTATGGAGTTGCGCGCCTTGGTGACGATCGTTACGAGCAGTCAGAGTAACAAGTGATAGGTGAACTTGCCGCGCCGCCCGATCGGAAGGTCCGAGCATGAAACAGCCGAGGATCGGCCTGTGGGCAGCAGCTGGCAGCACGGAGCCAGACACAGACACAGCCAGACACAGCCGCGCCAGGCCGCGCCTCCCGGCCAGAGCGTGCCAAGTTCTGCCAAGTTGGCCGCTCAATTGTACTTACGTGCGCCACTTGCAGGCTAGGCCCTTTTCTCTTCTGATCCGACACCGCGGTAACCGAGGCGACATCACAGCACCGTCCTTTCAAGTTGGTCCGTCACCGAACACACCCCGCGGGTGTGCCGAAGCCACGCCAGTGCAAGCGCCGTTCCGTCTGTGTCTTCCAACTTGAAGATACGACCCGGCGGCATCGGTCTGCTGCACGCTCTTGAGGTTGGGCCAGGGTTGCAGCCGGTAGCAATTGCCTCTCTCGCAGCTGCCCTTGAGCCAGCTCCTTTTGGTTTACCCTCATGGCTGCCCCAGGTCACGTCGACGCTGCGATTGCCGCCCTCGCCCTTGCGGAGTCGGCATCGTCGAGCTCTGCAGCTGCACCCTCGACCGAGCCCAGGGCTTCGGCGGCGCCGGCTTTGGACGATCCACCAGCCAAACCTTTACTCTCTCGGCCACACTCACCAGCGGCGATGCAACCCGCGACAGAGGTGATCGAGGCTGCTTCGCCTTCCGACGCACGCCGCGCTCGACCCGCGTCGTCGACAAGAACGTCCGGCGATGCACCTACGACCCCGCTTGCTGCACCGATGCCCGCATCCACCATGGTGCCCAGCTCGCCATCGGCATCCTCCTCGTCCACGAATCGATTTGGACTGGCGCTTGGCTTCATGGGGAGACGCCCTCGAGGGTTCACGAACCCCCCAATGCCCGGCCTAGGCTCGGGTACGCGATTCCCGGTTGGCGGGGGCGGCCCGGGCTCTCCTTCGAGCGAGCTGCCTTCTTCGCCGGGCGCTTCAGAACGGATGGGGTATGGCTTCCCTGCTCTAAGGCGGTCCCTTTCGAAGCGAGCAACTGTGGCCCAAGCGAATCAAGCTGGCGCTGGAGCCTTGGCCTCGAGCTCGTCCGAAGGTGCCAGAACTCGTGCTCGACGCAGTTCGTCGCAGCCGCAGCTGCCCGCAGCGATTGAAGCACGGGATGCCGTGGCGCAATCCCACGGTCGTAGTCGGCCGCGCACAGCAATTGAAACCGGCGTTCTTACAACCTCAAGTTCGTTACCGAGCACCGTGCAACCAATCTCACACGCAGTGGGTTCGACGGTTGCTTCCGCTCCGATGGCGACTGCCGTAGCGTCGACCCCTGTGCCCGATAATGCTGCCCCAACGTATCGCCTGCGTTTGGTTCCACATTTGGAAACGTCGCGCTCGTTGCATTTCGAGGCTGTCGACCGGGAGCTCGCCCCCTTCACTGTCCTCCGCGTTGGTCGCTTTACCGACCGGGCCAATCACATCAACACGACAGACCAGTTGCGCATCACGTTCAAGTCAAAGGTGGTATCGCGGGGACATGCCGAGGTTTGGTGTGATGCGACGGGTAAATTTTTCATCAAGGACACCAAATCGAGCTCGGGTACATTCCTCAATCACATTAGGCTCAGCAGCCCGAACATGGAATCTCGACCATACGGCATCAAGGACGGAGATATTCTCCAGCTTGGTGTGGATTATCAGGGTGGTGCGGAGGAGATCTACAGATGTGTTAAGATGAAGGTCGAGCTGAATCGAGGGTGGCAGAGGGGCGTCAACTCTTTCAAGTGAGCGGTCCTGATTAAGGACAACCATCCCGCAGAGGAGCTGCGGCGCACGGCACCGGTACTGACGTCCACGGCTTTGTGACTCTGTAGCACCGCAGCCTTGGCGCAACTTCGTGCTCTCGGCGGGAGTTCTGCACTAACGGACACATCCGCAACCGCGGCGAAAGCCTCGTCTACTTCCACGCCTCCCAACATTGCTGCGTCTTCGAGCGTGACGGATTGCTGCATCTGTGAGTCCGATTATCCTGAAAAGGCGTGCTTATGATTACTCATCTTGTCCAACCCTCGACCAGGTCTCTATCCTGTCACCGTCTGCCAAGCTCTGTTCATCGCTCCTTGCTCGCACGTTACGGTGGGTCTCTTCAGATGACGAATGGCACGACCCTGCATAGCGACTTACCTTGACCGTGTTCTGATGCAGCATTACAAATGCATTCGACCTCTGGTGCTCCAAAATTATCCTGGATTTTCCTGCCCGCTTTGCCGAACGTATGCCGACCTCGAGGCCGACGTCGAGATCGATCCACCTGAGCCGGACATCGCAGTACCAGGTCTTGCCGACCCGCCACCTGTGGTCGACGAAGCGCCTGAATGCGACATCGCTGACCGCTCCCCGCCAATGAATCTTCCCATGCCTGCCCACACTGAGCTATCCGCTGCTCAAGGCGGACCGAGTGTGACGCCGGATGCGACCACGGTCCCTTTCGGAGATGTCGACATGATCCCACTCGAGTCCGATAGCGCCACATCCGCCCCGAACGCCATCATCACCTCGAGAAATAAATCGACCACGGATTCAGATGCCGTATCTGTCGGGACGAGGCCGCCGGCCTCGAACAACTCCGAGCCATTGCCCATCGAAACCGCCGCGACTAGTGACAATGACGCCATTTACGCAAGCTTGATGAACGCCGCTACGCCGCCAAACTCAACTTTCCTGTCGACTCTGGCCGAGCGTGCGGATTCGCACTTCCCCCGCTTCCACACTCCCGTCGCTAGCCTGGACATGGCTTTGCTTACCGCGCCTGAAGCGGGACCATCTGCCACGGTTCTACAGCAAGGTTCAACCGGCTCTGACACCGATGCGGCCAACGGGGATGACGAAGGTCTGAACGTAACGGCAAGGAAAAGGCAAGGAGCCGAAGAAATTGTTCAGCCGGTTGTCGAAGTCTGACACAGGCGACCAGGTAGGCTCGAAGAGGTGGTGCTCATTGAAATTGCCCTGTTTTTGTAAATGTATCATTATGTTGTGCGCATGAAATGTCTTATCAAGCTTGACCTTGAAGGATTGTGCTGTGCAGCGTGCAGCGCGTCTGGCCCGGCCAGACCGACATGAGGCTAAGTCTATGCCAACTGGATTTCAGCCTTACTAGCTACAGTTGGATTTTGCAACAAAGCAAAACCGCTTGCTGTCGGCAGTACACGAAACCAGAGGACAAGCGGGCGGAAAATTGAGGCACGGGAACTCGTGGGATGACGGAGAGAGGCGGAGTGGCGGAGAGGGGCACTAGAGTAGCGGGGCCCCACGTAATACCTTATACTCTGTCCGCCCACCTCTGCCAACCTCTGCCTATCTCTCTCGGCGAGAGCCGCGGTGGCTTCGTCCCCAGTCGGAGCCCTTGGTCTACCTTATCTTGCTTTCCATCGCAGGCCAATCGACATCCTGTATACTCCATCGCTGACGGTATGTCGAGCCCTCTCAGGCCAGTACTAGTAGAGGCCACGGCGCTCGACCAACGGCAACTTAGTGAGCTATCCCGGCTGCTGCAAGCTTGGCAAGCGTTCGTGAGGAATCAGTATTCACATCAAGACTAGTAACTTTGGTACTCATCGGCTGCCAAGTCTCTACTTTCGTGTAGCGAACAGCAAGTACACGTTGACATGGCCACATTCGACGACGAACTTGATTTCATCGTCCATGCTATCTCAAACAAGCAACCCACAATTAACGAACGAATGCCATGCGAAAGAATCGATCCCTCAACGATAACCATATTGGGGCATACCCTTCGATTTGTCGGAGGCTTGGACATTTCGTTTCCGCCCGGGCAAACAAACTCGAACAAGGGCGTCGTCGTTCTGGCAGTCCTCAGTTTTCCCGACATGCAGCTGCTCCATTCCGAATCAGAGCATGTCACATTTCCCGTGCCTTATGTTCCAGGGTACTTGGGAATGCGGGAAGCTCCCTCTTACGTCCGCTTGTTGGACCGGACGAAAGGCACCGGCCTCTGCCCTCAAGTCGTTTTCGTCGACGGCAATGGACGATTGCACCCGCGGCAGGTGAGCGTTCGAGGACTGGACTTGCACCAGATTGATCTTGACTGGGGCCTTGGCTGATGTTTTCGTTAATTAGGCTGGAAGTGCGGTCAGCGTCGGCGTGTTGAGTGGCGTCCCGGTCATCGGAGTCGGTCAGTGCATCGGGCTGTGTGTCGCGCGATTAAGGCATGCGGGTCCAATCCTAACCAAGAGACTAGCGCTGCTCGAGGACAGCCAAAGAATACCATCCTATTTCCGATTTTCCGGCTACATTGGGCTCTCAAAAAGCAATGAAGTTGTATTGCCAGCAAGCCCTCAAACGTCGAGGCGACTGGTCAGGTATACCGATCGAAGGGGAATTGGTTGGGGCTGCGGTTCTTTCCTCGCCCGTACTGACAAGCACTCGGCCCATCTTCGTCAGCGCGGGTCACAAGATTTCACTTCGTTCGGCTTTAGCTTTAAGCTTGGCCGCCTGTACGGAGGCTCGCATCCCCGAACCCATCCGCTTCGCCGACAGGATCGGGAGGGCTTTAGCAAAGGAGGTTGGATCGCCGCTGTAGCAGTGCTCGGAATTTCTCATCGGAATGGCTGTGCTGCTAGTTGCTAGCTACTAGAGACATGGCATTCAGAAATCGAGATCGACATCAACGTTAATACGACTCGCGACGAGCTTTTCAAACTTTTGGCCAGAAGCGGCCGATTGACTCGAAGGCTTGGCGCTAGTTTCGGTCGGCGTGTGCGGATTACTTTGGTCCGCGAAACCCGTGGCTCGACCCAGGGTGTCTCTATTCAGGGAGGAAAGAAATACCCCGGCTCCAATCAGCTGGGACTCCTCTTCATCTCCGAGGTGACCGTCCTTACCGATCGTAGGTCAGTCGCGTCATGGTTTTGACCCGGGCACTCGGGTCGACCTTCACTGAGCTGTCGCCGCGAGCCAGCGCTGCGGCCTGTCGCCGTCGTTCCTCTTGCGCACGCCCTTCAGCTTTTTTGATGTCTTCGCGATTGGTCGCTCGATTGCGCTCGTTCAACCTTTTCATGCGGTCTTGTTCTGACTCGTGCTCCGAGCCGACAGGGCCCGGCGAAGGGGCTGGCGCATCGAACGTCGCCAATTGAGCCGAAACCTCGGCAAGCAATTTGTCGTCACCTGCTTGCCGAGCAAAGTCTCGTTGGATGAGAAGCCGAGCTTTACCGGCGGCAGCATTGACGCGAGCACCCTTCTTCGCTAGAACGGCTGCCACATCCGCCTACATGTCAGAAGCTTGTGGCTTCGTCAGCGCCATGGCAGGCGCGCCAGACTCTTTGGAAATCTAGAACTCACTTCGGTCATGACGTAGTCATTGTGCTCGTCAAGTTTCTTGCGAATTCTATTGACGTCTTTTTGGGAAGGGAAGGGGATCTGGTCGGTCAACAGTTGGCGTTGAAGTCGTGAGAATTCTCTCTGGACAGCGTCGAAGACAGATACCGGATGAGCACAAGTAAAAGATGAAGCGAGAACAAGTCGAGCGGTGAACTCGAAGACCAGCGACATACTGAGACCATGGGTGAATCGGAGATGACATGCATTTGAAAGAACCGGACGCTGTTGCCATGGCACAACTCAAGCTCCGTATTCGTCGTCGTTTGTTCCAATCTGTAAGATTGCGTCCCCTCACGTACACCTGTCAGGCACACCACGGGCAGGGGAAGAAAATGCCATGCGTCAGCCAACAAAAAGCTGCAGCCATGAGAAAAAGTTGGGTCTTACTTGAAACACGACAGAGTCGATACTGGGGCAAGCGGTCAGGGCCTAGTCCCACGCCCAGACGGACCCAAGCGTCTGCGAATCATGACGCTCCCCCCACACTGTTCAGTATATGACAGGAGGCCAATGCGGATGATCAAACTCACCTTTGATCCATTCACCGAACCACGGTGCATTGCAGAATGCGGCCAGTTTGGAACGGGGGACCAACACCGAGCCGAGCTCGCTTTCCGTAGCAACATCTTCTTTTCGTGTGGTACGGCCCAGCCCAGCTTTAGCAGCTGTCAATTCCGAAGAGCGGCGCTCCGTCTCAGATTCACTATCCGTGTATGCATCCGACGATGCAGTGGGTTTCCGGATCAGGGTTCTGTGTTGTTCGCCGTCGTTGTCCTCGTCGTCGTAATCGTGGTCACGCGCACGATGCTGCCCGGTGCGGTTAAGTTCAGTTAGCCAAATGATTCCGGGCAGACGGGCAGAGAAAAAAACTTTGTGCGGCCGTCTTACCTTCTGCTCTCGCTTTTGGGCCTTGCCTTCCCGACTTTTGCGCAGTTTCGCGAGGCCGTCGCGCTTCTCCCGGGTGGTCCCTGTCATTTTTCTGTCGCGAGTGGGTCGCATATCATACTCGTCGTCCTCATCGGATTCGTCTACTCCACCTTGCAAGTCCTTCTTCTCCTTACGCTGGACCATTTGGCGCAGCTGCAACCGTTCGGTGTAAATGTTGATCTCATCTTGGCGTTCGCCGAGTATGGCTTCACGGTCCAGTTCGTTCATCGCTTCGATTCTATGGTGTGAGAGCAGGTCGCTCGACTCGGTCAGAGACGCACGAGACGACGCAACGACTACGACCGAAGAGCAGGGCTTCATCATTTGACTTGCCTGGCACGGTCATGGTGATCGATGTATTTGCCTTCGAGACGGTACTTGTCGCGTGGATCACGATCGTCGATCTGCGGGCCATCGGCACCGTCGCCAGCTTCACCGTCGTCACTTCGCCGGTGATGGCGAGGCCTGACGTTACGAGCGGCCTTGATACTGGAACTGGGTTCAGTGTCGGACGCGCTCGACATGTCCATGTCCGAGGCCGAGTCCCTGCAGGGGCCAGACAGCCGGTAGGCCGAAGCCAGGCCAATCCAACGCGATTAGCCGGGCCGGACTACGGGAACAGTGGAGGTGTCCCGGGGAGACAAGGTGACGCGACGACCGATGCACTCACTCTGCTTGAGGTACAGGGGCTCTCTTGCGCTTAGCAGGGGCGGTCTTGCGCCTGCCGCTGGATGTGCCCTCGGCTAAGCCGAGCAACTCATCATCGAGGTCGCTCATGACGTGAGACAACGGATGCGTTGTTGGTACGTCCGAGTCGGTAAATGTTCCGAGCGGAGTGCGGTGACGGCGATCAGTGCGTGGTACCGTCTGCTAAGCCTGCCAACTGCAAGCCTGCGAGAGCAGTGGCAGAGGAGGGACAGGATTGGACAAGTCTTGACGAGTGTGGACTGGCAAAGCACCGGCAGTGCACCGGCAAAGCCTAGACGATCTCGCCGGCCTCTCAGCCGCTAATGGCCAAGCCTATAGCCAAGCGCAGTTTCGCGCAGTCCACTTGCTGGCTACTTGCTGCTACTTGCTGGCCTTCGCTGGCCCATGGCCTGCCTCTTCCCTGCTCGCTCGCCCCTGTGATTCCTCCCTTGCGCTCACCACAGACACGCCCGTTCTCATAGCCGCTGAGGGCCTCCGCTCTGCTCTAGGCAGCATGACCGAAAGATTCCTCGACGCCGACGTTCCCTCACCCTTCTCGGGCGCCACGGATGACGCGCTCGACTTCTCAATCCCATTGCAGGGCCTTGCCTCTCCCGCGTCCGCCCAGGTCAATGCCTCAACTTTGATCCCGCGCGCGGAGCCATTCAAAGACCATGACGACCATGACGACCATGATGCCGGGGAAGATGACGAACTGAAGCACAACCAAGACCACACCCTCGACTTTGGCCTTGACACGGCTCTAACCTCGGCCGAGCGCCTCCTTCTGGCCCACCCTGAAGAGCCACCCATGGCAACGGCGCCTGGCATTGTCCACGAGCTGGAGCCCCACCCACCGCGCCAGGAGGAGCTGCTTCGGCCCAAGATCGACCTCCTCGAGGCCCACTCGGACATCTTTACGGGGTCCACCCTATCGCCGATCCCTTCTACCCCTGCAGCTACGGCCGAGAACTCGGATGGAGGGGCGGCGACGACATCGTCATTGAAGCGACGAGCATCGAGCGAACTGCCGCTGCCGACCACGTCATCAGGCCCGGGGGCATCGCTTCCACTCGAGCCCGAGCTCGACGCCACCTCGGACGAGCTCGAAGACTCGCCCATGCACAGAGCGGCCAAGAGTGCATCACAATGGAACTCGCTTCTGCGCTGGGCCAGACATCAGCGAGGTCCTCAGTGGGATTACGCAACGGGCCAGTGAGTGCATCGCGCCGCGCTTTTCGTCTTGAGCTCGGAATGCCGCCCCTACCCTCCGACACTGACCGGCTCGCTCGCAACCCTTTACTTCAGATACCATGTCGACCGAAGCACTCCCGAGTACTATGCAGGAGTTGAACGAAGTACTGCACTGTATGTGCAACAGCTTCGTTAGAACGTCCATCTTTTGTTGAAGAACCTGACCAGGCTTGCCCGGATTTGACTTTCTACTCCCAACCGCTTCCCCCAAAACCATACTCACACAACAGTGCGTCGGCCCTTCCCTCGCACATTTCGCATAATGCCTCGGGTGGAGCCTCGCCTGCCTTCAGCGGCCCGGGAACGCCGGCTCACGAGGTCGCGGGCGTGTACGATTCAGGTCGACCCAGACGAACCAGGGCGGGCGCCCGATGAGAATGACTCAGCCAAGTTGGACTTGTATCCATCGCAAGCGGCCATGTTGTCTGTATGTTGATATGCACAATTGCAATGGAAACGGTTGCAGTGTACAGATATCAGGGATCTTTTGGCCGACCTGAAGGCACCATGTTATGACGTTTGAACATTAGCCGGTGAATGTGGAACGGCCTACGGTGCTACTCACGATAAAGGGATAGATCACTGGCAATGCAAAAACGGGAACGCACCTTTTACCCATCAGAGTAGCCACGAGGCTTTCGATAGTGAAAGCGTGGTCTGTAGTATACCTCGTTGCGTGCAGACCAAAAGGAACGTGACTTGCCCCGGGGAAACTAAGAGAAGTCACTGAGTGGAGGCGGAAGGGGGGTGAAGGCTAGTGGAAAATGGAGGTGGTTCATGAGTCACCAAATACTTGTAGAACCAGCAACCTTCCTGGTGCACGACAAAAGTCGCAGACGAGTCTGGCGGTTATCTGCCTCAGACCTCGTCCTCAGCGGACTTCTTCCTCTCGGTCGATCGCAAAGTTAGATCGCATTTCAAGATTTCCTTGCACCATCGAGTCACGTGTTTCCTCCAAGCTCTTGGCCTCTGTCGACCACCATCCACCACTCCGAGTCGAACTTGGAACCATGTCCCCGACACCAGGGCTCTCACCCGAGCAGAGAAGTCACATCATCACCAAAGCCTTGCAAGGTGTGCCCCTTCCCCTCCTTTTTGATGTCCTACATCTGACCTCCACACTCGCTTGTCCTTCAGCCCGCGACGGATCCTATTCTCCTTACTCACTTTTCCGGGTCGGAGCCTGTTTGTTGGGTCAAAAGGATGGGCAATATACAACAGGAGCCAATGTTGAAAACGCCTCATACGGTAGGTCTTTTATTGCCCATGCATCGTTCTCCGCTGTAGCGGCACGCCACATGGTGACACTCGGGGGTCAAGCGCGAGTCACGACTCAAGATATAGCCCTGACCGGGTATATGTGAGACTGCAGGTGTGACCATTTGTGCGGAACGGACGGCGATCGTCAAAGCAGTGGTGGGTCTCATGCTGCCGTCACACCCGAGATGCCCTGTTATCGCCCGGGCGGGGTTCACGGCGTCGCCGCAGGCTGACCGCAGCTCGGGTCACTTTTCTCCAGACGGAAAGTCCAAACCGTCGCTTTGTAGGGCTGGCGATCGCAAGGTGAGGCGAGGGAATCTTCGTCGTGCATTGGGTCGAACTCGAATCGCTGCTTCTGACGCCACAACTCACGACGTGGCACTCGCTGGCCGACTCATCGCAGCGACCTTAATGGAGTGTGCAGCCCCTGCGGTCTATGCCGCCAAACGCTGCGAGAGTTCTGTCCTTTGGATGTGAGTCGTCGCACGCACACCCGAGCCAACGGGGGAGGGGAACGCGCGATTCCATGCCTTCGTCGATCAATGGTGTCTGCGCTGACATCCAACACTGCGTGTGCATGCGTCGTCAGATGCCCATCTTGCTCGTTCCCGCTAACTATTCCGAACAGACCAAGACGGTTACCGCGCGAGAGGCGAAGGAGCACGGAGACAAGGGTGTGCTAGTTGTGACCACGCTTGACGAGGTGCGGCCCTCACCTACCATGATGCTTCACTATTTGTCTAACTGTCACATGCACCCGCTGTCTCCTCTTCTTGCTTTCCTCTAGCTACTGCCGCTCTCGTTCGGACCCGAAGACCTCGCTCTACCGCGACAAGGATGAATGGGCAAAATGGTTCATAACAACGGAGCATGCGAGAGTGGGATTTTATATAGCTACACTCGCTTGTTCTGCTTGCGGGTCTAGGAAGTTCGGCATCGTTCGGGCTCCAAGTGCACTCACCTTGTACAGAATGGCTAAATCTTGCCCTTCGCCAAGGGTCAATACTGGGAAGGGACTCTGTACTGCGTTCGAGAGTCGGATTAAACAACCAGGACTGATCAGTTCGGCGATGCGGGCGAAACACGCGATAGCGCGATATGACGTGGCATTGTCGGCCGAGTGCGAGAACGCGATGTTGGTAAACGGAATAATCTCAGTCTGACGTGCAATCAGATGAATATGTCTCGGCATCAAGACCCCTGTAAAGGAAGTCCCTTCGCAGTCTAACATGTTACGGTATTGTAATATCATCATCGATCATCCGTGGTGAGGTTTGCGTGCGCGTGCTGCTCTGTAATGGTGGTGGTCGGGGTCGGGGTCGGGGGGTGGTCGTGGTCGTGGTCATGGCCGTGAATACGAGATTGACATGATATAGAGGCACAGACTCACGGTTTGTGCTCGGTCGAGTTGCCATGTGTGCGCAACTTGATTCTTGGGCGGTAGGCAATCGATCCCCTTTCCTTGCGATGGCCCCGTTGAAGCCGAACGCACCTGGAGGCGAGTCGAACAGCACGCTGTCAGCTGACGAGGTATCGTATGCGCGGTGGCTTAGGCCTCTGCCTCATGTTGCCAATGATTCCCTCAGTCATATGCTTGATGATGTATAACTCTGCATCGCAGCCGGACGAGGACGGTCGTGAAACGAGCGTTTGACCCTCGCCTGTCGGTCAAGACGGAGGCTGCTTGGAAAGCCATGCGTGGATGATTTGTCGTCATAGGGAAGGCGCCAGAGGGGAAAAAAAGAGCAACTTACCAGGAGTGGGGGGATGGAAGAGGTCAAGACTAGTGCCGCGCCTTTTGTCTCGCATCTTGAGCGGGTGAGGAAGAAAATCACCCCTCGCAGGAGCTTCGGCGGCTCATCGCGGCCACTGCCACGCTATTGTCCAAGGCATCAGAGGCAGAATCGGGGGCTCAAAAATTGGGATTTGATGTTCCACGCAGAAACACAACACGCGATGGCGACAGAGGGTGGTGAACGGCGTGCGAGTCGGTTCACAGGCTCGATAGAGAGGGAAAAGAGTGAGAGAGGCAGAGCTGAGGCGCCGCTCCCCAGCTCTGCGAGGCTCGGCGCCGCATGAAAAAGCTCAAAAAAGCCTCGAAAAGTCCTCGGAAGCCCCGCACCGCTTTGACCTGCTTCGAAAGGATTACAAAGGCATCTGAAGAGCCCAAGGCGCCAATAAAATCACCCTGTTAAAGTTGTCTTCCTTTGATATATGTGTGAAAATTCTGGAAGCCCGGACCACGCCGCGAAGCTCACAGTCGCTAATCAGGCTAATCAGGCTTGATACCAAAGAATTACATGTACACAGTCGCATAGTTCTACTGTCAGTCTAACAGGGCCGACCATACGCCGTGAAGCCCTTGGGTTTTCTCACAAAGGTACGAGATGCCCTCAACGATCTGGATAGATGCCCGAGAGACCCTCGAGAGCCAAGCTGTAAAGGGACGCCTTACAGAAACAGCCCTATAAGTAGCCTCTGAGTAGCTAAAACTATCGAGTTGCGACTTGCGTTTAGAGTAGCGGTCATGAACGACAGATTGTATTCTATGCACATCAGAGGCGCATACCTCGGCGGTCTTTTGGCAAGGCAGATCAACGTGACAACGTTGAACGAAACAGACTTGCGAGCAAAGCACAAAGAGTTTTAAGTTTTCAAAATCAGTGAATCAAACTAGTCACGTCAGAGAATATTCATTAAGGTCAAGGTAGTCTGCACAGAAGAGACGACCATACCTTCTGGCCCTGCTTCATGGGGCCGCCCGGGCCGCCCGGCTGGAGTGCCGGCACGGAGAGTCTCTGAACTCGGATCGAAGACGTCCATGCCAACTAGGCGGATCTTGGACAGTGAGTTATATACTCTTTCACAAGAAGCCATTCACAGGAAACCTTCCATGGAAAGTAAGACTGAAGGAATACACAACGTGAAAATACGAGATCATGAATCCTCTGGACTGGCGACATCATATAATCCCCGAGTTCCCGCGAGGCCAGGCTCTTCGCGGAGGAGCGAATTCGACTGCAGATCCCGCTTGGTTTTGGCCCTATACATCCAAGTTTGAATGCAGAGCAGCATGTCGACCGAAAGCTGAAACAGGGCGCATATCTGTGCCACGGGTGGGATAGAAGAGAGGTTCAGATGGGAGCCTCGTGGTGTCGGACCCGACCCCAGGGGCAACTTCGAAGCGCGGCCCACGAACCTTGAAGGCCGGGCCATTGTTCTCAGTTGCGAAAAAGTAGATCGTCTTGATAAGATCGCCACCGGCCCAACCGACCAAGACCGTGTAGCGGAATCCGGCCGTCGACCTGCGCTCATAATTGACGAGCACTTGCGGGATGGGCAAGGTCGCTTCAGACCCGAGAGCGACGAAGCCGAGCAGGTCGACGTAAAAGGGGATCCAGTGTAGGGTTAAGAAAAGGAGGCAGTGTACCGCAATGATCCCGGCGATGCATTCGAGATAGCTGCCGAACGAGACCCATTGCCACAGCTTGAAGGGTCGATGATCAACACGAGACGTCGAGATGGGTTCTTCGCTCACGGGCTGATGAAGCCCTTCCGTCTCTTGCAGCGACCTCGGGTCGATTACATCGCGCTTTTCGCGAAAGAGGAGACAGACGTATAGCAACGCCAGTTGCGCGGCGATCATCAACAGCGACTATAGCGAGTGTCAAGTGGGGGTGATGGGATACATGGGCAAGCGAACCGGGGGTGGGGCGACGGTGCGGGGAGTGACGAACGAGGGCGCGTGGGAGTAGGGACACGTTATCAGTGCTATGAGCGATTGGCGTGAGAAGAGATGCGAGATCGTACCTGGACCAGGAGCGCCAGTTGGAACCGAGCTCCCAGCCAATAGAAGCACCGTGTGATGTTGGCAAAGAGCAAGACCCCCGGCACATCCGTGCTGAACCCGGCCGAGGATCGTTTGCGAATGATGGACGCGAATTGATCACTGTAGGCCAACGGCGGACCGACGGCCATAGCCACCGCAGCTAGGGTCGCTGACCATCCCATCCAGCTCGAATTCGTTCTGTGGACGACGCTAGGGTGATGCCGAAAGCTAGCTGATAGCAGGGCGCGGGACGGCGTGACCGAGTCGGAGAGGCCACCTGCAGGATCGGATATCGGAGCCCTGGGCGAGATCCTCCACTTTGAGCCGGGCTCACCTAGCCTTACTTGGAAAATGACAAACGAGTTAGATCGTTTAATTTTTTGATTTTTAATTTTTGAGTCCTCGGACAGAGATATGCAAGACCGAGCGAGGCCAATTGATATCCGGCGGAATATCGATCTATCGCAAGCTTTCGCAGATTGTCGCCGATTGTCGCCGACGCTCTTCGGAGCAACGGCTGACTGGGCTACCTTCGCAACAGACCTCACCTTTTAAGCAGCTTTCACGCACATCACCGACTTGCAGATGGGCGCAGCACAGTCGAGCTCTACATCGGACCCTACAAGTTCAGCCTCAAAGCCCACAGCTCCACCAGCGGGATGCCCGATGCATGAGCCCTCCAAGGTGTCAGTCGCCGTAGACGAGCTGGTTGCCACCAGGGACGACTCACCGCCGCCGACATCGTGCCCTGTCGATCATGCCTCGCTGCAGCGCCTCAGCGGGACAGCCCCCCGAACACGGCCCCAGGGCGAGCTCGACCCGATGAACCATATCCCTGAGCTAGCACAAGCCCCTTCGCCCGGCCAAAAGATGGCGCTTCCACTCGAACGCACGATGTCCTCGATCCCCAAACCCAACGCCGGCGCCGGCGCCGGTTCCGCTGCCGGGCCATCCGCCTGTCCGGTCGCGCATGCCACCGAAGGCTCTGCCCCCGCAGCGACCAAACCTGATCAATGGGAATATCCGAGCCCCCAGCAGTTCTATAATGCGCTCGTCCGGAAAGGATGGGAAACCCCCGAGGAGTCGGTGGAGATGATGGTCGACATTCACAATTGGATCAACGAGGAGGCGTGGGCGCAGGTTCGCAGGTGGGAAGAGAAGCACGATGGGTACGTGCGCAACCAGCAGTGGGATCATCACCACCATCTACGGGGAACAAAATTGATCTGGGGGGTTGGGGGCCGACTCTTGCAGAGGATCACGGTCGATGCTAGCGCGATTCCAAGGTCGACCACAAGATCTTTCACCGAAAGCGCGATACCATCTGATGATGGGGAAGCTGTTCCCAAACTACTATGGGTACGTGGTTGGCACCAATTCGTTTCCCTGGTGGTGCAATCGTGCTGAAGGCGGAGCGATCTGTTCAACAGGTCGGTCAAGCCATTCGACCGACATGATTGGCTCGTGCATCGCCCCATCCCGCGAGACGCATCTTCGGGATTCACCGCACCCTCTTCAACCCAAAACTACACCGAGCACCGATGTGAGTGGTGCATGCTGTCCGACCAACCCTGGTGTCGATGTGGCCTTTGAGGCCCCTTGCTTACGGCTCGAGCGGCTCGCCGCTTTCCTCGCAGATGTGATTGACTACTACTCGCTTCCCGAAGACGCGCAAGGGAACCCCGTCTTTTCGCTAGACGTGCGGCCTGCCGTCGACTCGGTCGAAGCCGTGCAAGACCGCTTGGCTGAATGGTGGAAGGTCAAAAAGGAGGCGTGGATGTCGGGCTCGGGGGCGTCGGTATCGACGCCCGACTCATCGCCTGGTGTTCGGGTGCAGGAGAGCTAAACTAGCAATCGGTCTCCGGCGGGGGCCGTCAGTACTGCCGGTATGTAAGAAAACTGTGACCAGTAAAAAACTCCTCTCATTGCAACCTACGCAAATCGCGCAATGCTTGCGGTGTCAGGAGATCGGATGTCGTCGTCGCGCTCGACACCAACTCGAACTTGCTTGTCCTGCGTCGGTGTGCAAAGCTATAGTATGCCTTGCGCCACCACGAAACAGGAGAAGTTACCCGATGGGATGTTCCGGCTCCAGTGGTCTGATGGCAGATCGAAAAGGTGGCCAGATCAGACCGAGCCGGTTGGAACTGAAACGTGTCCGGATGGAGCTTGGACCCAGTACTCGTAACCCCCCGCAGGCGCCTGGCGGGTCGGATCGCGCTCAGGTCCGGCGTTTTCAGAGAATTTGATGGCAGTAAAATTGCCGGGTATGACCTCGATACGAGGATTGTCGGGGCACGGGGTGGTATAGCCTATCCCCAAGGTGTTAATGTTGGCCTTTGACGGGGGCCGAAAATTGGAATGGATTTCTTAGACCGACGCCTATAACCTAGGATGCCAAATTTTAAGCTGACGCATAGGGTGTTTACATCGTAAGATAATGTGGTCAAGGCGTTCAGATCTCCCGAGATCAGACAACTGTTCTCATTGGCTCGGTGCGAGAAACAATTGGTCCTTGTTCGAAAAATCGAATCCGGCCGGGCAGCTTGTGGGGCTTACCTGGACGAAGAGAACTCACAACTTGCTGTCGCGGCACTGCATTTGACTGGATGTCTTGCCTGGACTCATAAGGAAGGCATTCCATTGGGTTGTTGGCGCAAACGCAAAGCTAAGGGAGTAGCAGAGAAAAATGCCGAATAGTTTCAGACAACTTGTTGCGGAACGACGACTCGGAGTCGACCTGACAATTTAAGACATACGACACAATAGGTAGGCCGTGCAAGAGGTCACAAGGTTGACTCTGCCCCCTTTGGCACCCTTCGAGTTGTACCTATCTGATCACTCATCTATGCCGTCGTCCACTGCAGCCGCTATGCCGTCCACGCCGTGAGCTCTAGTAAATCATCTGTCTCGGTGCTGGCTTCAAAGTCAGATCAAAAAGTTTTCAATTTCCAAAAGGCCGTGGCAACTCCCCCAGCTTAGTATCTGCACGGCTAGGGGCCTTTCTAACTTGAGTAACCGGATGAGTGTTTTTTTTTGTCTTTTTCAGTGTAGCGAGTTTTGGCTACTACAGAGAGGCCAGTGTTGAAGCACTGGAGGCTCTAATGTCGCAGCTAAGCGCGACACCCCCGCAGAGCGTGCGCACTGCCGGGCCCAGCGGGCGGCGGCCTGCTTGGTCTGGCCTGGTGCGCCTGTGGCTCGCTCGAAAATTGCTGGGCCAAAGGCTGCCAAAGGCTGCAGAAGGGGGGGGGGAACGGAGGCGCGCTGACGGGCCTGATGTCTGTTTTACCTCTTTCCCGTCCACGCACCATAGGTAAGGCTTTATGAACCATACGGTCATCTCTTCGTTTGGACCAGCAGCACCCCTCCCATCACACCCACATTCGATCCGACTCGATCGTATCGCTGTAGGCGCCCTGGTCCGCGCCCTGGGTGCCCGAGCCCTTTTTTTCGACGGCGCTGTAGCCGGCTGTGATGGACGACACATCGACTCAACCGCGGCCCCGGGCCCGCTTTATATCTGGTGTTGCCAACACATGCCGTTTGGACAGCAGTGGAGGGGGTACATCGAGCGGGAGACGGAGGATGTGCGATGCGATGATGGGATGGATCGGGGCAGCGGCGGCCCAGCGACGTCGCAGGGCGCAGGACGCATCGCAGTTGCGCGCCGCAGTCTGCCCCGCCCGTGCACCACCAGCCAGCCAGCACCTGCGACGGTCGGTCGCAGCATCCTCCTCGCGCCATCGCCATTCCCGCCGTCGACCGTCGCCATGCACCACCACCGGCATGCAACATTCGCTTTCTTCGTTGTTGGGACCCCCATCGACCCCCGTGAACGAGCCTGGTTCCCGCGAAGCTCGTCATGAGACTGTGGAGACTGACCGACACATCTTGCCTCTGCCCGCGTTCGTTGTCTCACACAGCCATCATGAACGCTGACGAAATCGCCGCCGAGAACCGCCGAAAGCGCACGTTCAAGAAGTTCACCTACCGTGGTGTCGAGGTCAGTGTCGTGGCCGCTTCCCTCTTGCCCGCGCCACGCCTGCGCCGCGCGCCGTGCATTGCCAACATGCGACAACACAAAGGCGCCGAACTAACCCAACCGTTTACGCTGTTCTACAGCTTTCTCAATTACTCGACCTCGACTCGGCGGCGTTCACCGAGCTCGTCCATGCCCGTGCTCGCAGACGTTTCCAGCGTGGCTTGAAGCGCAAGCCTATGACGCTCATGAAGAAGTTGCGAACGGCCAAGAAGGATGCCCCCGCCGGCGAGAAGCCCGCAGTTGTCAAGACCCACTTGCGCAACATGATCATCGTCCCCGAGATGATTGGCTCAGTCGTCGGTATCTACAACGGAAAAGTCTTTAGTAAGTCTCTTGCCCTCCCGAACCGGCGCCTTCCTCCAACTGCCGATTACCTCGAACGATTGGCTTTCCCCGGTGCTCACCATGCCCTACCGTCCTGACTTGCTCAGACGCTGTCGAGATCAAGCCCGAAATGGTCGGTTTCTACTTGGCCGAGTTCTCCATCTCTTACAAGCCCGTCCGCCACGGTCGCCCCGGTATCGGTGCTACCCACTCGTCCCGATTCGTAGGTTTCTTCGAGCACCGCCATCACCTAGGCATGCGAAGCAAATGTCAGGTCCTGACGCTATGTGACCCACGCCGTCCCACAGATCCCTCTCAAGTAATCGTGGAGTACGATCATTGGCTGGGAGGAGGAACGATACGAATTTGGGGGGAGGGTCTGTTCCCATTGCATTCACAGCGTGTTGATGCAATGAGCAAAAAAAAAGAGCGACGCTTTTTTGTTCCCTGCATTCTTGGCTTCCAGGCCCATTGTCGTGTTCGAGAGAGAATCCAAACGTGCTGCCTGCCATGACTTTATCGCATGCTCGCATCTATCAAGGTGGAGCCGGTACTTCAATACACACTGACGAGACTTGCCAGAAAGAACATTCTAACGAGTGTTTGTTTACGATATAATAAAAGGAGTGTACCAGGAAGCTGAGCCGTTTGCGAAAAGAGGAAAGAAACTCTTGCGACGTAGGAACCCACAAAGGTGTGCGGCGGGCAGGAAGAAGACCGGCGCAAGTGGACCTAGACATGGCAGTAGACGAAATCTAGGGTTGATCGCAACAGTCGGATGAGACGGAGACCTATCACTGACAAGACCATGGCCAAGCTAAGGGATCTGAGCTCTAGAGGTATCGAACACTCGATTGAACCGGCGCGGGCGGCATCGTGGCTGCTGAAATCCGCGGAGACGTCACGCTGTGGTGCACAGCCGAGCCTTCCCAAGACCGTCTCCCAGGGGGATTCTCGGGCGCAGGCTGTAAGCCCCGAGATACAGCCGTGCTCAACGGAACCTCGAAACGATTTTGCTGCGGTCGGGGCGGCATGACGTGGCTCGCATTGGGCGGATGGGCCGTCGGCTGGCCCTGTGACGGCGATAAATGCGGATGAGACCCGGGTGCAGGCACGACAGGGACTACATACTGGGACGCATGGGGAGGAGGTGGTACGTGGCCGAGGCCATTGGAATAGGGAGCCGGCACCGAATTGGGCCCCCCTCCGACCTGTGTGAAGATGCCTAGACCGCCGGGTGGCGGGGTGGGCGTGTTGAGATCGCGAGCGTCGCCTGCGGTCGTCGGCAAGAACATCTCTTGACGCTTTTCGACTTGGCCACGCTTGCGTTCCCCCTTGTCGACGTCCGACTTTGCGCGATTGTACATCCACAGGCCCCCGAACGTCATCGTCATGCCCATGCCCTGAAGCAATGTCACTTTTTGGCCCGACCAAATGATCGCGATGCAGATGACGGCGATGCGCTTGACCAGCGACGCGATCGAGTAGGTGACGGGGGACGTTCGCGCAAGAATTGAGAACGCAATGAGGTTCTGGGCAAAGTGCACGGTTCCGTTGAGGAAGAAGTTGAAGGCGAGACTGGCCGCCGTCCCAGGGGGCGCGTTCGCGAGCGCAGGCGGTGTAGGTCGAAATAGCAGCGCCGATCCATCAGAGTAGAGCCAGATCGGGATCATGAGCACGAAGGCCATGCCGGACGAGTAGAAGAGTAGGTTGAGTTTGTCGAGTTTGCCGCTGTTAGGCCCGCCAGTGTTGACATGCGCGCCCGTGCTCGATTCTTTGGGCAGTAGCTTCTTGGAAAAAATGTTTTGAGAGACGAAAACGAGCGTTGATCCGAGTGCACACAAGAAACCGACGGCATTGGCGCGCAGATCGAAGGAGCATGCCAACATGACCCCGACAGTTAAAGGCAACAATGCGAGGTAGGTCGCGGAGCTATAGCTGACGCGGAACAGCATTGCATAGGCCATCACGGTGAAAAGTGGCGACAAGGCCTGCACGCAATTAACAAATCGCGTTAGCGAGGCGGGGCGAACGAGCCTGCGCGTACGTGTGGAGATTCACGGACCTTGATTGTGTGCACAGTGCTGACAGGCACTCGCGCGATAGCCATACTGGAGAATACATGCCCGGCGATTTGGAAGAGACTCATCATGAGCGTTCCTTGAAACATGGCGCGCGACGGCTTCCGAATGCCAAATCCTTTGATGGGCATGCTCCCACGTCGGGACGTCAGCCCACCCCCACCGGTCGAAGCGGAAGACACGGCGACCCTCTCCCGGACTGCGAGTATGACCACACAATAGGAAGCCACAAAGGCGAACTGAACTATTGTCAAAGTGACCTGCGAGGAGAAAAGATGATTGCGCAAGAGACGACCAACAACCTCGGTCAGAGCTAGGAGCGCAGGGTTGGCCGTGTTGAGAGACTGACAGGATAGCGGAACCGGGTCAAGATGCTCTTGCCCGTGTTGGACGACATGGCCGAGCTCATGTACCATGCCGAGCACAGCAAGATGAAAGGCACGCTCTCGCGAACGGACGAGAGCGCGGACTGAACCAGAGGCGTCTCGCTCGACGGCGCGCTCGGTTTCGTGGTCGAGGAGGTGATGGAGTGTTTGGCTTGAGCGAATGAGCGGGCCAGGAAGGACGAAAGTGGAGTCTCGGCATCCTTGGAGGACATGATCGAGCCATTGGACTGCTGGGATGATCGGTAACTCGGATAGGCGCTGGATTCGTAGAGCGACGAGGGGACATGCTGCGTGTCCTTGACGTCTGTGCATTGACGGAGGAGGTGCGCCAGCTCGCGAGAGAGTCAGTGGAGGAGGTCGCATCGCACACACCCCTGTCGTCCCCCTGCCTGGATAGGTTGCCCCATGGCGTGGTCAATTGATGCTGGATCCGGACAGCTTGCGACACACGGTATGCCAAGCCGTCTCTGATCACTTCGTCGCGCACACCGACGCGGGGGTTCTGCCAGCCCGTCACGCGCCAAGCGCCATCACCGCCGCCCATGCCGAGGGGACGCAAGAACACGCGGCGACTGACCAGAATGATAGTTCGATGGCTGAGGTGGGTACTCGCTACCCGGAGTCGATGCTGGCGGGAACTGTTGGCGCTGGCGGGCGAGTTCATGCGAGTTGGCCACGCCGGACGAGCCAGCGCCCGCGCCTGCGCCGGCCGAGCTCGACAGCGCGAATCGGCCCGCAGTCGCAAGCGTCGAGCTGGCCATCGCGGTGCGGTGACCGTTCCCCGCTTCGTAGACGGTGCGAGCGCTTCACGGCCGACGCAGACGAACACACACACACACACACGAGCACGCACGCACGACGTGGGGTGGCAAGAGGTGACTGCGAAGGTGCGCACGGGGTTCGCGAGGCACGGCGCGTGTCGCCCAAACCGGCTTCAACCGGCGAGAACAGCCCAGGCGCAAGATCAGGCGCCAGATCGATTACCGATCGGGCCTCCTTTTGCGATTAGGCGCCTATTCTTCTGTCTTCTTCACCGGGGCATCAGTCGCGTCCCTCGCTGTGCCGATCAATCGCACGAACAGATGTATAACCCCGTCCGGCAAGTCGAACCCTGACCGGTCTACCTGCTCCGAGTGCATGGAGACGCTCGTGCTGACACTAGTGCATGCTTCATGTCTTTGGCTCCACGAATGCCCGGGGTACCGGCAGTGGAGGTACTCGGTTCGTGCTTTGCTTCTTCCGTGGCATGGCATGCGCTGCGCCGCGTGCGGCCGACCTTGAAACTCGAACTAACAATCTTCATTGCTCAAATCGACTCGACCCTGGCAATAGAGGTGGTCAGGGCGACTTCAAGTGGTCTGACGTAGCAGCAGTAAGTACCGCGTCGCTCGCTACTACTTCACGCCCTTGCCCGATTCACCAACCCACGAGACCTCATTTGTTCGCCCGACATTAGGACAAGGATCGGGAACATTACCTCGGACACTCGATCCTCGCCCCCGTTGGTAGATGGCAGAACGGCCGCGACCTAACGTGGTACAACAAGGACAAGGACCAGACCCAGGCCGAGATTGAGCGACAACGTCGTCGCGAATTGCGCAAGATCAAGGAGGCCGAAGAGGATGCCCTCGCTCTCGCCTTGTGAGTGCGAACGTGCATCTTTGTACCGTAAGAACGCGCCTCCGAGATCTAACCCTTGGTCTCCCTATGCGCTTGCGATGCCGAGTTAGAGGGTACGCCCCTGCGGTGCGCAAACCTTCGCCCCCGTTCGGTCAATCGCCTTCACCTCCTCGGGACGACAGCGTCGACCCGCACGAGAAGGCTCTCGCGAAAGAAGCAAGAAACAGGGAAAAGGAGCGGAAAAGATTGGAGAAAGAAGCCCGCCGCGCCGAACGCGCCATCAAGAGGGAGGAGAGGAGCCGCCACGAACCGTCTTCCCATGACCGGCATCGACATTCTTCGCATGCCCAGCATCAGCGGCCCCGCGAGAGCTCGCCGCGACACAGGAGCACCAATGCACCCTCGCCTCGGAGTCGACATCGCCTGGAGGAGGAGGCCCGTTACAGCAACAACGACTCGCGTCGGCGACCCGATAGTGGCCAACAGGGTAGTGACAGGAACGAACCCGATCGCCGTGCCAGGCTAGCTTATACCGAAGACCAACGATCAAACTACCGGACACACGCTTTTGAGGAACCAGATCGAAGACATCGTTCCAATGAGCGGGATGTTGGTCGTCATTATGCGCACGATGGGCCTTCTTCACGGCAACGAAGCCGTTCTCCAGTCCGATCCCGGTCGTAAGATGGACCGGACTTTTCCCATCTTCTAGCAGGAGGAAGTGTTGTACCAAGAAACAGAGATTAGTTCGCATTTTTTCAAACACGGCCGGAAGTCATCCGCGAGTGTCAGTGCCCGGGAGCCACAGGGGTCGTGCTAGGGCGATTACAGGTCTGCGCACAGGCTCATTTCTGGAAGGAATGCGAACATGATAAAAGGCAATTCTCATAGATTAAGAGCAAGATCGATACGCATAACCTGTACTAGACTCCGCCCACGTTTTCTGTCACGAGCTGCTCAGACATATTCCAGCATTGTTTGGCGAGCGCCGGGTCTTCGCCTGCATGGGTCGTATTCTGAACCTTGCAAACGGAGACTTGGTACGAATTCCAGAGATCATACTTCTCTTCGACTTCGGGATCAAGAGCAGCACAGACCGATGACGACGCGCCTCGTTCGAGCGGGATGAAGGCGCCAACAAACGGCTTCGAGTACCAGCTCTTGTATAGCCGGGGACGGAGATAGACTAAATCTCAGGCGCTGCGAGTGGCGAATCCGCGGCCCGCAAGTGATCCTCCCACCCTGTTGCCCCGATGAAGCATTCGGTGTAGGGGTCTCCATCCCGGAACTGGGCGTATGCAATCGCAATTGGTGTTTCGGACCGATAACAATGCGTTCTCAGCGCACTCCACTGCAGGGTCATCTTGGCCACGCCCACGATATAGAACTTGCGAGAGGATCAAGGACTGAAACCCCGCTGACCACCCGATAAAGCGGCACCTGGCGTAAATGATTTTACAACAACTTTCGTCTATCAAGCGCTCGACCGGAGGGTAAACTATCTACGCTCCTCCAGCATTGCCGCCTCCTGCCGCTATTATCCTCCGTTTGATAAATTCCCTAACGTACCGAAGAATTTAATACTCACATACTCATTTGCGCGCGGCTGAGCCGCATGGCCGCGAAGACAAAGAAAACGCACCTTAGTTGTGCATGCCCGTCCACTGTGACAAACATCTTGCGAGCCGAGGGCAATTCCCACAGCATTGCTCCAAGATCGCGCGCGTAGTTCGCCACCAACTCGTAATCTGAGGAGGCGAGGAAATCGTCGTATAGGTACCCTACGATACATGCGTACGACATCAGCAAGTGACTCTATTTCCACTTTTTGCTTCGTCATGACTCGGTGCCCACCTTCGGAGGTCTGCACCCGCTGGCCCTCTTGCTCCCACAAACGGATCTGATCCACGACCGTCGTTGGGAGAATGGAGGCTGCACCCTCCTTGATCGCATCGGCGCGCATCTGGGGGTGCGCGCGACTGGAGAGGTAAGAGATGATTTGTGTTGCTGTGATACCATTAGAAAGCCCCCGTCTAATGCTGTCGCGTGTGATATGGCCGGTAACGAAATTCGGGAAGCGATTCTTGAGGTGCACGAACAAGTTCAGCACCGCAATCTGCAGCGGATTCGAGGTATATGCGTACACCTTGTAGTTGGTCTCGAGTACTACAAAGCCGCGCTCTTCGTCGGCATGCCGAGAAGAAACAAGCGGCGGGGCCGAGGATGTCAAGGTCGTCGCCAAACGTGTAGGGTAGTACGCGTCTGAAGCACCGGCCGGCCGATACACAAGCCCGTAGTCGCACAGATCCTGCAGCACGCGTTTCTCCATTGTTGACAGATTCCGCGCCGAGTAACCCTAGAGCCGTACAGCACGCACAGCATGAGCAACACTCAATGCGATCGGCCCTATAAGTACCGCTCGCGAAAGCTTACTCGACCGAGTTCCAAGGAGGCCAGCATGAACAAGAACCGAAGAACCTCGACAACATCCTGCAAGTAATCAGCATCTCTTCAGCAGCGCATCAAGCTTCGCACCCTGAAACAGGCTGCCCGGGTTCCACAGGCCAACTGACCGGTGCTTCATCTAGATATTGTAGCAACAAATCCCAGAGCTGTGTGTTGATGTCCTCGAGCAGAAACTGGAATCCGGGCGAGGTAATCAAGAGTGTCCTCGGCGAGTTTGGACTGCAAAATATTCCGCGTGCCAGCATCAGCACGTTGTTTCCCCACTCTCTAATCCATCACAAGATCGAGGCCACCCACGCCGCAGTCATCAGTCCACGGTTCATGAGCAAGTTCAACACGCCATCGGAAGGTCGCTGAATTCCCGGAATCGAGGAGCCGACCATGAAATGCTGGATCATCTGCGGATTGAACAGGGTGTGGTGTGAGCTTGTACGCCCAAGATCAAGAATCGGACGGGGTCGATTGATACGCATTCGACTTACCTCCCATTGCGTCTCGGCGTACTGATCGAGGAATGTCGGAGTGACTTGAACATCCTCTTCTGCGCTGGGATCACCGAAGGAGCCGCGGGAACCCCTTAGTTGGCCATATATCCCTACGTCAGCGAAGGGCCACTTGCATCCAGCAGCTCCCCCCACACACGGCCACTTACCCTCCCGTTAATGCCATCTTCAAACTCGCTCGGAACCGTGCTTCCAGCTGCACCTCGCGGTCAAGATGGGCCGTTGCCTTTGGGTCCGAAGGGCGCGAGAATTGTTCGGCGAGGATGTGCAATCGCGCAAGCGCGCTCAACGTCATGTCAAGATGCCTGTGCGTGGTTGTGGGCGTGTGAGTCCATGTGAACCCTGAGCGAGACCCTGCACGTTTGCGGTGACACTCACCTCCGCTCGCCGTCTCGGCCACCGTCGCTTCGCCGCTGTCGAATCCACAAAGCAAGATCGCTGTACGTCACTGGCCGGTCGTACCACAACATATCGAGTACGACGTGTCGTGCCGTCTCGGGTAGCAGCCTGATCGGGTCGTTTCATGGCAACCTCGAGTCAGCTCAACGCGAGACCGAGACGTGAGCTCGCAACCCGACCCCGACGTCATCGCCGGGCGCCACCTGACCTTGACCGAAGGGAGCTTCGGATGAGGAACACGTACCTGAAGATACAGAGACAACTTGAGGGCGACTCGTACAGACGACCCATCATCATCGGCGACAGGCGATCCAGGAACGACAGCACACGCGACCAGTCCTGTCCCCCTGCCGCCCCACCACCACCACCACCACCACCCGCGCCACCACCGGACGAACCCGTTGTGGTGCCAGGAGCGATCGCATGCATCGTCGAGTTGGCCATAACGGTTGTTGAAACGCGATCAGGACTGTGACCAGAGTCCTGGGGCGGCTCTTGGAGGAGGCACTGGAACGGTCGGAAGGCTACAAGCGCGTGAGAGGTCATCTCAAAGCAAGCGCGCCCTGGGTTCGCAAGGGCAGGCAATGACCCGTACTCGGGATCAGACCTGATCAGACGATGTCATGCGCAAGAAGTTGAAATCTCAAGCAGCAGACTAGCAGGCGCTTGCACCAGACTATAGCATCCGCATTGGTGCAGCACTTTGTCACAGAAGAAACGTAGACGATAGGGATCCCCATTTTACAGCCCAATTGAATCCGACAAACAAACAATGCTACTACGTCATAAGACAGAAAAACCCTCGGAGCCCTGAGTCGGTCATGATAAAAGCAGAAACAAGCAACACGGGTACTGAAGAAGAAGTCGTCAACAAGAAGATAAGATCGTTATAAAAGGGCGCTGCGGTCACTGCGTCGGATATAGTTCAACGATTGGGATATATAAAAAAGGGCGCCAGCCGAGCGGCTCCAGCCCCAAATCCGCAACCCCTAACGCGAGGAACTGGCATCGGCCTTGTTGCCGCCCTTGTTCGAAGCCGACTTGGTCGCGGCCGCGGCTGAGGCATGGCCGGAAGTTCGAACGGACGAAGCAGCCTTGCTCTGTCCATTGTTGCCACCCGCGGACGGCGATGCAGAAGCGTGGGTCTGTGTCTGTTGGGACTTGGTCGATTGCGCCTGCGCGGCTTGAGTCGTCGCGGGTTGAGACGTGGCCCGAGCTGCAGCGGCCGTCGTCGCCGTGACAGGATCGTTCGAGTAGGACGCACCCACCAGAGCGCCCCAGGCACCTTCGTTGGTCCACACTTCGACTGTGAAGCGGGAGGAGTGCAGTAAACCAGGTTCGAGGTCAGCAAATGCCTTCTCAGGGGAGGAATCCGCCGCGCAACTTACAATCGGCGGGGCCTTGTCCAGGCTTGACGATCTCCCAGTACATCCAAGGCAGTCCAGCTGACTTGAAGGCAGACACGAATGCGGCGATCGTGCTTGCCTTCTGTCCACCGGCCACGCCCCATTCTCCCATCATCACCGTCTTGTCCGGGTTCGCGGCCTTGGCGGCTTTGAGGGCGTTCGCCGTCGCCTGGGCATTCGTACCATAGTCGTGGACGCTGATGATGTCGATCGAGGCGCACGAGGTTGCCCAGCCTCCGAGGGAGGCCTGCGTCGTGATTCCGCCGCCGGACGAGACTTGGATCGACGAACCCGAAGGCAAAAGCTTTTTGATCGTCGCCGAGCGATCACAAACCCAAGTCGGCGACGCAAGTGCCATGTGTCCCATAGGTTCATTCTGGGCCTCGAAGGCGTAGATCACTTCATCGAGATTCGCCCAGCTCTGGTTGCCCATCAGCGCATTCTTGTGGTTCAGAATGTGGGTGATGCGGTTGTCGAGCGCGGTACTAGCCCAGGCCGAGGTATAGAAAGCCGACGCATCCGCCACTTTCTGTACGCCCGAAGAACCTGCTTTGACGATATCAAGCTGGGTTGCATATGCATCCGTTCCCCAGAACCCAAGCTGATAACGATCGCTCCTGCTCCCGTATGAACCAGTGAGGAATAGATGGAGGTTGTCAGCAATTATTCATTGACATTCCCTTCGAGCCCCCAAGGTGTTACAACACTCACATCGAAATCAGAAGCTTGAGCCCGCGTGCTTTGCACTCAAGCATCAGCTGGTCAATCATGGCCAGCAACCGTGTCGTCGTAGGTGCCGACCGTCTTGGGCTCGACTGCGGGAACGTAATTTAAGATAGGGGGCCGAAGGTCAGCTCCCTAGCCCGGCCAAAATATCGCGATGCAGAAGCCCAACACGATCAAGAAGGGAGCCATGGTATTCCATCAAAGATCGAAACTTACGATCTTGGACTTCACGGTTGTTGGACCCCTTGTTGTTAGCACCGACGTAGGCGATGAAGATTCGCACCACCTTGAAGCCATTCTTCTGCAGCGTGTCGAGGATTGCGATTCGATCCGCAACGGCGATGGAATACAAATAGTAAGACGAAGCACCGTACCAGTAACCGTTGAGCGCCTTAGAGGCCGAAGTTGAGGACGTGCTGTTCGACTTTGTGGTCGAGGAGATGGCTTGAGAGTTACCGTAGCTGCTACTCGAATTGTCACGTCGGACGATGGCAGAAGTTGCAGCCAGCTCGGCAACTGGGTGTCGCTTGTGCCTCTTGAAACCGACGTGGGATAGTACCCCTTGCACGTGTCGCTTGAATGCGTTGCGGTCGCTGGCGTCAGCCGCAGCCCGGGCGACGAGGTCGTACGAGGGCGGCGCGGCGATCTGTGCCGCCGTCGAGCTCAAAAGAAGAGAGAAGAGCCACAACGATTGAAGGGTCGAGTGGATGCGCATATTTGGCGGAGGCGTTGATCGGGCTCGATTCGAGGTGGCTTGTACTATTCAACGGTTCAACGTCTACAGCTGCTATGCTGGAGGGGTGCGACGGGACCGAGAAAACACCAAGCTCGAGAAGATCTTGGGGAGAGACGAATGATTTTTTGTTGTTGTTTCGAGGTGCCGTCCAGCGGTGTTTGTTGTTTCGGATGAGAGTGTTGGTGGCCGAGGTAAGAGCTTGAAGGAGTGTGAGACCGAAACGTGGTCGGCGGGCCTTGTGGGTGATGGAGCCGGGTACGAAAGGCGGGCCCGAGCGACTGGGAGGACGAGCGACTGCGCTTGTGTCGTCGGTGCCGGAATTGATGACCTACGCCAAGAGCTGCAGTGGCCAGCGACAGAGATGATCCAGTAGCTCGAATCAAGGAGTGGAGAGGCGAGAGAGCAACAATCGTGGTGCGAAGGGATGAAGCGTAACTGCGGCTCGAACGACGGGATGTCTCGAGCCACTCAGTTCTGGCTGTGCTGCTTGCTGCCTGCAGGCACTTGCCAAGGTGATCCCAAGAGGCTTCTTTCAGTGCTCCCACATCTCAGCCAGGCTGGCACCAAACTTTGTGGGAGACACAGTGCAACTGATTGCGCGAAGCTATAATTTGCAAAGTCCGCCGGGCACGCGCGCGCTCCGAGAGATCGGTCCGACGACTTGGGAAGGTTTGGTGGTTTGGTGGTTTGGTGAGACACGGGCTCAATGAAATCGAGATCTGGGCCGCCGTCGAGCGCTCTGTGAGCCACCTCAAGCTTTGCTCGGAAGAGCCCACAATTTCTTCCTCGTCAGCCCTAGAGGCTCTACAGCACCCATGGACAAGCATCACCTCATCTTAGTATGTGTGGATCCGGCTTTTGCGTGTACTGCAGGCGGCTCCGTTTCGACAGCTCCGGCGCCCGACATGCAGCTTCTCAGGAGTACGACCGCGGCGCTCAACGAAATTCTCCAAATCTTGGGTGCGGGTCGCCTCCATCAATCGTGCGACCCATCCATTTGTTTGGCCGAGATACTTTAAATGCACTTCTCAAACCGAACAGGTCAAGCTCTCGCTCATGCAAGTCAGTTTCCGTGGTGCTTGTCTCACGCTCACGCCCAGGAAGAACTCGCCGTGCGCACGTCTCCTGACGATGGAGACATGTCTGAGACAACTGATCGAGCAAGTCGGGCCCCGCCCGCGTAATCGGAGCTCGAGGCGGCGCACAAATATCGACCTTTCCGCGGAGATTGCGCGGAACGAGCGAGCCGAACAAAAAGGAGTGCAACTATCGGTGGGCCGAGATGTGCAGACTCGCCTTATTTTCTTGTTTTTCGCTCTTTTTATCTCGAGTGCGTGACGCTTTTGTACAGCCTGTCGGCTATTGCAAAGCTGGAACAGACACATCTGCAAAGCCAGGCTCATTGAAATCGCAGTGAGAAAAGCAAGCCCAAGCTGAGGAAATGACATGCAACTGAACCGGACTTGGCACGTCCTACTACACATTTATCGTTAGAGCGAAAAAAAGGAGGAGGCGGGGAAGAAAATACGATCCTAACCTCGTAGAATAAAAAGACGGGAATAAAGGTCACCAGGTGGAGAAACTGCTGACGTCAAAGTCGCTCTTTTTCGATTCGCCCATCAGGTCCGATTGGATCAGGCTATGGATATGGCATAGTGATTCGCTGTATGAGAGCTGCAGGAGACAAGATTGAGAGGCGAGAGGGGATGGGGGATGGGGGGATAGCGGTCAATGAACGATTCACGTGCAGGTGAGGCTGAGGATCGCCCGCTTTCCCGACTTACTTGTTCGTTATTTGAATCCTCAACCAGCATGTTGGAGAATTCGATCTCGGTGCCGTCAATGTTTTGCCGCGCGATGAGCACAGAGAAGACCTTGCCCCCCGCCTGTCGTTCGAACAGCGCGAGGATGTTGCGCACTTGTGTCGACAAGAGGGTCGGCAGCACGGGTAACGATGTCTGCGGGGGCGGAGAAGCAAGAGTGGGAACGTTCAGGTGCCTGCCTCGTGCCTCCCAAGTAGGCGAAAGCAAGCATCACTGACCATGCGAGTGTCAAGCTCTTCAAGCGAGTCCGCGCCGTAGAGGTCTTGGAGGATCTGCGGTGAGACAGCCGCGCCAATCCAGAGGATGACAAAGTCGCCATTTTCTGTTTCGCCGCCGTCGAGAGAGCACACGCGGTGTTCAGTTCAGCACGAAAGGCAAGCGCAAACAAACACGTCCAAAGACTGACCAATCAAATACACGCCGTGCGGCTCCATCCTCGCGTAGCTCGTCCGGATCAGAGGAGGGAGACGTAACCGCCCGCGCTCATCGGGGAAGCCGACTTCGTCCGGAAGGTTGTGGATGGCGAGGAATCGCGGGTACAGCAGTCGCAAGGTCGAGGTCACGCCGAGCGACTTGACGGCTCGCATCGAACACGTTCGCACGTCGGATGCAACGGGCCCACCTGGCAGCACGTGCAGAGCAACACATTGGTCAGCTTACATCACGGCGAGAGGTCGCACCAACGAACGTACCTTTGAGTGCCTTGGTCTTCATGAGGGCGAGGGCATACAGCGGGAGCAGCTTGAAGGATTCGGGCAGAATGAGCTGTGCCGGCGAGGTCGACGATGCGCAGTGCTTTCGGTAGGCGAGCAACGCCTTGACACACAGTTCTGTGAGCTGATCTCGCACTTCGCGCAGCGACTTGGTCGCCGTCTGTGTCACCGCCTCCTTCGTGACGTAGGTCAGTGTTGTGTCTATATCGGCGAACCGGAACACATTGGCGAGCAGACTCGTGACGGGCACGGCCAGATTGTGCACGCGCACGCGACGTTGGCCGTTCGTGGCGGTGTACAGCACCGCGCACTGGAAGTGGGCGTCGACCTTGTCGTCGAGTTTGCCCTCGTGCTTGAGCCGCGCCGCGATCGCCTTGTCCGAATCCATTGTTCCGAATTCGAGGTCGGTGACGTTGCGTTGGAAGAAATTGCCAAAGTGATCCGAGACGCGCAGACCGTTCGAACACCGTATCCGCATCGTGACGCTGTAGCCCGTCTCGCGACGTACGACCTGCTTGATCTCGGCGCGGAGTTTTGTGCCGTCGCGCACGGGCGCGAAGCGGGGATGGAAAAACACCTCGCCGCCGGACAAGCCCGATAGGACCGACAAGCTCGCGACGTCGATGTACTGCGTCGGAAACAGGAACATGTTGACTCCAATACCGGCCTCGACGCACTCCTCGGCCGTCGCACGGTACCACGGGTCCTGGGGCAGAAACAATGTCTTCTCCTTGTCCGTGCCGTACAGCTTCGTGTCTTCGCGGTGCTTGAGCGCACCCATCCCCGTCGTTGGCAGCGAGGTTTGGAAGATGTTGAGCTGCCCTCCCAGGTTTCTCAGAGCCATCACAGCCGCCGTCACGGGCCCACTCATCGCCGCCTCGACGATCGTCGTCTCGGCCGTCAGCGTCGGCAGCGTGTCGAGCAGCCCTTCGATGACGGAACGCGACTCGACGGGGTCGACGAGGAAGCCTTCGAGCAAAGGCACGAACATATCGGTGATATCGGACACGACGAGCATCTGCGCCTGGTCCAGCCCGGCCTTGAGGTTGAAAAACTGTACCGAGCGATCGAACGTCATGATCGCGATCTTGGCCCCGGGGGGCAGGCACGACACGGCCCCTTCCTCTTGCGGGTAGAGCATCTCCCTGAGCCCCTTGACGACTTCGCCGACGAGACCGCACCGCATGCTCGTCCAGCTGACGTCGATCGCAAAGATGTAATGTATCGGCTTGGGCTCGCGCGCCGACTTGCCCGGTTGCGACGGATTGTCCTGCACCCAGTAGGCCTTGTCGACCAGAAAGTCGACCGAACCCATGCGCAATTCCGGTCGCTGGTCAAGGTCCATCCTCCGCTGCGACATGTCGAGGTGGCTGAAGTACTCTGGCGCCACGTCGCTTGTCGCGCCGCAAAGGTTGCACACGAACTTTTGGCCGCCTTCGATGAAGAGACACCACGGGTTGATGTACCCTCGACACCTCTGACACCTCGCGGGCCCACTCTCCCCGGACTGAACCAACGGCACCCCGCCTTCTTCCTCGCGCAGCATCGCGAACGGCTGCACGACCAGTCCCAACGGGAGATGCGAAGCCGTCGCGAGGTCATCGGTCGCCGGTAGGTTGTACGTCGTCATGCGCATAAATCGAGGGTTGCAGTTGCCTGTTCCCGAGCCAGAGAAAGAGTGAGTGGGTCAATGCGCTCGTTTGTGGCTCGGAGCGGCCGCGGGGTACAGAACCGGGCACAAAGACCGACCTTGGTCAATAGCGACAAACTCGGTCGTCGACAACGGAGCAGCCGTCCGCGAGCAGGTCAAGTAAGGTTCGCCCTGGTATATCTGCTGGTCGATGCGCTGCACGTCGACCGGAGACGGGATATGGTCCGGGTCGATACGCACCCGCATCTGACCCGGGATGCGTTGCCCCGCCGAATGCGGGGGCTGCGGGATGCCTGGCTGCTCTGTCGGGTAGCCTCCTCGCCCCGAAGGTGGGTCGGGACCGGAGGCGGGAGGTGCATTCTGGTACGGCGCCTGCGAGTGTGGCGGGTGTTGTTGCGCGTGCGGCTGGTGCTGGTCGTAACCCGCGGGGGCTCCCTGACCGAGGTGGGGTGGGTGTTGCGATGGGTGCTGAGAGGATGGATGGCCGGTGAACGGAGTTCGGTTGGGATTTCCGTACGCAGGTCCGGATGGACCCGTTGGAGGACCTCGGTGGTCGTCGTAGCGGGGCTCCTGCTGTTGGTGGGGAGGCAATGGCTGGTCGCCATACGGGGGCTGTTGCTGCTGCTGCACGCCGGATGGACCTGGTGGTGCTTGTTCAGGTTTGTGGTAGGCCCTCGCAGATCGTTTGGCTTTTGCAAGTACTGGCCCTTCGGCAGGAGCCTGTCGATGGGAAAGAGTAGAGTGAGCCATCAACGTCGTCGGGACCGTCGGGGTGCGCGTGGTTGACGTGTCGGTCGGCGAGGCACAGGACGACACGGGACGACACGGGGCGGCCCGGCGCCAGAACGAGAGCTACTCACGGTGGGTGGCGCAGGTGGAGGGAGCGACAATTGCTTCTGGGGCTGCTGGTGGTGGTGGGCCAGTGGTTGTTGCTGCTGCTGGGGCTGCTGGTGCAGGGGCTGCGACGGCGGGTTCAGGTCGACGCGCGACATTTGGTGTGCCAGTGCTGGGTCGGCGCGTGGAGCTGCAGCAGCCGGTGCAGCACCGTGGCCATTGCTGATGGGGTACCCGACGGGCGGTTGTGGCGGTTGACGAGGTGCGGCGACGGGGGACCTGGCAAAGTGCTGCTGTTGCTGCTGCTGCTGCTGCTGCTGCTGCTGCTGCTGCTGCTGTGGCTGCTGCTGCTGTGGCTGTGGGTGCGGGTGCGGGTGCGGGTGCGGCGGGTGTGATCCCATGGGCGATGGAGCACCGGGGCCGGCGAAGCCCGTCGGTGGCTGCAGGGGGGGAGGCGGCGGCGGGGCCATCGGTGAGCGCGAGGGAGGAGCACCATTGGGATACCCACCGTGCGCGCCGTGAGGCGGCGGGGGCATCGGGGCAGCAGCTCGTGGATCCATCCCTGGTGGAGAGAGGGGACGGGGAGCAAGGAGAGGCGAGAACGGTACAAGTGGGAAAGGTCGATGGACGGGACAAGCTGTACAAGGAGGCCGTCTGGACAAGATGCGAGGTTGCACAAAGGCCCCACTAGGCCCCACTCGAGTCGAACACGCGCGCCTGCCAGCTGGCGAATTGCTGGCTTATTAGTGACCGAATCTTACGAGCCCGTGTAATCTCCATTTAGACCCTATTATTACCCAGTGGGGACGCGCGTCGCGGCGCCAGTTCTCGGCGTCTGGCACCGTATATCACTCGACACCATTGACCCACGAAGCATGGCATCAGCTTCGATCGCGAACGCAGCAGCGGTCCACGCCCTCGTCGCACGCCTCGAAGACCAAGTGCTGAAAGAGTACTCGAACGTATCGCACAACCTCGACGAGGTGCGGCGCGCGTATCCGTTTCGTATCCGGTCCCGAAGGCTCACGTGCACGTCCTAACCCCCATCCTATGCTGCAGATGTCCACGGTGCTACAGAGGCTCTCGTCGATGCAACCCTATATGCTGAACCAACTCCGACCACTTGAACGGAAGCTCGGCCTCGTGTTGACGCTCTTCAAAGGCACGTGCCCCACCTCTTTGGTCCATCGGTCACGTCGAAGCGCGTCGAGCAAAGCGGCACGGCACGTCAGAACCCGCACCTTGTACTGACCGACGGTATGTCACGCGTCGCGTGTGTGTACAGGTGCCGTGTGGGCGTTGTTGGTCAAACGCGACGAAGAAGATGGCGGAGAAGTGGATGATGGGCGATAGCAGATCCCGAGCTGTTGTCAACTCCTATCGAGGCTGGAACTCGCCGACGTTGTCAAGTTCGCTAGAAAGCAAGTCAAAGCTCGCTGGAAATCATGCACGCCCAATGTTATTGTAATAACAGTCACATCGGCAAGCAGGCACATTCCGTGCCCAGAGCAACGAGCCTGTTTCTCACGCCGAACCCCAGATTCGGTCGGACATTGGCCCCGGGGAGGCCAAAGCCCGATCTTAACTTTTCCACGCATTGCGAACTGCATATACAGATACGGGCACGAGAGCTACTCGTTCCACTCCAACCCTCGCAGTCACTCACACACCCATCCTCCCCATCGCACGCGTCACACCCCCAACCTCGCCATGGACATTCCACAACGCCAAGCGACCGTCGACACCGGTCGTCGAAATTATCGCGCCTTCGTAATCATACGTGCGCACGCTCGTAATCGTGTTTTGGTGCACGGTCAACAATTCGGTTCCCGTCGCCGTCAACCTCGTTCCGGGACTGGCGACGCTGCCGGCGGCCGCACTGCTGCTGACACCCCTCGAGTCGGCTTGACGGAAGACGTTAAACGCCTCACTTTGAGCCAGGCGACCGGAGCGAGCCGCAACGGCGCCTCCGCCCGAGCGCTTGTCGGGGTCGTCCAACGAACGCGTCTGGGCCCACCCACCGTCGACCGAGCCCTCAAAGAGCATCGGTTGGCAGTCGTGGCCGGCGGCGACGATCGATCCTTCCGAGGTGAAGACGAGCGAGAGCAGAGGCAGCGACGCGAGTTGGACGGCGTAAATCGCCCGAGGCGCTTGGTCCGCACCGGCCGGGTACACGACGGTGAGGGTCGAGTCGTGCGCTGTGGATCCCGAATGGTGTCTCTCTTCAGCTCATATTATCGCAAGGACGCCGCAACGTGGTCAGGAGAACTTGCAGACAAAGGCGAGCGCATCTCCGGAGGGCGAAAAAGCGACGCCGTGAACCCAACCTCCGGCGGGGGACGCGAACTCGCCGCAGACGGTGTTGAAGGGTAGCCTTTCACCCCAAACACTCGGTTCGGGCCTGCGGTCGGGAGTGATAGCGATCGCGGGATGGGGTTCAGCATTCAGTCTCTCTCTCTCTTCATAGCTCTCGGCTCGCCTGTCCCAAGCCCGAAAGAGGACCCGGGAGTGGTCGCCCCAGCCCATCACGGCCCAAGTAGCCTCAGAAGGACCTACTTGGAATCGATCCCCTTCATCCAAGCCGAAAAGACGCGAGCGACGCCATCGGCACTGCCCGCGGCGAGCAGGACCGAGTTGGGGTGCCACTCGAGCGAGAGCACGGTCGTCCTGAGCGGCTTCTTGATGTGCTTGGCGACCCACCAGTCGCTCTCCTGGTCATAGTGGCAGATGGCGATCGACCTTGCGCCCGACGCGACGGCGAACTTGTCCTCGGTCGGGGACCAACGCACACAGGTCGCGGATCGGTTCAGGCGCAGCACGACGAGGGTCGGGGTCCATGCGCCGTGGGTATTGGTGTAGACGTAGGCGTTGCGATCGTGGGAGCAGGTGACGATACGGTTCGAGTGGGGGGCCCAGTCGATCGAGGTGACCAGTTTGTCGTGCTGTGGGTAGAGGGGGAGGGAGCAGCAGGACAAAGTCAGTTCACTCGCGTTGAGAGCGCGCCTCGACGGGGGTGGGGGCGATGACGCTCCGACTGACCTCGCTCAGGGTCGACGTCAACTGCCAGCCCTTGTTGCCCTGGGCGTAGATGCGCACTTGGTTCGAGTTGGCCGAGATGGCCAATTCTGCACGAGAGAGAGTAAGAGGGTCGAGTCAGCCTCGAGGTGGTTGGTGTAAGCGGTAAGCGGGGTGCGGTGCACTGACGAGTGCGATCAGCGTTGAAGGCGTGGGCGGTGATGGGCGTGCCGGGGACGAGCACTTCGACTTGGGCGAGCGACATGGTGGCGGGATGGTGGGTGGTGGAGGGTGGTGAAGGGTGGGTAGCAGGTAGGACTCTGGTGAACAGTCAACTAGTGCTGGAGGGGCGGGACGCGGGAAGAAGAGACGGAGAGAGTGTGGGCTGAGTTCAGTGGGTCAGGGTGGGACGTCGACAAGCGACGGTCGACGGCGGCCGCGCCAGCCGGCGCCAGAGTGCCGACCTAATAAACGGCATTTGCCCAACTTGGTAATAAGCGGCATCGGACCGCAGTACGGTACAGCTTGCTGCGTGCAGTAAGTACCCTTGCGCTTACGCAATTTCCTCGCTGCGACCTCACTTACGCATCCGATAGTCGTTCCCTCTCTCTGGCTTGATGGCCCGCGATGTCACAGACACATTCAAGCCCGGGGCCAGCTCCCCCTCGGGCAAATCACCGTCAACTTCAACGTCCAAGTCGGCCCTCGCCGCGGTGGATCCGGATCCGGATCTGGATCTCGATCCCGCTCCCGATCTGGTGCAAGAGCTGGACCATTTTCGACGCGAGTGGCTGCATGAATCCCAGCTCAAGCTGGAACAACAGCAGCAGCACGCTGAACACGATGACCATAGCCAGCCGTCCCAGGGGAAGGCTAACCCATCTCCTGCCAGTGGGCTGAAGGTTGGTTCAGCATCGTCCCAAGTGTCCCAAGTGTCGTCATCGGCAGTCGACCACGACCACGGCGCGCAAGCACGATCACCCTCGCTACAACGCTCACCTCCGGGACGGCCCCACGTCACCCTCGCACCTTCCACGTCGGCGACGAGTCTCACCCAACGTATGCACCACTTGGAGCTGCACGACCTCTCCGCCACCGACGGCGACCTCAAGGCCCACTTGCCCAAGCCAAAACCCAAGCCAGCGACCGCGATAGAGCTGTACGATGCAGCCGTCGTGAGTGAACGGGAAGGAAGGTTGAACGATGGTGAGAGCGATGCAGTTCCCGACACACTGTGGCTGTTGGTGTCCTGACAGACCTCGTCTACTGCGTTCGCGTATCGCAGCGTTGGTCAATTATCGAGCTGCGTTCAAAATCGACGCCGAGATCGACCGCACGTACCATCGGCTCACCTCACGCGCATCCCAAGAATCACGATCATCTACATCAACGAGCAACGTAGGTCCCCACAGCCCCGCCGACTTCAAGTTCGAGCGTACCATCCAACTTGCCCCGGACTATTCTGCCGATCGAGAATTCCGCACCGCTCAGACTGGCGCCTCGCACCCCCACGACCTCCATCCGTCCTCGACGGCCTTTCTGTACGACTCGCTCGCTCGATCCTTTGCAGAGAACGCCTACGATCCCTCCAAGGCCGAGCACGTACACGCCAAGGCCACGGAAAGCGAGATCGACGTCGCCCTCGAGCGCATCGCCTTCCATCCCGATGACCCTGAGGCCCCATCTCCGCTCGGCTCCCTACCCCGCGAAGTCTTGCTGCTCGTCCTACACCACCTCGTACTTTCGTCGGTCATCCCTCCGGCACAACATACACCCGTCAACAGCGAGGACCCAGCCAAATTAGCGGCACGCAAAAAAGGACCTCGCAAGTTGACCCTGGCGGAGCACACCCGCAACCTCGAAGTCGCCTTTGACGTCCCCTATACCCATCTGCACCGACCCTGGAGGACCGACGTCGAAGCCTTGGAACGGTTCGCGCGCACCTGTCGCCTAGCGCGCATCTTGACCCTGGATGCGGGTCTATGGCGCGACCTATGTCGTCGCGTCTACGTTGCCCCTTACCAAACGCGGGAGGAGGCGAATCAGATCGTCGCGCAGCACGGCACGGACTGGCGCAGGTGTTTCATCGAGCATCCTTGCATCCGCTTCGACGGCGCCTTCATCAGCGTCGTCACCTACCTCCGACGAGGTGAGAACTCGTCCTGGTACTCGCCGACCCATCTCATCACCTTTTATCGCTACCTGAGGTTCTACCCTAATGGGCTCGTCGTGTCGTTGTTGACCGTCGATCCGCCGGCGGCCGTCGTCCGGATCCTCAACCCTGCGCTCCGCGTCAAGGGCTTAACGTTCGGGCGATGGGAGTTGAGGGGCGATCACGTCGACCTGTGGGAGTTGATCGACCCCAGCGTCGAGGAAACGAGTCGCAAGTACTCCTTCAGGATGGAGCTCAAGCTCCGAAGCACCAACCGAGGCTGGATGTAGGTCATGCCCTCCGAAGAATCGCGAGACGGTCCAGTTCTGATCTGCATGTCTTTTGAGTACACAGGAACAAGTTGGACATGATTTCGCTGGCCACTGAACGTCGACTATCGGGGGAAGTCGAGCCCGTCCCGATCAAACCGACCAAACCCTACTACGTACGTCTGCCAGACCTTTGCGTCCCAATGTGCTGCGCTCGGTGCTGATTAGTTCCCGAGTCTCTGTTGACCCCCTTGTAGTTCTCCAAAGTTGTGAATTATGCCGCAGATGACTTGCAATAGATCTATGTGGAATGTTGTGAAAGTGCGAAATCATCGCGCCTATTCGTCGCCCCCCTCCTCCCCGTCAGCCCTCTCGTCATCGCTGGGCGGCTGCACGTCCTCCTCGCCCTCGGTTTTAGTCTGCTCCAAAGCGTCTTCAGCCCCTTCGCCGTTTTCGACGACTTGCTTCCTCGCTCTCCGCCTTGGCTGATCGCTTCGTTCGCCCGGTTTGTAGACCGCACATTCCGGCACCGTGCCCTCGGGATTGAGGTACGCGAAATCCCTCCCTTCAAACACATCGACATAATTGACCCACTTGGCAAACACGCCCTCCTTCTCCTCCACCTCCCACATGACCTTGTAAATCTCGTCCCTCTTGAACGCGTTGACCTGGTCCATCTGTTCGACGACGCCGATCTGTTCCCTCCGCTGCGCGGTTTTCTGCGCCTCGTCGAGTTTATCGAGCGCGTTGATCTTGACGTTGTGTTCGAGGATGCGCTTGTTGTACTCGAGGTACTGCGGTTCGAGGAGGAGCAGGCCCAAGGCCGGGGCTTTGGGGATATGGATGCGCTGAGGGGTGAAGGTCGAGGCGATGAGGGAAGGTGGCGCACCCGATCGGACGGCGAGGATGAGCAGGCCAATCATTTTACGCTACGAGAGAGGCGTACAAAGAGTTGAGAAATCAGAACTTTCCGCGGGTGGGCAAGACTGTGATGGGGAGCTCACAATCTGATGCAACATGAAGGATTGGCCGAGCAGATCGACCGAGACGTATTCGACGCCACTGACGATGAACGGATCCGAGATCTTCAAATCAGACGAATATCTGTTTAGCAACCGTGGCCCCCTCCCGTCAGCGCGGGAAAGCTCACCGACAGCGACCTGAGCACCCTCATTGAAGCGACATCCTGCGGCCCTCCCTTCTTGACCCTCTTGCCTCCCGCGTCCCTCGGCTCGGACTTGTCCGTCGTCGAAGCGACCGTATAGTTGTGAAAGTTGTGCGATCCCTCGTAGGCCTTGGTGAAGGCGCGCGCGGCGTTGAGTAATTCGGGTGTGATTCGCCACGCCTTTTTCGCAGCGACGTCCTCGAGAAATTTGTTTTCGGACGGTTGCGTGGCCCAAAATTCCGCCGTAGCTGCCTTGGCCGCTTGTACGCAGGCAGGTAACGTCCTCTCTACCGATCCCTCGACCGCCTCCGCTTCCGTCTTTAGGAACTCTTCCCGGTTCTGTTCGAGCCATTTGCCCAGGTTGGCACTCGGTTTCGGCCCCAAAAAGACGTGCGTCGGCATCGAGTACTCGTAGTTCCTCTGGTCGCACACCTTTCGCGGCTCGAACCCGGCCTGGACCCTGACGATATTCCACACCCTGATTGTGGGGGGCAAGAACGAGTTGATCCAGTCCTCGACGCGTTGCTCCTCGGGTTTGTCCGCGGGGGCGAGGATGAGTTTCAAGGTGATGATGTTGACGGCGGCGTGGACACCGGCATCGGTACGCGCTGCGCGTTGCAAGGATACCTTGCGATAGTCGTCGGCGTTGTCGGCGCTAACGCAGCCGGCTTTGATGAAGGCTTGCCAGAGCTCGCCTTCGGTCGTCGCTTCTCCGGGGTTGCTGGGGTCGGTTCAAAACTTTCATCGTCAGCACCTTTCGCCCACCTCGGCGACGTTTTGCTCTGGTCCTTCATCTGGAACTCACATTTGACTGCCCTTGTAGCCCTGACCGTTGTAGCCAAAGAAGACGGCGACCTTCTTCTTGGGCAACCGTTCCTTGTTCTCCTCGTTCCCTTCGGCTTTCTCCTCCCCCGTCCCTTCCGTGGGCCCCCACGACCTCATCTTGCCGACCGCTGCACCGGTATTGCGACCTCCCCAGGATCGATTATCATCCCCCGGTCGCTTGCCTCTATAAGTTCCTGCTTTGCCGCCTCGGCCACCCCCGCGCCCTCCACCACCACGGCCACCACCCCCACGGCCTCCACCTTGCCCACCCCCTTCCCTCCCCTTCCCTCCCCATCCGTCCTAGCTCGCTTCGAATCATTGCCATCATTTCCTGCCCCTCCGCCGGTACTATTCGTAGGTGCATCCCGCTTAGTGCCACCACTGGTGGAAGGGTCCGACATCGTCCTGCTTGCTGGTCCGGTGTCTCGATCCAAAGGTATTCGCGCGAAGCCCGTTTCGGGGGGGTGGGGTGGGGAAAGCTAGATAGTACTTCTAGGTTGAAGTCTACAGGCGTTCTCAAGTTGGATTCCTTTGCCTCTGCTTGGAAGTAATGCGACGGGTCCGGGGTAAGACGTCCGATTGCGGCGATGAGTGTTGAGATTGGGGGATGGTGAGTCGGAATCCAAGCCGGCGCTGCGAAGCCCCCCCCGGTCGAGCGAGTCGTCGCGCGTAGTTCCAGTCGGTGGGGTGCCCTTGTCAGTGAAGAATGTCGGAGGTGGGGTGGGGTTGAACACTGAGCTGGCCATTTCTCCTGCTACGCTCTGGTTTGCTGCCGAATATACCTTGATCACACTCCGAATTAAAATAAGAATGGAAATCTCCAGCACTCTTGACAATGCGCGAACTCGGGACAGGGGCTCGGTAATCAAAGCCTGCTGTGAATATCGAAACCCTCGTGACGCTCTCTGGAAACGTGTGAGAACAGTACTACAAGATCCAAAGAGGTAATAAGGATTACGCGGAAGAGCAAAATATAGAACTACAGGGTCGGTGAGAAACGAATGGAGGGTACGACGTGGGAAACTGAGCGCAGACACATAGACGAGAAGAAATTTCTACGATAAGATCTGAGAGAATTGCGAATCGGCTCAGCCACCAGCGACTTTCACAGACCCCCGTCACGAGTAAACTTGTTTGGACTTACTGCCAACAGTACGATCGAGAGCACGAGTAAGAACGTGAGCAGCAGACAAAACATGCGTCGCCCGGCGCGGCGTTGGTACGCGTGCGCCTGTGTCAGTTCGGTCGAGGCGCCTCGAGTATCACTCGCGACCGATCTAACGTTCGTTTCAATGTTGTCTACGGAGCAACCCATCCTGGTCAGCCTCTGACCATGGAAGAACTCGTGCGCACCTGCGCTCACCTATCATCGACTGCTGCTCCCCGACGATCTGACCCAAATCACGGAAGATCTGATTCAACTCGGTGATCCCCTGTTCGATCTGCTCGATCTCTTCCTCCCGCTCTTGGATCAACTGTTCCTGGAATTCGACTTCCGCGTCCGGGATCCCCTCGACCAGCTGTTGTTGTTGTTGGTGCCCCCCTGTTGGGTTCTCGTCGAGCTCGAGTAACGGGTCCGAGGTCGCGGCAAAATCGCCGCGGCTACTCACAGTGATCGCATCGTCAGCGATGTGCTGGACACTGCATGCGTAGTGCAAGACTCACTGGGCGCCCGAGCTCAGTTGCCGTGCCCCGTCGGAGGTTGGTGTTGTGCCATCGTTGATCGCTACCTTGGCCCTCTCGACGAACAATCTCTGCTTCTCTGCACTCCGTTTCGAAGCCGCCTGGAACGACGCCAACGCCTTTTGAAAGTCACCCGATACCTTCTGCTGTTCGTATCGATGCTGTCGCTGTGGGGAAAGCGGGGAAGCAGGCGGTTCGGGATCAGCCAAGGCGGGGATCGAGGTCGAGGGGTCGGTGGTCATTTAACGTACATCGGTGGGTGCGAGGTCCGAGTTTGCAAACTGTTTGACTTCTGCGGTCGAATCTTTGAGAACTTCCCTCGTCGCATCGGTCAGGTTGTGTCTGCGAGTCGCCAGGAAGGAGATTGGGTGACGGAGGAGGTCAGCTGATCTGCCAACCGGAAGAGCCACCTCCCCCCCGCCGGTCAGAGCGGCAGACAGCATCTCATCTTGCGCCTGGACTGACAGTCTGTGCCGTAGATCAGGTGTATCCTTGGGTGTGCCCAATAGTTCTACGAGCTTGTTGATGGCCGAAACATTGGCGTTGATCTTGTGGATCTGGATCGACACTTGGCGTGCGAGCGCCTTGAACCGTAGATCCGCCTCTGCATCGGTATAGAGCGAGCTCTAGGTCAGTGTACGCCTTCACGCTGCTTTCGTTGCACGCCAAGTCGTGTGCGAACCTGGTGAGATGTCGACGTCGCGGGCGAGTGGGGCGCGTTCGCCGAGTCCGCGTTCGAGGTCTTGGAAGCTCTGTCCACGTTCCCGACAGCAAAATGAGCTGCGGCCGGGAGATACAATCGATGGAACTGACTGACCATGTGGACCACCAACGGGAGTGGGACTGTGCGTGGACGATGGACCGGCGGTCGGGCTGCGCAGTCGGGTGACTCGGAGGAGGCCAACGCGAATCGGCGTCATCCGCCCACAGATCGCCACGGGCTCAGCCACGGCCGACGAGTGACTCGAGCGCATACACCCACCTTTTTTTTTTACTAATGCGGATTTGAGCTCTCTGGACTATAAGTAGCAACTATTCTCTACCCCGCTTCGGACCTCGTCTCCGACCACGCTTGTGGGCCATCCTGGTTGCTCATCTTTATCTGACCACTGTCAATTCTACGACCGCACACTACTCATCTTTTGGGCGGAGCTTCTGAACATGCTGGACCATGTCTCGATCCTGTGAGTGCCGAGGCCGAGGCAGAGCCCTTCCCCCACTCGCTCCCCCTCCACCACATTCGTGGCTGACTTTCTGCACGCACAACCCCTACCCCCCGTAGAACACGAGGGGGACTAGTCCTTTATGGTCACGCTTTCACTCCGTCTCCCTCGCCGATCAACGACCTCATTCGCTCCGCCTTGATCGAACAACGTTCGAACGAAATCACCTCCGGAGGCGACCACGGTCTCTCGACCTGCGACAAGGACGCGTACACGCTCTTGTGGAGCTTTGACAACCAGTTCGACCTCGTGTTCGTCATCGCGTACCAAAGGATCCTGCAATTGACCTACGTCCAGGACTTGTTGGTCCAAGTCAAGCGCGCCTTTGTCCGCCAGTACGAACCCAAGATCGAGGCGATACAGCAAGCGTCCAGGGGGAAGCGACAAAAGCCTTTTGAATTTGGACCCGAGGGGTGGGAGAGCTTGTTCGCAGGCTGGCACGCGACATTCATGAAGCTGTTGAGGGAGCAAGAGCAGAGCGCTGCCAAGGTTCGTGCGAGCGACGGCGACCGGGCGGCCCAGTCACGGCTTTCGTCTCCCAGCCTGTGCTCCTCTACTGACCTCTCGTATGTGGCTCGTTTACAGACAAGAAGATCATCACTACCTTCCACACCCTCCGCAGCGGTTCGGGAAAAGGACCCCGAGGCCTTGACCGGTGCAAACACTCCGGAGCCGAGTGCAAAATGTGAGCTTTGGCAAATCCACCGAATCACCCATCTTTACTGCGATTCTGATCGCGGTGATCGTTCCGCAGCCACCGGGGACTCGCTCGATGCCGAATCGATCGCACGAAATATTGCGGCGTTGAGAGCACGGCAGAAAGCGGGAGCAAAAGGTGGCAGGGGTGGCAAGAAAGCCGCCGAGGCTGACCCAGCGTCCGAGTATGTTCCCTTGCGAGTCCTCCACGGTCCGCAGCCAAGTACCACGCCTCTGACCGCGCGAAATGATTTTTTTTAAGTAGCCTCGACAGCCCTTCACGGACACCGACCAAGAAAGCGGCGACGAAATGGAGCGACTCGAAGGTCTCTGCCGCCGACTTGGCCGCTTACGACTATTCCTCGGACGCCCCCTCGTCCGGCGCATCGACCCCGCTCAACAAGTCGCTCATCTCCTCGGCCGCGCTCGGGAAACGCACCAAATCAGGCCTCTACGAGGTCGCCGACTACGCCACCGCGCACGACTCGTCCGACGACGACGACGAGGTTGCACCCACGACGACTGCCACCTCGACGCTCTCGGCCTTCTTTGGCCGCCTCTCGCTCCAGCCCAAGGCCCTGTCCGCCTCGGACCTGACGCCCGCGCTCGTTTCGATGCGCGAACACCTCATGTCCAAAAACGTCGCCAAGGACATCGCCGACAAGGTGTGCGAGAGCGTCGGCAAATCGCTCGAAGGCAAAAGGGTCTCGGGCTTTGGCGGCGTCAAGAAGGAGGTCCGCCACGCGCTGCAGCAGTCCCTCACCAAGATCCTGACGCCTAAAACGTCGACCGACCTCTTGCTCGACATTACGCGGAAGAGAACGACGGCGACGTCTTCGACCTTTTCTTCGGCCCCCAAGAACGGCGGCGCATCCAACCCGGACCCCTATTCCATCACCTTTGTCGGCGTCAACGGCGTCGGCAAATCAACGAACCTGTCCAAGGTCGCCTTTTGGCTATTGCAGAACAAACTACGCGTGCTGATCGCGGCCTGCGATACTTTTCGTTCCGGTGCGGTCGAGCAGCTCCGCACCCACGTCAGGAACCTGGGCCAGCTCGGAGAGGAGTTGGGCGGGGTCGGGATCGTGCAGGACGGGGTCAAGATGATTGAGCTGTACGAGAAGGGGTACGGCAAGGACGCATCGGGGATCGCCAAGGAGGCCATTGCGTTCGGTGAGGCCTTCGCAAATTTTCCGCTTCCTCTCGTAAGGGTGGGAAGCTGACCCCTCTCTGGCCCGGCGCCCCGATGCGCAGCCAAGGAGAATGCGTTTGACGTCGTCTTGATCGACACGGCCGGCAGGATGCAAGACAACGAACCATTGATGCGCGCGTTGGCCAAGGTGCGCTTGGGATTGGGGTCGGGCCCTTGCATGCTCCTTGTACTAATGCAGACCTCGTCTTTCCACAGCTCGTGACGGTCAACAATCCCGACAAGATCGTCTTTGTCGGCGAAGCGCTCGTCGGCAACGAAGCCGTGGATCAACTGACCAAGTTCAACCGCTCGTTGAGGGACTTTTCGGGCGTCAAGAATGCACGAGGGATCGATGGGATGATCTTGACCAAGTGAGCACAGGATGTGGCACCGTCAGCCATTGACCACGAGCTGATCTTGGCATTCGGCTCTCTTTCGCACGTAGGTTCGACACCATTGACAACAAGGTCGGTTCAGAAATCGGTGACCCTAAGACTAGCTCCACTGACATTGTTATGAATCTGCATGCTTCCATCAGGTTGGGGCCGCGCTCTCCATGACCTACGTGACGGGCCAGCCGATCCTGTTCGTCGGGACGGGCCAGACCTACTCGGACCTAAGGTCTCTGCGCGTCGCACATATTGTCGCGGCATTGTTGCAGGATTGATCGTACGTCGTCTCTATGCTTGCTCTTGCCAACAATTACAACATTGGAGAGAAATCACTCGATGCAAGGATCATCACGAAGTGGCGACTGCTCAGCTCGAGCCCGTACAGGAGAGCGAGGCCTGGAGCTCCTGGAGCCTTGCTCGGCCGCGCCGAGGGACTGGGGCATCCCGGCGGAGCCCGGGCTAAAGGCACCAGAGCGAAGCCCACCTCAAGTCAGCCGCCGCCGTCAGCGAGAGGAAAAAAAGTCCGAAAGCCCGAACTCGTATACCGAGTGGCTGGTACTTGGAGTGGGGTTTCTCAAGACCAGCCATCTCCCGTATGAGGACTGGGTCAGAGTTTGATCTTGTGGAGGTGATGAGGTGGATTGGGAGCAGACGCGGCTAGCGCTAAAGCTCAATGTCTCAGTCGCGACACGCGTCTCGACGCGTCGGCGCGCGCGCGCGCGCGTTCCGGCCTCCAGTCGTCGCGAATTCACCGAAGCAGAGTGCGACGGATTTTTTGTTGTTCTTTTCCAGTAGGCCTAGAGAAGTACAACGTGATGCAGTGCATGTGCCATAGACATCAACGCAAACTCTAGGTGAGGCTGTGGGAGCTGCTGCAGTTCGTGCAACGCGTCATCCTTGCAGGGTGCAGTGCATGCACCGGCAGTGCGGGGTGAATAGCGTGCCGCCGAGATGGCTTGACGTCGCGCGTCTCGCGTCACACCTGGAGAGGCCTGGATCGACTGGACCCCGCGCTCGTCATCTCGAGCTGACTTGAGTTGAGCTCAACTGCGCTAGCATGCGATGAGGGGACCAGCATAAATAGCGGACCCCGAGCTTCTTGACTCTCTTTCCTTCCTACCCACCACTTGGTGTTGTTCCCTCCAAAGTTGCCAGCACTACCCAGTCGCTCCAGCACCCCACACTCTGCCTCTTACCACCATGCCCCGATTCCTGTCCCACTTGGCTGCGCTCGTCGCCCCCCTCCCTCGTGTGCCCACCCTCGTGACCAAGCGGTTCTCGAGCAGCTTGTATGTTCGTCTGTTTGGTGACGCACCTCTGGAATCCCTCGCCGCAAGTCGCTCGTCCCCAGCATCCGCTTCGGTTCCGTCGGTGAACGACGCCGCTTTGCTGAGCTCGAATGCTACGAGATCGTGAGTCCTCGCTCTGCTGATGTCGATTCGGGACGCGGCCTATTCCTGCTCGAGTACTGATCGTCCCTTCAAACTGCCCTCATCGCCGTGACACAGTCCCTCTGGCAAGCGCTACGCCTCGTCCCTCTCGGTCCAGGCTCCCGGCGTCGCAGGTGCGCCTCGGCTGCCGTCCGCCCTCGCTGGCGTCCGCTCTGATCGTCGTCGGGCCGCCTTCCACATCAACCCCATCGAGACCCCTTTGCGCGATGACATCGCTGCCACCACCCTCACCACCCCCAGCATCCTCACCTCGTTTTTCGCCCCGGCCTCGGTCCCGTCCTCCACTGCTCGCCGGCCCGTGATCTCGACGCCGTTCATCCAGCACTCTCGCAGTGCCGCCACCGTTGCCGTCACCCTCACCTCGCCCGCGGCCTCGTCGATCCCCTTCCCCCGCACGCCGACTCGCGCCTCGAGAAACCCCACCGTCGTCCTCTCTGGCCCCCCTCTTCGCTCCCCCCTCGCTCGACCCCGCAAGACCAAGACGGCCTCCAGGGTCGCGATCCTCCCCAGCATCAGGGACGAGATCGAGCAAGAGGAGCCCAAGGAACCCGAGTGCGAAGACCTGACCGCCACCGACCCACGCTTCGTCGACTTGCGCTCCCTCACCCGCCCTCGCCAAAAGCTCCGTGCTTGGCGTCGCAAGGTCGACAATGGTCGTTGGCTCACGCTCCTCGCGCTCGAGAACGCGAACATCGCTCGCAAGGCCGCCGTCGCCGAAGCGCGGGCGAAGGCCCAGGCCGTACTCGAGCAAGACCGACGACCCTTTCTCGAGAATGACGACGACGACGACGACACGAGCTATTTCGCTCAATTGCCTACTTGGAATGATGCGAGGCCGTAAGGGGGAGGAAGCGGAGTAGAAGCAGGGTTCTGTCTCGGGGTCTTGTTGTGTTGTTGTTATCTCGGGGCCCGTCGGCATCTTTGTTGCAGTGATTTATTTAGCAGAATAGCATTTAGCAGCTGGGCTTTTGCGTCTCGCCGGTTTGGTCATACTTGATATTTGATGTTGTATTTTTTTCTAGTCGTGCTTGCATAATGGGATAGACTCTACCAAACGATCTGCTTCGACCGCCGAGACGCACGCCAGGGTTTTCTCGGGTCTTTGGAACGAGAGCGACTCGCGGCGGGGACACGTGAAGCTTTCACAACATGTCGGCATTGCAAGGGTACATATACAAGTTCCAACTACGAGGATCCACCCTTTCGACCCCTTGCTCAGTACTGACTTGGTGGTCTCGACGCTGTCTGGGTATTCTCCTTTCGCTGCCCGTTCTGGCTCATCTCGACCCGGGTCCGTTCCAGAACTTTTTGCAGTCGATCCGATGCCGAAGCGCTCGTCGACGTGGTTGCTGTAGTAGCCTGCGTCGAACCTAGGGGTGCGCGTTGCAGCTTGGCGACTTTGGCGGCCAGGGACTCGAGAGGGGCTCCCGTCGGCGCCGGGGAGTCGAGGCCGAGGTCGCTGAGGAACGCGGCGACGTCCTGGGCGCGTTGGGCTTCGAAGCGGTCCGCCTGGGCGTTCAGACAGTCGATCGGTGAGCTTTGAAATTGCCATCGAGCTGCCTGCGCTGCCATGGCGACTTACCGTGGCGATCGACGGTCGAGGGGCAGGGTCGGCTTGCGAAACGGCGGTTCTCCGCGGCGGCGAGACGACGACGGGAGCGATTTCTTCCTCGATGACGCTGCAGTAGAGGGGAACGGTAAGTGCAAGTCGCAGCATATGTGGGCCCTCGACACTTGCGGCTCACTCTTTGAGCTCCACAACGGGACCGGCAGCGCTCGACAACTGGCGGGCCGCGAAATCCTGCATCAACTTGTCCGACTGCGCAATCGCCTCTCGGGCCGCAGCTGGGCAAGATGAGAGGAGTCAGTCCCCCGTCCTCCCAGTTCCAGTGAGAGGGTAATCCTACCGAGTTCGTGCTCGACGTCGACCTGGACCTTTTTGGCCTCTTGCAGCTCCGCGTGCTCCCTTTCGAGTTGGTTCGCGAGTTTGGTCTGCGCCGCCTCGAGTCGATCCTCGACGCCCGCCACGAGCGCCGCGACGCCGCAGCGGATCTGGTACAGCTTGTTGTGGAGCGGCGTCGCGAGTTCGGCGACCGTGAGGGCGAGATGAGGCGAAGGGACCGAGAGCGACTGTGGACGGGCAGGGAGAACGAGCACGGGAACGGAGGGGGCGGTCAGCCTGGGTCCGAGAGGAGCGCTGTCCACCACGGTGACCCACGGTATCGGCAGCGAAGCCATCGCCAATCTCTTGCGCCTCTTTGTTGTTGACGGTGTCCGTGTCGAGCATCAACTCGGCCCATTCGCCGACCTCGCCGACGAGCTCGCGCAGCTGTTCATTCTCCAGCGCCAGCCTCGACCGCTCCGATTCGCAGTCCTCCAACGCGCTCTGCCAGTACACGACCTCTTCCGAGGATCGATCGTCGACGCGAGACGACCGGGGGCCCGACCGAGCCGCAGAGGCCATCCGGCCGGAAGGACCACCGGCGACCGCCGAGGCCACGACGGGGTGGACGTTGGCCAGCTTGGCGTTGGCGACGACAAATTTGGTTTGGGCGGGATCGGCGGTCAGGCGTTGCAGGCGGGCCATCATCGTCGACACTGTGGCGTCGCGCCGTTTCTGGTCGAGCTGTAGGGGACGGGTAGGGCAGGGACGAGGAGGGTCAAATTTCGTCGAGCAGCTAGCGCGACCTCGCCGAGCAGTGCAGGGCTGCGTGGGCTGACCTGGGCCTGGGTGCGGACGAACTGCAGCGCCGATCGCGCCTTGACGAGTTCTTCCCGAGCATGTCGATGGCGGGTCTGTTCGGTCGTGAGGGCCGCGGTCGCCGATCTAGTCAAAGGAGGTCGAAGCGTCAACGCCCGGGAGTGCTCGCGGGCTGAAGCGGGTCGGACGGAGGCGGAGAGAGAGAGGCAACTGACTGTGCCTTGGCCCTTTCGTTCTGCTTGTCGCGTTCACTCGCTTCACGGGCCTCTCGCTCCCTCTTCAACATGGCCTTGGTGCGCTCTATCTCGTACGCGAGCACGCGCTCCCTCGCCGAGACGGCCTCGAGCCCCTCGGCGGCATCGTTGCGCGCCGTCAACAAGCTCCACAGACACCGCAGGACCTGTTCCCGTGCGCGATACTGTTGCTGCATCGTGGCCTGGTGGGCCAGAATCGAGGCCGGGTCGTCGTTCGTGCCGCCTTTGGCGGTGGTCGGGGTCGGCGCAGCGGCGGAGAAGAGGGACGCGACGTCGAGCGGGCGAGAGAGGAAGCCGAGCGACTGCAGCTGCGAGGACAAGTGGGACAGCGAAGCCGCGTCCATCGTAGTCGGATCGTCCATCGTAGAAGGTTTGCTGACTGACGCAGTGACTGGGAGGTGGTGGAGGAGAAAGGGGGGGCAGGCGCGGGGAGGGGCTTTTGGCGCGGCGCGCCCCGGGGAAGGTTGAGTGATACTTGTATGCGGTCACGTGCCGTCAAGGGTCCGCATTAGATCAGATCACCACCAGATCAGATCAGATCTGCTCTGAATTTTTCTGATTCTGCCTTGATTAACGCACCGCGGGGCGGCGACAAGTCCCTGAACCTCCAGTGCCCTCTATGAAGTCACACTCACACAACTATGGCCCGAGGACAGGCACTACCTCCTACTTAGCCGCGAGCGAATAACCACCGCAAGATGGCAAGGCTAGAGACTCTAACGACATCCACATTTCATTCAATTTCGACTGCATTTCATTTTAAATTTTCTTCTCTGCCTATCCTCATTCAAACATATCTATTTTCGTTTTCGTTGTTCAAACAAGGTCCAGGAACCCTTTCTTCCATCACCATTCGCTTGAGACCAATCAAGCATGAGCCGGCCTTCCCGGTCCTGCGGTAGGAGCCAGCTGCGCGTTCCGAAGAGACTTCATGATCCTTGTCGGCGGCCTCTTTCGCCTGCGCGTGAGCCGAATTCTTGTTGTTGTCAGTGACTGTTGAACGCCAAGTAACCAAACCCATCAGCCGGTATAAAAAGTTTAGTGGGAATTGCGGGCTTGAACTCATCCTCATGACCATCGGTGCTCGACAAGTCAATATTCAGCTCGGCGTCCATTGCCGAACGCTTGACAGGAGAGGCAATGACCCGCCTAGGACTGAGTCGGACTGTCGGCGGGGGCGTGGTCTGGCGTGTCATCTGCCGCACATCAGACAAGGAAAATACATCAGGCCCATACAATATGCACAAAAGGTTTGCCGGAGGACCTGTCCCTCCAAGCGCGAGCCTCGACGGTGCAGACAACCGCACACAAATCACCTTCACCCAGGGTGCCCACTCCCTAGCGTGGGATATCCTTGTGCAAGTGGCCCAGGGTGCTCATCGACAGTCACGGGGAGTTGCGTGGGATATCCTTTGGCGTGCTTGCGACCGGTAAAAAGCCCCTCCCGGACCCCCGCATAAAATCGACTGTAGTCGGGCAGGTCGAGAATATTCTCCGGGTCCAATTGGGAACAGGCGGAATCACGCCGGCGTCCAGCACCGGGTCGCCCCCTGTGACTCCATCTTTCCAATGACTGCACACACCCGTGTCTGTCCGCCCAATCATCAGACGCTGGAGCACACAAAGGCAAGACACCCGAAGCGGTCGTCGTGGAAGCTCTGCAACGGGATCTCTCTGTAAGTAGTAGTCCTTGCCTGACTTCTAGACCTATACTAACAACAGCCCACGGTGCGAGCGCAGACAAACATGCGTCTTCTGGCCGCTGCAGACCGCATGACCGAAACGGAACGGGCAAAGGCAATACGTCGATAGGCGAAAAAGTCGAATACTTCCGAGATCGAGCAATTCGGGCGCCCAAAAATTCGCACAGATCAACGACATGGTGCCCGACCTGCCGCCGGGTGACGCTCAAACGTTCTACAGCGCGGATTCGGTCGAAAATGAAGATGGATCACTGTTCTCGATCAAGTACCTTCAGAGTCTCAACATCGCCGGGATGCCGTTGCACGCTGCAAGATTCAAAGTGGAAACTTGGACCCCGCCGCGGGGCTGTGCAACGGCACAAGACTGTTGTTAACTCGGTTACACACCCGCCTGCTCGAGGCCATCATTCTCACAGGAGATCAGGCTGGACAGCCAGTTTCGTTGCCACGGATCACGCTGAAGACAGGGTCATCAGCTGAGCTTCCGTTCACTCTGCATCGGACGCAGTTTCCGATTCGGCTGGCAATGGCTATGACGTTCAGCAAGTTGCAAGAGCAGTCACTTGCGCAGGTAGGAGTGTGTCTGGAGACGCCCGTCTTTTATCACGGCCAGTTGTATGTCGCGTTGTCCTGAGCAACTATGTGGACGGTGTCAGAAACGTCCTGAAATGAAGGCTCTTTACATTTGATCGTCGTCCCGCGGTCCTCTCCCGACTTGGACCATCACTGAACAGTACCGCAGCTGTTGCAGCAAAGTACATCACATTTCAGCAGGTCAACAGTTACGGTGTGAGGTGGCGCGTGGAGCGCGCCGCCGAACCTAGTATAATAGTATTAGCTGCGAGGCTCCGCGAGGCACTGGGCAGACAGGAAGACTTTCAAGAACTAGTACCTGAAGATTGTCCCAAGGTTTCATTGTCACATGGGGTATGTAATGATAAGGTACGTTCATGCATGTACGGTGGAAACAACGTAAAGTCTATCTATCTTCTACAGGACCAAGAGCCGGCAGCCACAATGTCGGGTGCCATGATCCGACCAGTGCTCACGCCGGCGCCGGTGGCGAGCGGTTCTTGGAGAATTGGAACGGCGGACTGAGCCAGGAGTCCCAGCTCGCCTCGAAACGAGGATCGGCGTTCACTTTCAACAGTCTGCTATCGGAGATAGAATTAGTGGGCTCTTCCGAGAAGGCTCGGGCGCTTGACAAGACTTACCGCAACAAGAACCGGTAAGGCGCGTCGGCCGGGATGTCGATCTTGTCCGCAGTCGATTTCGCGAATCGCGCCTTGAACTCGCCTCGAAGTGAAGTATGCGGCAGCGCTCCTGCGATTATACAGCCCGCCTTCCCCCCCTCCCCGGTCCTTGGGAGAGTCCATGGCATATCGCACATTAGCGCAAGGGTCGGCGTCGCCTCGTAAAGACGAGATGGATCCGCAGCCGAGGGGACCTGGGACTGATGCAGGACGGGGTTCGCCGCATTGTTGCCAGTCGGGACCGTGGGAACGAAGCTGACATTCGCGAAAACAAGATCGATGGTATCGTGCATCGAATACACTGGAGGCAACAGACGGTGAGTGAAGTGGGAATCTCGCGCGACAAGCCACACTTACGGCTATTCGAGAAATAAAGTATCAGCCCGAAAGCGTGGTAGCTCGTCGCCACCTGGTTCGGTTCTCGTAGTATTATACCCGGAGATGATTCATCATCCCAATCTTTCTTGGTGATATAGGTCCCAACGAAAGGGTATCGAAGGTCAGGGACGCCCCAGTCCCCAGCCGCACTCGTCGTTGTTTCGAGCAGGCGCGCTTCCTTATAGTCGGCCGCCAATCCGAAAAACGGTAGACGGTATAGCCCAAGCTCATCTCCAACGGTCCTGATGCGTATATATCCAGAGTAAAGCGGGAAACGCTTCGCCACAGTCAGGGAGAATTTGGGCGGGTCGATCGTGATCCGCACCTTCACAGACTGGCCCGATGCGACACTGATCCGGCTCGGCTCGATCACGACCCGAGGGGGTGACGTCCAAGGAAGGGCATTGATCGAAGTGGTCGGGAAGTCGTCTACTTTTGCGTCCTATCAGTTTGGAAACAGTGTGAGGAATATCCCTCGTCAGCTTGCCTTGGTAGACTGCCTTACCCTCCAACAGAGGTGTGCTCATACATGGTCGTAGAACGCCAGCGTCATTGCGGTCTCGAGCTCGGTCTCGAAGTGATATTGGACTGAGCGGTCGTTCTCGTTTGTCACGGTCACTTCTTGCTCGGTGCTGGATAAGGAGAAGTCCCCGATAGCGAGAAGATAGGGGTCAAAGTAGGTCCGGCCAGCGTACGCTTGATCGATCGCGATGAGACCTGAGAATGTGAAGGTCACGAAGCTAGATCAACGTTAAGAGGTAATTCGGAAGCCCCACAACTTGAGATAGACCAGGTTATGTACCTCCTCCTTGTTGTAGCACCGAGGCAAGCTGGGACTGGTCAATGGGCAGCGGTGCGGGAGCGGGAAGGGAGGTTGTCGTAAAAAGCGAGCGGATCTTGAGAGGTGTGAGTCCACTGCGATGCGACAGGAGAAGAGCCGAAGCACCAGCTATGAACGGTGCCGCCATCGAAGTACCGCCCATCACTCCCGCTCCACCCCATCGTCTTGGGGCCGTGGACAAAATGGGCTGCCCAGGTGCCGACACCAGTGCTGCTGGTTTTGCAAGATCATATCTAGGCCCGTCGTCCGAACTCTGTACGACGCGAGAGCCGTCAATATGGTTGTCGAGATCGAGGAGCTTTCGTTGCGATCGGAAGTTGACCACGAGTCCCGTCGGGTGCGCTTTGGCGTACCCAGCAATCTGCAGGAAAGGTTCAAGTGCACAGATGACAGAAACCTCAGTCAAAGCATTCTTCCTTGGCAATCGCCACTATAAAGTGCTCGGTTCAGATACCTTCTCGTGGGAGTCAAAGGTCATTCCCACCACATAAATATCCAAGTCTGCTAGATCCGTGCTCCCCGGCGAGTCTCCCCAATCGTAGATCTGCGACGAGAAGTAACTAGACCGGGGGTCGGCGAGGCTTGGCGCCGTCAGAGCGAGCACGCGCACGCCGTGTTCGTGGGCGAACGCTACCAGTGTGCCGGTACACATCTGGTAGGCCCTGATGACTACCAATGTCATACTCAGGTCCTGTGATACTGTTGCAGATGGTCGGCACGAGGTCGAGGCCTCAGCGCTGGGTGATTCGGGTGCATTGAGAAGCATCACTTTGAGCGAGTCGGCAATCTCGACGCGATGGGCACCCCAAAAGTAGGGCAGCGGGGAATAACCGCCCGTTTCAAACGTGAGTTCGTAGGCCAGTGGTAGTGTGTTCACCGCAACACTTCCTACCGAGATGGTGGTCGTGGCAGCAGAGGCATACTGGGAGTCAGCTATTCCCCCTCCTGCCTCCGCGGAGTTGCCACTCGCGGCCACCACGACGACACCCTTTTTCTCAAGCTCGGCGAGCAGGAGCTTGCCGGGCACATCGTTGGGGGACCCTACGCCATCGTTTGAAACCACACTGATTATGATGACGTCACACTTGTCATCCATTGCGCGCAATATTGCCACCTTTATGTCGTCGGTCAGGGCGCCCTCCTCGTGGCACTCCATAACTCGGTAAGCACCCAGCGACACGCCTGGAGCGACACCACTGAACCCAAACCTGTCGGAAGCACTCGTTCAGCACCGTTGACTTCGATCATACTCTTGAGCTGGTTACTGGGCTCGACTAACGTGTTTGGAAGTGCTGCGACGATGCCCGTGACTGCGAGTCACTAGAATGACGGAATGAGCGCGCATCTCATTCCTTATTAGCTAGGGGGACGGACCGTGATTTCCATGCTTGGAGCCCCTGTCACAACGTGCCCGGAAATTGGTATGCATTAGATATTGTTTGTCCTATTGCGATACCCGCGCTGCGATTTGGACATACTCGCAGTCGCTGTAGGGGTCTGGCCCGGGGGGCTTGGAACCGTGGCCGATAAAATCATAGCCGACTCTGATCTTGGACCCGGGACCGAAAGATCCTCCCAGTACCTCGTTCCGATAGTCGACTCCCGAATCGATCACGCAGACAGTGACGTTGGAGAAGCCGAACAGTCCCTTAGCCCGCAACTTGTGGAAGCCGGTCATGATGTGCGGGCAGGATGTGTCGTCGCGATAGGCATCGTCTGACTTTAGGACCCGAGGTAGCTCTGCGGTAGACCATACGTTGGAAACCCCACCCTCGGCAACGAGAAGCCGCTTGCTGGACTCGCCGGAAGAAGCTTGGACCGAAGCGAATGGGTCGATCTCAACGCCTGCTTGGCCTGAAGTTGGGCTGGTAGTGGTCCGAGCGCCACTGCGAGCAAGCCGGAGGACGGGGGTAACGCTCTGGTTGCCAAAGAAAGAGAATCACACAAGGAAAATTTCTTGGTGTACATAAGGGATTTGCATGGTGTTTCAAGACAAGAGTCACACCCACTTTGACTCCCGGAATCTTGGCTAGATCGTCCTGAGACATCTTGTCCCCGACGCGGATGCTGAGACCGCAGAAGGCATCCAAATGATACCGGTGCTTCGTCACGACATCCGGGACGGTCTCCGTTACAGCTGCCAGTAAAGTGGTCACATGCTGGTTCGACAAGGAAGCGGAAGATGCATGCGCGTCAATGAAGGTGCTGTCCACCTTTCTACGCGGCTCGTACGGTGTCGACTCCTCCCCAGCGCCGGGCAGGGTCACTCTGGGCCCGACGTCACGGGAAGAGCTCGGGAAGCCTGGATCGAAGCAAGGATGGAAAGGCTGGACTCACTTGCTCCACTTGTGCCCTATTACCCAGGTCTCCACATTCACTCAAGAGGATGAAGGCGCCAGGGACGACCGCGTTCGCTCGAGGCCGAAGATCGAAAGGTCCCGAGGTGCGACTCGCTGCCGAACTGGCGAAGATCGCCAGTGACAGCACCGCGGCGACTAGTAGTAGGCGATGGACGTTTCGCCTGAAGGTGTCGACCATGAGGATGCGGCGTGTGACCCAGAAAAGGTGAGACAGACTGTTTGTGCTGATGGTGAAAGATCAAGCGCCGAGCTTCGGCGCTCGGCAGTGGTCGACGGCGGAAGTGCACGCAGGCTTGAACCAGTTTGAACCGCCTTCAACAGGGGCGCCTGACGCAGTGAGACGCGTAAAACTTAAAAAAACAGATTTTAAGATCCTCACGCTGTACAAGCTGTGCTCTATGTTATCACTTGAGTGAACCTGCTTCCATGCCAGGCATCACGCAATTTCATAGATCGTCCGATGGATTCACTGCAACGACGCTCAGGCCACTGCAGTAAGTTCGGGTTCGGTCATCGAAAAAGCCCGACTCGCGGCAAGTGCAGGGGTGATAGATCGCAAGACGGAAAGCAAGTGACTTACTTACTGTACAAACTCACTTGCTAGTAAGAGATCACTCGAATTTGTCGTATCGTCCCGGGCTTCGAGTGAACCGCTTCGAATCTGCAGAGCACCTCATAGCCAGAAACGGGTGCGAAATCGTCAGACCCCCTCAGACGCTCTCAGTCTGTTGGAGAAGAGCTCAGACTGATGGGGTCTGACACCACCTGAACCAGCATCTCAGAGCTAGTAGAGCATGATATCAGAGGGTCTTATCAAGTTCTCATACAGAATTCTGTCGAAAATCTTCTCCAACAGGCTGAGTGCCGCTGAGATCCTCCAGAACGGTCTAAATTCCCTCTGAACCGCTCTGATTCGGTCTGAGATCGGTCTGATATTGGTCTGAGGGGGTCTGAGGGGTCTGCGGATTTGGCACCCGTTTCTGGCTATGCTGAAAGCTGGTCTGATGTTTTTTGAAAGCTGTTCAGATGTTTTTGGACCACGGATTCTATTGCTAGTGAGTTTCGACGACACCAAGTGGAAAGCTGAACCCCAGGTCCTACCACCTCAGCTCCTACTATGCGACACGGGACTACAACGCACATACACATCCTATAGTACAATAGTGAAGAATATAGCCAGCACTCGGACGTTCAAAGACATGCCCAACGCAAAGAGTGAATGGCCGACACCGTGGGGAACACAATTGCCACTTGTTACCAATGACTGATTTGTCGGACCGACTGAGCACCGTTCGTGACTGATTAACTCAGCCTCGAGGAAGGTTGTACCATGAGCTACTGAGATGTTGATGTTCGTACACAGCTATCAGACGGAGCCGAAGGCATGCTCAGCTTCCGCGCCGTTCCCCGCCGTTTCTGGCTGCCGGCTACTGGCCTTGCGCGCGGGCCTGTGGGGAGCCGTCCCCCGCCAACGAGGATTACTAATGTTGAGATTGTCATCAATTTCCCCAGCTCGCGCCCCCCCAATTTTCGTTCAACAAACCTTCAGCTCTAGAGAGCTTCAGGGATTGATCTGATCTTGATCTGATCTGAGACATGAAATTGTCTAATTTGGCGCAGAGAGACTTTGACATGTCTACATGTTGAAATCCTCATCCTCATCCAAAGTGATCCCCTTGCTAAACCGCCGCTTTTTGGAGGAGCTCCCCGCTTTGATGACTGAATTGGGTCGCATGATCCCTATGAGAACGTGTTTGCAATGAATCAGCACTTGAAACTGCAACGACGGCCCGCCAGAGGAGAACCACGCCCTGTAGAAGTTCTGTGGCGCGGGGCCGACACCCAATGCGGCGGCGTTGCCAAGCGCGTGTAAGGCGCCGCTCCGCTTACGCCTCACGACGACCTCGAGCCAACCTCTGCGGCCTCACGCTTGCCCTCGCGCGCGGCGCCGCCGCGTCTCTTGACCTTAGTCCTTTTAGTAGTCTTTCTTCGCCTGCGAATTACACCGTTTGATCCTTTCTGTTTGGACTCGGAATCAGTGAGGCTCGAGAGCGATCTCGTGCCTTTCAGCGCGATCCATTCTCTGTCATGATCAGGTGCACCGCAGTTGGCATTTCAAATCACAATGGCACCATCTAGGTACCGCCTCCTTTGGGATTTATTTCCTCGAGGCTTGAATGGTCTGAACTTGATCTGACCCCGATCTGATCTGATCTAACGCGGACCCTTGCGTGCCGTCGTGCCTGCCAGGTGGTTCTAGTGCCCGAAAGAATTTTTGCGGAGGAGTAAGAGAGGTAGGTGTCCAACTCGACCGAAATAATGAAAATCTGTGGAGAGGGAGAAATGAAAGAACTCTTTTTCAGAAGGTCTATAAGGAGCTTGAATGGGCTGCTGCGCCGATGGTGTTGGCGCAGCGAGGGCGCGGAGCGCCCCTCGCTGCCCCGCTACCCCGCGCCACAGAAGCCCCTGCGAAGTCGATCCGCTCCTCATTCTCCAAAAAGAATCTGAAGCGTCAGAAAGGCCAACAAGAAACATCATACGTTCCTGGTACACTTTAAATGCTGAACAACCATTTGAGCCGGTGCAACACGCAAAAACATATCCTTTTGAACCCTCGGGGGGCAAAAGAAACTCTGAAGACAGTGGGATTTGAACCCACGCCCTTTCGGACCAGCGAATCACATCAGTACCATCTACTAGTAGAAATGTAACACCTTAAGCTGGCGCCTTAGACCGCTCGGCCATATCTCCCCCGGATGTGTACAGTGCGTTTTCAGTTGCTCGTACGGATAGTGATCTTTTTCGGACGTCCGATTGCGTTATCAGGGGGAACAGGAATTGGGGGCAATATGATGAACGGTTTCTACTAAAAAAAAAAAATGCGTTACACACACAAGTGAGTTTCTGTGGTGTAGAGTGAGCACACACACAAGTGAGTTTCTGTGGTGTAGAGTGAGTAGTTGACCTCCAAGCCCGTTAAGCTTTACAGGTCAACACAAACACGCGATGCCGGATCCGCCCGGCGCCGATGCGCCCCCGCCCGAGGACCTATTGGGTGGTAATGGCGCGAGTGATTCATCACTCAACACGCAAACGCGTGAAGCGGTCACTGGAGGAACCGCGAATCCTCCAGCTTGGTCGCCCGAGGCAACTCAGGTCCGGTTGGACCATGAGAAGCTGATGAAGAAGACCTTCCAAGTGCTCGGGATTGTTCCCTCCAGCAAGTCGACCCGCCGACTGATGGTCCTGATGCACGACGCCTCGACCCCGCCTTCGCAGGCGCCAGCGCTCGCACGAGCCGCCCAAAGAGCGGTGCGAAACGACGCAGCCCCGGCCTCCAATGTGATTCGAGTCATTATGGATGGTCCTGGATCACCCAGAGGTCCTGTACAGACCGCGCTGCGCAAGCACTTTGGATTGGCCGAGACGCCGTTCATGTTCGCGCGGCCCGAGGGCGTCGTGCTTGACCCCGAGGTCGAGAAGCTTTTCTCGAAATGCGTGAAGCTGAACCCGATTGTGACGAAAGCCACGAAGAGGTTCCCGATCGCTCGTCACATGTACGAGCTTGTATTCGAATCCGAGCAAGCTTGTCTTGAAGCCGCTTCAGCGGGCCCATTCCCCTACCACGGCAAGGAGATGGTTACCGAGCTCCCCAGCGCCTCTCCCCTTAACCACGTCGTGCAGGTGCGATTCACCTTGCCCTCCTCCTCCAGCGCGATCCCCGCTTCCGTGCTCCGAAAATCTCTCGATGATGCTATCACCCTTTCGTTCGGCCGCGCAGGTCGCACGCAAGGTTATACCCTGATGCAATTACAGCGGGGCCTCGCGGTCGATCCGAATGGCGATCCGATGGCCATGACCGAAGACGGGTTCCACTGCGCGTACCTTCGCTTACATGCTGATCTTTTCCAAGGCTCCATCGAGACGCAGAAGGCTGCGCTCAACGCCGCTTTGCCACAAGAGATCGAGATCCTGGGCGCCAAGTATGGCTTGCGACACGAATTCGAGACGCACTACTGCGCGGTGTGCGATCGCGCCGGACACCAGTGGGGCGCTTGCAGGAAGCCGGTTTCGACTCCGGCCACCGCCGCCCCTGTTCCGGGGGCCTCGACCTCGACTTCGACTTCGACCACCGGCTTCCGAGTTGCTGGAAAGAATGGGAAGCACGGTGGGCCTGCCGCATTGAACTCTCGTGTCTCTGGCGCGAACATGATCCAGCTGGGACCTCGTGCTAACCCCGCAGGTGCAGTAACCGCCAACAAGGACGACGCGAACGACGGCGACGACGAGTCGGTCGTTTCGACCGAACCGGAGGGCGGTGACACTGGGGAAGAGACGTCGACGCGTGCGACCCTGGGCTCAACAAAGGAGACGCAGACGACGACGGCGGCGCCCGTTTCGACCCCGACCTCTCCTTCGCCTTTGTCCGGTGGCACGTCGGGATCATCGGCAACCTCGACAACCTCGATAGCCTCGACGAGTCCTCGACGCCTTCGTTCGAGCTCGGCACCCGGCAACCGACGTGTCACCCGGGCAGGATCCGCCATGATCCTCGGTGCATCAGGGGGTGATGGCTCAGGGGGCAACAGTTCAGGGGGTCACAGGTCCGAGGTGACCGAATTCGAGGGGGGCGGCGCTGAACTGATTTAATCATGATTGAGTCACTCACCGTGTTGACGTTCAACGTCCGATCGATGAAGAACGCAGTCAACCAAGTCAAAATCATCCGTTATCTCAAAACCCTTCGGCCGGCCCCTGCGGCCATCCTCCTGCAAGAGCACCACCTCAGCTACAACGCGTCACGCGAAGGCTTCGAGAGTGCTTGGCCGGGGGCTTGTATTCGTTTCACTCCTCATGTCCTTACCCTCATACCCGATGGCTCACCTTTGGCGGGCCATCTCCTTTCCTCTACCCCGGTCGTCTTTGCAGGAGCTCCTCGTTTCGACGGTCGGATTCTGCGCTCGGTGTTTCGTCTTGAGGAGCTCGATGTCGAGATCATCAACATGTACGCGCCGGTGCAGGAGGACGATCGTCGCGACTTTTTCGGGCTTCTGCACTTCAACGCCCCGAGACCCAAGATTCTTCGGATCTTGGCCGGCGATCTCAACGATTGTCCGGATGTATCGGTCGACCGAGTGTCCATCACCGATCGCGCTTGGACTCCTGTATCGCACTGGCAGACCTTGCTGTCAAAGATCGCGTTCAAGGCACTCGACACGGTCCGACATGTCCATCCTTGCACCCCTGCATTCACTCGTCCTCACTACCGTGGTAGAGGGGAAGAGCGAAAGATTTGCTCGTGGTCGCGGATCGACTATATTCTTGTCCAATGCAGTTGGGCGAACCGGTTGTTGAGCGCTTCTACGCTCTTCGATGCGCCCTGTTCGGACCACAGACCTGTAGTTGCGACTTTCGCTTTGCCTACATCGAACGCTGATGCCGAACCCCCCCTTTCTCTTCCCTCCACGAGCGATTTCATTTCGAGGCTCAACCCAATGGTCTTTGACGATCAAGACTTTGTCGCATCGATTCCCGGGGTCGTCGACGAGGTCTATCAAAGGCTCGAGGGGACCGCTCCGCTCGGCGACGTCTATGACGCCGCTCTGCGGGCGGTTGCAGTCGCTGGCCATGCACGATACCGCTCGACTCGTGCCGACATGCGCCGACTGCGGGCCGAGAGCCAATCCGTCATGGAGGCTTTGGAGGCACGCGGTGAGCACATGAATGAGGCCGAGCGCGATGTGTATGCTCTTGCCAAGTCGCGGTTGGACCAGTTGGCGGTAAAGGAGGCTCAGTGGCTGCGCATTCGTGCGCATGTGCCGTCAGTCGACTCGAGGGAAGGTCAATCGGCAAGCATTCGCACGCGCCTCAACCGCCGGAGTCGCCAGACGAGCATCGTCTCGCTGGAGGATGTGGATGGCACCGAGACCGTTGACATGCAGGAGGCGCTGGGTATTGCTTCACGGCACGCGCAGTCGCTCTTCACGCCGGACCCAGCTCGTGGCGACCCGACGAACGCACGCCGGTCCCTGCTCGACCCTATTCGCGCAGCGAAATGCTACGATGACGACCGCTCGGACCCTACGTTCGGTCGTCGGCTGCCTCGTCAAGCGAGAGTGGCGCTTGACGAGCCCTTCACCCTCCTCGAGGTTGAAGCGGCGTTGAAGAAGACGGATTCGGGGCGATCACCGGGGCCCTCGGGCATTCCGTACGAGCTCTTCAAGGCGCTGCCAACCTACTTTGCTCCCAAGCTGTTGGACTTGTTCAACTCGATTTGGGAGGGCGGCAAAATGACGGCGTCCTTGGCAGAGGGGCTGGTGCGGCTCTTGCCCAAGAATAAACCGGGGGCCAATCTGAAATCACTGGGGGCATACCGACCGATCACATTGCGCGAGACGACCTACAAGGTCCTCAGCAAGGTCTTGGTGGCGCGACTCAATGGGGTGCTCGGCGAGCTTTTGCCGCCGGCGCAACACGGTTTCATGCCATCAAGACGTTCAGCGGACGCGGGAAGTCATCTCACTCTCCTTCTCGAAAAACTCAAGTCGCTAGGCACTGATGTTTTCCCCGAGGGCGCCCTCTTGTCTTTGGATCAGCAGAGCGCGTACGATCGGGTCGATCACGCCTGGATCTTCGAGGTCTTTGAGGCCTTTGGGTTCGGTGAGCGTTTCATCTCGCTGCTGCGCGCTCTCTACGATCCCGAGACTCTGGGGGTGCGCTACCTTGTCAATGGGTTCCCCACGGACTTGGTGCGGTTGCTGTGTGGTCTCGGTCAAGGGGATCCCCTCTCGTGCCCGGTTTGGAACATCACGTTCCAGCCCTTCCTCGACGCCCTCGTTCGGCGCGGGATCGCGCTCGACCTGCAGAAGGTGTGGCCAGGGGGGCCGCGTGCGCAGCTTACGCATCTGGCGTTTGCCGACGATGCTGTGGTGGTGGTGGAGTCACCGGCGGCATTGTCGAAGCTGCAAACGCTGTCGCAGACGTGGTACGAGGCTACCAACGGGAAGACCAACACGGACAAGACGCTGGTGCTACCACTCGGACCGAACTGGCTTCGGGACGAGACTGCGCAGGCGCTGCCAACGGTGCAGGAGGGGGAGAGCTTCAAGTGGTGCGGTTATGCCTTCTTTCGCCACGGTGACTCGAAACTGTTTTGGACCCATGTTCTTGACAGGATCAAGGCCAAGACCCGCGCCGCTCGAGACCGGACACTTTCGCCGAGTGGGAAGGTTTTCTATGCCAACGCTCACATCATCTCGACGGTCCTCCACGTGCTGTCCTTCGACATACCGCCTCAATGGTTCATTAAGGCGGCGGAGACGGCACTTACGGACTTTGTCTGGGGAGGAGCAGGGCGAAATACCGTCGCTCGCGATTTCGTGTTCCAGGCTCGGGAGGACGGTGGCTTGGGTTTGATTTCGATTGGCGACATCGTTCATTCGGTGGCGCTTCGATTTTGGGATGCTGTGGCGGGCTCGGACGAGGCGATCTGGGCGCCCCTAGCTCGCGAGAGCTGGAGGTGCCTCGTCGCTGCGACCCGCGATTTCAGTCCGTGGGGGTTCTTCAGCAGCACGGCTCGGGTCGAGAAGCTGTATCGCGACTCGACGCGCTGGGGGGCAGTCGTTGCAGCGGCCAGGGTCACAGTTCCAACCATCAAGTCCGAACTCCTTACGCTTCCCGAATTGCTCTCGCTTCCGCCTCGCCTCCCTTCACTCTATGCTGAAGGTGCCCAGCACGCATATGACGATGCGGACGCGGTGGCGAAGTTTGCGCAGATCGCGGACCTGTACTGGAGGGACGAAGGGAAGGGATGGGCTCTGGTTGGTCATCGACGCGGGTTCTGGCAGCACTCTAAGGAACCCGCCCTACAGCACGAGCACGTGTGGTCGCGCGTGGGTCAGTTGCTCAAGGCGAAAGCGTTGCTGCCCAAGACCGCGTTGCGACCTGCTCGGATACCTCTCAAGGAGGCTCCCCGTCCTCGGTGCTTCAACTTCTTTGGGTTCTCCCGACCTTTTACGATTCGCAAGCTTCGTCGGCTTGTGAACAAGGTGCGGTTCCCAGGGAGGGAGGACCGTGTCAAGCGTTTCCCTGATGGGACTTCTCAGAGCGATAGGAAGCGCTTCTGGAGATGGCTTCATGACCGGTTCGCGTCTGCTGTCGAGCAGGACACCCACTGGCGGCTCATGTACGACGTGACGCCGACGCGCAAGAGGCAGCATACTCAGGGTCATGCCTCTTCGCCGACGTGTCTGTTCTGCGGCAACGATGCAGCGGTCATCGAGACGGTGTCCCACTACTTTTTCGAGTGCGCGTACTCGACCAGCTTCTGGGGTGGGGTGCTACGCATTCTGCTTGACAAGCTCGGCATCGAGGATACCGACGTCGATCCGTCGACGTTCACTCCGGAGCAGCTGACTATGGGGCTCCCCCTTTTGCGGGGTCGTGGGAGAACGACCTCGAAATGGATGTGGGTTCGGCTGGCCTGCGCGATCGGCTTCCAGCGGCTGCACCTGCTCCGCTGGCGCGTTCATCAGCGGTTCGAGCTGGACAACGTCGTGGCCCCTCCCTCGCTTCCCAGTACGCTCAGAGCGTTCGAGCGAGATTTTCTCTCTCGAGCGGGTTTTGTGCCTGGGGTTCGAGATTGGGAGGTGTGATGACCGAGTTAAGTCCTTCCTTCCCATTTTCCTCCCCTCCTTTCCTCCCTTCCTTTTCGGTCAGAAGCTGACTGTCTTGAAACTTGTTGCGCAGTGGAAGGCTGCGCACCTCTCCCTCTCTCTACTTTGTGCAGTAGCGGTTTTCGTTCTTGGATGGATCGGCAAGCCGGGTCGATCGTCGTTGCGTTGGAGGCTTTGTGAAGTTCTCCCCTCTCTTTCCCCTTTCTCCCTTCCCTTCCTCTTCTCGTTCCTGTTGCTCGGTTGTTGACTACGCTTCAGCCACTTCTCCTTTTATTCCTAAGCCGTGTGTTGGATTCCGTCGAATGGATCGTTCGTTCGCGTTGGTCAAGTTCTACGGCATGGATCGGGAAGAAAGGTCGCTCGTTTCTTGGTCAATATCCTCGCGTCAAGGCGAGGCTCGTTTCGTGGTATTGGATCGTTTTCGCTCGGCCCCGACGGCTCAACAGCCAGCACTCGAGACTCAGCCAAGGGAGGACATCAGGCGCTGTCGGGGTGACGAGTAGCTGGGGCTTGGCTGCGGCCTGTCAGTCCCTGGGGACCTCTAGCTCTGGCTTCGACCCCCTCCCTTGGCCCCTCGGGTGTGTTCCCCTCCTCCTCCCCTCCTCTCTGTCTTAGTATTCCTGGTTCTCCGTGTTTCCGGTCGTGAATTTTTGTATATTCTCCCCCTTTCTTTCTCTAGGCGCTCTTGCCTGGTTTTCGAGTATCTTCGCTCCCGCTCTTGGGACGTGAAGCGGCAGCAGTACTCACCGCCCGTTGGAGTCCGCGTTAGGTGCTCGGCGGGTTTTGATCTGCGCAGCGCTCTTTGCGCGCAGGGGTTTGACTTTCACCCAATTGCTTGCCGTCGTTGCTTTATAACCTCTTTTAGCTCTTTTTGTAGCGGTCCCAGCCAACCCGAAGGATTGCAATTTATGAGCCCCAGTAAAATAAAAAAAAAAAAACCTATCTTACGGACTTTGTCTGGGGAGGAGCAGGGCGAAATACCGTCGCTCGCGATTTCGTGTTCCAGGCTCGGGAGGACGGTGGCTTGGGTTTGATTTCGATTGGCGACATCGTTCATTCGGTGGCGCTTCGATTTTGGGATGCTGTGGCGGGCTCGGACGAGGCGATCTGGGCGCCCCTAGCTCGCGAGAGCTGGAGGTGCCTCGTCGCTGCGACCCGCGATTTCAGTCCGTGGGGGTTCTTCAGCAGCACGGCTCGGGTCGAGAAGCTGTATCGCGACTCGACGCGCTGGGGGGCAGTCGTTGCAGCGGCCAGGGTCACAGTTCCAACCATCAAGTCCGAACTCCTTACGCTTCCCGAATTGCTCTCGCTTCCGCCTCGCCTCCCTTCACTCTATGCTGAAGGTGCCCAGCACGCATATGACGATGCGGACGCGGTGGCGAAGTTTGCGCAGATCGCGGACCTGTACTGGAGGGACGAAGGGAAGGGATGGGCTCTGGTTGGTCATCGACGCGGGTTCTGGCAGCACTCTAAGGAACCCGCCCTACAGCACGAGCACGTGTGGTCGCGCGTGGGTCAGTTGCTCAAGGCGAAAGCGTTGCTGCCCAAGACCGCGTTGCGACCTGCTCGGATACCTCTCAAGGAGGCTCCCCGTCCTCGGTGCTTCAACTTCTTTGGGCTCTCCCGACCTTTTACGATTCGCAAGCTTCGTCGGCTTGTGAACAAGGTGCGGTTCCCAGGGAGGGAGGACCGTGTCAAGCGTTTCCCTGATGGGACTTCTCAGAGCGATAGGAAGCGCTTCTGGAGATGGCTTCATGACCGGTTCGCGTCTGCTGTCGAGCAGGACACCCACTGGCGGTTCATGTACGACGTGACGCCGACGCGCAAGAGGCAGTATACTCAGGGTCATGCCTCTTCGCCGACGTGTCTGTTCTGCGGCAACGATGCAGCGGTCATCGAGACGGTGTCCCACTACTTTTTCGAGTGCGCGTACTCGACCAGCTTCTGGGGTGGGGTGCTACGCATTCTGCTTGACAAGCTCGGCATCGAGGATACCGACGTCGATCCGTCGACGTTCACTCCGGAGCAGCTGACTATGGGGCTCCCCCTTTTGCGGGGTCGTGGGAGAACGACCTCGAAATGGATGTGGGTTCGGCTGGCCTGCGCGATCGGCTTCCAGCGGCTGCACCTGCTCCGCTGGCGCGTTCATCAGCGGTTCGAGCTGGACAACGTCGTGGCCCCTCCCTCGCTTCCCAGTGCGCTCAGAGCGTTCGAGCGAGATTTTCTCTCTCGAGCGGGTTTTGTGCCTGGGGTTCGAGATTGGGAGGTGTGATGACCGAGTTAAGTCCTTCCTTCCCATTTTCCTCCCCTCCTTTCCTCCCTTCCTTTTCGGTCAGAAGCTGACTGTCTTGAAACTTGTTGCGCAGTGGAAGGCTGCGCACCTCTCCCTCTCTCTACTTTGCGCAGTAGCGATTTTCGTTCTTGGATGGATCGGCAAGCCGGGTCGATCGTCGTTGCGTTGGAGGCTTTGTGAAGTTCTCCCCTCTCTTTCCCCTTTCTCCCTTCCCTTCCTCTTCTCGTTCCTGTTGCTCGGTTGTTGACTACGCTTCAGCCACTTCTCCTTTTATTCCTAAGCCGTGTGTTGGATTCCGTCGAATGGATCGTTCGTTCGCGTTGGTCAAGTTCTACGGCATGGATCGGGAAGAAAGGTCGCTCGTTTCTTGGTCAATATCCTCGCGTCAAGGCGAGGCTCGTTTCGTGGTATTGGATCGTTTTCGCTCGGCCCCGACGGCTCAACAGCCAGCACTCGAGACTCAGCCAAGGGAGGACATCAGGCGCTGTCGGGGTGACGAGTAGCTGGGGCTTGGCTGCGGCCTGTCAGTCCCTGGGGACCTCTAGCTCTGGCTTCGACCCCCTCCCTTGGCTCCTCGGGTGTGTTCCCCTCCTCCTCCCCTCCTCTCTGTCTTAGTATTCCTGGTTCTCCGTGTTTCCGGTCGTGAATTTTTGTATATTCTCCCCCTTTCTTTCTCTAGGCGCTCTTGCCTGGTTTTCGAGTATCTTCGCTCCCGCTCTTGGGACGTGAAGCGGCAGCAGTACTCACCGCCCGTTGGAGTCCGCGTTAGGTGCTCGGCGAGTTTTGATCTGCGCAGCGCTCTTTGCGCGCAGGGGTTTGACTTTCACCCAATTGCTTGCCGTCGTTGCTTTATAACCTCTTTTAGCTCTTTTTCTAGCGGTCCCAGCCAACCCGAAGGATTGCAATTTATGAGCCCCAGTAAATAAATAAAAATCCTATAGCGCTGCTTCTCCCTTCGCTGGCCCTTAACCGCTCGGCCATATCTCCGCCAGATGTGTACAGTGTGTTTTCAGTTGCTCGTACGGATAGCGATCTTTTTGCAGTTGTGTTGGGCCCGACCCAGAACGCGCCTTCAACTCAGTCGTCGGCCGGGAGTGGACCCAACCCGGGAAGCTCACAACGAACACTGCAAAAGCGTCGATTCAGTTGACCCAGAACGCGCCAAGTTCCCACTGCAAAACGTTCGGACGTCCAAATCGCGACTCCTCTATCATTCCTCGCGATTCATCGATCCGTGCGCGAATACGGTGGGGCGAGCGAGTTTGAAGCGAGCGAAACCCGCGTGGACCGCCAATAGGGGCCAGAAAGAGATGTTTTTCCTGGAAAGCGCGCAACCCCGACGGTTCCAGAGCGCGTTAGAGACCAAAAGTGCGTCTAAGAGATGCAAAGCTGTGAATGACGCGCGTATGAAGGCCGTTTGGCGCGCAATTGCACGATTTTAGGCGCGCGTACAAACGAATGGTAACCGAGTAGCCCCCCGCGCGCAGATCCATTTGTTGCCCAAACCCACGGCCCATATTCCAGAGGCCCGATTGGGTCCGTGCGCGCGGGGCCGGCCCCCTGATCCTGGAGCGCAAGTCAGCGAGCGGGTGCGGCTCTTCCTCTCATCGCGCGTTCGATCGCGCAGTGTCCTTACACGACCCAGTGACCAAGGGGCGACTTTGCCACGCCCCCGCCCAAGAGGAAGACCCCGAAAGAAGTATTGATTTGCTTGCTTTCTTGCCCCCACCACCCATTGGGCCATCCACGACTGTCACCCACCTCGAGCTCCCTGCCCATCGCGTGTCGGTCGCGAGGAGGTTGCCAGGCACCACCGGAGGTTGGACATAGGTCATCATGGGCAAAGGCTTTACGTTGCTCAGTCAAAAAGTGTCCATCAATGTCGCGCTGAACGGCAAGATCCATGTGAGTGCTCTGTACCTGACTGGGGGGTCCCCCCTCTCCCGACGAGCGGCCGAGCTCGAGTCAGCAGGACTGATGCCCCCCCTCTTCTTCATTCGGTACACACCCTCCCCTTCTCAACAGGGCAATACTGAACTCACGATCGCCCCTACGACCGCGGATCTGCGTACGGTATGGCTCCACGCTCGGTCAATGAACGTGCTCGCGACGGCGCTGCGTCTCCCGACCACGACCGTCCCTCTCGCCTTCTCCTACATCCCCCCTCTCGCCCCGACGCTGACCGAACCTCACAACGTCCACACCTACCCCGAACTGAAACGAGCCGTATGGCGATCGACGAACGAGGGCGAGGAAGGGGAGGTCGGTATTGCGATCCCTCAGGGTTCGGTCGTCAAGCTTCATCCTGCGAGTCATCATGACGAAGCGAATCAGGCCAAGAAGCAGGACGAGTGGGAACCGGTCGTATTGGTCATTGAATACGAGGTCGTGTCCCCTGGGGCGGGGATCGTGGTCGTCGCTCCGGATGAGACGAATCCCTCGGTGAGCAGGGACGAGGGTCTCGCTGGTCGAGCTCAACCAGCTAACGGTGGTGCTGTCCGCCTTCTTCGCCAGCGCTTCCCCCACGTCTTTACGTCGACGCTTTCCGAAATTTCGGCACGGCATTGGATCCCTTGTTCGGACCACGCCAAGGATCGATGCACCTGGGATCTCGAATTCATCGTCCCGCGCGTGCTCTACTCGGCTTCGGCTTCGACGCTCTCCCGACCGACCGACGTCGCCGGCCAGGACGGGCCAGAATCGTTCGACCTCGACGATGAGGAAGAAGTCGAATGGCCCGTCTCGGTCGTCGCTTCGGGTGAACTGGTCGAACAGGTCGTTCATCCCGAACGAAGTGATCGCGTCATTTGGCACTATGCCCAAGTCACACCCGTCAGCGTGCAGCAGATCGCCTGGGCCGTCGGACCCTTCGTCGTCACCGAAATTGCTCCGACGCCCAAGGAGCATGTCGCGAATGCCGCTGCGGCAGAAGGGGAAGATGATGAGGGTGCAGAAGAAGAGGAGGACCCTCTGGCCTCGCATGATGGGGCCAAGCTGCATGCGCTGTGTTTGCCCGGTCGGGAGGCCGAGATGGCGAACTGTGTCGGAATCGTCCGGCGCGCGATGGACTTTTACACGTCCAAGTTTGGGTCTTATCCTTTCACCGACTACACCGTCGCGTTCGTCGATGCGCTGAGTTCGGGTTCGCCGACGTTCCACTCGGCCGGGTTGACGATCCTCAGTTCCGACATGCTGCACCCGGCGAGCATCATCGATCAGGCGTTCGAAACGCGGCACACGTTGGCGCATGCTCTCGCCGTCCAATGGTCGGGGATCAACTTGATCGCTCGGACCGCGTCGGACGTCTGGCTCGTCATCGGGATCGCGCAACACATCACGTCCCTGTTCCTGCGCGAGGTATGGGGCAACAACGAGTATCGGTTTCGGTTGAAAAAGGACATGATCCGCTGCGTCGCACAGGACGTCCAACGGGAGCCACTCTCGGTCCCCGCCCGCTTGGCGCAACCCGAACCGGCTCAGTTGCAGTTCATCGCGCTCAAAGCCCCGCTCGTGCTGTACATCTTTGACAAGTTCTTGCGCAACGCCGGCACGTCGCTCGGCTTGGACAAGGTCTTGCCCAAGATCTTTCTGGATGCCATCACGGGCGATACGAGCACGACCTCGACGGGCAACTACAATGCCCTGTCGACGACGACCTTCCAACGCATGTGTCGGAAAGCATGCGGCGGTTCAGCTGATGCGATCCGAAACTTTTTCGATCAATGGGTCTATGCTTCGGGGTGTCCAACGTTCGTCGTTTCGGCCGTGTTCAATCGTAAACGCATGGCGATCGAATTGAGCATCAAGCAAGAGTGTCTGGCGCACCTCTGGGCCCAGTCCGCGCCCTGGGAAGAGACGGGCCATCTTCGACCTGTCGCTTGTTTCGAAGGGCAGATGACGATCCGGATCCACGAAGCCGATGGGACACCTTATGAGCATGTGCTTTCGATCAGCGAATCGTTCAAGAGGCACGAGGTGCCGTTCAATACAAAGTACAAGCGTATTCGACGTAATACGAAGCGGTACCAGGCTCGGCAGGCAGCTGCGCAAGCCGCTGCTGCGGGCGATCTCGAAGCGGCTGAGGACGTGGCTTTGATCGATGTGGGGTTCGGCTCAACGTTGTGGGAGGAAGAGGTGGAACGAGAGAGGTGGCAAGTTGCTGATTGGACGGAAGAGGACGACGTCTTGATGAGTCAGGCGACGTACGAATGGATCCGCATCGACGCCGAGATGGACTGGATCGCGCGCATCCAGTTTGAACAACCCGACTTCATGTGGATCTCGCAACTCCAACGTGATCGGGACGTCGTTGCTCAACTTGAGGCGATCCATGCACTGTCCCATATGTGCGCCTCCGTCCATCGGAATCCGGAGAAACCGGCAATTCACGATACGGTCGTTTCAAGCAACTTGTGCAAGACCGTCCTCGTGGGGAATTACTTTATTCGCATCCGGATGGAGGCGGCGCTGGCGTTGGTCTCGTGTGCGACGAACCGGGCCGACTACTTGGGTCTGTTTCACCTGTTCAAGTTGTTCCAATCGTGGTTTTGCTTTGAGCCTGCGGCAGAGACGAAGGATCCGTTCGCGTTTCGTTGTATCCCCAAGACGAACGATTTTTCAGACATGTCCCTCTACTTCCTCAAGAAGGCGCTGATTCAGGCCATCTCGATGGCCAGGGACGAACAGGGGCAAACACCCGCAGTGGTGCATCAGTTCCTTATTGATCTGTTGGCCTACAACGATAACCTCGGTAATCGGCTCTCGGACGCCTTCTACATCGTTTCCATCATCAACGCATTGGGGTACTCGTTCGCCGGAACACCCCCCAAACGCGACCTAGGGATATTTGGTGCCGACGAAGGCACGTTCGGTGACGAAGCGTCGAGTCTCGAGGCGCTCGAACCGGCACTGGCAGCGGTCGAGCGGTACCTCAGTACGGACCGGTTGGTCCCCTCGTTCCAGAATGCGATCACGGTCGCGGGTATCGAGTTCAAGTTGAGGTTGATGATGGCGTCGCTGTTGCCCGAGGATCGCATGTCGTTCTTCATTTATACACGGTGCGTGCTTGGGTTCTTTGCTTCAGGACCGGAGGTGCTGTTGTTTTAACGGTGTGGTCTCGTTTGTTGCAGAGATGGAAACTACCCGCCGGTCCGCATCGCGGCTTTCGAGGCATTGCTCTTGCTCAACCCTTTCCAAGACATGCAAGAATCGATCCCGCTCGTGCAATACCTCTTTGCCGTCTTGCGCGACGACTCGTCCCGCCTCGTTCAGCGACGTCTCGCCCAAGCCCTCGTCGAGATCCTCCCCTTTCTCGCCGTCACCAAAGATCTCGGTGCTGCGCCCGAGACGGGATTGGAAGAGTTCGGCGCGGGTTCGACGAAGAAGGGCGACTCGATCCAAAGCATGCTCAAAGCTCTACGCAAGAAACCCGGTCGTTCGAACAACTTCCGTCAATGTTTGTTGCAGACGTTGACGCATCCCGATATCGATCCCGAAGTGAGGGATTGTATGCTCAAGCTCGCCGAAGTGACGATCCGACCCGAGGGGGAACCGTTGCCCAAGATCACGTTCAGGATGCCCGTCGTTGCCGAGTCACCTGTGGCGACGCCTGTATCGGCCTCGACGCCTCGACTCAAGCTTACGAACACGCAGGCTGCTTCGTTGCCCAGGATCAAGTTGGGCGGCTCGACGGCCGCAACGCCCGCGGCCGAGAACCCGGCTCCTTTGGAGGCCCCCGTCCCCGTTCCGGCGCCGGTCAAGCCGAAAAAGACCAAAGTCAAGGCACCGCCCAAGCTCGAGCATGCTCAGGCCTCCGGAATGTCGCACAGCGATCTGACGGCGTGCAAGAGCATGATCAAGAAGTTGCTCAAGGACAAGCACGTCACTTTGTTCCAACACCCGGTAGATCCCGTCAAATCTGGTGCTCCGGGGTATTGGGATATCGTTCATCATCCCATGGACGTATCGACCCTCAGTGCCAAGCTCAACAATGGGGATTATGCCGATCGGTACGCGTTCCGAGCGGATTTCAAACTCATCATCTCGAATGCGATCTTGTATAACGTCCAGGGTGTCGTCGTCGATTTGGCGAGGAAGCTCGATGCGTTCTTCGATAAGCAGTGGGATCGGATCGAGGCGACGCTCAAGATGATGGAAGCGCCGACCCCGGCGGTCCCTGCGGCTCAAGTGGCCGAACCCGTTGCTTCGGCATCGACGACGACGACCACTTCGAAGAAAAAGACGTCGGAGATGAAGCCGCCCGTGTTGAAATTGGCGACGAATCCGCTGCCTCCGCCACCACCACCACCTGCCGAACTGCCGGCGGACGAATTTGCACCTACACCTTCTGTTCCTTTATCAACGGGCTTGTCGTTCAAGATCAAGCCTCGGGCTCCTGCCCCGACTGCCGTGGCTACCCCTCCTGTGCGAGCGCCTCCTCCACCACCTGCGCCGGCTGCGCAGAAGCAAAATGGTGGAGCGGCTTCACCTGCCCCACCGACCCCTTCGCTCGGGTTCAAGATCAAGTTTGGTGGAGCTGCTGCAGCCCCGACGACACCGAACGGGGCCGCTGGACCTCTCACGGCCGCACCTGGTGGACCGACAGTTTCACCCGTGACTACTCCCAAACCACCTAAGGCTCCTAAGCCGCTCAAGGCACCGAAGATGTCACGCACGGCAACGGACGACGCGACCTATGGAGCGGGAGGGTCGACTTCGAAGCAGTCTTCACGAAGTGTAGGGAGTAATGGGGATGCCGCCGCAGGTGTGGAGGACGTTCCCCGCCCTATCAAGGAGAAGAAGAAGCGCAAAGAAGTCAACTACGCCGATCCGCCCGACGACGTCGTCGAACCTCCCTCCGCACGAGGTCCCGCAGCAGTGACCGAAGCCTATCCATCCGCCCCTCTTCGACCTCCCGTCTTGGATGAACCCAAATTGCCGCGTCCTTCGACTTGGATCAATCCCAATGATCGGGTCGATCCGAAGAAGGTTAGGCAGGTGATGGCGAAGATCAAGGGTATGAGGGAGGCGTTTTGGTTCCTCAAGCCGGTGGATCCGGTCGCTTTGCCTGTGTAAGTCAACGTAAAGTGGGAGAGGGGGGGGGAGCAAGCTGCGAGTGCTCATGTAGTTTGACTCTCTCGTGGACAGTTACTATCAAGAGATCAGCGAGCCGATGGATCTGCAGACGATGGAGGCCAAACTCGACCACGGCAGCTACGCGACGTACGCCGACGTGTTCGCCGACTTTGACCGCATCGTCGCAAACTGCCAACAATTCAACCCACCCAACACGGAACCCGTGTGGCACGTCCTGATGATCCAACGCGCGTGGAGCGCCGAATGGGAGAAGGCGAGTCGCATGTCGTACCACGAACGAAGGTCGATCCTCGCGTTGTTGAACAAGATCCTCAAGGAGGGGGCTTCGTGGCCCTTCCGCGAATCAGTGGATACCATCATCGATCAAATCCCGACCTACTACACCATCATCACACCTGGTACTCAACGTGATCTAGGCACGATCAAGGCCAACGTCGAAAAGGATCGTTACGCCTCGATCGACGAGGTCGACGCGGACGTCGAGTTGATGCTGTACAATTGCTTCAAGTTCAATGCCAGTCCCGAGCATCAGGTGCACCAGAGTGGGTTGGAATTGCAAAAGATGTGGAGAGGAGGGTTGGCCAAGGCCAAGGCGGAAATGAATAAAAAGAGGACGGGGGACAAGGGTTCGGCGGGGGGTCCAACGAAGAAACAGAAGATTTGAGTGGGGAAGAGTCGTATTTTTCGTACTTGTATGTGAATACGAAAGGAAGTGGTGTCTTCAGCGAGATGCGAGGCTTGGAGCGAGGCCCGATTTTTTTTGCTAAACGGAGCGATTTGGTTGGCCGAAAATGGGCCGAGCGCGATCGACTCGGTCTGCGCCGCGCGAAGGGTGGCTCCGCTTCACCCGGACCCACACCGACGGGTCCAGCTCTCACCGCACCCGCCCTCTCTCGTATCCAAGCCCGAGGCCATCATGTCGTCTCGTCATGGATCACCTGCACCTGGGAAGGCCGGTCGTCTGGCTCGCTCGAGGGCAGCGTGTGAGGCGTGCCATCGAGTCAAACAGTCCGTCGTCTGCCGCCTGCGCAGTCCATGTCGCACCGAACTGACCCAGATCACCTCGCTCACAGACGATGCGACGGCCCTTCGATCTGTCCCTGTCATCGATGTAAAACGTGCGTCCGATATGGGCTGCGCCGTGCTGCGAGCGCCACCCCTGACGACGGCTGAGGGTCGGGTCCGTTCGCAGGTGGGGCATCGAATGCATATTCCCTTCCTCCGCAGGGCCCGTACCTTCCCAGCCGCCACCCGCACAGGCCAAAGCCTCGAAACATACCGCAACCGGCACGGGCAAGATCAAGGGCAAAGGCAAGGCCGTGGCCACGCCGACAAGTGTGGCCCACCCGAGGCGTTCGTCGACGGCTTCCGACGCGGCGGCAGCTGCCCCACCACCTCCTCCTCTTGGCGGTACTGCCGCATCGGCTGCGTCGGCCGCTCCTTCAGCTATGGCGTCGATCACCCCGATCGAGTTGACCCAACAGTGAGTGAGGTGGCTTCGTCGGTGTCCTTCGTCCGGGAAGTGACGCCTCCCCCGCCACTCCCAGACTCCGAGCGATGGCCGCCCGCCTCGAGTCCATCGAAGGTGCCTTGGCCCGAGCCGAGGTCTCCTTCCCGGCCTCTTCTTCAAGCCATTCGCACCATCTCTCGAACCATCGACCTTCGCACTCGCATTCCGGCCAGACCGTGTCGGACGAAACGCCGCTCAGTGGCCCCTACGCCCACGAGCAGCACCAACACCAGCCCAACACCTCCAACCCGGTCGAAGCGACGGGCGAAGCGATCGAGGCCATGGCGGTCGAAGGCTTGGTCGGTCTATCGGATTCGCACCAACAAAGCAGGTCTAGAGCAACTTCGAATGGGATCGACAACGCCTCGGCAGCGAACCCGGAGGTGTGGGATCCGTCTCGACCGGATGTGCTCAGTCGGACACTGATGACTGTCGAGGATTGCGAGAGTGCTTTCGACGTGCAAGTGAACTCGACGATGGCGAGATGCATTCGACGGTATACTAATGTGCCGCGAGGCTTCGTCGTTTGCAGATATTTTGATAATTTGCAACCTTGGGTCCTCTCCCTGTCCTCGACCTTGGACCGCAACCCACTCACCGTGCGCACCCGATCGCCGCTGCTTTTCCACTCGATCCTCCTCATCTCCATCTACTACCGGGAACGAACGACCGAGAACCTGGCGCTCTACGAGGCCATCTCGGCCATCATCGACTCGATACTCGCGCCCAACATCTTGTGCCCCCAACCGGATCAGCTCTCGTCCGACTTTATTCGCTCGATCCATCTTCTGACCCTGTACAAACCCCTGCCCATCGCTACTTTCCGCGCTCGGGGGATTAAAGACTTGGCGGCGATCGAACACGCCTCCAAGATGAACGTACGCGCGTCATGGCTTTTGCGACTCATCGCATCCCGAGTCGCAATGTTCATCGGGCTACCCTCGATCACGACGACGTTCGCACGAGCCTTCGCGAACCAGCACGAGGCGCCGATTCCTCAATCCATCATCAGCGAGCAACGGCTCTACTTTGGCTGTGTATTTCACGAGGCCCATGGAGCTCTCCAATCGGGCAAACCCAGCAACTTCGTCCCCCAAGATGCCCTCAAATCGACGCGCCTCTTCGCCTCCCTCAAGAATCAACCCGAGGACGTTCGGCTCGCGGCTTCTGTCGAATTGGCAGCGACGGCAGCTTCGGTCCTAGCAACCAGGAAAGAAGGGGATTATTTCGACCGCGAGGATCTGCATCGATTCGAGGATGAGATGTCGCAGTGGACGGAATACTGGCAACCGATCCTAGCAGCGAACGAACAACGTGACCGACTCGCTTGGACCGCGGCGATCCCTTATCAAGCCTTCATCAGAGTCGTTGTGCATGGCTATTCGTTCGCAAGATGGAAAGTTCACAAAACGGAATTACAAGCGAGCCTTCAACCCGCACCCTTGTTGACGGAGCATGAGCACGAATCACTCGACGCTGCCGTAGAAGCGAGTGCGGCGATCTTGCTGGCCGTTTCGGTCGAAGGGAAGAGGATTGTGCCGGGGAAGGGGATCGAGACGAGTTGGGAGAACGTCAAGGGGATTCTGACGGTCGATCCGAACGTCGCGGATAAGGTGCGGTGGGCTTCGGATAGCTTGACTTGTGTGGTGAGTCGGCAATCAAAGGTCATGGACGTGCAATCTGTGCTCACAGCTGACGTTCAAATCGGTCCACTTTGCAGTTATTCTCGTACCCCTTAATTTTCCTCGCCAAGTTGGCCAACGAAGGCTTGCTCCTGTCAAGCTTCTCCGTACTCGCCGCCTCGACGCAGCCGATCCCTCTGGCACCGCTCTCCCCCTCGGACAAACTCTGCCTCCTCCTCCAACTCGGAGCGAACTTCCTTCACACGATCGCCCCTCACTCAAGTCACCCAGCAATCAAACAAGCCGCTTTCCTGCGCAAGATTCACGAAGCCGGAATCTCGGGCCGCAAACAGACCCTCTCCGTTCCCACAAGCCCCAAACTCAGCGCGACCAGCTCCATCCCCGTCCCAATGACGACGAACCTCTCCCTCTCCGAACACAGCTCCCTCACCCAAACACCCTCGAACCTCCTCCCCCTCTCCAACGGGTCCTACCACGACTTCCTCTCAACAACCTGGAACCCCTCCCCCATCGGTTCCCCCCGGAACGTCGACCATGTCATGGAAGACCCCTTTGGCGCTTTATTGAGTGGCGTCGAGCCGGGTATGATGTTCGCTTCGGGGCAGAGGGATTTGTTCGGGTTCGAGACGGGTTTCACCAGTGCAGACTGGGACGGGTTGGATGCTGGAGCTGCGGCCGGTGCACAGAACGGGGGTGGTGCGAATGGTAGGATGTTCAAGGGGGGGTTTTAAAAAGGGGACGATTGTATCTTGGAGAGGTAAAATGAAAAATGAAATTTAATGTTGTGCAACAGTAAAGAAATAGTGATGGGGGGGGGAGAATGTCACGAGATGCCCAGAGGGGAAGGCCCGGCCCGGGGGGCGGAGTATGCGCACCACTGCGGTGCCCCACCTTGGAGCAGCCGACTTGTTGAACGCGTCCGAGGCAGAACATAGAACACCGAGCCTCCATGTGGTCAGAACGAATACCGCCTGCGAAGGTCTCATGTTGTCCAGTGTATGAGACACAAAGGAACTGTTTGTCTTTCCGACCCGCGACGTCAGGTCGGGCGCGCACCCTCCCGCAAGGGTTGACGATCGAGTGAATGGCCCGATTGGGTTTGCTTAAAGCCGAGCGGCCCAAGCTGGGGTAGGGGAGTGATCCTTTTTGGTTTAGACGGGGTCGGCAGGGTGAGTACGCTGTTTACTAGTCCAGACAATTTTTGGTGAGACCGTTAACACTACGTTGGCCTATCCTCGCAGCGATCGGCTTGATCGCTACCACCCGGGCCCGGGCCCCCGATCTGCCCAGTCGATCGACAGAAGGGACCGAGCGGACTTTCTTCAAGCTTGGCTCTAAGTTGTTTTTGCTTGGCAAAATCGGCTGGAGATATTTGCGAACTTGTAATAATGTGGGAATGTAATCTTGGATTTTTTGCAGCTGGAATGTGGAGAGAAACGAGGCTTGTCGACCCCCCAACTTTTTGTTCTTGAAATTTTCAGGACAGCAGCGGGGGCGTTTTACATGACAAAACCTACCTACGAAGCTCACAACTGATATCGGGATTGTGATTGACAGCATTGCGTACACCGAAAACGTAGTCTACCGCGGCGCGCCAACGTCAAACCCCCGGCCTCCGCTCTGTCGGGTTCCGAGCACATGAGGACCCCCTCCCCCCCCCAAACCGGATGCGCATTTCAAATGCGCGATGCGCCTCCGGTTTTGGTAACAAATTGTCGCGTGGGTCTGGTATCAAGGGCCCTCTTTACTACTATTGCAGCCCTTTGTCTCCGCGGCGAAAGTCGGAATTATCCTCTTCAGAGTTTCAGCCTTTCCATCAATGGAAGAAGATCGCTGTCGGAGCCAGAGGGACAATAGTTCTGCGATCTTGGAGCTTTGGGCTTGGAAGATCGAGCTCTTCCTAGGGAATGGGTGGAGTTTTTAACTTCCTTCGAAAAAGTGTACAAAGGTAGCCGAACGGATCCTGGCACGGTTCGAGTTTTCGCAGACTAGGAATTAGGTAAAGCAAGACATGATGCATAGAGTTACAACAAAAGTGGGGGAATTCTAATAAGAGTGACATATATGGAGAGGTTTGCATAATATGGAGGGGATCGAGATTATATGATGGAGGTGAAGGGGACGCGCTCAATTGCACGAACCTCCGTTGACCTGACACGAGGCGCTGTCGAGCTTGATGTCGTAGCAAGTGCTGCCTTGGTTGGTAGGGACTGAAAGAATGAGGGGAATTGAAGTCAGCTTCCAGGTCTTGTATAGCAGTGAATTCACAAAGAAGCGTAGGGAGCTTACCTTGAGCCAGGTTCGCTGCGCACACCTCAATAACGAACACGCTCGCACCATCGACGTCCGTGATCGACTTCGTCAGAGCCGTCGTCGCATTAGCAGCGTAGCAACTACGAGACGTGGGGTCAAACACAGCCATGGTGAAGTTGGAGTCATAGACGCTTTCGGCGCAGTCGTATTGGTCCAGCGAGTTGGTGTTGAGGACGGTGAGGGAAGCGAGGTTGTGGATGCTCGAATCGGGGTAGTACGACCAAGCGGTATCGAGGCCGACGTGAGCGACATCACTACCGTCGACGACACAAGAGTTACCAGAGACAACCCAACCATCGTTACAACCGTCGACGGTGCCGTCGGCCGAGCAGCTGGCCGCGTTGGGATCAAAGTCCGAGCATGAGCTGCAAGTGCCATTGGTGAGGTAGTCGCCGGCGATGCAGGATGTCGCACCGTTGAAGATATCGCAGGTTAGAGAGTCGTCGTAGACGTCGTCGCAGTCTTGGCAGATTCCGTCTGTGGATGGAAGTAGGAAGATAGGTTGGCACCGAAGTCCCAGCAAAGCAAACTTGAAATTCGCGCACCGCGAGATAGGAACTGACTGTAGTTGCGGAACTGATCTCCAGCACAGGGGGTGAAGAGAGTCGAACACGAGGACCGATCGGATACCAAGTTGCACGACCCAGTCGTCAGGATTACATCTCGGCAACGCGCGTTGGCGGAGGGGTTCAGCGCGTTGTTCTTCTTGCAAGTGCCATAGACGATCGTGGTACTGTCGAAGTCCCATACAAGGTTCGCCATGGTCGAGAACGAGGTGTTGGATGGCGACGCATAGCACGTCGAAGAGTCGGAATCAAAGACGGCGACTTGTGCTCCCTTGCCGACGGCACGGTTTCCGCAGGAACCGGGGGAGCGGGCGTTGGATTGGTAAGGCGTGTCGGGGATGCTCGAGAGGAGGTAGATCGACCACGCGGTGCCAAGGATGCAGGACTTCTTGTCGGCGGAAACGGTGTACGGCGCCCTGCAAGATGACCATTGGAGGCCGGGTCAGACCCTGCCAGCGAGTGGTCCCCCTGATCGAACGTGCACGAAAAACTCACGTGCACGCCGTGACGATGGTAGAGCTCGAACAAGCGGAGGCAAACTTGTTGACGGTGTTGCAAGCAATGCAGTCGTTCTTTGCCGCATTCAACTATACCCAAAATGAACGTCAGGTTTAGCGCCAGATGAGCCGTAATGAGGGACCGCGAGGTAACGCACATAAGCTCCTGGAACGCAAGTGGCGATCTTTCCGGCGCTGCACGTTGCCGCGAGGGTGTCGAATTTGGTGCAAGGCATGCAGGTTCGCGTGCTAGCCGCATTGACAAAACCGGTGGGGCAAACGCTCGCGCATTGACCTCCGGTGAGGAACCCGCTGTTGCTGTGATACGAGAAGCCGCACACGGAAGCACGAAAGGTAATGAGATTTTGAATTCAAACTACCTCTGTGCCAGGTGATGGGCTCACCATTTGGTAGCGCCGGTCGTTGTGCATGCAGCAGCCCCTTGAAATTTGCTTGTGCATGCTGTGCAAACGTTGTTGACGCTGAAGGTACTAATGGGGCAAACGGTGACACCTGAGGGCGAGCAAGACGACGGCGATCAGTATCGCCCAAACTCGGCTCAAAACCTGGGGTTAAAACGCATGTACTCACAGGCACCAGCAGACAGGGAACCAGTCGAGCTACGAACGGTTAATAATTTAGATATCGAGAGTTTCAGTCGGGTCGATCCCGCAAGCCCAAGTGCCCGATACACCGCAGCAACTGACCATCGGGTAGCAGCGGTGGTCGTGCAAGCCGAAGCCTCTGGAAATTGCGACGAGCAAGAGACGCAAGCACCGTTGATGGCCGTAGGGAACTGGCCGACTGCAGTGCAAGTCTCGTCATCCTTGGCCTTGCTTCCATTGGTTTTCGTGGTGTCCGTTTTCCCATTGGGGAGTGGGGTAGCGTCGATGACCGAGATGAATGAAATCGTCGCCGCGAACAGGCTGAGCCAGGCTGCGATGGACGAAGCGCCGGCGTGCATGATGAAAGATCAAGAGAAGAGAAAGGAGTGATTGAGATGGAGCGGCAAACACGGGAAGGAGTGAAGAAGAGAAAGAAAGATCGTCGAAGTTGACTGAGCTACACCACAATGCTGTCTGTGGATCGAGGGCGCCCAGAGCTTCGGCTAGGTCTCGGACAATGCTCACCACCATGTCTCAGAACACCCGGCTCAACAATGGGATGGGCATTTCGCAGTGGGAGGCAGGCATCGAACATTTCCTAGCGTGCGAGACCGAGAACCGGGCAGACAATCCGCCCGAGCGGGGCGACCTCTACTTCTCCCTTTTCGAACATGACCGACCGATTCAGTGAGTGAATGAGGAAAGTCGGAGAACTCTGGGGGGTAAGACATTCTCCGTCGTTTTGCCGCGCGCGCGCCGGCCTGCGGATCCCTCGAGCGCCAAGCTACCCAAATCGACGGCGATCCCTTCATGTGCGAGCCGACGATGATTTGTCATTCCAAGACCGAGCCGTCGCGGATTTAGGACTCGACCCTTGACCACCCGTAACTCTGCCTGCCGGTATGTACTCGGTGTTGCTCGATTCAGGCTCCGTAAGCCCGACAACGGCGCAGCCGCGCTCCGCCGGTCAATTTGGTTCTAATCGGGATCCGAAGGATCTTTGATCCGGTGAGGGTCGCGTTCAGAACACAATTCCGTTCAAGTGTTTGATGACATCAGATTTTCTATCCCAAGCTTTCGAGTCCTACCTACAGATACGCTAAAACAATGTCAGTCTTAGCTTGAGGCCTCTATGACGGACGACGCCAATTCACGGCTCGCTTCGGTTCCTACGGCGGAACGCATGGTGACGTCCCGAGGCACTGTTGGGTCGGCCTGGAGCTCGCCAAAAGGTTGCGGGTGTCATTTCATTCTGAGAGTTTCTACATACCCTTGCTTCAACTAGAACTGTTCTTTCCATTGGCGCCCAGAAGCTTTGAGCATCTCGGACCTTTTGCCAACAGCTAGCTCAAGTCTCGGGGCTAAGTTTCGAATTTCGGAATGACGACTCCTCGTCGAGAATTGCGCTCGACGTAGTACTGCCCGAAATCACAAATCGTCGCATCCTAAGGGACCAGAGTCAAAAGTTCGCGAAATCGCAATAGAGGGCATCCTAAGCCTTGAAAGAACTGATCATGGTTGCGCGAGCCGGCTGGATCGGAGTCGTGCACAGGCCGGGCAGCAGACCAGCGATGCAAACTCACCTGGTCAAGAATTGTACACGGACATATTACCAAACTTGTCGAAGAGAGAGGAGTGCTATTCTGTCAGCCGAAGGGCGACGATGAGACGAAGATCATGTTTGTCGATTGCGAACTTTATCGGTCTCCGTACCAAGGTGAGTCTTTCGAGGCGAACGAAAACACAAGAGATAACGGCGTGAATTTCAAACGGTGCAAAGAAGTAGACTATGTAGCAAGCAACAAGAAGGAAAGAGCAAGAAACAATCCAACAGGACCCAACAAGCGTGGGAAAAACCAACCACCAATACAGGATGGACACAGCCGAGACGGCGACTACGAACCTCTCGACTCCTGAACTAAAAGCTACGACAAGCACCTCGAATCGTCGCCGGTGAACCGATGGAACCCGTCATACCGAGGGAGAGCACCCTCGCGTTGGCGAGAGGGGTCGAGACGCCGATGCCGCAGAAGAAACCGGCGAGGAATACGGCGCCGACGATGACGGCCGTGCTCATCCAACTTCGAACGCCTAGGGAGGCGGATGAGGGATAACCGTGAGAGTGATGGTGCCGAGCGGGTGACGAGCTTTGCTTTTCCACGTCTTCGGACGAGAGTTGAGCGGCTTGCATTGGCCATGGTATCAACGAGAGACGTAGGTTGAGGCCGACGAGATGCAGCAATGCGGGGAGGTGGAAAGGATCGAACGGCGAGGGAAGTTGATCCGAAACATATGCATTCGTCTTCGAGCTGCCATTACTAGCCCTCGCTCGAGCGGGGTTCGCAGGGTGCCCAGAAGGCGCAGCTTGTGGTGACGCAGTGTGACCCGGATCCAGCGTACCCACTGTGGGCGAAGTGAAAGTGGGTAGAGACCTCGAAACACACTTTGGCGTATCGGGCTCGAGGACGCTCGTGCTCGCCAGCGCTTGTGCAGCTCCCTCACTCGACGAACCGAGCGACGAGACCGAACCCGACATCGGGTCACACGGCGTGACATCCTCGTTCGAACTTGTTCCGCACGCTGCGAACACCCCCGAGCTGACGCCCAAATCTGCCCAGATCGGCGACAGTCGGGTTCCCGTTACTCCTCGTTTGGCGGTTGACGTGAGGTGCATTCTTCTTTCGGCGACGCGACGCGAGAACTCGAGGCTATCTCGACGAGCCTTGATATCTTGACGACTCGGAGGGGCCCCAGTCTCACTACTTGGCGTATCTAGAGTGGAACCGGCGTCTTGGCCCACACCATCGTCGGACACAGGGGAAACGGCTTTGGTGTCCCCCACGGCAGCGATTTCAATGTCCCTCCAATCGAGGAAAGCAAGTGCATTGGCCCGGCGAATTCGATCGCGCATACCCGCCGTCCCGACGAGCGTCCTCAACCTAGCCAGATCAGCCGTCATAGTCGCAGGTGAAGACGAGCGGGAGCCCGACGAAGACCATCCGTCCGGTGCTGATCCATTCGAACTTGTTGCCGTGAAGGTCGGCGAAGGTGGTGCAGTTCCATGGGTCGCAGAAGCGGGTGCGTTCAGATCCTGGGACGCCTTTTCCGTAAAGAGCTCGTGCGGCAAAAGGTAGAGCGGCGATGGCCCGCGCTTGGCAGTAGCTCGGCCACGCACAGTACCACCGATTTGATGGTCCAGCGCAGCGGTCCATCTTACTCCGGCCGAGTCAAGTTGTGCGACGACGGCTTCAACGAGCGCGGACGTCTTCAAGGGTTTCGTGGGTACGGGGGCTGGTGGGAGGACCAGAATTGGGAACACCGGGATGACTTGAGCGACAATTCGCGCGAGTGCGATCTCGGCCGAGTTAGGGGCTATTTGTAGGAAATGCTCACCGTCAGTTCCGGATCACCAGAGATTGTCCACCATCGCATATATCCCGACAACTCACGAGAAGAAAACAACACCAAACACGCCTCGAAGTGACTCGTCCCAATGCGCATCACAAGTTCGACCAATTCCTCGCTCCGAGCCTGCGTCGGATTGATCAAAGCCTCCATACCTTCCAACGAGATCGTAATCGACCGCGCGACGTTCTCGACGAGCTCACGCATGTTGTCGTCGCTCGAAGGGTGGGAAAACTCGCAAAACTGGGATCGGTGGGAAAGAGCTTCGAGTGTATCGAGATCGCAGGCCCAGGGATGGCTCTGACGCGTCGACGATCTCGTGTGCGCGCCCCCGTGCTCGGACGTTCGGATGGACCAAAACGAGCTCGCCATCGAGTCGAGTTGCGAATCCGTTCGTTGAGGTGTATGACTGGCGGTGTTGTGTGCGATCGGGAGAGACGCCATCCCCAGCAGCCTCGCCAACGTGGCGCGATGTTCGACCGATTTGCCGAGAATGAGCAGCTTGGTCGCTTGGTGGCGATCGTGGGAGGACAGAGCATGCGAGGTGATCCTCCCCCCTTCATCATGCTCGTTCGAGTGATATGTCGAGACAGTCGACTCGCTCGAGCCGTACGTGGTAGCGCTGTGGGGTCCCGAGAGTCGCATCGAAGGCATGACGAGCATGTGCGCCCCGCCGAGGTGCTCGAACTCGCTGTTGAGGCTGCCGTTCGTACTCGCGATGCTCGTCGTATCGTCGCCGTCGCTCATCGCGGCACTCGCCTGTCGTCGATGGTGTCGATGCAAGAGCGCTTGCGCCAAGGGGTAAGACGTCCTCGTGGAGTCCGGGACGTGGTCGGGGTGGCTCGAGAGAGCCGAGCTTGCCGAGGCCGGCAAATATTCGTCAGGGGCGACCGTCGCAGAAGGGAACAGTGTCGTGTTGAATGGGTCATCATCATTCACATTCATCGATACCATCGGGGTGATGTCTTGATCGCTCGAGCGAGCTTCGATGGGCGACTGCGAGGATTCGATGATGGATGACTCGGTGCCTCGGTCGGCGTGATCCCGATCGCCGTTGAGGCTGGTGGTGCTAGTGCCAGGCGCGGTGCCATCGAAGCCGAGCTGTAACATGCTCTCGGGCAGTGGGGACCGCGTTGAAGCCGAGGACGAGGGGGTCGCAACCGAAGAGGACGAACTAATGCTACTGATGGACAAGCGCAGAGGGTCTTTGATCGACGCTTCTTCGAGGAGATCGGCCGTAGACGCTCGAACACTGGCAGCGTTGCTGGCCAAGGTCGTCGTGCTAGTGGAGGACGACGTCGACGACGACGACATGGACCCCGTCTCCGAAGGCGTCTCGTTCCCACCTTGTCGCATCTCGATCAGACTCGCATTCATGGAGAAAGACAGATCATCATCCTGAGAGACGTGGTCCCGTGTGTTTGCCATGGCGACGGCGTCGAAGGGGCGATAAGGCTTGGAAAGCGGAGTGGGACGTGTGGCGGTTTCGATTGATTGCTCCCGCGTTCGACCCCCACCCCGTGACTTGGTGGGAATGGGCGACGCGTGTCTCACGGGGGTCAGCCACTACGCTCGTCGCTCGAACGCGTTTGGGTGCAAGGAGAGGCGATGATCGGATGAAATGAACAACGTGTCGTTCCACCGCGTAGCAGTTCTCACCCACGAACTTGGGTCGCACGACTCGAGCAAGTAGGCTGAGGCTGAGGCGGCTGACCGAAGCGACCGACAGCGCGCGTTCGATTGTGGCCGAGGCTCGAAGAGGCCCGTGCTCCTTGAGACCCCGGCCCTCATTCTTGCTCGAGTTGCTTCAAGGCTGAGCATGTTATGCCCACGGTGGGATGAGCCGAATATTCCTGAAGATCAGCAACAGCTAGATTTTTTCCTTCTCCAGCACGATCGAAAGGGCAAACGCCAAATTTTCATGATGTTCCTAGCTCAACTCACGTCTACTGTAATCCCACGCACACTTCCGATTAGTCCGTCTCGAACGTATAAAACGCGGGCCAAAACCGCCTGCGCGAGGCGAAAAAAACCTGCGACGAGAAGCGACGAGAAGCGACGAGAAGCGCGGCGGGGCTGCTCTCGCCTGCCTGGCTGGTCGTAGGCTTGCTTGTTCTCGCTCTCCACATCGACTTCCCTCGTCAAGAGTTTAAGCGTAAAAGCAGATATCGGTTAGTCGGACATCCTCTTACATCACTCACGGATACATTCCTCGACTGCATCACATCGACGCTCGACATGGATGCTGGTACGACGAGGAGGCGAAGCGACGACTTGTCTGCCACGACCCAGCCCGCCGCAACTGCAGCCTACTGCAGCCGACCGCGCTCGGCTCAGCGCTCTCGACTTTTTTCCCGCACGATTTGGGGCCCGGGCGGGTCGGCCTCGCAGCATTGAGGACGGTGACGGAGGCGTGACTACGGTCGGGAGCATTCAAGGTGGTTGTTGGAAGGACCTTGTTCGAGACGGCTGGTGGACAAGAGGGCCGGATGGATGGGTTTGAGGTGGCATCGCGACGACACATCGCAGGCGGGCGCGCTGTCATGTGCGGAGCCGCAATCCCGACCCGGCCCAACCAACGACATCGAGCTCAACATTCGACGACGCAAACCCTCCCTTTGCTCATGCGCAGTGTGCTGACCCTTGTATACATTGTCTTATAATTAGATGAAGCACGTCGCCGCCTACCTTCTCCTCGTTGCCGGAGGCAACTCCTCCCCCTCCGCCTCGGACGTTACCGAGTTGCTCGCCACCGTCGAGTAAGCCCATTTCATCAGCCACGCTCCTCCCCCTCAAACCCATCACTAACTCCCTCGCCCTCTCTTTCGTGCGTAGCATCACCCCTGATGCCGAACGATTGGAGAAGCTCATTTCCGAGTTGTCCGGCAAGGACTTGAACGAGTTGATCGCCGAGGGATCGTCCAAGCTCGCGTCCGTTCCTTCCGGTGGTGCCGGTGGTGCCGTGAGTTCTCTCTACTTGACCCCCCCACAATTCCTTCACATCTGACCCCTTGCGATTTCCTTTTTGATGATGTTGAATCGATAGGCCGCCGCCGCCCCCGCCGCTGGTGGTGCCGCCCCCGCTGCTGAGGAGAAGAAGCCCGAGAAGGAGGAGGAGAAGGAGGAGTCCGATGACGACATGGGCTTCGGATTGTTCGATTAAATTTCCCTCGTTTCATTCTTGGGTTTGAGGAATATGAAACGAGGAGGGGAATCGGGACCTGGGCGTTCTGAGAAGGGAGTTTCGAGGCGTTATGGAGTCGGAAACCGGGGCAGGTTTTGTCCTTTCTAGTTTCGACTTGTAATGGTTGAATCTCTTCTCGGTCTCTTGGGCCTTTTTCTCTTCCAACCTTCAACACTTGTCCGCTACCCGAAATCAAAAGAGAGTATGAGGAAGGAGAATATGCTACGGTCCTTATTCACCGGACGTCAAACGGAGGTTCATTCATTTCGTTGCCCTCGACATCTACACATCCACCCACCCCACCTCCTCTCCTGATACCCCTCTTCAACCCATTATCCAATCACTCTACTCAACCTCTGCACACTGTTCAACACCAGATCGCCCTTCTTGATCACACTAGCGTACCTCGCATTCTTCGCGTCCGGTCGATTCGTTTCAACGACGCCGTTCACGCGGTCGATCGAACAGTTCAAGCGACCGGCGGAGATGAAGCGAGCTAGATCACTGTAGGATGAAGAAGTTCACGATGGGATTTGGCGGGAGGGGTTAGAGAGGTACTATTGATTGATGCGCGTGGTTGGGAGCGAACCGCGAGTAGAGAAACATGCTAGCTCTCTCGTGTGGAGATTCGGACTTACGCATCGATGAAGTCTTGTGAGACTCCGAAGGCGTTGGAGAGTGAAGCGAGCGTAACGGATCGGTACGATTCCAATAGTTGGGCATAGGCCTTGATGCGCATCTCGCGAACGTAGTAACGCGAATGCACGGACAGCAGGCGCGCGGGCAGTAGGTGCGATTCTTCGACGATGGCTAAGGGGGAAGATGAGGAGGGAGAGGACGTAAAAGTCAGTCATGAGGGGAGGGAGGCGGCGCAAAGGTTGAGGGTGTTGATGGAAGACTCACCGAGCGCTTTGAAGAAAGCGGCATAGTCGCATCGCCACAAGGACTCGCAGTAATCCTTCAACGTCGGTCGCGTCGGAATCAACGCGATCACCTCGGGAGCCTCGATGATCTGAGGAGGTACCAGGATCGACCCGATCAGTACCCAAGCCCGTCAAAGACAGTACGATCGCACCCACCTTTTTTTTTAGATCCTTGCGCTCCAACATCAAAGCACCGGAAAGGACGCAGAGCGCGACAAAGTCGTCGTAATCGATCAATTCGGTCGCGGTGAAGGTCGACAAGGTGTCGAGTAGCAACTGTCCACCTTTTTTGAAGTTGCGGATCGACAAGAGGTAGAGACCCTCGTAGGCCTTGAGACGGTTGCGTCGGTCCCAATCACCGCCTTCTTCGACGAGACTGGGTAGGAGAGGAGCGTGAGTGAGTGCGTTTCACTCCGGGTGGGGCTGCTTACGGCGTGGAACGCACATTCGGGTCTTTTCAATGTTGTCCTGGATGAGGCTGTGATCGCCGTGGAAGAAGCCGATGCGGATGATGGCCAAGCGCAAGTCGATCTTGGATCCTTTACCGGCGGTCTTGTCCAACGCGTCCAAGTGAGCCTTGACAGCGAGGTCCTGTGACGTTAATATACCAGTCGTAAGTTGCCACGTCGTACCGCATTCTATGATATAGGTGCCCCTTGCGCACCTTTTCTCCGATCCGAGCGAGGTACAACGCTTTGGCCTTGAGCGCGTCCGAGATCTCGGTTTCGCCGAGGTTGGTTTCGGCATCGGCGAGCTGGGCGTCGAGCGTTTCGAGGTGGTCCTTGTTGCGTCGTTGCAGTCGCTCGAGGAGGTCGGGTTGGGGAGGGAGGATGGCGGAGGTGGAGGAGGTCGATGCAGTGGACGAGGTCGAGGAGGACGTTGAGGGGGAGGTGGTGAGCGTTGCTAGCCAAGGTGCCATCTCTGTACGAAGGCACGAATCATCAACACCGAGTCTTGTCAAGCTTCAGCTAAAGGTCGACTGACCATCCTCTTCGATCGCTTGCAACAACGCCTTGCGAGTCGCTTCGAGGTCGGTTGTCGATGACGACGGGGATGATGACGACGACGACGACGACGAGGAAGCAGCCGCTCGGGAGAGGAGGAACGCCTGCTGCGCCAGCTTGAGGTTGGGGATGCATGCGACCTGGTCTTCTTGAGCGGGTGCTGTCGTGGTCGATGGTGAAGCCATGATGAAACAGGCGGGGTCGCAGGAGATGACGGAGCGAGCGAGAGTTGAGTCTAGTTCAGTGGGGCACGCGCGTTCCCGAGTCTCTCCTACGCGCTTGCGTGGCTCTGCGTGGCTCTGCACCTGTGTTGCTGCTGCTGTTGCTGCTGCTGCTGCTTGACTCTAACCCTCGCTTCCCAACCGCCTCCCCCGATCATCGATTGGTCACCCACACCCTTCCCACCATGTCCTCCTCCCCCACAGCCACGACCTCGACGCCGGCTCGTACAGAGGAACAACTGCGAGCGATCCTCGATCAACGCGTCGTCGACGGTCAGTCCGCACGCGCACGCGCACCTGCACCTCACTCGTACGACCCAGTCCCGCCGACTCACACCTCCTATCCCTGTCCTCCCCTAGGCCCGCAGGATGACCAGCTGCTCCGAGAGAAGGAGACCGCCATCGTAGAGCTCGGTCAGCTGTACAGCGCTCGACAGTGAGTAGTAGTAGCTCACACCCCGTCCTCGTCATCGGCTAGTTGAGCTCACCTCACTACATCGACCGACTGCACACAGGGATGCGACCGCCTTGGCTCAGGTGATCCGAGACTCGACTTGGTTGATGCAGCACCTTGCCAAAGCCAAGACCGCCAAACTGGGTAGGCATACTCTCCCGTAGCGAGCAGGCCCCCACTCAGCTGGGCTCATTCTCGCTCTCTCACACAGTCCGAACCCTGTTGGACCAATTGAGCGCAATCCCCAACTCGTCTGCACTTCAAATTAAAGTCACCCAAGAGAACGTCGACTGGGCCAAATCCGAGAAGCGCATCTTCCTCAAGCAGAACCTCGAGACTCGATTGATCGCATTGTCAGTCCCCACTCGATCGGGCTGTCAACCGAGCGACCACCCCTGATCCAACGCCCCTCCCCCCTCTCAGATACATCGACAACCAAAACTACAAGGATGCGTTGGCCTTGATCACGACCTTGCTGAGGGAACTCAAGAAGCTCGACGACAAGATGGTCCTTACCGAAGTCCACCTCCTCGAATCGCGCGTCAACCACCTGCTCGCCAACATGCCCAAGGCAAAGGTACGCCATCACCAAAGACGTATCCTTGACGATCAAGTTGACACGGTGTGTTCGTTCCGCTTCCGCTAGGCCGCTTTGACCTCGGCACGAACGGCGGCCAACTCGATCTACTGCCCGCCGTTGTTGCAAGCTCAGCTCGATATGCAGTCCGGTATTCTCCACGCCGAGGACAAGGATTACAAGACCGCGTAAGCCACCTGCCCTGTTTGTTCTCGAGATGTCCTGCGCTCACGCTCGCAATCTCTACCCTCGACAGCTTCTCCTACTTTTTTGAGGCGCTCGAAGGCCTGTCCAGTCAGGACGATCCCAAAGCCCCCGCCGCATTGAAGTACATGCTCATGTGCAAAGTCATGCTCAACTTGGTGTGTATCTGATTCCTCCAGATCTACTGGAAGCGCAGTTAGCTGAAGAGCCCGAGTTGTGTGCACAGCCCGAGGATGTGACGTCCATCATCGCCGGTAAACTCGCACAACGATACGCTGGGCCTCAGGTCGATGCGATCAAGGCTGTCGCAAAGGCGCACGAGGACCGAAGTCTGTCCGACTTTGAGCGGTTGTTGAAGGAACACCGGAAAGGTAGGTCCAAAGACAAGGCCGAGGCCGGGCAAAGAGTTTTTGGATTCTAATCAGGACCCTACTTTTTCGATCGTCCAGAACTATCGGACGACCCCATCATTCGCAACCACCTTTCGGCACTTTACGACACCCTGCTCGAACAAAACCTCGTACGTATCATCGAACCCTTCTCCCGCGTCGAGATCAGCCATATCGCCGAATTGGTCGGTCAACCCGTACGCGACGTCGAGGCCAAGTTGAGTCAGATGATCTTGGACAAGGTGTTTGATGGGATCTTGGATCAAGGGGCCGGGTGTTTGATCGTTTGGGACGAACCGGAGGTGGACGTGAGTTTCGTGAATCCTCGTGGTCAAGGTCGGGATTTGAGGGTTCTTACTAATGCCTTTTTCACCCCGTGGTTGTCTATATCAGAAAACATACGACGCGACCTTGGAGACGCTGGGACACATCTCGCAGATTGTCGATCAGCTCTTCACTCGAACAAGAAGCATGTAGTGATTTTTGAGAAGTGTCTGATTGCAATCAGTCACGTCACGATTTTTGAGAGAGATGAATTCCGCTAGAGATCCCCAGGGATTCGAGAGGTCACTGCTGAAGGCCAAAAATTGAGGCACGCTCGGGAGAAGGGGGGGGGACTGACTCGAGTCGGGATGAAGTGGTAAAATCGCCAAGAGACCAAATTTGTTCTGCATGGTTCCTTGCCTGGGTGTCACGGTCCGATGTGCCCGCATGCATGAAACGAGTCAGGCGAGTCAGGATCGAATGCTGATCAAGCAAAGCGCTCCCGAGTCCTGCGAGGGGAAATGCGATTTGTTTTTTGACCAATTTCGGACCGAGGCCCCGAGCCAAGAGCGAGGATGAATTTCGTCAGCGGGCCGCGCTCGGCGCGCCAGACAGCGCCAGACAGGCCGACGAACTGGCACGAACTGGCCGGGCCCAATCGCTACATTGCTGCCTTGCCACCCCTCCTTGCCTCCCTCTTCTTCTCCTACCCCGACCCCGCCCCATTCCCCCGACAACTTCTTTCAAAATGTTAGTACGCTGCTCTGTACGAGACCTTTGGATCGGACTGGACGTCGGAGGAGGGACTAGAGGCCTCTTTGGGAGCGGCAGCGGTACGCCCTGGTCTTCCTGGCGTGCTCAGCAGCCCAGGGTCGCCTCGTCTCGTGCGCGCGCGCGCCGGCCGTTTTTTTGCGTCGTCGAGCCGCTGGGCGGCGTCGAGGCACGGTCAGCTGCGATGGGCTGGGGGATCAGTGCTGGCTTGACTGGGTTGCAAGAGTTTGGGTTTCATGAAGGTCATCGTTTGGAGGATGGGGATGGGATGCACGTCGTCCGGCGGAGGGTCTGGGATGGGATGACGGGATGACGGGGGACTGAGCCGCTGTGGGTGTGAGGCTGCGATTGCTGACCAACGTCTCTTTGAACCTCTTTTCCCCCCTCTTCTGCAAACTCCCATCGATCGCCACCACCCTCTACGATATTTGATTCGCGTCCACGACACAATCTGGACTCGTAATTCTCTCCGGGACCCCTCTGGGTGACGCTCTGCATCCGCGATGATCTCTCCGCACCCAACCCGCTCGCGCTCTCACGCCCTACGCCCTCACCCGCACGCCTACGACGACGACGATGCCCGTTGGCTCACTTACGCCCCGCTCGTACACTCATATTGGACATACTCTGTTGATATCGCTTTGAACCGATCCTCTACTGCGCTTCACGGCACAATAGGGGACGACGACCCGCACGCTGCTACAGGTACTGCAAGAACAAGCCGTACCCCAAGGTCAGTCATCCGATGGAGATACCCCACCGCAGCGTTTTGCGTCACAAGAAACTGACGTCGGTACGTTCCCTCGTTGGACTTACAGTCGAGGTACAACCGTGGTGTCCCCGACCCCAAGATCCGGTGAGTCGGCATTGGAGAAGCACGAGCACAGAGTCTAGAATTGAGCGAGCTTACTGACCTCCTCTTTCTGTCCCTGCCACCTCTCAGTATCTTCGATCTCGGTCGCAAGAAGGCCTCCGTCGATGACTTCCCCTTCTGCTGCCACCTCGTTTCCAACGAGTACGAGCAGCTCTCGTCCGAGGCGCTCGAAGCCGCTCGTATTTGCGCCAACAAGTACGTCGTCAAGACCTCGGGCAAGGACTCGTTCCACTTGCGCGTGCGCGTGCACCCCTACCACGTCATCCGTATCAACAAGATGTTGTCCTGCGCCGGCGCCGATCGACTGCAAACCGGTATGCGAGGCGCGTGGGGCAAGCCCTACGGTACCGTCGCCCGAGTCAACATTGGGCAAATCATCATGTCGATCCGTTGCAAGGACTCGAACAAGGCCGTCGTGATGGAGGCGTTCCGTCGTGCGCAGTACAAGTTCCCCGGACGCCAAAAGATCATCGTGTCCAAGAAGTGGGGCTTCACCTCGTTGGCGAGGGAGGAGTACGTCGCGCAGCGTTCGACCGGCATCATGAAGCAGGATGGGTGCTACGTTCAGTACATCACCCCCAAGGGTCCTCTGGAGGAGAACCTCCGAACCTTGGAGCGCATCGCCGCCGCCAACTAAAAAAACGTTCTCTCTTTACGAGGTTCGAGTTTTGGCTACGCAACGCATTCCGGGCAAGGATCAAGTGGAGAAATTGACCGGAGGACGAAGAGGCTCTGGGGCGTGTCACTCGAGAACGTGGTAGTCGCTTCTCTTATGTCCTCTTTTTTTGAAACACAAAAATCACTTTTTCCGCTTGTCGTTCTTTGGTTTGAGGACACGTTGAGGTACCTTGGAGAGTGCGAACTCGGGCCTCGTCTCAGAAGACTGCTTCATAAGGGATGAGAAAGCACTGGTGCCGAAGGGCGGCTTGAGAGATGAGAGCACGAAGTAAGTTCGCTCGAGGGGGCGCTTTTTGTTGTGATTCATGTTCGTTCGAGGTCAGACTGCTCCTCGGACTAGTGGAACATAATCATATTCTGATTGAGTGACCTGCACTAAATGGCCTGACCCCTTATTAGACGTGCTGAGCATAAAGAACAACCTCCCAAAAAAGCACAACTACAACAAGATCCATTCACCGAAATACAAAGCTCCGCCCCAGACTGGCCACCCTATCCAAAACCATACCCCTTATGCCATTTGTCTCCCCACCGAGTCGCCTCACACCTTGGACCGTAAATCTGATTGCGAAGTCTCAATTCGAACTTCGCATCAATCAAGGTCGATCTACTGTTCTGCACGAGGACAATCAACCTTGCATCGATTTGGCGAAGAATCCTGGAGCTCGAGGTCGTACTCGCCATTGGAATGTGCATCATTTCTATCTACGCGAACGAATCGAGGTTGGCGATATCGATCTCCGCTACTGTCCGACCGATCTGAACACGGCCGACATTTTGACAAAACCCCTATCCAAGCTCAAGTTCCCTACGCATCGCGAAGGACTCGGGATGGTCTGGCTGGCTACCTTGGCATGTGGGAGTGTTAATTGATATGTGTCTGTGCCTGTGCCTGTGGTATCTGCGCGAGGTGCGCGTGTGTTTAGTCATTAGTCACTTTGGTATTGGAGTTTGATCTGTTTAAGTTAGGGAGCGCGCGGGGCTTTCTTCCCGCGCGGCTGTTTACTCTTGGTAGCTTTCTCATCACTCGCTCTACATTGTGGTCCTGACTTCTCGGCGTCGTGCACCCTCACCTATCGGAAGGCTTTACTTCCGCGCTCGCATCTTTTCTGCGATAGGTTATGAGCCCAACGGGTAGCGTAGGAGGCCCGGGCCGGGGTCAGCAAAGCGATTCCCATCGCACCACCATCGGAATGGACACCGATACACCCTCCACCGAAACGAGTGATCGTGGAATACATGTCCCAATTCTTCGCGCCACAAACTACATGGATTGGCGTCGACGTCTGATTGGTCGTCTTGTTTACAAGGAGTTGCATCTTTGCGCATCGAGGCCGTTGAGCGTCGCTGCGGAGGCCGTTCTTCACGTCGCAATCGACGATCGATCGCGCGGCTTCCACTCGCCACTCGAGCGGCTCGACTTCGCATCTATGGACGTGAAGATCGCCAAGGAGCGTTCGAAGTCATCGGCAGCCCCTGCTATGGTTGCGATGAACACCCACCATTCCCTTTACCTTGCTGATTCTTCCTCGAGAGCTCGCGATACCGATTTCGTTTGGATCGCGGATACCAGAGCTGGTCACCACTTCGTTGGCGATCGCTCGCTGCTCTCGGACTTCAAAGAATCCCCGATGCAAGTCCAGATGGCCGGCAATTCGCTTGGTCAAGCCACTGGATACGGGCGAATGTTTGTTAAGACTTCGCAAGGTCTCTTTCTCGAGTTCAAGGAGATGTACTACCTCCCTGGATCGAAGTATGGTCTCATCTCAATGTCGTCGCTCCGCGCTGGAGGCGCGAAATTGGTTTATGGCCATGGGGGAGATACTCAACAGGTTTGGCTTGACGGCTCTTTCGTCGCCGAAACTGTCAAGACGAAGGCCACGAGACCAAATTACGTCTTCGACTTTGAGGTCGTTCCTCCACCCTCGCCTGTGCTCGTCGCCACTACCCGTGCCTCCGTTGGAGCTTCGCTCATGGAATGGCATCGGAAATTCGGACACATGGCACCTTCTTCAATTCTTCGTCTCGTCAATTCCAAGGCTGTCGTTGGAATTCGTCTACTCGACAAGAAGATTGAAGACTGTGAGCCGTGCATTATCGCGAAGGCGCGCCCGGGCCCTCACAATCATGTCAGTCGAAAACCCGGACATGTTCTTCAACGGGTTTCGATCGATCTGGGATTCGTCAACGATGACGATACCAAGGGATGATCCATCTACATGGTTATCGTCGACCAACTTTCAACCTATAAGTGGGCTTTTCCATTTGGTTCGAAGTCGGCATCTGAAGTCCTCGAGGTTTGGCGCGGCTTTCAAGCGCAGGTCGAGAGGCAGTCCGGTCAGAAGATCAAGTTTGTTCGTTCTGACAATGGAGGCGAGTTCGTCAACTAACTATTTGGCGACGAATTCAAGGCACTTGGCATCACCCAAGAACTGGCTGCACGCTACACGCCGCAGCAGAATGGTCAAGCGGAGCGCGCGAACGGCTCTCTCTTCGCGCTCGTCCGTGCCATGCTCAAAGACTCCGGACTTCCCAAGAAGTACTGGTCCTACGCACTTGAAGCGGCTGTTTTCGTTTCCAACCGCGGTCCTCACCCGCATCTCAAGGGCAAGACTGCTTTCGAGGTCTTCTTTGGCAAGCAACCCGACGTTTCGCATCTTCGCGCATTCGGATCTACTGCCTACGTTCTCGTCCCCAAGGCGATTCGTAAGAAGCTCGATGACCATACTGTCAGGGGTACTTTCCTCGGCTATTCGGGGGAGTACAACTCGAACACGGTCGGTCTTTCAAGATCGTCGTCTCTTCCGATGTCACCTTCTCCAACGAGGCTCCTTCGATCGCGGACTCGGCTGTCGAGCCTCGCATCTACGAAGTTGAACCTCTACAGGAATATGAGTTAGTACACCAACTGCCGTTTCCTGGCTTGGAGCAGATTCCGGCTTTACGGCCTGCTCCCCTTCCTGAGGCAGGTTTGGCTTTTCAGCCTGCGATCTTTCCCGAGGCAGAAGTTCCGGCTTTACGCCGGGCCTGCGCTCGTACCGAGCTTGGTCCGGCTTTTCGGCCAGCTCCCGCTCCTCTTCCTCGTTTTCAACATGTGGACGATGACGACGTTGCTCCTCCTCCTTTACCGGCTGTCGGCCCGTTGGCCGAAGACGCTGAAGTTGAAGAGGACCCGATCGATCTTCGACGCGAGGAAGCTGTTGAGGCTATCAACAGTGACGATGACGACGGCCCTGCGGAACACGGTCAACCATTAACTCCTGAGGATGGTTACGAGTATTGATCTTACCGTGTCGGCCGCAACCCCGGTGCGCTCGAGAACGTCGATGCAGGCAATATTTTACCGACTCGCCTGCGTGCTCAACGTCGTACAGGCGCCCTTCGTGTCGTGTCTACTCGCTCGGTCTACCGTCGTCTACCAGAGCTCATTGCTATGGTTTCGTCTCGTCACCCCCCGCTTCCCAAGACGTTCGCGGAAGCGATGGCCTCTCCTGAGGCCAAACACTGGATGCCCGCTTCTGACAAGGAGTTGGGCTCATTCAAATCGCACAAGGTCTTCAAGCTTACGAGGTTACCCACCGGGGCTCGCGCCCTGGGCTATCGTTGGGTGTTCGCTCGGAAGGAAGACGCTGAAGGCAACATCATCAGCTACAAGGCTCGTCTCGTCATCCAAGGCTTTGCTCAACGACTTGGGATTGACTACAACGAGGCGTTTGCTCCTGTCTCGTCGATCACGACGATCTTGTTTCTCATCGCGATTTCTGGCGCTCTCGGACTCGTCCTCGAGCAGTTCGACTATGATTCTGCGTTTCTCAACGGGATCATGGAGGAGGATGTCTACATGAAGGTTCTTGAAGGATGGACTGGTGGTTCTCAGCCCGGTCACGCTCTCAAGCTTCTCAAATCCATGTATGGCACCAAGCAAGCTCCTCGGCAATGGAGCGACTTGCCATGATACTTGAAGTAGAGACAAGCATCGACATTGGAGCGCGTATAGCCGCGATCCGTCATCAGCTTGTGGAGAGCCGCGTTCCATTGCCGAGGAGCTTGCTTGGTGCCATACATGGATTTGAGGAGCTTGAGAGCGTGACCGGGCTGAGAACCACCAGTCCATCCTTCAGGAACCTTCATGTAGATATACCGTTGTTCGTGACCGTGTACCAAATCACGTTGTCGATGATCGAATTCGTACCCGTGAAATCGGACCTTCGTCGAGCGAGCAGACACGATCGTCACGGTGATTATCGGATCAGTACCGGCCATCATGAAGAGCCAAGTTGAAACGGCCCAGGAGACACGAGCCTCGACGACGGGCCAAATCGCGTGCTCGAACGCGAAACCGGTCGTGAAACAGCCGACGCCGAGTTGGACCAGCGTCAGAAATTCGACCAAGAGGGGGAGAAGGATTGAACGTTTCGAAAGGATGTATATGCGGTACGCGCAGAAGGTCTGCAAGTTGGGGTTCGGTGTAGGCCTGGGGCTTAGTCGTTTCGGTTCCGGGTCGCTGCGCACCCGTTAGGATCGATCGAGCTCCTGGGATAAGACTTGCCTGGACGATGGCTGCGACGACGGCACTGCAGATGGCACGATGTGACGAGTCTGTCAGTCTCAAATTATATCCAGTATTCGAGGTCAGCTTGTTTACACTCACGTTGTGACGGGGTCCAGGACATAAGACCAATGAATAATGCGCAGGTTCCTCGGTATGTCGTAGTTTTGAACGAGGTTGTTGTACACGCCCACAACGTTGAAGCAGGTATGGCAAGCGCCGATCAGGCCAACGATTAACACCTGTGCATATACATTTAAGCATCAACCGTGTCAATAAACACTGTTAACGTATATCGGAGCCATGCAAGCGCAAGAGACTCCTGGTGGCACGCGGTCGGGCTAGCCAACGCCCTCGGAGCCAGCTCCGGCCACCGCGGAGAAGGCTTCAATAAGCTCGGTCTCGGAGGAGACCCAGTAGTGACTGACCACAGGAACCTAAACCTGAAACCACTCGTTTCACCTAGGTAGATGGGAAAGCTGGACAGCTCACTTGAAGTAGGTCTTAGACTTGCTCGATGCGGTCGAAATGGGAGGAAATCCCTTGTCGTTCGTGCGCGGCCGCTGCCACGACGCTTGCGCTAAATAAATCGGAAGTACGCAGGTGCTTTTCCCTGCCACAAAAGCTTGAGAAATGCGATCTCCACAACCCAGACTCTAGCACGGTCATATGTGAAAGACCAGGGGGTAATCGAGGATCGAGGTTCCGACCGTTTGAAGATTCGTTTGAATTATCTCCGCGGTGGCCGATCAAATTCGAATTCCGAATTGCCATGGTTGAACGTACGTCGTCGCCTGGGCGGTGCTCCCTCCCGACAAGAGGCGAGAAACTTCATCCTCTCCCAACCTAGTGTTCTGTACAACCTATCATGGGTGCGGTGCAAAGCCAACGTGGACCCCCGCGAACGAACGAACTCTTGTCGAGCCAGGTACGACCAAGGTTTTCCTGCAATTGGGTACCGTCGACTTCCGACGCCCGTCATTGCGGATCAACAGTGCCTATCTGCTGAAACTACTTAGCGAAGAAAATCATGGTCCATTCCGCTCAAGGTCCTCCGATCGCTTATCGATTCGACCCCGCCTGAACCAGTGAGAAACCCCAGCTCAAGGAGAGTCCCTCCCCTACTGCTACTACCCTAGGACGGCCAAACCGGTCCGGAGTCTTCCGGAGTCGCTTCTCTCCGCGCTTGAGGCGAAGCTTTCGTCTCCCCCTTCGACTCTCGACCACGGGAATCAATTCTGCATAAAGCCAAAACGAGTCTTCATTCTCACCGCCACACACCCCTCTTTTACACCTGAAAGACAATAACACTACCCCCCCCCCCCCCATTCTACGCTACTTCATTCCTTTCCGCCCAACTTGCCCTCCACATCCTTGCCCATCCTTACCCCGAATCACCCCTTTCCAAGACTGATCGTCCCTTCGCTGACAAGAAGAACCGTCCGATGAACAAATGAGAAAAGAGAGACAAAGAGGATCTTGTGAGAAGGAAGTCGGGTTCTGGAGAAAGGATGTTTCAATAGGGTTTGGGAAAAGGACACGGCGGAGGTCCAAATTCTCGCTTCACATTTGCAGTTTCTGATTCTTTTTTTTTGATTCTTCGAAACCCTCTTTGATTTCCATAAAATGCGCGACACAAAAAAAGAGAAAGGACACACTAGGTTTTGCACGAGGTGACAAGTTTTTCTGTGTGGAAGATTCTAAGCCGAGACAAATGAGGTGACGTGGTCGCTGACAACCTTCTTCAATTGGGCGTCGATCTCGGGCGTCATCTTACCCTTGGACACTTCGTCCAAGAGCGACTGTTGCGAGCTCTTGAGGTGGTCGATGAAGGACGCCTCCCATTTGCCAATGTCGTTCACCTGCACTCGATCGAGCAGACCGTTGACACCGGCGTAGACGATCGGCACCTGAAGCTCGATCGCCATGGGTTGGTATTGGCCTTGCTTGAGCAACTCGGTCAAACGCACACCACGGTTGAGCAAGAAGCGCGTCGAGGCATCGAGATCGGAACCGAACTGGGCGAAGGCGGCAACATCACGGTACTGAGCGAGGTACAGCTTCAACGAACCGGCGACGGCCTTCATGATCTTGGACTGAGCGGCGGAACCGACGCGCGAGACGGAAAGACCGACGTTGATGGCGGGTCGGATACCCTTGAAGAAGAGCTCGGCTTCCAAAAAGATCTGCGGATGGGAAAATTTGAGATCAGCACTCGTCGTACTAAAGCAAGTCGAGCAGCTTTACAGATGAAACTCACTTGACCGTCGGTGATGGAAATAACGTTGGTGGGAATGTAAGCGGAGACATCACCACCCTGGGTCTCAATGATGGGGAGGGCGGTGAGCGATCCACCTCCGTGCTTGTCGGAGAGCTTGGCCGCACGCTCGAGGAGACGCGAGTGCAAGTAGAAGACATCTCCGGGGTAGGCCTCACGCCCGGGGGGGCGACGGAGCAAGAGCGACATCTGACGGTACGCGACGGCCTGCTTGGACAAGTCGTCGAAGATGATCAAGGCGTGCTTGCCGTTGTCACGGAACCATTCGCCGATGGCGGTGGCCGAGAAGGGGGCAAGGTACTGCAGGGGAGCGGCCTCGGACGCGGTGGCGGCGACGACAACGGAGTACTTGAGCGCACCGTTCTCCTCGAGCGTCTGCACGAGCTGCGCGACGGTCGATCGCTTCTGGCCGACGGCAACGTAGACGCAGTAGAGCTTCTTGCTCTCGTCAGCGCCATCGTTCCACTTCTTCTGGTTGAGGATGGTGTCGATCGCGACGGCAGTCTTGCCGGTTTGACGATCACCGATGATCAGCTCACGCTGGCCACGTCCGATGGGGACCATGGCGTCGACGGACTTGAGACCCGTCAGCATGGGCTGCGAGACGGATTGACGGGGCAAGACACCGGGGGCCTTGACCTGGGCACGTCGACGCTCGGTCGACTTGATGGGACCCTTGCCATCGATGGGGTTGCCGAGGGCGTCGACGACACGACCGAGCATGGCGGGGCCGACGGGAAGATCGACAATGGAACCGGTTCGCTTGACCGAGTCACCTTCCTTACTGCGGGTTGTGGAACAAGCGGAGAGGATGGCTCAGAGACGCGGTTGCGATGTGCGAGCACGGCCGAGTGTCCCGCCGGGCCAGACCAGCAGCAACGTGGCCGGCGCTCGGTCGTGATGATTACGCGTCAACTCACATGAGACGATCGTTACCGAAGATGGTGACACCGACGTTGTCTGAAAGAGGACAGAATTTACAGCGCAAATCAGTCGTGGGTCTTCAAGATGCGAACCTCCGCCAGATGGGATCGGGTGCCGTCGCGCGTTGGCACGGGCGGAAGCATACGGCAGGGGGGTGGACTACTGACCGGCTTCCAAGTTGAGGCACATGCCGCGGATACCGGACGAGAATTCAACCATCTCCTCGGCTGTAGGTCAATCAGCATCGACATCGTGGTTAGTACGGGGGGCGAATGCAGGTGGAAGATCCGCCGCGGGTTGGCGAACGGACGGGCGCGGCGGCGGGTGGGAAGCGGGTAGGATGCGCTGGGACCGACTGCCACGCCGTTCGGGCGCAGGACGGCCGTAGCGAAGCGGGAAGCGGCAGGCGGCAAGCGGGAAGCGCAGGGCCGACCCGCACGCGCGCGAATCGGCCAGCGTGCCAACCAGCCAGCGAGCCAGCGAGAACGAGCGCAGCCAGCGGGATAAACGACGCACCTTGAACGTTTCGGAGGCCGTAAACACTGCATCGTCGACACACCGCGTCAGTGCACCGAGCTCGATGAAAGGTTCGATCCTGCTCAACTTACCGAGCAATACCGTCACCAATGGTCAAGACGCGACCGGTCTCCTGGACATCAGCTCCGCCCGACGAGCCAGAGATGCGCGATTCGAGGATCGAAGCCACTTCCGAAGCCGCTGCAAGGGGTCAAGGCGTTAACGAGCGCGGTCAGATCGACGTTCCACGCCAGACGACGCCGTAGACGGTATAAGGACTAACCAGGCTTGGCGGTGGCGTAGGACCTCAGGCCAGTGACGGCCGAGGTGCGCTGCACAGATCGGGGGCCCACGAGCACGCATACCCTCGTCGTCAGCATCCGCACGTATTCCCAACATCAACATCACACCAGCTCCGACGATCCCTCGATTTGAACGGTTGCGTACTCACCGTAGCAGCACGAACAGAGAAGGCGGCGCGGGAGAGCATCCTGTAACGCGTGTGAGGGGGGGAAACGGGGGAGGATGCGGGCGTGGGTCAGAGGGGGAAAGGACCCAGCAGCCCCCAGCAGCCCCCAGCAGCCCCCAGCGGGTGCAAGCCAGCGCGAGCGAGGGCGAAAACCGATTTCGCCCGGCCCGGCGAAGGTACGACGCTGGGCTGCTCGCACCCAAACAGCTCGGCTCACGATCCCCGGCCCGCGCTGGTCGGGCGGGGTGGCAGCGGCGGCAATGAAAGCTGATATCTACAACATGGGTGAGCCAAATGATCACGTTGACCCCAATAACTTTTCAAACCTTTTTTCAAACCATCAATGCAATGGCTTTGGCCATGGAACGTTCCGATGCTCTCCCCCGGGCGGAACCATCAGACCGAGCACGTTCCTGCGAATTCCGAAACTCGACAACCCCAAACAAAAATTGCAGTGCTACCATAAAGTATAAAGTACGCACACCTCCTATGAAAAGGCAGGTCGAAAAGAGTTTACTGGATCGACAGGGGTAAATCAAGCTCCTGTCGGAGGGGCCTGTTTTGGAGGGGGTGTAGGAGGCACCATCGCTTGAGAACCTTGACCGGCGGGGTTACGATTATTGTTCAATTTCGGTCCAGACTATCGAGTGAATCAAAATTAATGATCAGATTTGGTCCAATGCGACGATAGAGGGAACGCCCTGTTGATTCACGATGCCGACTGCTCCCCCGAAAGACTGACCATCAAGATCCTCAACGCCCTAATCTGCAACGCCATGCAACCCCCCAAAGTTGCCGCATCATACACCAACGCCGCCATCCCACTCGTGCCTCCTTCCTTGTGCCGATCCAAAACCTCATGCAACGCATGCGTCACCAAAGCCCTGAGCGCCTTATCATCGTACGTTTTCGCAAAGATGAGGAGGGCGGAGAGGACGGGCGGATCGAGTTGGAGGGGTGTGGACAGGTTCAGGGTGTAGAGGTATTGGAGGTAGGCTTGGACGACGATCGAAGGTTCTGGCAGATCCAACGTCCGAGGCGATAACCTCAATTCCGTCGTTGATGATAACGCAATTTCGGAAGCGCGAACGAGTAAAGTATCGTCCTCCCCACCGCCGACGAGATTGTGATTCGTGGGATCGTCCGAATAATCGCCGTTACTACTACTGCTATTGAGAGTACGGGCCGCATCGACTCGACGTTGTTGAGCTGCCATCATCCCCTTGGCGCGGAGCTTGAAGTCGTCGAGTTGGGATTTGAACCAAGGCCATCGATCGACGAGAAGCGTGCGCGAACAACACAGCCGAACGCCGTCACTGCAACGTAGTTCAAAGTCTGAGAGATGGGGTTGCGAAAGCGTCATCAAACCCAGTGCTTGAGCTAGAGGGGGTAACACCCTCGGGGGTGGCTGATACACGCCAAAAGCCTCGAGGTCGACAAACGCGAGGTGCGCGAAGTTCGTTTGACGATGGTCGTAATCGATCGCGATGTCGCGTTCCCGATCCCCAATCACGACGACGCTGTTGCCCCACACCAGTGCGCGGTTCCAACTCCCTGTGCTCAAGACACTCCCTGGTTCGATGCGAGACCAAGTCAAGGGTTCTTGCGCAGCCGCACGAGCTGCGAGTCCACTCGCTCCACCGGGACCGAGGTCCAAAGACCAGATGGAGAAGTTGTTGACAGTTTGGGAGAGAAACGTGCCAAAGATGAGGAGGTGGTGACCGACGATCTTGCCAGTAGGGAAACGTAGACCCGGAGGTAAGGACGTGCCGCCCATCAAGCTCGAGAGCGAGGTCGCCGAAAGCGACTCGTCGGCTTCGGTCGGCGCGACGAGTAGATCTAAATTCCTTCGCACTTGGGCAAAGTTGAAATTCGAGAACAGGAGCAGGGGTTGGGGCTTGGAAGAGTCGAGACTTGTCGAGTAGCTCAATTGACGCATCGATTCGCCACCTAGTGCCAGCTCGTCCGATGCCTCAGTGCCCGTCACGGTCTTTTGTGAAGCGTGCTTCTCGTCCTCGTTCAGGACCGCTGGTGCACCATTGATCGAAGTGGAGAACGAAGTCGCAGGATGAATCTCTTTCGTAGCACTTGTCACGACGGCCCGATACGTTCCGATATGTCGATCCCACGTACTGGACCGGACCCAGGTGAGCGAGCCCAAATCGAGCACGCTCATCGAGTGAAGATCTGTGAGCTCGGAGAGCTGGTCAGTCTTCAAGGACTTGCTGACAAGTTCAACGCTCAGACTCACAGGTATTCTTGACATCCTGCCCACCCATGATGACCATCACCTGCTTATCCCCTCCCGTCTCCTTCGATCCCCCTCCAACACTGGTGATACAAGCCAGATGAGCATACCTCGCTTCTGGACCCTCTACCCCTGGTGCACATTTGATCTCTGGCATCTCCCACACCTTCTTTTCGATGTCCCAAATGCATACATCGCCCAAAGTGAAGAGCTCGCCGAAGCCATCGTTCGAATCCCCATCGGCTCCTGATCCTCCAGTGTCTTTCGAGCCCGCTTCCGAATCGGCAGGTACGGGCGAATACCCTTCACCGAACGCAACAACAATTTTCTTGCCCCACGCTTCGGCGGAATGGAAGTACCTGGGTGCAGGTCCTCGACTCGAAACATCGGCGAAAGCTTTGAGTGTGGTGGGTGAATTCGGATCGGGTTTTTCGGCGGTGGAATCGATACCGTTTTCGGTTGATCGGGATGGAGGCCAGAGGAGTTGCCATTCGAGGGTTCGTAGGGAGAGGGAATAGAGCGTATCGACCATGGTTCGATTAGGGACCAAGCGGCCTCCAAAGACGTAGGCGTGGTCATCGATCAGGGTGATGGAGCAGCCGACCTGAGGGGAGAGGGAAGAGGATACGTCTTCCACGCTTGGTCTAGAGATCGCTACAACTCTCTGAGCTCAACAAAGGTAACTTACGAGTGGTGGCGGTCTTCTCCCCGTTGTTCTTCGACATGTGGCGGTCAAATCGGCCAACGTAGCTGATTGAGCTGCAGCTTGGATCGGCACGGACCCACGACGACCGGCTGAAGCGGTCATGCTTGAGTGTGAGACTCGCTTGTCTTGACGCGGCCTTTTCAACCGCGTCCAGCCTGTGGTACGGGAAGGCTCTTCTCGTATGACTAGAGGTGTGAACGGAACAAGGATGTCAGTGCGCATGCCCAACCTTGACGCGAGTTGCTCGACCCCAGAGGCCCGTGCACGCAGTCGGGCCGTGGAGCTCGGGTGGTGCACGGGCATGACCCCCGTGAGACTAAGCGTTTCCTATCACATCACGATCCACGAGGGTAAATGAGCCCTCACGGGGGATGCCTCTGACAGAGTGCCAGTAGGCCGTGGCCGACCCTGCCTGCCAGCCTCGTGCGGGTGCCCCACACCACGTGATCCTTGCCTGCTTGTCGACCTCAATCACTCCGACGAGCCTGTGTTTCGCGAGGAAGTAGCGAGGCCCAGTCACTGACCACTAGCAATCCACTCTTCTGTCCAAGTCGTTGTCGTTCGCGCCCGCCTGTGTTGAAGTCTCCTCCTGGACGGAGGTGATGGAACGCGGTCAACCCCTGAAGCAAGCTGAAAAGCGGCGCGCTCCTGCCAGCCTGACGGAATCCTGTCAGACCCTGTCAGACCCGGACTCGTGTCTCTTTTCCTTCGCATTCTTGTTCCGGAGAAGGTCCTAAGTAGTTTTTTTTTTCATCAGCGCCAATTAAATCTTACAACAATATTACCCAAAACAAACCCAAAGCCCATCATTCCCTCTCCCGTACTTTTCCTTTAACCGCCTCGGCACCCTCCCCCCCCATCCCATCTTAAGCATTCCACAAATGCACTTCCTGATCCCACGAACAAGTCGCCACCACCCCCTCCTCGAACAAGCTCCAACTCTGCCCTACCACAAACTCCGTATGCCCATCATAAATCCTCATCAACCTCCCTCCGCCCATACCCGCACTCCCGAACGAACTCGTATTAGGTCCTCCCGCTCCCAGATTCCCTGCGTCAATGGCCCAGATCCTCGCAGTCATATCGTAACTTGTCGACCCTAGGACGTTCGGAGAATGAGGGGACCAAGCGACCCTCCTCACGGCGTATTCGTGGCCCAACAAGGTGGCAACCGTTGAAGTGGGTTGCATAACGGGGACGTTACTCGGCGGCAAACGCTGATCATGTCCGGCCATTCGAAGATCGTGAATTCGAATCGTTCGATCGACCGATCCCGTCGCGATCAAGTGGGGTTGATACTTGTTCCAATCGAGGGAAAGCACTTCGGTCGAATGCGCCGGGATGGCGATTTGCGCTTGAGCGGTAGAAGGTTGTCCAGGCACGGTGGAGGGTGTCGCGGCCATGGGGGATCGCGTGTCCCATACTTTGAGTTGACCGTCGGTTGAACATGAGGCCAAGGTCGTGGGTTGGTGAGGGGCGAAAGCGGCGGCGTAGACGCACGCGGTGTGGGCGGGGATCGTTGCTATTGAAGTGGGACGATCAGGTGTCCACTGTGGAGGGTTGCGAGACGTCAGTGGGCTCTGAAGGAGCAGAGCCGCATTACGAAGCGATCACATCGTTTGACGTACGATCTTGACCGTACAATCCCAACTGCTGGTGCAGAACAAGTCCTTTTGCAAATTGTTCCAATCGACCGAAAAGACCTCTCGGGCGTGTTCGTGCCATTTCCGGATGGGGAACTCCTAAGTACCCGAAAGAAATGAGTCCAGCAATATAAACCTGGTGCATAGTATATGGACAACTTGTACCCACATCCAATGCGACATCCCACAACTTGACCGAACCATCCCCACTGGCGGTGACGATCTGGTTCTCGTGCATCTCGGACCAAGCCAGGTCGTACAACCCGTCCTGCGTATCGAAACTATACACCACAACCGAACTCCGATCAGTGCTACGTCCCAACCCCGTCCTGGGAGACTCACCCTTTCTCAATCCCCATGCCCATCGCCATTGCACCACCACCCGCACGATGAGCCCCCACGGGCCCTCCGATCCCTGCCCCGCCCGTAGTGAGCACACTCAGCCTCCCATTGCCGACGAGACCGAAATTCGCTGATCCAGCTACGGCGAGTCGATTGGGGAAGAAGGGGGAAAACTTGACGGCGTACGCCGCGAAGCTGGATTCGCGTAGGGGAGGAGAGCGTCAGTGGGAGTTGAGGGGGAGCAGTGGAGTGTGTGCAACTGACCCGTCTGTTCGGCAGCGACGAACTGAAGTCGGGGGCACTTTCTGCATCGCTGCGAGACGAAAACTGGGCCGGTTTGAGCAGGGAAGAGAACGTCAGGGTCATCGCGGTCGAGTGGGGGCGGCGGCTGATCGCATCTTTCACGACAGCAGCAGGTCACGACCGGCCGCGGCACCGCCGAGGAAGCCGGAATGAAGCCGAGGCGAACACTTGCGCAGTGACCGTCAACTCGGGTCATATCTCGAAGCATCTACACAACACAACAGTGAGCTGAAAATTCCCTTGGTCCCCAACATTCGACATTACAAACAAAAGCTTCGGCCCCTCTCTACTCCTTCTGATGCACCGTCTGTTTCGGCGCCGACAAATTCGCCAAATACTCCTTGAGCCACTGCTCCCTTTTCTCCGACACGTGATCAAACACCAGATACCTTTTGTCATGCTGTGGGAACAAAGACATGATGCCAACACGGGTCAGTGCACAGGAACTGATGCGAATGTTTGCACCGTGCAGTGACCCGACTCACGCGTAGCACTTTTTGAATCGCCGGTAGATCGACCTGCTTGGCCATCTCGACAATACTCGGCATCTCATCCTCATCCTCGGAATCCTCCGCCCCTTCCTCGCCCATCACTTTGACCTTGTCCAAATCCTCATGCTTGGCCAAACGACCCCAGTGCTCCAGAATCGCCGATTCTTTCAACAACTCGTCGAATTCGCGCCGCGCTCGATCGGCCCATTTGCGGAGCCAGGCTTCGTAGAGGTGTTCGAGACGATCATAGTCCTTTTCGACGAGGCGAATGACGTGGAGTGAGTCAGCGAGGCTGGGAAGGATTGTCTCGAATCGCGTCGTCATCGTTGAAGCATGTTGAGCGAATAGATCCTCGACGACCGCAAGTCGCTTGCTGTACAAGGTCTTGAGGTGCAGATCGAACAATTGCCTTTGATCATGAACCGAAAGTGGCGAATCGGTGAAACGGGTATCTTTCGAAAGGAAAGGAACCACTTCCTCCCATCGAGCGTTGTGATCCCGAACCTGATCCACCAACAAGGTCCCAAACTCGCGTTCCCCTTCTTCCCGACCTAGATTTCCTTTCGCCGCTCGGGCTTGCCTCGACGTCCTTTCCTTCTCAGCTCGGACTTGTTCCTCCCTTTCTCGTAGACTCGCAGCTGCTCGAGCCGCTCGTTCTTCTTTCGTCAACGTCGGTTTCGTTGTCGAAGTCGAAGTGGAAGCCGGCGCACCCTTCGATGAGCTCGCTCCGTTCGACCCTTGACCCAACAACTTGCGATGCGCCTCGAACAACCCTTCCCTCTGCGAAGCCGAAGCAACCCCTCCATACCTCGCATCTTTCGCGAACCTTGCCTTGACCTCAGTCCACTGATCACTCAACTTGATCGTCGCATCCTCACCCAACATCTCCCTAAACGCCTGCTCAGCCTTATTCGCATCCGCGCGCTTCTTCTCCCCCAAATCGCGCAACCATTGTTTGAACACCTTCTCCTTCTCCCCCTCGGTCTTTCCAAAGTTGCGAAATCGAGGGTCCTTGTGGTACCGGCGCTTGAAATCAGAGTAATGCGTTCGGGTCGAAGTGACGGCCGTTTCGAGAAGCTCTCGATAAGAGGTCAAAGGCTATGCATGGCAGCCAAAACGAGGTCAATTCGTGGAAACGCTTTCGCGCTTCATTAAATACCCCACTTACATCCAGCTTGGGTAATGATCCCTCGGCAGCGGCTTTGGCTTTGGCCGCGCGGATCTCGCGTAGTTTCTCCTTGCAGAACTCTTCAAACAGATCCCTTCGATCCTTGAGTTGTTTGACGGCTGCGTTCAGCAGACAATAAACCGTCAGACAGTATTCATGGTGGAAAAGTAAACATGGCGGTGAGGCTGACCAGTGTAGCGAGGGTCGTTGATGAATTTGGGCAGTTCCATGTCCCAGGGCGCCATGGGGTTGATCTCCTTCTCGCCCAACATAGCCTGTACCCGAAAGAATCCTAGCGTCTCAGTATCGGACTTTTCTACCAAGTTCAAACCGAAAGAACCCACCTTGAACAACGCCATCCCTTCCTCTGCACTGACGTCCAACCCTCCGAGCGGCGCCGCAGCAGCCTGAGGTCGTCCGACACTCCTCCCCACATGATCCGGCGGCTGCTGCTGCTGTTCTTCCTGTTCCTGCTGCTTCTGTTGTTCCTCGACTTCCCTCGCCATCTCCTCCGCGATCTGGCGCTGCCAATCCTCGTCCTGTTCCATTTCTTCAATGTCGTGCACGACAACGACTTTGGACTTTTTCTTTTTCTTGGGTGGGGCCGCGCTGTCCGATGCGTTTGTCGGAGCTGATGGGACCTCGTTCGTTGTTGTCGGTGCATCTTCCTTCTGCGTAGTAGACTCCTCCTTCTTCTCCGCTTCTTCCTCTGTCTCCTCAGCCCCACCCTCCTCCGCCGCCTTCCTCTTTCTCCCTGCCTCCCCCTCCGCCTTCTCTTCCCTCTCCTTCCTCGCCATCAGCTCCTTCACCTCCTTCGGCACAGTCCAAACACTCTGCTTGGTCGCCTTATTCGACCAAAACACATTCCCCTGGTTCGTCGTCACTTCGATCCAGTCCGTGCCTTCGATCTCGAGTTTGGTCTTGGGTTTCTCTTTCTTCTCCTTCTTCTCCTTCTCCTTCTTCGTCGGAACTGAGGAGGTGGATGCGGAAGGGAAATGCAGAGGGGGTGGGTTCAACATCGGTGGTACACCGGGTGGTACGGGCGCTGGAGGTGGTAATGGTCGGACATAAGTCGAGACGTTCGTGATCGGGTTGAACCAATACGGTTGACCCGCGGGGGCTGCTTACACCCAATCACAACACTTGATCAGGTAGGCTTCCACGATTCAACTTGAAACATCCTCAGCTACTGACCTCTGTGCTCGGTCCAAGGCGGTGGTACCGGAGGGAGTAGGAAACCCGGGGGTGCGAATGGTGGAGGCACCAGCGGCACGGGTGTAGCTGATGCTGATGCCGGTCCAGGCCCAGGTGCGGCTGGGGCGAGTGTGGGGGTTGGGGTGGGGTGGGGAGTAGGTAAGGTAGGTGGTGGTGGACCTGACATGGCTTCGAGCTTTTGCGGGGGTGGGGTGGGCACACGAGCGAGCGCTGCGATGCGATGCTAGAGGAAGAGGAAGAGAAGACGGGTCGACGAGCTCGGCCGGCGTGGGGGTTTAGTATTAGTCTCGGCTTTAATTTGGTCGTCGCGTGAGTTAGTAGGGCGTAACGTCGATTTTGCGCAACCTCTGGCAAGCAACTCTATGTACTTCGTTTTGTAAGGAGCACACAAACGCTTCCAGCCAGAAATATTCACACCAAAGCCCAGCGAGGCCGCATGAGAGAGAACTAATTGCAAAGGCTGAAGTTTTACAGTTCAAGGCTCCTGTTCATGGGATGGATGACATCATGTTCAAAGTGTGGAAGGATTCAGCGAATCCCGCGCGTCGTCACCCGACATTAGGTTTCCGGTAGCCCCCACTTGAAGTTGGTCAGCGACATCAGCAACTTTGCCACTCGCGCTTTAGTGCAATTTAGTGCCAAAAGCGCACTTTTAGTGCAATTTAGCTCGTTTTCTATAATCTCCGGTGGGTCGCTAAATGACACTTAAAAGGCAGTTAACTTAAGTGCACTTTGTGCCATTTAGTGGCTTCCGTGCCATTTAGTGCACTTATAGTGCTTTTGCAACAGCAACCTGATTTCAATGCTTTTATGTGTATAACCGCGCTTGAGCGATCAATGCCTGGTAGTACTGGTATATGCTTGCATTCCACTCATATTACGCAGTGCTAAGTACTAGGCTACTGCCAGCCAAACAATCTATTCTGAGTCCTCTTCTTACGTATCATTCGGCGCCTAGTGTTCCTATAAAGTGCCAGGCCCCCGGGCTTGCCTCGAGCGAGTCTTTGGCCACTGTTTCGCCGCCTGAAAACGGAAGCATACCCCCCCCCCCTTTGCCCGCTGCGGAAACAACCCGTGTATGTCGCAACATCTGATGATTGAGACTCACCGGAGAACCCCGCAATCGGGGGCATCACCTTTTCGAGAGACACGCGCGCCTATTGATGAGACCGGTAGACGAACGCTAGGTCGAATGTCAGAGGAATAAAACCGATATCCGCGGATGATCTCTCGACTCACCGCAGCTTAAGCGTAAGAGCGTAAGATACTAGACCAAAAGCCAGGGCTTGGTGGTCCGGCTGCGCCGCATTGAGGGAGGCCAGCTTTTGGCTCTTGGCGCAAGCTGCGAACACGGCGGCGAGATCGTTCAACAGTGAGTTTGACAGGTCGTCTGGCTTCCGGCCGAACTGGAAATCTCTCTGCAGTAATGCAAATACTTACCAGCGAATTCCTGCTCTGGACAACAGTATAACTTCCTCAAGCTCACCTTAACAGTGGGGCCACAGCGAAGTTCCAAGAACCCCTCCGAAGATGGTTAGCGTTGCCAAGATGTGACGTGCGCCTCTCTGCTTCGTGTTTGTTTTGACCGCGCATTGGTCCCGCCGGACGCTGGCGGTGTCTTTGCCGGCGGCTTGTAACGCTTCAGCCATACCTTTCAATGGCTGTGCCATACGGTCGACTCACTCGGAAATGGCCGGGGGCAGGTTGAAAGATGATGGTGGAGGCAAGAGGGAAGAAGGGGTGGGCATCGCGAGCGGTGTCAGTGAGTGGGAGGAAGGAAAAGGAGGTTCGCGACGGCGTGTGGACTTGGTAAACAACAACGCGGCCGTGGCCTAATGCGAGTCACTTGGCCGCGACGGCGCTTGCGCTCACTGGCGATTCGCGAAGGCCCGGTTCACGCCAGTTGGCGCGCCGCGCGCGGCGACTCGCGCCTTACTCCCAAAATTTGTCTAAGTCCCACTCCGTTCGTAGGCGCAGGAGGCGCATTTCCTTCTTCCGTCGCCGCACAGCGACTTCAATCTACGACACTCGGTTGAGGATGTTTTGTTTTACGATCGGATCTTAGGCAGGTGCTACTTTGACAAATGGAGATCACGCCGGCATGGAATATCCAGACTGTTGTGGACATCTGGAAAGACCAGTTGACTGTAAATCTGTGAACTTGTGAGCATGTATGTTATCGCTTTGCGAGATTATTTAGCATCAAAATTCTACGTGATCAGAGAACGCCTCAGAGTCGCGGGAAGGGGAAAGGGAGGGCGGCGCGAATGGATCTATCAGAATAGCCCCTGTCATGATTTTGGTCAATTGAATCAACAGTATAGCTTCAGTCCTAGATTATAATACTGCAAACAGGTGTTGAGAGCAAATCATGTCTTTATGTATCTATTGCAGGTCGAGTACTTGGTATACTGATACCTAGAGTTTGTAATAGGAAGAATAGCAACCAAGGTCCTGACATTGTTACACCTCACCACAGCACTCCTCCAAATTTTAAGTGTCAACTTCATCAAACTTTGCTAAGTTCACCTCTGGCTATATTTCTAAGCACACCAAAAAGTGGCGCGCGCGGCGCCCCTCCCAGCGCCGCTCTTAAGCGGCGTACCCATACAGGTTGCCCCCCCCTGCAACCGGGGTTGGCCGCTGGCGCCAGGCCAAGATTAACTTGCTAATGAGATTGAGCATTTAGTGACTAGTACTAGTATGCCCGCAGACCTGTCTCTTTCAGCTTCCGCTCAGCGCCAAGTGAGACCCGCCTCAGTTCTAACCAGAGCATCAACTATCGAGACACCCTTCTTAAATCTCGAAGCTACGCAATTCACATCGACGATGGGCAGGCATCGATGGAGACCTTTCAAGGTCCGTCTGGACTACTTTGAGGAGCATCCTTCCTATAGGCCTCAAGGCCTCCGATCGGACGTCCGACTCCGCACCAACATCCCCGGAACCCGGCACCGTGTTACTTACACTGCCCGCCAAATCCAACAAGGAACCTTCGATGATTTTGGCGAAGCTAGCTCGCCGTGTCCTCAGCGTCCAATGGCCCTTCCAATTCAGGCCGATTCCGACGAAGCCGCGAGTGACGCCGCCAACCCGAGTGGGATGGATTGGGATGAAGAGCGTTACAGCGAGTACGGTGGTGGCTTCGAACACGACTTCGATCCAGCCCCATACTCTCCGGATCGAACATCCCATTTCCCAACCTCGCTTGACTATAGTGCAATCGCCGAGCGATTATCACTGGCTGACCTGCGCCAAGTCGAAAGTTTCGAATCAGCCACACGTGGTCAGTCGAAGCAAGGAACGTACAAGCAATTCGTGTTCAACGACGCTCGCCTTAGGCGCTTGGAACGGCCAGCGCTTCTGCGCCAGTACATCGCGTTTTGCGCTGGGGTCAAAGGTCATCTACGGCCCTTGATTGACGTGGACGAGGAGCTGTGCCAGGGTTCGGTCGCTAGCGAAGTGCCGCCGCCTTGTTCATGCAAGAGTCCCCTCACGTTACGGCTTGACGTGTACGAGCTCATAAGCTGTATGTGAATCAGGCGAATTGGGTCGCTGTGTCGAACGTTGCGCTGACAAGGTCGAATGGTTGAATCAATGCAGTGGTCGAGGTGCCGATCGCTTTTTGTCCGAGATCCAGCAGCGATAGCCCATGCCTTACGTACGCCGAGCGCCTTGCTCAGATCGGATTAATCGGATCGACCGCAGCTGCTCCTCGCTCTGCATTCACCTTTCGACTTCTCCAATTTTTCGACTCCTGGTGGAGCACCGCGCCGTTTCCTGTCGATGGAGCAGCTCGCGGGCTCGACATTTTCTATGAGCAAACTGGATGGGGTCGGCCGGGCCTGAGTCAGCATCAATTCGTGAGTTCGACCTCCTGTCATGATTGCTATTGAGCATTATCTGATGTTTATCATCGTTTGCGCAGGACAAGGAGTTGCGAAAGCAACTCCAGCGCGCCCTTGACGAATTTCGGGCTCTCACGACATCCGAGCGAGAATTGGGCGACCTCGTCCTCGGTGTCGCGGATTCTCTCTCGGATAAGTGTCCAGCATGCTACGGATCGACGCGTCTGAACCAAGCCCACCATAGAGTCGAAGTGCAGCATCTTGTCGCTCTGGATGGCAACTTCCAACATTCTCGCGACACCTCAGCCAAATACGATCCTCAGGAGTCGACGCCAGCCCTCTTCCTCGGCGAAGATGAGCTCGAATCGATGAAGGAGATCTGTGATGGTGGCGACAGCAAGAAGTCAGAAAAGGTCCGCTGATCCGAGCCGCCCCCTGCGATCCTTTCAACGCGCTGACGCCTTTCCTCTTGCGTCTTGAAGGCTTGTGCTGATTCGTGGAAAGCGGCCAACGGCGGTGCGACACAAATCTCGCGGGGCAAGTCCGATACGGGCCTAGTTGCCTGTGTCTGCCGTCACGATATCGCGTTGAAGATGGTCAACTTGTATCAATCAGGTGAAAAGTTCGTCAGCTCAGCTCCTCTCACCCGCTTACAAGGCCTGACGCTCGTTTTTGATGAGGCAGGCGCTACTACGGCTTATCGCTGCTGCAACATATTTCGAACCAACTCCCGTCCGACGATACACTCGGAGTGCTGTATGATGTTGCGTGTAATTTGGACGGCTACATGCAATCGGTCAGCAAGAGTGGCGGATCCGTCGTTTCTTAGATTTCTGGCCCTGGGGCGCCGCTGACCTGTACTGTACTTCGATCGCCCGCAGAGAGGTATCCTTCCCGATTTGTTTCCGAGATTGAAGTTTGCCACGAGCGTGTTTCATGCTTTTGCTCATCAATGGCCCTGCCAGCTCGAGTACAACCCGCGCCTGATTCAGCACTTTGGGTTGACGGATGGGGAGGGATGCGAACGCGTTTGGAGTCAGCTCCGATCGCTCATCCCGATCAATCGTCCTGCGAGCGCTTCTCACCGGCGCGTCAACATCTCGCGTCGCATCGACCTGATGAACAAGAACGGTGTTGACAGCCTCGGTATGCTCTGCCATCCACACTTTCACGCCGTGTTCGTTACTCAATCGTGCGGTCCCTTCATTCATCGTCCATTCTAGGCCGTTGGCTCCGCAGACGACTGTCGAATGCTCAAGATCAGCTTGGAAGGGCACAAACTGATCTGAGCGACGTTTCGGCAATATGGTCCGAGTCT